GAAAAACTCACTTCAATCTTAAAAAACAAAGTATGCTAAGCATAAATTATCCGAACAGTATTAACCGTAACAATGACTTCATTTCATGAGAAAAATGTCAATACATGACCTCGAAATTCATATTATGGCGTCATAACAGATTAGTTGTGGCGTCTTTGCATCAGAGGACTCTTACAATTAACATAGGCTAGGCTAGGGTGTCTCATCGTTTATATAAGTAGATTGCCGTTGATATAAGCATATTCTTCATTATCGCAACCCACTTGTTTTGCCGAAGGGCTGAACTTGATCGAATTGCTTTTGTAGTAGGCTCGTGGGCTAATTTTCATGATTTTTCTTACTCAAAACGTCTCTCTGATATCTCGGCTAAACATTCCGGGTAAAATCTTATGACTTTGGTGGAGATATAAAGTGGCGATATAAAGTGTAGGCAATAGTGGTAAAAGTCAAAATATAAAAATTTACTCACATTTTTGAAATTATAATTCCGGCTGCGTGTGCAGCTGCCAGAATGCAACGTTTTGGCGTAGTTTCGAGGCGATGCAAAGGGTATTTCAATAAAATATACAAAAAATACAGAAAAATTTTGATTCAAAACAAGCCCTTGTTTTAAAACACGATGTTTTTTTCAGAATTGATAAAAAACAAAAATCTACTCAGCAAGCTCTCTCAATCAATAAACTATAGATTAAGATTCAGATTCAGATATTTTTATTTCGTCGTGCATGAAACATTGTCAACAAATAAAATAATAAATTTAAATAAATCAAAAACACACAATGTTTCGCAATTGACGAGGAGTCGCGAAAGACTATTAAGTCATCGTGTCAGCGACACCTATATGCTGTATATACCTATATACACCTGTATACCTATACACCTGTATACACCTATATACCTATATACTATAATCAATTCCCCTTTCAAAAGGTATTTCCTGTCTTTAACAGCTTAGTTGTCTGCACGGCTTCAACGTACCTATACTAATGTTCTTTTCTGTCAGCCACAGGGTGATACAAATAATTCTCAAATTTAGTTTTGTATTGCTGGTTTTGGCAAATTTGGTCGCGAAAGTGCTTTCAAGTCCTAGGCGAAGCAAAATACCTGGACCGAACGGTAAAATAAAAAACATTTGTCATCAATAAAGGAACAATTTGCCTAGTGTTGATATATATATGTATGAAATTTTTAGTGTGCCTTGACAGAGCGGAGGAGGTTTCTTTCTCCGTATCAAAGACATTTGGAAATGTATTGAATGATGTTGCAATTGAAAACATTGCATTTATATATATAAATTGTTTTATTATCAGACTTTCCATTTGTTGATTTCCATGGGAATGGATCAGAAATGTTCGACGAAACAGCCTATTAGACAGTAGAAAGGATAACAACAACGGAGATTATGTTTCAAAAGTTTGAATTAAACAAGAGAATAGAAGTATATTCCTCGAGCGTCTTGTTTTTCATATATTATTATATGAGATTATGGGTTCTTCAGATTGTTAAGTGAAGCGGATACCACCAGGTTTATGTAACAAGCTGTGACGTAGACCAGCGTTTCCCAAACTGTGTTCCGCGGAACACTAGTGCTCGAGCATCTGCGAGTGTTCCGTGGAAAAAGTATCAAAAAACGTCTAAAATGGTCGCCATGGAGATTTATGGCAGGGCTTCCCAAACTAGAGGCCGCTAAACGAATTTTAGGGGCCGCAAAGAAAACACCAATTTTACAAAACATCAAAAATGCATATATATTTCGAACTGTTTAACATTATTAACGTGGACAAGGCCGCGAAAAGTTTAAAGTTTGAAAATATGTATATATATATTAAAAGGGATCGCGAGCTTAAAAGTTTTGGAAGCCCTGATCTATAGAACGTGAAGTTGTCGCCCAACTGACCGTTCAATATCGCGTCACCGTCGGACTAAATCGTACTAACTTGGGAAGGGTAGTGGCATTTTCGATAACTATCGGCCTACCTTTTTGACTGTTGAGTTATAAAGTTTACAGCAATCATTTTGGTTTTGCTATAGGCAAAACGAGTAGACCTAAAGAATAAAGGCAAAGGGTCAACTCGTCTTCCTCCGTATCTGTCTGGTTTTACTTTGAAATGCTGAAAAAATTACTCATTTTCGCTAAAGTCTATTAAGTAGATAAAAAAACTGCAGCGAAATTGCAGCAAGTACTTCCATCTCCATTAGACGTAACGTTAGAGGCAAAAACTACGTAATGGAAAGTAAACGACATAGAATGGTAAAATGAATTTATTTATTCATATACACATCATTTAAATTAGAAAACAATAAAACATTTATAACAAATTCAACATGTAAAATATTCAATCATATTTTAAGTATGTTAACACAATTATGTTAGTTTTCGCCGCGCATTTGACAACTTTTTCTTTATCAATTTTACCCTTTTATTTTTTGGTGTTCCGTGAAGCGAGTTAAAAAGTGGAAGTGTTCCATGGCCGCAAAAGTTTGGGAAACCCCGACGTAGACAATGAGAATTTATATTCATACGCTGATAGGATAGAAGATGAGACAACGTCGCAATATAGAGTAATAGAAATACTATGTATTTCAGTGGTAGTCGGTTCATTCGTCATGCGGTCCTCATTCAACAACAAGTAACCAGCAATATTTTCCATAGGCATGAATTGCGCTTGAATAATAAATCAAAACTCAGCGTTTGTTTGAGCTATTCTACGGTGTACAGAAATCTCTCGCATGTGACCATCTTCACCGGACTTCAACCTTTTTTGTTTGATTTGGCATTGAATAATACAAAACGCATTTTGCATATTCTTAGTGGTTCCCAGAATGACTCGTAAAACCCGTTGGTGTTTTAGTTTATCCACCGTCACAGACCGAAAGGAGGTATGTTGCCAAAGCTCCACAAAAACGTGAAAAAGTGTACAAAATATATTTACGTATCATTCAATGTCAAAAATGCCGAATTGGATTCTAACTGAAATATCCTCATAATCAATCGTTAACAATAAGTTGACTCACTCTAACTAGCATGCGCTCTACCACTTCATAAATCGAGCAGAAAGAAGAAAAAGGGTGGCACGGACTAAATAAATGTAGCCTGTTACGTAAGCATGTAACCAAATGAATACTGGGCTAACCTCGATGAAATTTGTTAAAGGTCGACCCACCTAGTTGTTACGTCATACCATATTTTCTTTGTAGCCATATGTCATAAAAGTAATTTTTTTCTTATTACTTGTGTCGCTACAATATTTCATGCACGACGGAAATAAAATATCTGAATCTGAATATGTCATAAAGAACAAAAAGAGTTTAATTTTTAAATAACGGATTGTTAACAAACGAAAATGAAAAAACAAACTCCGAGTTCCATCAGATAATACTGAGACTTGTATAGGGAGAAGAGATGCAAGTCGTAAGGATAAAGACTGATCACCCTAGTATTTAAAAGTTCGATTCCCGCGTTATTAAATTGACACGCGTTATGGAATGTGACTCCGATCTGGATTCCTTCAGACGATAATAAGCACACAATGTTGAATGCCGAATTGTTGTATATTATTGAAAAGATGCACGATCCAAAATCCAAATACAGATAAAATTTAAACACACTTAATTCTTAATACAGTAAAATCTGAAGTGAACCAAAAAACACGATATTATACAGTCCTCTCGGCAAACCGAAAACGATACGTCATCAAATTGGTCGATACCAGAAAGGCAATGGATGGAGCGGTTCCATTACATTTGAACCCGTGTACATTTGAACCCACGTACATTTGAACCACGTACATCTGAACTCGCGACAATTGCACCTATGGAAATTTTTTCTGTTTCACGGATAATTGAACCCATACTTACCCTAACCCATAGGTTTTAGCACTCGCATATAGATTAAACCCGCGGATATATATGGGTTCAAATGTACATGGTTCAAATGTACGTGGGTTCAAATGTACGGTCACCCATTGTAGAGTTAAGAGGTTCTACAGGTCCTATTTCTGATTATTGGGCTGTCTTGTCAATCTACTTCCGTAGCTAACTCTCGACACAGTAGTAAACGCAACATAAACACATCCGACTTGTATGAAAGACTTGTAATGAAAGTATATTACAGTATATACAAGTCACAGTCCAGTAAAATTCCACAATCAGGTTAAAAGTTCCACAGTAGACAGATAAATTTCCACAGCAAGTATAACGGCAGTGTAACACAGTGAATGTAAAAACGTGATGTCTGTATGTAAATGTATGGTGTGTATTGTAAGTGGTTACAATATATTTGTGTCTCCAACCCAACAACAGTACTTAAATTTAGCTACAAGACACAAAAACAAGAAAATACTATTAGCCTTATACATACAACTCAATTAGAACCCAAATTACTTAATATTCCTAAACTACAAACTTCCCTAAATATCTTAGCAATTCTAAATTAGCATAATTAAATCTACAATTTGCAAATCAATGGCGCAAAGTAATCGCAGCTTCTAACAAAGAAATTCATGTGACCAGGCCTCATTGCACTGTCTCCCACACTAATAAATAGGACATTTAGTATAATACAATAAGAATAAAGGGCATGAATAGAACCATGTACATTTGAACCCATATATATCCGCGGGTTCAATCTATATGCGAGTGCTAAAACCTATGGGTTAGGGTAAGTATGGGCACAAATATTAGAATTGCCGTCTATTTATAAATGTGGAATAAATAAAACGAATTTTTCAAATTTATCTGATCGGTGGTAATCCACAGAGGACCATTTCCACGACTAATTAGTTACGTTCTCATTGCACTTAGGGTCAAAAGGCAGATCATTATAAAGTCACCTATATATTTTCTTCTCCTAACCAAATATTTCAATAGGATCCAATAAAAATCATTTAATAATGTTGGTTTATCCTTCGCCACGTGTGCGATTACGATGTCGAGTGTTTAAAAGTTGGGGTGAGAGGTCGACCGCTCGAGGCGCAGCACGTTTCCAGTTGTCCTTCCCTGTCACCTTTTCGCCTTCTACTCGCGCAGTTTCAGTTGGTGGCGGTTTGGTAAAGCATTTAGTATAATTTGGACAGCTGCAAGATGATGAGTTCAGCGAGATTTTGCCTTCGTACTTTACAATCTTCTAAAACTGGCATTGCGGGGAAAGCAGCAAGAGCAGCGTCTGTTGAGCAGAGAAGAAATTATGCTCCTGAAAAGGCAACACAGACGACCCAGGGTTCTGGTTTGGTCGGAGAAATCGTTGCTGTGATCGGACCAGTTGTGGATGTCCAGTTTTCTGGAGGCAGACCACCAATTCTCAATGCATTGGAAGTTGAAGGGCGTGAGACCAAATTGGTCCTGGAAGTTGCACAGCATTTGGGTCAGAACACTGTTCGAACAATTGCCATGGACTCCACAGAAAGATTGATTCGTGGTCAAAAATGTGTTGATACTGGTGATTCCATTAAAGTACCAGTTGGTCCAGGAACATTAGGTCGTATTATCAATGTCATTGGTCAACCAATCGATGAAAGGGGACCAGTTAAAACTAAAATGTATGCCTCAATTCACGCTACTGCTCCTGAATTGAGCGAAACTGGTGGTGCTCAAGAAATTCTGGAAACTGGAATTAAGGTGGTGGACGTGCTAGCACCTTATGTCAGAGGAGGAAAAATTGGTCTGTTTGGTGGTGCTGGTGTTGGCAAGACTGTCTTCATCATGGAACTGATGAACAACGTTGCCAAAGCTCATGGTGGTTATTCAGTATTTGCTGGTGTTGGCGAAAGAACCAGAGAAGGAAATGATCTTTATCATGAGATGATGGACTCCGGAGTCATCTCCCTCACGGATGACACATCCAAAGTAGCGCTCGTCTATGGACAGATGAATGAACCACCAGGTGCCAGAGCTCGTGTTGCTCTCACAGGTCTGACTGTTGCCGAATATTTCAGAGATGAAGAGGGACAAGATGTGCTGCTTTTCATTGACAACATTTTCAGATTCACCCAGGCTGGTTCAGAAGTATCTGCTCTGCTTGGTCGTATTCCATCTGCTGTCGGTTACCAACCAACTCTTGCGACTGACATGGGTACAATGCAGGAGAGAATTACCACCACCAAAAAAGGTTCTATCACATCTGTACAGGCCATTTATGTACCTGCTGATGACTTGACTGATCCTAGCCCAGCCACGACATTCTCTCACTTGGATGCCACAACTGTATTATCACGTCAAGTTTCAGAATTGGGATTCTACCCCGCCGTCGACCCACTGGAGTCATCGTCAAGAATTATGGACCCCAACATCGTGGGAAGAGCTCACTACGACTGCGCTAGACGAGTTAAGAAGATCCTTCAAGATTTGAAATCTTTGCAAGATATCATTGCTATTCTTGGTATGGGTGAATTGTCACAAGAAGAAAAAATGACAGTAACTCGCGCACGTAAGATTCAAAGATTCCTGACGCAACCTTTCCAAGTCGCTGAAACTTTCACAGGAACACCAGGAAAGCTTGTCACACTGAAAGATGCAATCAAAGGTTTCGATATGATTCTTGATGGAGAATTGGATCACATTCCCGAAGTTGCATTTTACATGGTGGGCGATATTGACGAAGTACAAGCAAAGGCAGAACAACTCGCATTGGAAACTTCCGCATAAACTCTATTCCCCAGTTTTGATAGTCAATTGCTCCAGTTCAATGATTTGATTTGTCAAGTTTGTGTTTATTATATTCTGCTAATTTTGGTTCCTCCAGTATGAAAATTAAAACTATTGAGTTGATTTATTGTCACTTTTTTATTGGTATTGCTTTGTTCAGTTGTTATAAAAGGCATTTCCTAGCAGAATAACTAGTGTGCAGCAAAGTATGCACACACATTTTCCAAACAGATTTTTTCAAACCATGGTATGCCATGAAATTCTCATTTTGTACAAATAAACATGGCTTTAGGTAGGGTGGCATGTATCTGATGGCTTGAATAATATTCAATTTCTTTGCAGTCTATGTAAATATTGAATGTTATCAGAAAACATTTATTTATGGGCTAAACCATGATTACTCATTCAGTAATAATAAATGGCAAATTGAAAGGCTTTAGGTAGGGTGGCTCGTATCTGATAGCTTGAATAATATTCAAACTCTTTGTAGTCTATGTAAATATTAAATGTTATCAGAAAAATATTTATAACCATGATTACTCATTCAGTAATTATGGCAAATTATCCGCGTTCAATGCAGAAAAGCAGATTCGAATATAATTGATTATGAATTTTATAAGACTCTCATGGTGGATGCTGATATTAGTAAGCATCCTCATGGCTGTTGTATGGAAATTGTTAAAACTGAAATCATTCGCAAAAGATTGAAACTTCGTTTTCAATCCATACTTGAAGTTAGTTTACCGGAAAAATATTCAGTTTCAAACTTCAACATTGTTGAACATAAATTGTTTTGGTGGTAAGCATATTTAAAAAAAATAAGAATTTTTCCACTAGTGTTAAATGAGATGCGAAACAATTTTTGGATTCCCAGTATATGATTCAACTGCAAGAACTGAGGCACAATGATTTATAACTCCGTTAACATCATTTAGGATATAGTGAGTATTTGTATATAGATTGGATTGACCAGCTCGCAAATACAACATCATTATCTCTAAACTCACCAATACCAAAAAATATATATTTTAATTATCTCTCACATTTTATGTGGACAACATGAGCCGTTAGTGAAGAATATACAATTTCTCTTAAGCATTTCAAGTTCTCAATGACTTGAAAGTGTTTCGGCCGAATGCTGTTGGGTTTTTACATCTCGTGAACACAAAAATGGTATTAAAAGATTTTGAGGGTGCAGTCAAAGCAAAAATGAAAGAACTGTGACAACATGCCTCCAAACTGAAGTGATGAGGAATTCGTGAGTCGGCAACAGAATTAAAATCTATATCTTAAACAAAATGATACTTGTGAAATCGAGAGGTTTGCTCATCGATTAGACCTGTACATGCCCAAACTTTTATTCCCATGTGTTATAATTACACATATTCTGTGACTAACCAATCTTTTTTCACTTTCGATTAATTTCAGATGCAATTATTCAGGATAATTGGAAAGTAGATCAAGGCACATAATTTGATTCACTGGGTGGCATTTGGAAAAACTCTAAATTTACTGCATATCCCATACCTTAAATCTCCATACGTGTTCTGTTTTGAAGCAAAACATAAGTGCGGTTTGAAATAAGGGTTATTATGTTTGTTTCCTTGGCCCAGCTTCAGTCTTGTGTGCATCAAAAGTTTTGAATTTTCATCTAGCACTGCATTAGACGAAAATTTTACAACAAATATAGGTGACTACCTAGTATTAGGTATTGGGGGTTAAAATAAAATGTTTTTATGTGGCTCTATAGCCGACCAGATATCAGGTCATTTTTGTAGGTATCTGTAAATAGTTACTAGAAATCTTCAACCATACATTATAATCAAACATGGTACTGTGTAAAATCTCACTAACACCAGGACTCAACAATTACTCAAATATCATAAAATTGTTCAATTAGTTTGAAGTCCACCATGGTACAGAAGAAATCAAATTACACAACACACAGGACGATTTCCATGAAACGTTTTAAAACTTCAAATGAGGTTTCGAAACACGAGACATATAATTATCATATGTGACATAAATTTGAACTGAAGAAGATATATATTCAGAAATAGGCCTACTCTCGAAACCTCGTCAGGCTTGGAAATATTGAATTAATAGATGCATGTGGAATGCTCACGAGACCAGTGAAAAAAGTTTACTTTGCATATTAACCAAATTCCCATTACCTCACCGTGACAGTACCTTATAGAACCAAGCCATTATTTAGCTACCGGTAATTCGTCTGCAAGTTCCTTGTGGTGTAAAAAGTTCTGATAATACGTGAATAAAAAGTGAAAAACACGACGGGATAGATACTGTGATACCACGATTCTAACTTGTGGTAAAATATGCCGGTGGCATTCATACAGGATAAGTAGTTTTTCAAGCAACAAAGTGATGGACATATTATTTCGCACATCATCCAAATTCCCATTCATTTTACCGTCACATTACCTTCACGGAACTGGACCATATTTCGTTGCTTGTTTTGCAAGTTTCCTGTAGTATGAAGTAAGATGTTGCTAACGGGCCTCAGAGCTGCAGCAGAAAAATTCGAAGACTTGAAGCCGAAAAAAGTGATGTTGAATAAAAGTACCAGCAGAAGACCGAACTAATCTTATGTGGTGTATTTTTACCTGTATACAAACGCGCCGTATGGAGAGGGGTGTCCGATGAATTAGGAAAGTCGATATTAGACAATATAAATTACTTCTCTGCGAGATACTCACAATATTTGAAATTATTTGTGTACTACTTTTATATTCGAATTGGTATTGAATGAGTTGCGGACTGGTAATAGTCGCTGAGCATCGTTGTCATCGTGAACTAGCTCATTTTTCTGAAATACGATTGTTATGTGATTCTTTAACACTTACGAGTATACTGCTGATACTGGAAAACTAGATGGTGCGATTATGGACGCAACCAATCGCGCGACACATATCACAAACCCTTTGATATAACTAAGAATGGTGCTGCTTTCCGCTGAAAGGTCGTTTCCACATACTTTTCCAGTTATAACACACAATGGGATGAGTTTTTAGAGCTGCGAGGGTAGGTTTCACGACAATATCAATTTCTGAACAATCACCACAAGTTCCATATTAATTCTTTCATATTAGGTTTTGTTAATGTTATGGAAGAAGAAATAAAAGTAGCTTGACAAAAAGACTTCGTATAGCAAATGAACAAAGGAATATGACGCAAAAAAATAAAATGGCACCAACTTGAAAGTATAATAATTTCAAAAAAATAATAACAAAAATGCTAAAATGACATTTCATGGATATGGGTAATTCTCCATAACCTTCAAAATATTCGAATCAAACAAATTAACATACAACTAAATATATAAATTTCCTATCAAACCTTTTACAGTATATAACGAAAATGAAATCACCAAATTGTTACAAAAATAGCTTGAGCACTCTATTATGAATAGAATCGAATATAATTATTCCGAATTAAACTCAAAATACATTTCAAGTTGATGGTCAATCGAAAGCCATTTAACAAAACTTTTATTTAGGTATTTATTTATGAAGGAATCAATTCATAGCGATATCAGTGCATGCCAACTTTCACTAATATTCTGCGAACAATCGCTTGAATCAGCTTTTTCGATGGTATACAGGCCCAATTTCAGTGAGTGATGTACTCATAGAACTGGGACAAAAAGCCGTTGAATGGAGGTGGGTGAATATATCTATTTTAAGAGTGCACCAAAGAGCTGAAAAATTGATGATAAAACGCAAGTTGAGGTATCAACAAAATACACAACTTATAGTTGGAAAATGCAACTTAAATTTCAAAAAATATGCTCAAAAACATTGTACAAAATAAATTGCATTGAACCTTGTACATTTCATTTTAAAATATATTATAATGTTTATTTAAATCTGATGAACTTGCAACAAGAAAATAAACATGTTCAATATATGTATTAACATAGATAAGTAGCATGTAAGCATATTCAAATACGATATTACAAGCATTTCAAACATGAAAATTTGACTGGTAATATGATTGCATGATTAAATTTTTTTTTATTTACATTCCTCATTGAAAATCATGATTACACCTTTTATCATGATCCAAAATCCTATTTTCTATCCTGCCTTTGCAAAAAAAACAAGTTTATCAAATACTTTGCAAATCTGCAAGACAAACTTCATTATGCATTACAAAGGGTGTGCTAATTCCTGACAAATATAAAATACTTTATTCAAAATCTGAATAAGACAAATATGTAACGATACCTACCATAACCAGAAAAATTTTTTTTTAATGCTTCAGTCTCATGTGAACAATCCAAAACGTTAAAAACAAAGGAATCAAAATCTAGGATATTGTATATGAGGAAATAATTCTCATCTTGTAAATACAGATAAGAATGTACAAACATTGAGAAGCCAGTTTTACCAAAACATAAAGTCATGCATCACCATTGTTATTTTATTTTTTTTTAAATTGAAGTCACACATTAAATAGGCTTGTCTGGTAAAAGCGTCAAATTAGGAATAAAATTGGTTTTTATGTGGGACTTCCACTAGTTAAAATCAAATGATATACTTGAAAAAGCAATCTTTGCTTGTTGCAGAAACGAATGAATTAAGTTGTAACACCAACTTGTAAATGCATAAAATCCATCAAAGTTATAAAACGAATAAAAAAATTTGTTTAATTAATGATTCATTTCATAACATTATTAACATGATCTGCCATAGATAACAATCAGTATATAGATTGACCATCCTAATAAATCAATATCAAAATGCTCGTATATTCATACTTTGTATATTCATACTTTATAGTATATTAATCTTGGACAACGAATGTGATTTGTATCGAGCAATAACACAAATAAAATGGTTTGTGATGAGTAGGAAATAAACCAACAAATGAATTCATATTTACTTGTAACATCTGTATATTACATTGACTTAGATTTAGAAGGGTGAGGCTGAGAGCTGACAGGCTTCCAACCTTCATAATATCCGTTCAAAAACAAGCCGTGAATATTTATGATACAATATAGTGGTTATTTCATCCATTTCCTTGAGGAAACTCGAATCACAAAATCATTCCATGTCTTTCTTATCAACAAAATATATGATCAAATTGAGGAATGAAATAAAATGTACACATAATATGAAATTGCCGCATGACAGAGCAAAAAACAAAATCGCAAATAAAAATCGAAGATCAAAAAAACTGTACTATTCATACCGTGGCAATGCGCGAGATGCTGGAAATCATTGATATAATACAGAAGCTGATATCAAGTTTACATTGTTAATTTAAAAGGATTTCAACAATAAAAATTTCAAATATATTTCAATACCAAACACTGAATAAAAAAAGAAAAAAATGTAAATCAAATAGCAACGATGCTGTGTAAAGTTTGCTGCCTTGAACAGGCCGTCTTGGATAGCTTGCCGATCCATCTCCTCTTCTTGACAACTGACGTCTTTTTCGGAGATAGATCTATGTTGGTTTGTTGGATGTTGTCACACTCATATTAGCTTTACAAATTGTGTGTGTGTAGTTGTGCTTGGCTTTCATCATTTGAAGTTGTAATATTCACTCATAGAGTCTATATATTCTTGAACAGCTCGATAACAAAATTCATATTGTTCCTGTCAAGAAAAATACTATATTAAGCATAATGTCAAAAAATATTTGTCATTCGTGGATTGAGGTCATGTTTTACATAAGTTTGTTCAAAACAAGGTTAGTAGCTATCAACCACAGAAAAAGTGCTTATGAAGGAGTTGCAATCACCCTCTATGTAGATTTATTTCTGTAACAAATATGACAGATGATAGAGGTTCACAAAAAACAATTCACTGTCATCGAAACAGCTAGGAATAAGTGAATTCCACAAAGCAAATATTCTTCAAAGCAAAATTTTTGGCGTTAAAAATGACATACAGGAAATCTTTACAGTGAATCAATGAGTTCTAGCAGCTAAACTGATGAACGACAAATTTTTGGCAGAACCAAAAAAGAAAATTCAGCCCAACAAAGTCTACAAGAAGTCAAAGTTAAACACTCACCAAATTTTGAACCATATGAGGTCTCTGCATTCTTAAACATTTAACGATTTGGAACATATCCAACACTCCTTCAGCTTTAACTTGTTCAAGTGCAGTCGTCAATGCACAGAAAGCTCCTGTTCTACCAGCACCAGCACTGCAAAACGAAACAGGTATTATTAAAAGCAATCTTTTTACCTACTTTCCAATCTGAACTAAATCCCTCAACCTTTGAAAAATACTCATTAGTTAGACCTCTGGATTTTCAAGTGTCATTAATCAGTATAGTCTCAAACTCTATTTATTATTTAATTCCATGTCATTATCATTGTATCAGTTAGCCTAGCTTGGACAGGTTTATTATTAAGATGAGGAACTTTATTATAAGAGTGGAAAACAATGCATTACAAAAAATAAAAAATACAATTAATTACCTGCAATGAATGACAATTGGATGATTACCAGAATTTTGTTGTTGTTTTTGTACATCTTCGACTAATTCAATCATACTATAGCCAGAAACTGGTGCTCCAACTTCTGGCCAACCATGATAATGGAACTAGAAAAAGAAAGAAAGATATATTGCATGAATGGCTCTATAACTAAAACACTTATTCAAACCACCAAGTAAAAATTCCAATCTGCATGACAAGGAGTCTCATATTATGGGTCATTATGAGCTCACATATGGGTCAGTAGGTAGTCATAATACTGGAGTAAAATCATTCACATTTTAAGATAATTTTTTCATGACATCTAGCGGACTTCAAAAACTTAAAGGCTAATTATATTCGAAAAGACTTAAATCTTACTCACAGTTTGTGGACTGAAATTAAAACCAGACACCAGTTGTCAAAAATTCGAAGTGGCTCAAGTCGTTTAAATCAATTTACTCAAACTCGTCATTATGCAACTGCTAGTGAGAGTTAGCTCAGTGATGGACTCTAGACCGGATGACCCGATCCTCGTCTTGACTTGAAACTCGGCAGGCGGGGACTACTACCTAACACCCTTAGCTTGCAACCCCTCTCCAGCGTATTGGGACCCAATGCGAAAATTTCAGGGACATAAAATCCATATTTTCAACTTAGAATCTCTTGCATACCGTCAAGATTTCCAATAATTAAGGGTATTTCATGGTAACCAATTACATCACTGAAATTATCAGAGGAAAAATTATTACCTGTTTGACAATAAGTTGGCCACCCTTGGTATTACTTTTATTTGAAACCTGGAAATCTCGTTCCGAATAATCTTCACTTTCATTAACAGATAAAAATTCAACTTCAATGTCTCCAAAAGTTAACGTTCCATCATTCGGCCAATACTGCGCACATTTCGCCTGAAATACCCAGATAACATAGAATTAAAGCACGACTGAATTGATTTACAAAAACATCATGATACCTGAAAACTAGCTAAGCATAATCCATGGAAGAATATCGTATTTATGTTTTTGCATATCTGGAGGGAATACAAGCAGACTTTTAAAATGAAAGACAGGTTCCATTGGAAACTAGAATGAAAACAACTCTCCATTGTATTTAATATATCAACTTATCTTGTTTATTTTAATTGCTGACTTTTTTTTCACCATTATGCTCAGAGCAAGGAGTTCCCAGAGCAAGGAAGAGTAGTGATAGGAGAATTATAAACGAACACCGATGCACTTACTCGTTGACGGGAAACAATCTAACTCAACACTGCCTGGGAAACAGCTGAAATAAGGTTTTTGGAGAAGAAGATAAAAGGCAAGCTATAAATAAAAGGATCTATTACCTGGCCTCTTTCTACAAGCTCAGTTAACATAACTATAGAAGCAGATTTAGAATCCCATATCATTCTCCAGAAATCTTCCATTGTGTGAGGCAGAGGTCCTTGTGTTGCAATATACGCGTCTTTCTGTCGATATCCCTAAAATAATAGATACGAAAGTTATAAAAAGAATAAGTCATAAAAAAGTACAAAAAATTAAAATTATTAAAAAAATACTCACATCAATATAAGATGCATTTATGTAATCTGTATTTTCTTGACCTCGTTTTATCGGCAGCATAACTCTGTTCCAATCATCTATAACGAAAGAACAGCCATGATTTAAATGAGTTTTAATATTGCGATCTACTTCTAAATCTATATATTTTCTATTTTGAAAATGTTTCTAAAAACATTTTCGAATATAAAATATTTTCTAATTGATAGATCATATTTAACCCAATGATTTGAAAATGCAGAAAATTTGCAGAAGGATGAATAAACATTGTTTTTGTTAAAATATATACAAGGCCAAATATATTTATATTGTTTACTCACATGGCAGTATTAATAAAACTCTATTCTTTCTCATATTTGCAGGATGATTGCCAGCACGCATGTGTTCTTTTTGTATTCGGATTGATGTAAGTTTCTGAAATGCAAAACATTGGGTTAAGATGTATAACTAACTACATTGAATAATTGGAATAGATTAATTATAGACAAAGTTCAAAGAGAAAAAACTCTATGATGGATTTCAACATCATATTAACTACTCACTCGCCTAACAAAGAGAGAATTTTTTCTGACATGCGCAATGGCGCTCATCCTGGCACAGATGAATAGCGCTAAGACAGCATGGTGAATCATGGCCTTTCATCCAGTTACCAGTCCATGTCAAAAAAGGGAAAAGTTGACAAGTTATTCATTTCAGACGCATGGATGCGATGGTGGAGAAAACTGTGATAGACCAGAAGTTTTAAAAACTACCCTATTATGGCGAGGAGTCAAATCCTCTCGCACCTTATTAGGCCACGTAGTATTCAAACCAGCAAACTCACACAGAATAAACAGAGGTACGGATGGCAAGAGTTTTTCCAGTCTTTCCCAATTTCAATCGAATATAAATCACTACCTTGAATTCATGTTCCATTCCTGTAACATTTCCTGGTAATCTTTGCATCAGATCATCAATATGACCAGATACTTCTGTTGCTTCTACTTCTGTATCCCCATATAAATGATGTTCTAATACAGCTTGGTATATGAATATGTATTGTTGCTGAACACAAGAAAAATAATAATAAATAAGGTGGAATTTCTAAAATTAGTACCATTCTGACTATAGTAAAATATGGGAATTCCAAATCTATGTTTGAAGCAATAACAAAAAATGAATTTAAAAAATATAAGATCACGGGTACTAATTATATATTATATAAACATATAGCACATGCTAAGAAAACCATGAAAGTGCAGCATAATTTGAGAAAAAAAAAAATTTGAATTAAAACAACAAGCCTCAGGCCAACAAACCAAGAGAAAATATGGAAGTGATAGCTTCCTAGCCTAAGAGACACTTCTATTTTTAACCACAATTCTGAAAAATAATTACGGTAGTTCATAAAAGAAAAAGTATTGAACTGAAGCTGAACAATTGGAATATCATAAATCCTAAAATACTATAATTACAACATATCAACCAACCTCTGTCTGCACCATCTCAGGACGTTGCTGTCTCATTTGTGAACAGCACGCAAATACATCGATCTTATTCTCTCTAGATATCATGTCCATCATTGCATCAATGCAAATAAATGTACCAGTACGTCCAACACCAGCACTGAAATTATTATATTATAGATTGAAAGTTTTTAATAGTTTGTCGATCACACCAACTGGCTCAAAGCCAGTCGGTCATACATAGTAGAATATCAAAACCAAGGATGTCCAAATCGTTTCCAATATTCGAATTGATATGAAATTTGAAATTTTTGATTTTAGGAATAACTTTTGAACAGTTTGATTTGAAAAATTAGGTCTTATAGCCTAACCATAAATTCCTTAATCTATTTCTGCAAAGAGGATAACAAATCACTTTTTATCTTAAACTACCCTGTATTTCCAAATTCAAATTCATTTTATAAAAGACTGATTTCGACATGTTACACACAATACAGAATATGTTATTCTATTTTCAAAAAAATCATTCTAGAAAATCATTAGATTTTGGCAACCACTGCGGATACACTAATTCAGTAACCTTAATTTACTACCAACCTGCAATGAACGATGATTGGCCCATATCCCGTTGGACTGCTGTGCTTAATTTTACGCAGAAATTTTAAAATTCCAGAAGGTGATTTGGGTACCCCAAAATCTGGCCAACTTGTGAAATGATATTGTGTGATTGTACGTTTGATGCTCATGGTTGAATCACCTTGTGCCTTCAAAAAGATAGGAAACGCGACATTACAAAATGATATACATATACCCTATTAGGGTGATATACGTTTTGAAGGTCCATCACAGTATGTAGTAATTTGAATAGCCTGTAGCTAACTTGAAAAATTAGGTGATCACTTGCTTTCTTGTTAGGTAATTGCGACTAATCTATTAAAATGTAAAATTCTGCTAAATACAGGACATATTCAAATGCATAAAGTCAGAATTTTATTTGTTTTTGTTGTCATTAGAGTCGAAGTTAAATTTTTAAACTCCCAGAGTAAGGAATCGGAGTCGTATTTTCAGTTTGCTCGAAGTCAGAAGTGGGGATTTTAAGACTTTTATAGGAATATTCAAAATTAATATTTGGTTGGTGGTGAAAGAAAAGTCAGAAACAAAATTTCACCCTCAATTTGGAGTTGAAAACCAAAATTTTTGTCAAATATAATTCAAAGTGGAATGGCCTGGAGTTTGGAATTCACCCCGAATCCATAGCCCAAATCAAAGTACAAAAAATTGTTGAATACTTACTCTTTGTGCACTGAATGATCTTATAGTATAATCGACTAGATGATTTTCACCGAGATTTTCAACCATCAGATCACCATAGCTCTGTGGTTCTCCGCTTGGCCAATATTTCGCACATTTTGGCTGAAAAGATAAAAAAGAAATTGAATATCAAATAAAAATAACGCTGAGACTAGAAAATGGAGTATCAAAATAAATTGTATGACCACGTCATTTTAATTACTTAATCAATATACTCCTGAGCTTGTTTGAGCATAGTACAACTTTATCATCAGTGTCTCATCAATGAGTAAGATAAATCTTACTCAAATACAGTTCAGTATTATGAATGATTTCACCTGATGTTGCATGACAGAATGATATTATGACTAATAATAATCAAGAACAAACAGGTTGCAAACCACTAATCTAAAAATTCTAAAAGAGACGCTTACGCCTTTCGATCTGAACGAGGCTCTGTACAAGCAGCAACTGATACCCAACAATACGGACAGAGCCACTATTTTTTTGGAAGGACCAGAATCTTTTCCAGGTCGGCATTTCCAACCCAATTTAATACACTCTGGGTCATGTGGGGGTATCGGAACGCAGTTAGGGATAACGCTTCAACCGCTATACCAGGAAGCTGCAAGCTACGGCCAGAGCAATATAATCCGGTCCGCGACGCTTCACTGAATTATATCAACAAAACAGCTGTATTGACGATTATATTCTTTACATGATGGAATTTGTTTTGAGACACTAAATTATATTATAACCTATGTATATAATTCACAATCACTCGTTGAATGAGCCTTAATTGATTATAATTAGACAAATGGCAACAGAACGTAAAAAAGTTGATGCTTAGTGCAAATGGTTTAATAACGCAGAAAATATTCAAATGTTCAGTCTTCGCGCACTGCTTGAAATTTTTCCGAAATCTGTGTGAAACAATGTGATTCATTGGCCATTCCTTGGTTTTTTTCCAAAAATATGCGCGGCCTGTCAATGACTTGCGACCTTTAATTTTGGCCCGCGAACGACAAAAGTTTGTCGACCCCTGAGCAAGACCATCGCACTGCCCTTTATATGCACATGTCTCATATCCAAAACTTTTTTTTTCATATAAATTTCCAACACAATCACAAAAAGCAATGAGCTCATGCTTGAGTGTGTTATGTTACCAAATTTACCTCTTTTCTTTCTTCTGTGTTAGTTGCCATAATGACTGTCGATACATTTTGTTCCCAAACCATTCTCCAGAAATCAACGATAGTATTTTCTTTAGGACCTTGAGCGGCGATAAACTTGCCTTTGTGTTTGTATCCCTGTTAATAATTAATCGTTAATAAAGCATTGTGAAATAATAATATATTACAACCCATATTGACAGTATATAAATTTTATAAGACAAAATGGCAGCGAAAGAGGAAAATGTCCGGTTTCCATATGCCGAATTTAAATACAGATCGATATGCAAATCAGGTGCATTGTACTTGTAGAGAATATTATCTAGCCTAGGGTTTATTATTTTTTGGTCTGAATTTTTATAAATATTCAAATCAATCGCACATAGCTACTCTTGTTCAAATTCTTATTCAAATATGTCCAGTCAAGATCTTTCCTTCACATTCAATATTTTATAATTGCAAAAATCATATTCAAAAAATACCGTAAGTAAAATTCAATACAAAACAAAATTCATTAAAATTATACTGATATTTAAATTTTTGGAAGAGAATATTTTTTCAACTATGAAGATAGTTAAATTTCAACCCAAATTCTTGTATAGTATTACTAGTTGGCTCTGAACAGCCAAATAAAATTGAACACGAAACACGATTAGACTACTTGAAAATTCCAACGTGAAGACTTTTGCTATTACTTAGCTCACTAGAATAACCCTGATATACTTACATCAACAAACGATGCATTGATGTAATCAGAGTCTCCATCCATTCCTTGTTTTGGTAGAATAACTCGAGAATGGTCGTCTGAAATGTGAATAAAAGTGCAACTAAAATAACGTGAATGGATGGTTATGAATGATTATGTCTGATTATGATGATAAAAGATGTTGGCTTTTATAATTCTACATTGCTTTTTACAAGTTAGCATAAAGCAGACTTGTGAGTTGTTAAATAAGCATTTTACTACATATGACACATCTTAGTATCCAACTTAGAAATAACATATTTTTCAAACTAAATTATAAATTAAAATCACTAATTTTTCAAACTAAATTATCAAGATTGGATATTTGATGAAGCATAATGTTAATCATATATTATCAATGGCCAAAGATTAATGTCAAATATCTTGAAATAAGCCCACACTTCCTTTAGAATAGATAAACAAATTTGATAAAACTTACATGGTAATATATTGGTGTATCTATTTTTGTCTTTGTTTTTAGCTCGTCCACCGGCTTCTCGTGATCCCGTTCCATCAACGAGAGACTGCAAGATATAAACAATATCAAATATTAATACAAATGATAAAGTAACTTATGCAGAAATAGAAAAAACTGCCTGCAAAAAATTCTAGTGAATAATAAGTTAACATTCCTAAGAATAAACAACTTGCCAGCAGTTTGAAAGCTTTCAATAGCTCAAATACTAAAAAAAAATTGGAAAAATATGACTACTATAAAAATTTGAGATTAAAAAATCAATGATTCTTACACTTCATATCTCAAATAAGTAAACCCAATCTTGGCATGATTCGCAATATTTCTCTGTTATAAGTCAAAATAACTATAATTTGATCATGATGTTTTAAAAAATGTAATTGATAGTAGAAAAAAATGATATATCGTACATGATATTCTTCTCTGAACATTTTATCATCATCAGCATGACGACGATTATATTCCATTTCAAGACGATCCATTGAAATCGCTCCATATTTTTTAGTTCCTGTTGTGTTACCATTCGGAATAAGAGGGCCCATTTCATGATCATATCTGTTGTCCCTGGAAAAATTGCAATAAAAATATAAATCAAATATCTAATGAAATTATAATAGATACTTATAATCAAGTATGAGGTGGATAAAATGGGGAATATTACCATATAATCTGTAGTGAAATAAGAGAGAAATACCCTTCTTCCGTCGTCGAGTCGATGAGTTGCGGAAAAAAAATTTTCCCAAACAAAAACAAAAAGAATTTGGCAAAATGACTCATAAGTACATCTTGTGTCCAATAACAAGTACCAGTATATAGAATCAGAAAGTTTATTATCACAGACTATAACTAAGGTTTAGATACCTACATTTTAAAGGGAGCAGTTGGTCCGTTATTATACTTGGAAGTTTTCTTTGATCTTTTTCTCCAGAGGACAAGTGCGACTACTATCACAACTAGAAGAGCAACGACAGCTACAACGACAGCGACTATAATGATCGGGAAAGCGCCTTCTTGTTCACCAACGTTATTCTCACTGAATGTCACATCGTTTTTATCCGGTTTAGTACTGACAACATTTTCGTTTGGTGGAATTTCCATGGGAGCTGTATAAAAATTAGATAATTTTGAAAATATAAGAATTGATTACTAAACTTTGATATATTTTTAAAGGGAATTGACTCAAAGAGCACTCCCTCAGAGAAGTGAAGGAGACTCATCTTCGAGCAAGGTGATGGGAGACCACAAAAATATAAAGTCAAGTCAAGATTTTTTTTCCAACCAGTAAATAGAGAAAAAACCAAAATATGAAAACATGAAAATTACAGTTTTGTCGCGTGGAACCAAAGCTGGATATCGAGCAGCGACACTCAAGGTTACTAAAACTATAAAGATCTGTGGTGATGCAATACATGTAAGCAAATGTAACTATTGTGTCTTAGTGTTAGTTGATACAGGTATTTGTTTATAGGTTGCCCTATCATAAACATGTTTGATCATAAATTTGTATAATTCGATTTTTTATGAAGCAATGGTGTCAAAAAAGACGACATATGTTGTGTCTGTGTGGTTCTGAATTCCAAATGCGATACAATTAATTAATCCACTATAAAGTCAAGGATCATTAGATATGTTTTCAAACCGAAAAATAAATGGAATAAAACGGAACCAGGTTATAAAAGAGAGGAAAACTGAAATAATCCCGAACATCCCGAATGAAAAATTCTTCAGAGGAGCAAATTTTAAGCACTGGAAAACTCCGTCTTTTTTGACCCCAAAACAAAATAATCGGACAAAAATCAATTTATACAAACCATAATGAAACTGGACTGAAATTGATCAAAATGGGCATTAGAAATCACCAGAAAGAAACTATATAAATATTTGCTAACAGGACTTCATTAAATCTCATTCACATTGCTGCGCAAAATATATCAAATTTAAAGCAATTCCATTGTAAGTATTCAATTTTAAACTAAACCCTTACACACACCTGTATGCACATAATATAATTTAAAACAACATGCATCAACAGCCCATATTTTATCAAATCACATACCTGTCGTAAGAATTTTTGGCGTTACTGGTTTCGTCTTTCCTTCTTGATTAAATGGAGCCTTGGTAACAATTTTAAAAGGCGTGCTCATTTCTGGCTCAGGACTGGTCTCTTCTTCCATTGTCGTAGTCATGGTTGTAGTAGTAGTTGTAGATGTGGTCGTGGTAGGTTGAGTAGTTGGTTTGGTAGTTGTTGTTGTAGTAGATTTTGTAGTTGGTGGCAAAGTTGGCAATGTCTTATTAACTGGTTCTGAAAAAAAATGGGACAGTTTTAAGTTATGTTTATAATTCGAGTAAATATACAGTAGTTTTGTTCGATTAAAACCTTTAAATTTAAAATACCACAATCTTATTCCACATATTATAAGTTTTCCACAATTAGCATAATGTTTATATTAGGTTAAGTGCAATATAAATTTTATATTCCTTCATAAATATGTGATTTTGGCCCAAACAGCAACATTTTCTAAAATCTCATCACAATTTTCTCTCCAATATTGATTTCAAACTAATTTCATCTAACCGAAGTTCTTGATTCTTATTCTTTCTCCTCATTTGTACTACTTAATTCATTCTAAACCACTTGACTTTTTCATAAACTGAAATAAATCTCAGAGACAACTTTGTAATAGAGCGCAGTATGACTCCTTTATTTGAAATACACAAGCACAAAGGCCTAATGACATTGTATAGAATTTAGCTGTTCACTAATCCAACTACATTATAATAGGATTACAACCCACAACTCTCAAAACAACCATCATATGCAAGAGCATAAATATGCTACACAACACAACATCACACAAGAAGAAAGGTTCATTGACAGTGTAATAGTCTAATAACATACGAAGACTCTTTATTGACTTATTAAGCTTTAGGTTATGAACATTTAAATATTCAGAATTAACATACGATTTGATGAATATTATTTACTATTACGAAATCAATCTTGGTTTTATTCTGAAGCCATGTGTTGAAAATTGCACATTTTTTTCAATTCAAAAAGTTAGGAATTTTCTGACCATTTTACAATAATTTTCCCAGGATCAAAAGAGCATTTTAGTACCAATTTTCCATCCTGATAAATGACAACTTTGTAAATTAACATATGTTACTTCATTACACTCCTTATTGGTAATGTAATATTGAAATATATTTAAGCGTCTTTTAATATTTTACTAGCTATTCTAATTGCAGTTTGCTAAAATATCCGACATGCCATATTAGTCAAAAATTTGTTATTTTATTTTATTAAATTTACTTATTTTCAAAATGTGAGTTTTTAGTCCAACATTCCTGTAATATTTTAAACAATAACTATTTAAAATATTCATGAGCATTCCACAATTATTCTAATCAAAATCGCAAAATTTGATTTTTGTAATTAAAAACTCTCAACTCATGCTTCACCAATTCATCATATCATTTTTCTATTCCCCCATCATGAAACGAATGTTTCCCATCTCCATAACTGACAGATATCCTCTCATTAGTCCAGAGCATTGGATCATAGATTACATATTAAAATACATACGGCGAAACCAGGGTCGTTGGGAAAAGTGTATTTACTCAGTCTGTTTAATAAACTAGATAAACAATTCAAATGCTCGATTAGATTATGAAATAGAAAGTTTGTTTATGATTGGTAGCTTCAATTCCTTTCTCCACACATACTGAAAATCAATAGCTGTATGGCATAGGTGTACTAAATATGATTGGGACCAAAAATAATAGAATAATATATCCAAAAAATAAATTTCTTGTTTCTTGATTATATTAGTTTTATTGAAATATTTGTCCTGATAGACATTACTCGGTTGTGTATATTTGCTTCATTTGACCCTAAAACTGCCTTCACATTATTATATTTTCAAAGAAGAAATCTTATATACAAAAATGTCATTTTGCATAATGAACACATATTTGAATTGTCTTTGCCAAGCATGGAACTATTACAGTATACTATATCAATAGAACATAATTTCTAGTTAACATGTAACTATACAAAAATACTTTCCCAAATAGATAAATACTAACATTTCTATATATTTTTCTTCATAAATGCTCCCAACGAAACACTATGTCTTCCCTTCGTAACCATATAAATTCACAGTCAAACTTAAAACCACTGAGGCATAAAATCTGCTAAGCTTTACAAGTAAAATCTAAACTCCAAAACGTTTTTTATAATAATAATAGATACATATCCGGTATTAGTATCCTAAAACAAACCCTGTTTCCTGTCCCTCGATAATCCCTTAAATAATATCATAAAAAATTTACTTATAGCAATAATGACTACCATGTGTAGACAGTGGTATTGGCTGAGATAAAACACATCTAACCAATATTTCCAAACACAATTACTATCATAATTTCATTAGCGTTCATAGGAAATATTAGCGCTCACGGTCGGCCTACGCTTCGGAATTTCAATACGTCATTGTATGCCAACCCGCGAGGCTACAACCAGGTGTACGACAATTTTATCGCTTTATTTTACTGTCATCTCGTAAAATATATTAACGAAATTAAACGGTTGCTATCAGAAATTAACACAACTCACTCTCCCACTTGACGCCAAGCAGATCGCACGCGCTCTCATTTTCTAGACCAGCGAAGATAATATAACCCTTTCCTTGTGATACGTGTGAAGGTCACTATTTACGGGCGCGGAATGTTGTTAAACAGAACGCAGAAGGTTAAAAATATCACACGTAGGCATGGAGAAGTTCATACAGCAGCGGGGTAAAACCTACTCTAGGCGTTAGCGATTCGTCCCGCAGCGTCAGTCAAATCAAAATGATAAATCATTATCTCTGTGCCAAGTCATTCGAACGATGATCACGGTAAAGTAAAAGTCAACTAAAAGCCGAGGTTTACCATAAGACCAATCGCGCGGTGTACTTTCACCTGCGATCTTCAAACCGTCACTATCCCGAGGGAGAAAAGATACATTTTGTGGTAATCGATGAAATATCATGTAGCAACAATCATACGATGACATGCAGTCGGATTACATATCATAAATGTGACGTCATAATGATTAGCGAAAGTCGTATTGGACGATATTGTTATGCCACGATTTTACTCCGAAAAAGGCTCTGTCCGAACATTCACGTTTTGGCAACGAGCGCAAACTACTGAATTAATGAAATCATACATCGAAATCCATCGTCAGTGGTTGTTTAGCGTATCTTCATCGTTTAACTGCGAAATTAAATCATATACATATCTCATTCTATTTCTCGACAATCGCGCATATCGGCGAATCCTGTCATGTACTATTAAAGATTAGCTACATTTCTCCACATAATTACGACTTACTAACTACTCACTTTGATCTTAACCAAAATTACATCAGTAATCGTTTAATCCCACCTCGAAGTCGTCGAACTTTATGTCGACTGTTTCACGAACTATGATCACTTAATAAAGCATTAACAAGTAGCGCTTTTTATGAGCTTTATCTCTGAATAAGATTTTGAAGGGAGTGAGTGACTTTTCCGAAAACCGGAAGATTTGAATGTCAAATCGTCGGAACTGGATTAATAATTTAACATTCCTAGATGGGGTTGGACCAGAATAGCAGACGTTTTCCAAAACATTCCCAATGCATGAATGCAACAACAAAATAAAGAAACACTAACATATTACGGAATAAGAATAACATAATCTCATTTCACGAAATATTGTATGTATTTGTGATCTTTCGTTAGATCAAAATCGAACTTCTTCAGACAAAACAAGATATGGCCGCAAATAATAAAGATCAATAGTCATTGAAAAATATTATAATAAATTTCGGAAATATTATAGATGGGTGGGTTAGGTCCGTCTCTATTGCCCTGTCCAAAAGATTGATTTTGTGGGGTTCCGGGTTTTCCTTTTGTATATCTTCCATTGTTTGTTTTTGAACTTTTTTAGGACATGCCGTTTAGTACAATTACCGTTTAGTACCGTTAAGAACTTAAGCGCAAACTCTAATAGGAAGATACGACCAAGGTTCTTTGCTTTACGCTACTACACAAAATGCATGGAACGGCATTCAGTAAACTTCATTTTACATCAAATTATGTCAAACTGAATTCGGCTGACAATAACAGAATTATATTTCAAGCATATACCTATGTGGCGGCTTGACTTATTTTACATTATATGCGACTAACGATTTCACCACCAAAAAGCGCAGCGGGATAAGCTGCTGACAAAATACCGTAATATGCCGTAGTTACAATAAACGGACAATAAAAGAATATAATAATTTACATTTTGATTATCGGAACTTACCGAAAATATTTGTCGTCTCCGTGCCTGGAACAGTACTGACATAATCCCAGTATATTTCACCGCTCATTTTTGCTAATTTATATATGTGGATAACTATACAATTCGACCAAAATATATTGAAATATAAAAAAAATTTAAAACAGAGCAATGCTAACTTCAATAAAGAAACATTGAGAAACATTATCTTATACGAGGCGAACAAACGGGATCTGCTTTATCGCAGTTTTCGTCTGACAAACAAAATCTAAAAGTACTAGGAATGAAATTACTATCTGGAGTAATGTGGGATACCTATATTCTGGTAATTCTTTATCCCAGAAATCTTTTATACAATTAATTGCGATTTCGGATGATCAGCTAAGTGAGAAGTGAAAGCTAAGGCAAGGAAAAAATTATAATAATAGAACAATAATATTTTCGCTACTTTTTTACATAAAACATGATATCGTTCGCCGGGACAAATTTTACCAAAAACAAATATTTCGATTATATGTTCTCGAAAGAAAGCGTTTTAAAAAATCGTTAAATCGAAAGTTTCCAATCTTTTCAAAGTATATTATCTTCTTGCATATAAAGAGACAGCCTGCTGGAATAAAATGCGCGCGGAAATGTCGTATAGATATATTCCGAATCTGGTTTTAATTAATTGAATAAACTTTTTGCCCTTCTTACAAATTCCTTCGTCGAGCAAGAGGGCACACAAGTACCGATACTTTCACTCGTCCAGAAGAAATCGCTCTTCCACATTATTCAACTATCGTGTTTATTTTCCTCACCCCAGCATAAAAAAAACATCAATTTTCTACTCGAAACTGCTGACAAAATTGTCACCTCCGATATTTGCGCCAATATCACCATAAGCTCATCAAAATTTCGTCACATTTAATTTGTGAAATCGCCCGCCAAAAACTACAAAAGATTTGCGTCTCGTTTGAATGACCGTGCGAATTGAATTGTTTCGAACCAACAGCGAGTATTGTTTATACTTTTTCATTACGTCGTGGTCCTCTATATTCTTTGATTACCAATAATGAAAAGTTATCGACCGGCTTCATCCACCAGGGCCAAAAGTTATTATCAATTGTTTATAGAAGGCCGAGTATAGGCCAAAGATGGATCGTGCTATCGAGCTACGATCCGCATAAGCCCTTGCTCGGCAAAACATATACCAACCTAATATATTAGTAAGAAAAACGTAAAATTTGGTGTAATACCACAGTGATTACATTTTACAATTCATATTATATAAATACATTCCCACATCTTATTAAAACCAAATAGACAAGATTATTTTTGTAAATAAAGATAATTATCCCTGGTTCGTGCACATGGCAAATCAGCACAATTTCATTTACATTGAAATAAAGGTAATTTTACCTAGTTTTTCAACTGTGCACAAGTAAGATTGAGTTTCATTAAACAAAAGGTAATTGAGTCATTTAAGATTAACCCTCTTCATTGTAACATAAATAAGTGAATTTGGTCATGTTTACCTATGAAAAGTTCATAAAGAAAGGGTTAATAATGGATGGATTCAATTTGACATCTGATTAACTCTTGTCTTGATTTGTATTCTCAAAGGGCAATATTGCATAGCGAAGAGAAAGATGAGATCAGACATGTGTAATGAAGGTGTCAGTGAAAGACAACCGAATTACCATTACATCAATGACACGACACATTTCGAATATAAAATAAGAGTCATCAAAAATCAGAATTCCTGTGAAAAAACATATGTGACTGGATTGCAATGATTTTTTTTTTCTATTTACATATTTATCTTTAAGCCATCATATTTGAATTAAATATAAATTACATGCCTCCAAATGAAAACATATTCATATTTGAGTGCTGTATTGTTGTAAAAAATATACTCTTATTTTGTAACTTTACTGAATATATTAAATCATCTAAAGCAATGGTTTTCAATCTTTTTCTCTTGTTACTTATCGATTTTAATCGGTAAGTATGTTGATAGGTATCTGTCCGTCTGTTTGTTTGTCTGTTAGATGCACGCGATATCTCACGAAAGCGAGATTGAATCTGCTCCAGATTTTGCATGTGCATTCATCATATCTCGGACCAGAAGCCTATTGATTTTGGGCAAATTAAGTCGTATAATTAGCGAGTTATTAATTAATTAGTGATGGGACACAAGGTGTCACTATGGAGTAAGGGTGCTGTTTTGGGGGATCCTCTAACTTCCGATCGATAAGTCTTCGGTCTCTCACCGATATTCTCGTTTACTACTTGGCAAAATTTAGGTAAAAATTCCCCCCTTAACTGTGTATACTGTCTGTTCTAGTGTGCTGTAATAAACTAAGAAGCGATAGCATAATAAACGTCAATTGCGAAAATAATCTACTTTGCAATCTTGTATGCGGTCAATAGCCATACTTGGCCATGTACTTTCTTGCTTGATTGAGAACCTCTAATCTAGAGTATACCTCAGGCTGAACAAGGCACCACCCAAGCAGCCTTGGTACAACATAGTAGCATTCTTGGAAAAAATTGTTACCGGTTAAATATGGCTCAACTGTGAATGCCTAGCTGAGCTGGTGTTACCAATACAATCATACTAACCACAAGAAAACCGATTCCTTTATAATTGTTTGGTGTGGTTATTACTATACATAGTCGTGGAAACACTTCAGAAAGTCTTGAAAGTCTCCACAGAGGATAATAATAACAAATGAGTTTCATCAAAGTATTATTATTTATACTATGATGCTCTCATCTATCACAACATAAGATAACGGCAAACAAATTTATCATTTAGTGAAGTTTACTGAGATAACTCAGGGTGAACACCAGGGTGGTTAAGCATAGAAATATATAGGCTTCCAGCTACTGGTAAAATGCTAAAAATATAAAAGTAATAGGCTAGCTCTATATGAAACACTTTCATTTTCTTTTGAAATTAATCAATGCAGTAGTTTCTTTGTCAAAACAAGATTCAGGTGAACACTGTGTTTTTAATTACTGACATACTTTGTTGGTGACAACTTTGAGAATTCCTATAATTTTCTATGACAGAATCAATAAACGGCAATCAAGCTATACAAGGTGTCATAAAATCCCATTACAACTTCAATTTTCTTATGAAGGTAGTTCCTAATATATCTTAATAAGCAAGTTTGCTCAATTTTAATCTGTGTTAATGAGACAAAAGCCCACACATTAATACTGAATTTACCTGCCCTCAGATACCTAGTAATGCAAAATCATTGTACCTTTTGCAATTGTGCACTAAAGAAAGCTAACTATGTATATGACTAACAAAATGAATAAAATTATTTATAAAGTATATAAAGTACTAGTTTACAATAACCACTCACCACAAATTGGGAAACCAGCAGGATTCCACCTTCTGTTTTCCATGCATTTAACAGTGCTTGTGTCTGGTTTTCTCATATATCCATCATTACAAACAAACTTGCATTCTGAATCATACATGTTATTTTTGATACAAATTACTTGCCCGTTATCAATCGGTGGAATTTCTGGGCATTTTGTTTCTGAAATAAAATAATTAATTTGCTGTTGGTCATAACAATCATGTTGGAAAAAGTACGCCACAAGACTAGGATATGACAATGATGTGGGGCACCTAATAATAAAAGAGTCGGACTTTTGTGTTGTGGCATGTTGACATGGAAGGTTCAAATTCCATGCCTACCTCAACCAGGGTGTAATAAACAGGGTAGGCAACCAATGACAAACCGTAAAGATTCCAGTCACTGAGAAATAGGATAGGATGGGATAGAATTAACATATCTATCCTGAGGAGAGCTGATAAGACAGCTCAATCATATGGCGAACTATGAACTATCGTCCAGTTACCAGTTCATGTCGGGTATGGAATTAGTTAGACAGGTATTTGTTTTCGGAAGCATGGACCAGATGGTGGAGGAAGTCGTAACCAACCAGCAGTTACGAGAACCACCCTATGGCGGCGAGAAGTCCAGCAGTCCTCTCGGACATAATCATTCCCGCATGGGATTTGAACCTGCGAACCCAAGCAGGGTAATCAGTGCAATCGTATTCCTAACGCTTAGCACGATGCACCTCACCGTCAAAATATAGTACATCTTTATACAGATCTGTATAACAGTAGATTCATGTGCAGAGCATTGTTCAAAGTGAAAAGTGTGTAAGAACTAAGAATGTCATAAAAATGGAAAAAAAAATAAAAATTGGGTAGCCTACCGTATATAGAGAAAAGAAGTTTTAAGAGTCATATAATTATACATCACAACCTAACAGTAAAACGAATGACACTCAGTTAACTAAATGAAGCCATATACCATATTACTGAAAAAAAAATTGATAGGGCAAAAATTTCACAGGTAAACCTATTTTGCAATACAATATTTGAAAGTATTCGAAAATCAATACAAGCCAAATTAAGAGATAACTTTGCTCCCCATATCATGCAAACAGGTGACATTTGACACAATATCAATAAACAAAGCATTAATTATTATGTCAATTCCCATGAGATATTTTATTAAATAGTCCATGTACAATAGCAAACATCTGTTGACATAATGGTCTGCAGAGACTAGAAATATTTAAGTCACACAATGAGTATTATATAAACAAGAAAGAATTTTGCATGTATATGAAACGAATGTCTCATATTGGTACTGAAAAGGCCTTGGGTGAGCACAGATTTTGTTGAAAAAATCCGAGAGACAAACATAATTTTATGTGGTAAGGCAAAACAAGCAAAACAAGTTAACTTTGGGGTGAAATATTGGGACCCATAGCAATGAGAGAAAATTTCAAATAAAATATAGAACGATAGCATAGAATATTCAAATCATCTCTTGAATCAAAAATTTTATAACATGAATTTGATGTTATTTTAAAAGGAGTAGGACTTAATGGACACAAATCGATCACTTTGTTGAATTGTTGATGATTATTGTTGTTGGGCGTTTTTCTCCGCAACACATTGTCCAATAGATTTCAAATTTTTAGTACTTAAGAATGGAAAAAGTAGCTAGAAGTTTATTTTTTTTTTTTTTTTTTTTCAATTTTTCTTTGAGTGTTGTGATTATTCTTGGAACCTGATATTTGGCCCAATTTTTTTGATTTGTAACGACACTTTTTATGATTCATGAGACACTTTTTCTGCCATGAAGCCCATGATTGTCTGTGACCTACCTTCATGTGCATATATTTGAGAATTACTCTTATTCAGTTATACAAATATAACCCAAGATAATATTTCTCCCATACCTTTACATCTTGGTTTTTCACTGCTCCATGATCCTTTTTTTGTGCAAACAACTTTTTTCGATCCAATCAATTCATAGCCATGATTACAAGAAAATTTGCATGTCGATTTATAATCATTAGCTCGATCACACTCCTTGGATCCGTTAGGAATACCTTCATCATCCATTGGACAAGTGATTTCTAAACAAAAAATTTAGACCTGAATTAAAGACTGATAAATTAGAAAATTGCATTTTTTTTTCACTACAATCGGTAATAACCTATAACTAAAAATTTTACAAGTAGCCATGTTTTGATCAATGGAACCTAAATTAGGGCAGTTGAGTCAGGAAAAAAATAAAAAAATAAAAACGACTGCCTCCAACTCCAGCTTAAATATACAAGCCCCCTCCAACTGTCTGCTGAGAATGATTGGTTAATTGATTGCCTTTCGAGTTTCTATCATAGATTGAAATTTCAAACATCACCATTAGATGTCTGAAATTGTAATCTTGACTCAGAAGAAGTTTGATAATAAGACTCAGGCCCGGACTCCAGTCTCAATATAAAACATGCCACAGCAATGACTCAAAACACCTTTAAACCTGACATGAGCAAACTACGACCTGGTAATTCTGGTGATGCCACAACCAAACCAAAGCCAAATTTTGAAGGTTTAGCTAAAAATAGCTCAAGGAATTTGTTGAAATTGCGATCAAATTTAGTTTTGGCACGGGGTTTATTGTTTTCCACTATTGCTTTTGTAACAGGGGTTCATAAAATGTAACTTGGCCGCCAGTCTAAGTGGGCAAAAATTTTTGGCTCCTGGTCCAAAAACCTTACCCATCCCTGCCTTACAAAGGGAGAAATATATTGGAAAGAGGTAGGGAAAACTGATCTAAATCAATCAATCTGAAAACATACTTTTACACATTGGTTGGCTCTTCATCGTCCATCCAGTTGTTAGGCAAGTTGATACTTTATCGCCCTCTAGTGAAAATCCTTCTTCACATGAGAAATCACAATTTGAATTGTAATTGTTCACATCGGAGCAAATGACTTTTCCATTACTTGGGTTGCTGTAACTCGGAGAACAAGTGATTCCTGCAAAAAAAAAACTTATTATTTAGACTAAAAATTTCGACTGTATGCTGGTTTATTTTAAATATTTGGAAAATAGCCATGTCATGTCTGAGTGTCATGCTGGTCTGAGTAATCAATGAAGACCAGAAAGAACGAAAAGACATATAATCCAGTCAAAAACAGGTGTTCCATAGCCATTAAGATTTAGTTACCTCACAGTAGCCATAACTGATTAATTTATTATTCCGAATACATTGTTACCATGTATTCAAATACATTCTAATTTGTGTCCTGCAAAACGAATAAAGCAGTACAGTAAAAAAAGCAATGATTTGATGAGTTTTCTATTTTTTACAAATTTGAAAAATTCAATGAAAGGGCTTTTGATTATACTTTTAGACTTTAATTGCTCAAAATGATCAATTTTCAGGTGAAAATATCTATCCTGAGCTCTTCTTGAATTCGAAATTTTGAAATATTGAATATGACTACTTTCAATACTTTTTCAAATATTCAATATGTTTTGGACAACCATGTTCCATACCCTAATGCAGGGCTACTCAACTGGCGAACCGCGGTCCGAATCCGGACCTTTCGGGTATTCGATTCGGGCCGCGCATATTCTTTATTTTGGATCCTTAGCCCCACTTTTGAAGTTTCCTTTTATAAAATCACTTTTATAGATTTAAAAATATATATGAAAAGAACTATAACGCCATAACGAACAATCTTGATTAGCTAATAATCATTAGTCGGCCGAGGAATTGTGTGTTCAAGGATGCCGAAATATAATTTCTGGAAAGTCTGGACCAGAATATTTTTGAAGTTTTGTATGCGGTAGAAATAGTTGAGTAGCACTGCCCTAATGAATCATAATCACATTGCAGTTGTTTTGTCCAAGTACAGTAAGGATTACGAATTTATATAAGACTTTATTTTAACTCCAGTGGTAAACGCAACCATTACCAAAGTTCTTTTGATCAGACGATAGTTATGAATTTTTACAATTATCTACCAAAACATTTGCTCTGTATCCACAAACAATATGACACAAAACCCATGAAAATATGAAAATGCTTCTTGCTTACAGACTTATTCGGAACTTAAAAAAAAAGTAGTTGGATGATTACGCGAAAAAATAATCAATACTTACGTTCACAATATGGTGTCGGGTCACTCCATGTTGAATTATGATAGCATTGTATATTGGATGAACCAAGCAACTTATATCCGACTTCACATTTATATGTGCAACGAGATTTGTAGAAGTTTTTGTCAGTACATTTCACATTGCTGTGAGGTGGAGTGTCATCCATTGGACAGGATATTTCTGAAAAAAGATTTTATAATTGAATTTTTGTGTAAGAAGATTACCTATTCTATATTTCTGTGAATTAACCAAGTATAAAAAGGATTTGAGAATTGGCTCACATGAATGACAAGAAAAACTAAAAAAAATTTACAAGATGTAGCTTGCCCTATCGCCATGAAATAGTACAATTTTTGTTAGCAAAATTTATGAAAGTACAAAAACCAGGAAGAAAAGAAAGGCCAGGTTACATATATTCAACCAATTCATCAGGTAGATGTAGAGGTAATCAATAATATCACAAGGGTATGTTACGACTGAAATAGGTTTTCTTTGTATCACTTCAGAAATAACTTAAATAAACCAATATAGTGTTATGAAAAGTATTTGTTGGAGAATCGTCAGCGACTACAATTTTTGCAAAGATTAAATACAAGAGCTCAGATGATTGAAACTAAAACCTGATCACAAATTATTATTCATTCAAAACCGCAGAAGGTTCTGATTATATAGATGAATATTGAAAAATATGGAAAAGTATTAACTGAGTCACGAAAACAACATGCCATGGACCATAATACGCCAGTTAAACAAGGAATTCAGCTTACTCTCACAAACAGGGGATTCCTGGCTCCATGTTGTAGATTCGGTACATCTAGTTTGCTTTTCACCGACGAGTTTATAACCTTTTTCACAGTCGAATGTACATAAAGAATCATAGATGGTATCTTTTGTACAAGTAACGTTACCGTGATCTGGAACAGTTGGAAGACTCGGACATTTGCCAACTGAAAAATTTAAAACAACATGTGAATTATATTAACAAATTGTCTGCCAATATGAAATTGTCTGAGACTTCTCCTATTAGTTAGTAAATCTATGAGCATATAACGCAAGGTTGATTGAAATAGCAGGACTGCAAATATTGCTTGCTAGTTTGATCAAAGTCAGAGAAAGTTGTGGACATGATGGCCTGGCAGGTTAAGCGCTACACTTAAAAATCCTTGGCCCAAATACCATGGCTACCACCTCACCCAGGTTAGTAGAAATTCGATCCTTCGAAAGTATAGCAGCTTCACACCTTTACCATCGCAGTGCCTGCTTGTACAAAGCCTTGTTTGAGTGGAAGGAATATAATATATCAATTAAAAAGCGTATATATGTATACAGCAGTTCCAAGCCTGCTTGTATGAAGCCTTATTGAGAGTTTAATAATATAATATATCATATAAAGAACATTATATAAATTATTTTCAAATCATCCTTGCTTATACATATTATATGCAAAACATTCGGTAGCAAATTTAAAATTAATGACAGTAAAGTGAAGTGACCTGAAAGCAGAAAGAATGTCGCATTATTCAGACTGGGTGATTCCAATGCAAAAGCATCGTGTTTCGCAAAGTCGATGAATTATACATGGCGTTGAGCAGAAATGGTACAACGAAGGTGAAAGCAATATAAACAGTAGTCGACAGGCCTGATGGCCGAGTAGATAAAGTGTTTGATTAAGCTGTGTTGGCATCACAAGTTATACATTTTGAGTTAAAATCCCACGCCCACCACCAGACGGGGTAATAGATTGGGTAGGCTATGCTGAAGCGGAAAAAAGAGCCCGTTACATATTATCAGTGGATGCTTCTTCGAGGTCTTGTTAGGAGAGAAAGACGAAAACAAGCGTCGTATAAAAACAAAAGTTACATATTCTGCTCATGCCTCAAAAATCTTACTTTTGCAAATAGGAATCTCTGTAACACTCCATGTTTCATCTCTCTGACATTCGCTTGTTTTCGATCCGATGAGTTTATAACCAGGATTGCATGAAAAAGTACAAACAGGACGTCCACTCGTTTGGCAAGTGATTTGACCGTTAGAAGGTCTTGCGAGTGGCGGTGAGCAAGTTTGCCCTGTAAATAAATAAGAAAAAAATTTCAATGATGAAAATTAGCGAAAAATAGAGAAAAATTTGTTTGTCCTACTGATTAGTATTACTTGATACATTTCTTACTATATACAGAAAAAAGCTGAGTAATTGAAGTGCTGTTCTTCTAGATTGGAATCACAGGGTTAAAATCTAGGATTCAAATACTATGCCTAACACCCTGGTTATGATGAATTAGGCAGGCCATACCGGGTTAAAATAATTCCAGTTCATCCAAAGTATATTGGCTCCTAGCAGTCGTTGCTTGTAATGTATAAAGCCTTGTTTGGAGTAAAAGGTGCAAGAAAAATTGTCAAAAATAATTGCACAGTTTCTTAAGCTTGATATCATCACAACCTAAAAATATTATATAAGGAAAAATCTTACTACTACAGCTTGGTGCTTGAGCATCCCAACCAGTTTCAGTGCATTTCGCTTTTGTTGTGCCAAGAAGATTATATCCTTCTTTACATTGAAAAGTACATGTTGAATTATAGTTATTTGATTCAGTACATGCAATTAGCCCTCTATGTATGCTGATGCCTCTGCATTGAATAGCTGAAATAAAAGTAATCAACGTTCAAGGATATTACTTGTAACTATCTAGAAGCCATAGCATTGTATATCACTATTATCATGCAGTGGATCTGATATTAAGTAACTGTGTCAATAAGTGTTCAAAGTACATACAAGAGGTTTGATACCCTCAAAACCAGTTAAACTGCTAACTAGGTGACTAGCAGCTCTAAACTCAACATCACATATAGTAATCAAACTTGGAAGACAACCTAAACTTAAAATTAAGAGAAGGCAAGCAATTGCAAATTTATGCCAATAAAATCTTAGCTGAGGTTTTTACAGAAATATGATAGATTACATCCCCAAGATGTCAGACTGTGTCGATTACACAAATTTAAAAACAAAATTAGAATACAATTTGCACGTTAGTGAAACCAAGATATTTAGATTGTTATCAATATGTTACAAATATGCCAAAGGAAAATGAATAATAAAATAAAAAGTTTACACTTATTTGAACATTCTTACTTATGAAATATACTGGGATATTGCGTATTGAACTGCAGTTACTTCCTCCTTACTCACTTCCTATTTCAGATCCATGGTCAAAGCCACACGGATGCTTGAATGAGTCGGTATTAAAGGGATAAATAAGAATAACATAAGCTCTTTCCACGAAATAGCAAGTATACTCGTTATTGTTATACTTGCTACTTCTTGGAATTTATCTTAGTTGTCAAGTGAACTAAAAAACAATACAATATAGACAACATACGTTTACAAGTTGCAGGAGTACTTGACCACAGGCCGTTGAGTTGACAATTCACTGGGACAGGTTGTGTACCTGGCGGCATAGCATAGCCCGTGTCACATAACACAAGACATGCTGAATTGAAAAAGTTGTCCTGAGAGCAAAACACATTTCCATTACGAACCTCTGTCAACAGTGGACAGGTGACCCCTGAAATAACAAAATTATTATTACTAATGAAAAACAAATGATATTTTCAAAGTTCATAAGAGGTTATCAAGTTTAAATAAAACATCCTGGTAGGTTGGTGATGGCAGGCATAATGAAGACAAATCGATGACTTGTAGAAAAATACTAAAAAGATAATTTCACCAATTTTTTACCAGAATGAAGAAACTATTGAAACTTATGTGAGTTAAAACATATTGGAATACATTTTCAGATTATCATACTAAATTAACCCTATAAACATGTATTTTTCAGCATGAATAACAACCTAGATATTCAAGTAACCACCGACCTTTAGGACTATCTCCACAACCTAGCGCTTGGTTAACTCGACCTGAACTAGTCAAGACAAGAGGTCATAGTTCGCCATATTTATGATTGAGCAGTCTTATTAGTTTTCCTATCCCCTCGAAAATATAAAAATTCTCATCCTATCCTATGTCATAGCACTCAAAAATTGACATTCAGAAACTTACTTTCACAAACAGGTGTAGGATTGGACCATTCCCCTTCATTGATACATTGAGTTGAATCAGATCCTTTCAATTTGAAACCATGAGAACACAAAAACGAACATGTAGATCCATATAATTCATTGTTAGTACAGGTCACAGCACCATTCGCTGGATTGACTTGTCTATTGCAACTGATTTCTAAAGAGAGATTTATGGTTACAACATTGGCAGTTTGGGTCAGAATAGTAGTAGCAGGTTCAATTCTCTAGGAGTCAATATGAAATTAGAGTATTAATTAGAAGCGTGGGCTGAATGGCTAAGTACAGCCTTTTCATCCCTTGTAAGGAGGAAATTAAAAAATTTCAAAATAGAAAAAGCAAGGAATGTATTATAAAAAGGTTGAGAACCACTGGCTTATTGGATAGATTCCAGAAATAGCTCCATTTGTATCAGGCTTGCCAGAGCCTTGTTCGAAGAGAACTTCATAAAAATCATGCTTTAGAATCAACAAAGGGAAATACCCGGCAATATTAAAAGGTTCACTAGAATACTGTAGAATTAGCTTCAGACCATGTTATCTTATTTTGCCCTTACTAGAAATTCTACGATGTAAGCTGAATTTAAAACTCAAAAAAAAATTTTAAGGCCGTTTTTAGGGTGTTATATGCAAGATCAACTTATATGCGAGGATATATATATCAACTGCTATTTAAAAAAAAAATTACAAGAATATCACAAAATGAACCATATGTACACTCTGTGTTCAATAAACGTTTTGAAATACATAATGACAAAGCAAAGCGCCAGTTACTGTAGTTGTCAGGTACAATGTTTCATTCTTAGCCATGTCAATCAAATGCAATCCATGGGTGGTATTTTAACACATCCTATCAATTATCTTCGACCAATGTGTTTATGCCGACCTTATTAAATTCCTGACAATGATGTTGTGACGAATTTCCCAAGCCTCCCAATAATACCAAATCATAAACATCTGTCTGATATAAAATTTGTATATATAACATTGTTTGCGAGCGAAACCAGGGCACTGGAGAAAATTGCATATTAGTGGGAAACTGCCTGGTTTGTATATAATTGAAAATATTGATGAAAAATTTGCAATGAAATATCAGTACACACAAGTTAGGCTTAAGGATCGTTTTGCATAATTCTTGTGGTTGTTTGGGTGATTGCTGCTATTGGGAGAAAAAACGCATTTCACCACAACTAATAACCAAATCAATTCAAATTTTCAAAACTTCAAGATGAACGAAGTCTGTCAAATGCTACTACACATATTTTTTGCATGATCTTTATGTCTATAATATGGACTTTTGAACTTATATTAGGTGATTTAAAGTTGGAAGGACAAAGCTAGACAAGGTGATAAAAATACATTACTTGATGTTGGTATATATTTCTATTGACCAGGTAAACCATAACTGGTATTACATCACCTAGCATTACCAGTCTACTTGACACTCGCTTCACTTGCTTTTTGAGGACATTGTACGATTTTACCCAACAATCAGCCCATTGTGGTTATTTTAAGCACAACTTGAACTTAAGTGGCCAACAGAGGCACGAGAGATATAAAATATATTATCTCTCTATCAAGATTTTCTATTCTATGATATAGATAGCCTATATCAAAAACGTTATTTCATATTACCTTATAAAAATATAAGTTTTCATATAAATATATACCGGTACTATGCAAATGTTGCAATTATTGTAACTTTTTATAGTCTGTTACAAACAGATTTACAGAGATGTAGCCAAACGAAACCATTTTCATAAAAATTTGACAAGTATGTATATTTTACTAAAATATGCTGTGCAGCATGATTTTATTGCAGGATGAATTACTTTTGAATGAAAGAAAATACCAAACTATTGTTAAGGAATTAACAAGCTATGACCATGAACATATTTTTCAATAATTAGGTTGACTATAGCACATCCTCTGACAATCAAACAGTTTTTTCTTAATAAGCTTTCTACTTAGGAATATTGTTGCAAAGCATTCTGTAATCAACACTCTGATCACAAGTAGCCCTTCACTTACGAGTGCATTTTGGAACTCCAACATCCCATCCACTATCAGTACAAGTCAGAGATCCCTGGCCTTCAAGTTGAAATCCACGATCACAAGAAAACGAACATTTTGATCCATAAAAATTTCCATCATCACAGATCTTCTGACCATTTTCAGGGATCGCAGGAATATTACAAGTTTTCCCTGAAAAAAATAAATACAAATTACTGTTTCCAATTTATAGCACATTGAATTTTTTTGTATCAATAGCAAGGGAAAGGTATATTAGATCAATATTTTATTTGGTACTACATGAGACAATTTTGGGTGTGTAGCAAAATACTAATCTACTTGTAAAAAAAATTCGGTGCTCCCGAAGTATGCGAACCAAGATGGCGGATATCGGAACGTAACGTGGGTAACAGGTTAGGGTTAGGCGATAATTTTTTTCCAATTTTCCTTATTTTAGTCCTATTATCAGTTCGAAGACTAGCCAAGAGCCTCCCGTAGTATTTATACCTAAAATTATGGCCTAACCCTAACCTAGTACACATATTACATTCCGATGTCCGCCATCTTGGTTAGCATACTTCGGGAGCCCCAAAAATTCTTCTCTTCTGCCTATCTGATAAAATTAACGTTGAGAGTGGTGGGATCAAAGGGATTCGTGCAAACGTTAGATGGCGGCAGACGTTGAGCAGTTAGATGACTGCAGCAAATGGATTATGTGCACCACAGACCACAGCTGACGACTAGCGTTAAATTTGGCATTTTGAAAGTTATGTATTAGATTTATGTAAAGTAGGGCATGTTAATACAGCTTACAGAGTGCCTGCCATACATACATTCTCCAAAATAAGGCAACTTGTTGTTAGTGAGTTCGGTATAAAATAGAACCTGTTGATAAAATTTTGAAGCCACCACTGATGACTAATAGTATCAAACATTCAGATGCATTGAGATAGTTCACGTGCACAAAAACAAGTTCATGTTTCACATTGATTTTATGTATCGCTTGATCAAATGTACTTGGTGTAATTTAACATCAATAAAGCAAGTTAGTCTCTCGAATGTGTCACGGTTTGTATTAAAAAAAGTAGATGTATTTTGATTTGAGTTTGAAACATTTAAGAATCTTGGTATTAGATTGACAACATACTTTCGCAAGTTGGTGGTTCACTTCCCCATGTTTTATCAGCGGTACAAACAGAACTTGCACTTCCAACCATTGTATACCCTGTATCGCATGTAAATTTGCAAACAGATTGGAAATCTATTCCAGCTGAACATGACACTGCACTGTTCTCGTTGGCACCAATTGCAGGACATTGTATTTCTGAAGAAAAATAAAGCATATTGTTATATCTAAAACGTTTCATTACAAATGGACAATTCTATTCTGCAAAATACTGTGAATCTTCTTGATTCATTGGTAAAAGAAATAGGAAGAACTTCCTATATATTTGAATACAGGACACCACTGAATCTTTCTTTATCTTTATGTTAATTTGTTGTCGTTGGGAAAACCTTTTTATTATTAGACTAATCATTTCTGAAAATTTCTGTAATTAGATATGAAAAATCTATTTTTTAGATCTTGTATATCAGAATATTTTCAATAAGAACATCAAAGCACAAATAAAAAAATGAAGATTAATAGACTTTTTTCATCTCCAGCCAGTGAAATTTGAAATCTATTCGCCTAGTAATTACTAGGAAAAGCTTTTTTTTTACCAAAACGCCAACCATAAGAAAAACAACAATTTTGCAAGATGATCCTTAAATACACTTCACGTCTAACAACACTGTACACCAAATATATCCACTCACTTTCGCAAACAGGTCTCGTTTCATCCCATTCCTCATTCAGTTGACAGATTCTAATTGCAGGACCAAGAAGTTCAAATCCTTGCAGACAGGTGTAAGTACATTTTGATCCATAGAAAGCATTATTTGTACAATTGACTGTTCCATCTTGCAAACCTTCTTTTTCTAGATCTGGATCACAGATAATTTCTAAAAAATAAAAAGATTTTGATTTATTAATCAACAGTTGCATTCAGTGCAGATAAGATAACCAGTACTTGTCTCAATAAGATCATCAAAAACCTTGGACAGTAAATGAAAACATATGATGTCAATAGCTGGAGGCATAATTGTGTTTGTTTAATGTTTGTGGTGAAATTATGTTTCAAAAATACTAAATTAAAAATTGTATGACGTTATTGTAACATGAAAAATACTTTAGATGAATTAATATTCATAACTTGACATATTGGAAACAAATAATTTATTTCTTTGGATGCAATACTATAATTCAGGTATGTGATTTTTATTTCTTTGAGCTTGGGCAAAAAATAAATAGTATCGTGATCATGTTTAATCAAGTATGATATATGGCTAAATGTCCAATTACAATGTATTTCATATATAGGCCATGCTTAAAATTTCACTGCCATCTCAACTCTATTTTATGCATTGTGAATCAAATTGCAATTTTAAAAATCGTATCCGATAAAATCAAAATTGCATTTTTGTGGTTATCACACGAGCAAGTCGAATACAAAAGCATAAACCACATTTTCTATTAAATCCTTATCAAACTGTGTTCATGGCGCATGGATAATAACCGCTCTTTTGTCACAGGAAAAAACGACGGAAAATAGTGTTGATGCAAGGCTACGGGGAACAATGTTCTCATTTTCTTAGCTATCGTTATTTAGAGAAAGGCGTATCTATCGCCTAAGGCTTGTAATAAGTAACGACTGGAGCGGAAAATATGGTCTGCCTGAGCGAAGCTTACGCAAACAAACTGTGTTTAATTTGAGCGAAAAGCTATGTTAAATTGACACAGCCACATTACAATCTGAAAATTTTTGACCGGATTTTAGTTTTTTGTTTGACATTTTTAAGGTTAACAAAACAGTGTTCCCAATGTACTTTCAATATTGCAATATAGTCTCAAAATTCATTTGTATTTCACATGTCAATTTCATTGATATATTACTAACCCAAGCTTTGTTAAAGATTTGATCATAGGATACAACTATAAAAGAAAAAAAAAATGGGAAAAAAATACACTTATGGGAACACTCGGATTTAGTTATTTAGTGGGCAGTGTCCATTTCAAGATACAATTATTTTGTTTACATTATTGTCAAATATATTTGGAAATACTTGAAAAAAATTCCGATATTATACTGAACTTATTGCTTTAATCATAAAAGATAATATAAAACTTATTTCGATGGTGTTGTCCTTAAAAGGTAAAACAGCTTATTTATGTATGACCATGTTATTACCATTGGGTAAATATTTGTAAAAATGTGTTTTGTATACAATACTTCTGTGATTTACGGTATGGAAAACAAGTCGATTGTGAAATAGAAGAGAATCTTACATTATATTACTGTGTAGTATGTAAATCAAATCATAAACTAAGCTCTAATAATTATAATATTTAAAAAGAGTGATTCCAATTTTGAATGAATCAAAATGAGAAATTGGATATGTGCATGGAATACAACTTTATAAAAGTGAATATTGTATAATACAATACAATATTGCATATACAATATTCATTATCTTAATAAGAAATATTTATACAAAAAATACAATTATGTATAAAAAGTGGCACAAATTAAAAGTGGCAAAAATTTTAAAAAATACAACTTTCACTGTAATGTTATTTACATGTGTTGCTCAATAATAGGTTTGTTTGTCATTATCAAAATGAACTAATTATGACTCCAATATGAGGCACAACAATATTTATCATTATCGAATCGAATGGTCAATTTTTGTGAGAAACATTAGTGACACAAGGCTAATTAACAAAGTAATGTTTCTTAATTAATAAGATAATCATTTAGCAATCTTCATCATCTCAGATCTCATTTTTTTCTCATTTACTATTTCATATTAATATTGATTAATTAAGTTTGAAATGATGATTGCTAATACCAATTTCAAAAGACAGATATTGACTGATAAGATGGTTCCATAGGAGTCACTCTGACAAGTGACAATAATCTTGAATTGGTGAATCTTTCATATTTTCTCCACCTGGACGGTTAAGCCCATGTATCTACTATTCTTCTGGAATAAAATTTTCAAATGTGGAACATCAATTTGAAATATATTCTACATTAGGTCATGCTCAACATAGCAGCCAACATATGTAAGTCAATGTATATTCATTCAATATTCATTCCTTATATTCAATATTCATTCAATGATTTAGGAATATACAGAAGTTTTTTTATTATTGGTGCTCCGTCTCTTTACAGTTTACAAAAATTAAATCAAACAATTTTGTTCATATAGCGAGACTCAGATTCATCAAAATGACATTTATTGAATGAAACTACTTTAAATTATTCTTAATGAAATCAATAATTCAAAATAAAGAATAATATTAAATTTTGAATCAATTCGAATATTTAATATGCTTTAAAGAAATATGAGAAGTAACAAGAAAATTATTGGGTGAATATATATTAAAAGAAACTGGTACATAAAATTATGGAAAAACACCAACGAATATGATAAAACTATAAGATATGATGACACTGACAGATATTTAAATTCCAAACTTATGAACAAACTTGTGATTTCATCACTGGTTAACTTTTTACACCGCCCTGGCAGACAATGAGTCAACAATGAGCATATTGTCTCGAATAATGTCAATGTGTCTCGAAATAGCAAGGTAAAGTGTAGGGTTACATCATTGCAAATGCTGACAAGGAATTTTAAATATTACTGTAGTTGTCTAAAGGGCGTATCGAAAACAGAATGAATATTCTAATACCTTCAGGATTTATGTTAAAATATCTTCATTTAAAAATGTAATTCTACGCAGCTGACATTGAATGTCCAGAATCTAATCTATTCAGATTTAACAAATGTAGAATTATATATATACTATCTAATTTACAATTAAATATGAATAACAGAATATCTTTACACGAAATAGTAAGTTTATTCATGAGCTTTCGTTAGATTATAGTCTAACTTCTTCAGATAAAACAAGATATGGCTGCAAATGGTAAAGATCAATAGTCAGTAAAAATAAAATATTAAGAATTTACAGTTCTCAAGTTTTTTGTGACACATTTTGTAATCTATACAATATATAATGATTTCTGAAAAATTCTGTTGAAATTGTCCGCTTCAGAATGCAATATTTGGAATTAAAAATATTATTTTTAGAGTGCATACTGCGTAGAAAATAGTAAATCATAGTATTGGACATCCTTGTTGCCATGCCAAATTTTTTAACAATAGCGAAGCCTAAAAAGGGAAACATTTAATTTGATAAAACAGGCAATGTGTGCAATACAGATGCAGTAGAACAATATCAAAGACTTTTTCGAAAATATGCTTGACAACGACAAATATGAAATAGGTTTCAAAAACAAATAACACAAAAAAAATTTTCCTATCATCATATCATATGAAACTCGGGATATAAATCTTTATTACCTACCTACCGTATGTAACAAAGAACTTTTAATGTGAAACTATAAGCCAATAAGCGCAACAACATAAATTGTAAAAACTTTAGCAAACATTATAAAACATAATACAAAATATCTCAAACATGAGTTGTGACACTTATAATGTATTCCAGAATCATGACTCACAATGTAAAGAAAGTTTCAAAAGTACAAAAGAATTTTTATGGTTGTATACGATATGCCTTAGCGATTGTCCGAGAGGGTGAATGAAAGAGTTTCCCAATTCGATGCATTCAACAATGAAAGTTCAGTAACACAGGTTTATTTCACATATTATAAATTGTCAGCCCTAATATGGAATTTTGATATAAACGTTGGTATCTCAGAATTGGATGCAGATTTTGCTGAACTATAGGTCAATTTAGAATATTTTTACAGTAATTTAAGTGAAATATTGGATTAATATCATTGCATTTGGATGCCTAATTTGATCTTAAATACAAAAAGAGTTGTATTTTGTGAATTAGCATATTCGAAACTTTTTTAAACACTATGTTAGAAACAATGCTATGATAACAGAGGTATTTATCTATTTCCTCATTTGCATGCATCTAATAAATAAATTAATAACATTTACAATATCAGAATATTGTATTCGCAGTACTCATTCAAGTCCGATTTCTATCTAACACACATAGAGCAGTAAAATGGTCAATAAATAGAACTAAATTCCACTTTCACATCCCTTATTTTATGGGATTACATGATGCTAGGTTTCTAAATCCATCATTGTATCAGTCAATACCAGTAAAACATTAGTAATGAGAAAGACACTTGTAATTGATAGTCCCAGATGAATAACCAACCACAAAGCAATGGGAAATACAGGTTTTAAAGTAAAGCTGACAATAAATCAATGGTCTCTTTCAGCAGTAATTTGCCTTCATCTCAACGGATGAGTAAATTCAATCTAATGAATTCCACAAAGGAGGTTTTTTATACTAAAAGTAATAAATTCTGCATTTTGCTAAATTAGTTCAAAGCAGTTTACATTTGAATTTTGAAAGGAGGTGGTGTGAAATTTAAAAAAAAAACTTCAAACAAAACTAAGATCAAGTAGTTACTATTTCATTGCCATTCTCATTGCTAAATTACCAGTTAAAATAAGATTTAACACAAATTGGTCTTGGTATAAAACATACAGCTACTGCCATTTGAAGAATAGGAATTATTCTAGTTTGGCATCGCCTGTCCAATTTATTATAATCCAAGTTTACCATAGTTAAGATTTATTAGCAACATCATGAACCAAATTGATTGATAGGTATCCTGTAGCTTTCATATATTCTGCCACACATTATGATTTCATTGCATCAAAATCAGATTAGAATGGGTAAAACGAAGGCGTTCAACATACAATTAATATACTGATAGTTGATTATCCCATCAAAATATAACAACTAACAGCATGGGCATGGAACATAATGTTTCATCATATACAAGTAAATTTTACATTTTGTCTAACAACTTCATTTTAATAACTGGCTCGTGGGACCTACTTCCGATTGTGTTGACATTTGACCTCAATCAGAATCATATTTAGTGATAAACAATGAATATGTATAGTTTCTGGTGTCCAGACCTATGTACCACATGTTGGATTGTAATCAGATAGCAATTCCGACAATCCAATATTTCACAAATGTTATTCTAACCTCCTTACATGGAAGTATTTGAGACGAGAGTGTGTGTTTGATGATATGGTTCCCGCCCACTTTTCATAATAAGGCTGCCATACTGTGGCCCATTGTCCTTGTCCAACTGAGCTAACAAATTATTTCGATTGTATTTATAATAATTAATATCCAAGTATGTATCATAGATGTTTTGCTTCTAAACACTATGCTCCATTTATGACTCATACTCGATCTGGGATAAAATAAAACAAATATTTCTAGCAGGAGACGAAGTTTGTAGAATCAATTCATTGTGATGGCTTCACTCATTTATTACTAAGATGATAACAAAACTCAGTTTGGAAGTGTTTTAAAGTGAATAAATATCTTTGAAAATGTGATGTGTTTGGTAACTATATGAACTCAAAAATACTGTATTTTTGAAGATATCAATGGATTTAGAGAAAAATTATATAATAAAATAAAGTAGAATAGGGAATAGACCAATATTTGATAACTTTACGCCAGGGCAAAAATTTATTATGAATATATTTCTGGATTAAAATGAGTAAGTGAAAGTTACTATAGTATTAAAACATAGGTTTTACAAATGATAATACATTGATCGTTTTAAAAATTTTTAGTTCGTTGTAGCCTACCAAGTTGTATTATGATGATACGCTCAAGTTTATCTAAAAGGCAAACGTTGTGTAAATTCATTTGTGAGTACAAACAAAATTGAATAAGACTGAAAAAAAAGACATGCCAATGAATTTTAAACTCCAAATTTTCACAGTTATATCTGTATTACATCATGGCAAGGATGTGGTGTTGAAATAGTTCCTATGAACGTCATTAACAATACTTATTCACAACAGAGTATTCATGCAGAACATTTTCCACTTTCGTGAGAAACTCAGTTCAATGTCCGAACAATGAAAAAACGTGATTCCTATAACTAAAGATTGCCATTCACCATGAAATTTCATGACTTACGATAAAAATCCAAAAAATGCATGTTCTTTCCCATAAATCAAAAAGTATAATATTAACCTGTCTGAAGAGTAAAAATATTTTTTAGCGGGCTGTTGGTGTAGCAGTCCGGCAAAGCACGCTCCGTAGCGTACCCAAAAACTTAGGCAAAATATTATCATTCAGGCATGATCTGTACTTAATTCCTGAGTAATACTAACATATCGGTCTTAGCATGGATGAATGCATTCTACTTTTGCCCAAAAATACTAAAAATAACACCATGAAATGAATATAAAAAAGCAAATGGGAATGAAAAATTCTCAAGAGACTTTGGAAGGATGAAATTTCACACTGCAAAACTATTTAAAGTTTTGTAAAATATGTGACATATTATTAACTTACCGTACTAGACTTTGCATATAATAAGAATATGTGATAAAACGTTTCAGCTTGATATTGTTTGAAGAATAGTTACTAAGTCAATTTAAATTTGCCCGGTCACATTGCATAAAGCTCAAATCGTTACAAATAAATGAAAAATTGTCAAAAGTTCAACTTCCTACATAAATTTTTGTCAATTATTGACAGACCTTTGAGACAAAATTTGAAAACAATGATCTACCGGATTAAATTTAATCAAGTTTAGTGAAAAGGAACATTTACAATTTGTCAATTTTCAAAAACTTTGGGTTTAGGTTACGTTTAGTTCGCTGCAGGTGAGTGACGACAGGTGAGGGTGATCTAGTTTTCAAAGACCCCCTTGGGACCCATTTTTGTCCCCTTTAATTGTAAGAAAATCAAGCCGCAAACTCAAATCAAGCATGCAATTTATAAACTTTGGATCAAGCGCTTTGATGATTTTATTTTCACCAAGTTAACTCCAAGAATAATTTTTACTTAGACATGACAATTTATGCATGGGCCTTCCTCAATAGCACAATTAAAAGATTTAACCGGATGCATTCATTTGTTGACACAAGGCTAGAATAAATTCCACTTTGAGCCTCCTTTGTTTGAAGTGGGTAACTTATCAAGAGTGCGATAAATGAGGTGAATTTGGGTACCATTACGTGTGCCGCAGATTGAAATATAAATATTGCCACTAATCATTAGCAGAAGCTTTTCCAAATTCGAGAATAGAGCAGAACTACAAGCTTTGTGGCCTGTCAATGAGCTACCAAGATACTGTTTGTTTGTTTGTTGAGTGAACAACAAATAATTGTCAACACTATGGTGTAAAACAAGGCACATTTGAGTACAGGTGGGTAATGCTTATTAAACATAATGCATCTAAGATAAGGCTTAAATATATTGATATGTATGTACAAATGTAAAGTTTACTTCTTCATAAAAAATGTTTCAAAGTTGCCAGCTATTCGTATAGTAGCGTTTGGCAATCTAATACCACTCAATTTAATTTAAAATTATCCAAGGTGCACAATTTTAGATGACGCCATTGCACACTAAAAACAAATCTCATAGAACCCACAAAAATTTGCTCAAACGTACAGTAACTGATACAAAACTTTTGGAATGCGTAAGAATGAATTAAAATAATTACTATTGTTTCTTATGGTAAAAACATTCGGTAGTCGAATGTCAAATCGGTAGTCGAATGCCAATCCTGACGAAATACGTTCGACTACCAAGGTATCACTATAATTGCATTTAAAAACTTCACATATAGGTTATTGAATTATTTCCGTGTGAATTTGAATGTGTATGTGTACAAAACATATGTGGTCAAGTTCTAACACAGTTGAATTAGCACACCTAATATAATATTTTACTCCAGGTGTAATTATAGTTCTCCCATTTCTACTTTCCTTTATGGAGAGCATATGATGAATATGGGACTGACTGCGTCCTATATTTATTTTCCTACATGTCTGATTTCATTGAACTAATTCTATAGTAAAAACTCACTTTCACATTTTGGTGCATTATCGTTCCACTTGCTATTTTCCATGCACATGAGTTGCTGTTGACCTCTGAGAGCATACCCTGTGTCACATTTGAATATACACGAGGAATCCAAGCTGTTTTCATTTGAACAGGTTACCGTCCCATGTTCAACTTCAGTCATAGGCGGACCACAGAGAATTTCTAAACGAAAAGGGATGAATGAAAATACAATGTTCATTGCAAAGTTTAGGAAATATATTGACAGTTCCTGGATAAATTGACGACTAAAAACTTGGCCATGGCCACACATATTCTAGTGTCAAAATGTAGATATCTTCATAGAAAATAACTGAAAATTAACTACCAACAAAAATATTATTGTAAAAAAGTTAGAAACGTAAAATATTATATATAATTAATATATAAAATATTTGAATCTTAAACAAATGAAGTATATACGTTCACAAAAATTTTTCAAAATGTCAAATACGAATAGAAAAGTTATTCAGACAGATATAACATCATGTCATGAATTACGAAGACTATTGAACAAAGAATAATAATATCGTTTTATGGATCAACCCTATGCCAATAATTTGCATTCATGTGAATAGTATGTTGGCAATTATCCTTAATAAAAAGGTTTGGTCAAATGATTTTGTATACATATAATACAATGAACAGGTATGGGAAGGCTTAATTAAAGAGTTTTCTTATTTGATTTCAACAATATTACTCCGAAATTCAACAAATTTATATAATCGCAGTTGAACCTGATTGAAAGGATAGGCTACTAGGGTTAATCGTGATATATGCATATATTATTTATTATTTACAATTTTAGCTTCACAATTTCCTCAATTTCAATTATGCTAATAAAATTCAATACATAATCCTAATGATCTTCACATAATCAAATAATCTGATAAGTTCGTTTTATATAATTTGGCAACTCAATGCCATATGGTAATATACATAGGACAAGACATTCCAATGTGTCGCAATGTGAAATATTCATGTATTACAAGTATTTCAAGAGGGAAGTGTGCCAAGTAAACACTGCATCACTATGCAAATAAATGCATTGGGATTGCAAGATTCAGTAAATGTTGTGATGCAAATGAGAAAAAAAATTTAAAAATGAATATGCAGTCAAATATAATGTATTCATGTAACTTTAGCACCATGCCGATACATAATTATGGTTATAAAGTGTTCACCACGCCACACTAACAGTTTAAAACTACGCACTAAAGGTTGGGTGATTAATTATATCCCAATTACCACAAGCTCTCATTTCTAAAATTTATATTGATTTGAAGAATTTCGTCCATTTTTGTTTTCATATTTTAAAAAACTGTATTTTTTTAATTTTGAAAGCTTTTTGTAAGCAAAATTATTGATATAGGCCTATTAGGCTATCATTGTTTTGCATCACATTTAAAGAAAATTAATTAAAGAATTCTTTGCCTGGAGAGATTTGGTGCATTATGATTAGGAACATCCACACAAAAATAACAGACACAAACTCACTCAGTATAAAAAGTGCATCAATAAATTACAAAGATACATACTTTCACATTTTGGAGTTTCTGCAGTAAACAGGCCATCATCTGTGCACTCTGATGGATTTTCGATATCTTCTGATAACCTATACCCATAGTCACATGTGAAGGTGCATTCTGAGGAGACATATCGACCCAAAGTACATGTCATATCTCCATTTTCCATGGGTGAAAGAGCCAGGCATTGGAAATCTGAAAATGACAAAGACATTAAAAAAATCATCATAGAGTGAACTGATGGCGAACTAGGTAACAGAATTTTCATTCTGCGTTTCATATTAGCGACTCAATTTACATTAGATATAGTTGATGCATGTAAAGTAATTGAATTTTGAGTGTATCTTACTTTTAAGTATCTTATTAGGCCTACTAAATTTACTATAATAATATTGAATTATAATTTAGACTCCCCATAATTTAATCATAGTTTCATATTCTGAATAAAGATTCTTTCTTAATTTCATATTTTATTATGAGACTGTTCACCTATATTTCATTGACAAAGAAAGAACTGTATTCATAATTTCCTGTTGCTTTTTATAAGTAAAATTCCTGCATTGTGATGCCATACAACAAACTTATTATTGTCAGAATATGTAAAATAGTTTTCATGTGTAATCCTAAATTTAGGAACATTTGAATGACATTCATCAAAATAAGCATGCAGCAATAATATACAAATTCCTCACTTCTCATGTTTTTCATGCTTGTTGTTCCTTCCTTGACTCGAGATAGCCATTTGCTTTCTGTTCCACGAGAAGTATCGAGAACGGCGGTATTTCCTTGCCTTTTCATGTATTTGTATGTGCTGCCGTATTTTTGTAACAATGAAGAACGAGACAAATATTTCCATTTTTGAGTGTTCTCTTCCAGTTCACAATTTTCCAGGACAATGGTGTTGTTTTTAACAGCAAGACATTGTTGCGTCTTAATATTTTTGAGAGTATATTTTGCAACCCACACCCAGGATTGAGCAGAATCTGATAAATCACAACTGTCTACTATGGTGACAGATGATGTTAAACCTGCAGATGTAGATGGAATTGCTTTCAGGCATCCTCCACTGCTAATGGACGAATAGATTTGAAACTCTGGACCTGAAAACGTAAAATGAAGGCTTAGATTTCAATTTCTATGAACTGTTATGTATCTGAAATGTAAGGAAAAGGTTTACTCAATTTCATTAACATGCCTATGTTGTGATTTATCTGTGTGTCAGAAAAGTTCGTTGGGGCAGTCTATTAAAAGTAAGTAGGTTATAAATTGAACTTGTAAGAACTTGCGCGGGGCGCAGGTTGCACGCCCCTGGTGTAGAGATTCAAAATGTTATATTGTTCGTTTTTATCGTCCAAGCAAGAGGAGAAAACTAAAGCAAATCTACAAGTACCACAGTGTAAGAACTGTAGATATATCAAGTGTGGTGGTTGGAAATGGAAAGTTGTGAAGCGTATTGATCTATATCCATTATTTATGTGCATAACATCAAATCTATAGTTATCTGATGACAATACAATTGAACTAAATCAAAGAAACCAAAAGGGCAGTCTTATCTAGAAACATTAAACACAGGTGGCTCTACATATCAATGTATTCCCAATGGTAGATAGAGATAGGGACGATATCTTAAATCACAGTGGCTTCCTTTCCTGGTCAGAAAGATAATATTGTATGGCACAAATCGGCCTACCGTGTTTAGATATCGGGTTACGACGTATAACAAAAAGCGATCCCGCTAAATATAATAGGGGCGGAATGACATACACCGATCCTACATTACCGCGGTAAGACGCAGCACGCGACTGCGTGAAATTAAAATTAATGGAATCCTAACAGGATTTATTTCCTTTCTTATAATAGATTGATACGGTAGCTTAATGTAATCTTTACTGATTATGTTTGGACATGGATAAATCACACTTGGGACCCACAATTTCGCGTCACTCATCTAATTTGTCATTGACTTCGCCATCGAAAGGAGTAAAATGATTGAAAACTTCAATTTTAGGAAAATTGATTATAATATTGTTCTATACCCAAGCACAGCACCGATAACTAATACGAAATCGGCATTACACAACGAACATTTGCTAGTAATTTCACACTTTATTACATCTCATAAAAGCTACATCTAGTACATTTCTCTATCAAATTAAGAATAGTTTCTGGCAGTTTCTGATTTTACGACTTTTCCGATAATAGCCATGTAATTCGTAAGTATAGTTTCAATATGTTACAAACAGAAAACAACAGCTGAAACTTCGTTGTGGACATTAAACATAATGTCCATTCAGGTCGTAAAATAGTAATAAACATTCGACACTTTGTGAGATGCCAACAGCAAAGTGAATTATCTTTAGATGTAGTGTTTTAACTCCAATTTTTAGCCAAACTATTAATCTTGGAATATATTAACCGAACCGAACAAAACTATTTGAGTGGTTTGAATGGCTCACAAACTTATGACAGCTGTAATGAAAATTAGTCATGACATGACAAATAAAAGTTCGACGAGACAGATGTTATTACATAGTCGAAACAACGAGTTTTGGTTGTTGGAATTTCTTTCAAATTTCGTCGATTTGCATTAATTACGTCCAAGTCTACTTATACTTGACTGGAACAATTGAATGGGTACATTTCAAATTATAATTGTAAAACGGTGTCACGAAAGAACATAAAATATAGTTTTGGAACAACTTTCAAGAGAAATAATATGGCTTAACGGGAATTGAAGACTATTTTCTAATACATTGAGTTGAGTGTGTTTATAAAAGATTTAACAAGTACGTGGCGTAATTTCAAACACAAAGAAAAGTCCAGTTGGTCAACAAACATTGGAGTATGACGAAACAGAGCACCACTTGAGAAGGCGTGACCATAAGCGATTCCAAGACGCACAAACCATCGTGAACGAAGCGCTGTATAAATTTTTGATGCTTAAATTCTGACGTCAAACAGGGAGAAACGCCCTGATCGTGACCGTGGTATTGAATTTGAAACAATATAAAATTACACAAAAAAGGGAATATATGAACATGGAATTGATTTGACACTGCAATATCGTATCGTTGACACGTATAATGTAAATGGCTTCATTATACATTAAAATTAGGGCCGTCGTGTAAATCCTATTTTAAAGAAAAACAATTGGGCAATGTTATTTATTATGTTACTAGCAGTAGGTCTGGCTACTCAATTATTTAGATTTTAGATTATCCAAATAATGTATACTGGTATTTGGAAAGATGTAATTTCAGCAGACAGAAATCGGAAATATCTGTCGGAGCACCTCGTCGACGTACAACTATATTTGGCAAACGTGAAAACGAGCTTTTTGAAACGTCATTTTTTACATTGCAATTTCACTATCATTTGGTGTTCTTCTTCCTGATTTTCGACACCATTCGTGATAGTTCGTATCACTATATCAATAAGAGATAGTGAGTTAATAGCGCGTTGTCGGGAAAGTTAAAACCAAATTCGCGAAAATAATTAATTTGTGACTAGACAGTCGGTGTCCATTACAGTTTTTAGACATTACGATTTACCAATGCAAAATTTTCAAATAAATTGAAAATTTAAATTTAAAACTTGGATTCAACCTACCGTAAAATAAACTCCATTTGCAATTAAAAACAATTAAACAATGCCACGACAGATTGAGCATAAATCGAACATAAATGCCGAAATTATTTTTTTTATATAATATCATTTATATTAGTGAGGTCATAAAGATGAAATGTCTCTTTTAATACAAATAACGTATTTTAATGATTTACCATGTTTGGCATGTTGATAAAGTAAACATTAATTTTGACCAGAACGGCGGCGCCGGAAATCAAAGAACGGTGGAATTCGTTAAGAATGCGACAAGCATTATCACAACGTGACGGAAGCCTATTCAAACTGTTTTTCAAGTGGGAGCGCCGTCGCTTATCATGTACGATGTTCGGTAATCGCCGTATATCATGGTTTGTTGCCTCCACACAGGATTCACGGAAACTTGGCCATGTGGAACTAATATTCTACTAAATACGGTACAGTTTACGTAACGTTTGTGGTAGAATTAGAAGTGCTGTTGTCGAGCGTGGGCCAACTGTGGATCGGAGTTGGATATTGGAAATGTTTATTCATTGGCACATTGTATATATGACAAGTTATTATAACTGGACATATAATACACAGATAATTATAATTGCAAATATTCAGTAGAGATTTGTGAGGAAAATTTTTATAGCGTAGGAATAATTTGTAAAAAGATGCCCACTGCAAAATACAAGTTAAATTTACGAGTTTGGCATTCGTGTCATTGGCCTTATAGTGCAACGAATTAAGCTTTACTTTCTAAAAAAATGTAAAATTTCTTCATTTACTATTCGTTTATTCTTTTCAAAAGATGCCAATTAAAACAACATAAATGTTAATTTCCTATAAGTCTCCCATCTCAAGAGACTAGTATTAAACGAATAGATTACGGAACATTCCGAGCAAATGAATCATGTTCTACTAAAGAGGGATAATTATTAGACAAAAAGTAGCGGCTAACTTGAAGTACATCCGCATACTAGTGTATGGAGAAAATACGGCGATGAAGCAAGAAACTGCACATACCTCTTCAAAACAATATCGATATGGGTACAGCCATTTAAAACTTGTATTTCTTCAAAAAAGTAAACATGCAGCAATATGTGTGCATTGCCGATACCTAATTTAATATGGCCCATGTTCGCTGTGTAAAGAACGAATCCCTATGCAGCAATATGTGTGCACTGTCGATACCTAATTTAATATGGTCCACGTTCGATATGTATAGAAAGAATCCCTCTTTGATATAATTTTATTCGCTGTGAAATATTATAGCATTTGGCTGTACCGCGCAAATTAAGTGTCAGAATGTGTCAGAACTGGCAATATTTTCCATATTATTTACCTGGTAGTAGAGTAAAAAAAAATGTTCACATTTTTCTGAAAATTGATGGACTTGTGTCTGTTGAGTATTAATAATTACTAATATCGTATTAGTATTACTAATATCGGATGACATCGTTTCCATACCAACGGCTAACTGCAAGTATTAGTCGTTAGTCGTTACTTTATGTATTTCCGAACTGTTGTTTGACGGTACTATATGCCAATGCTAGGGGTCAATATGGCGCCACTATTCAAATGCAATACATGGTCGTACAAACAGGGAACTATGCGTATTCATGTCGTCACTCAATTAAAAATAGTGAAGCGCAAACCTGTCATTTCCATTACACCTACATAATTGCAGAGCGAACACGAAAGCAACGTTTAAAATCATATTTATTGATAACGCAATATGTAGCTTGACTAATTAATGGCACTTTTGGTTCTCTAATAAAAATCCCAAACAGATGATTATAAAAGCAAGCAGGTCCCAAGGGCAACAAAATAAATTGTTGGTCAGCAAGTCACACATGGTTTCGTTGACTGAGTAGCGAAAGCAGAATTACTAGATTGTCCATATCTGCGCTTCTATTTGGACATCGAAATATAGGAAGTCTCGGGAATAATCATCATGAAAGTCCATGCTTAATATACTTTTATTATTAGAACGAAATATCGCGATTCCTACATAATGTATTTGCGAAGTAACAAATAATGTCAGCCACGGCGGACAAGGGAAACTCACCACCTTGGTTATATTGGACATCCGCCAGCAACTAAATAACGGTCAAAAATCCCTATCATAATCCCATAAGACCATAAAATATGACATTTCTCCTATTGTAGGTAGCTTTGGCAAAGTCGATAAGCAACGTCATCCACACAATCAACGGTATTTATCGTCAGCTACAGACTGAATATTTCAATCTTGATTGACATATATCCTATCCGCGATTAGTACCCAATATGAAGTGCGCACAATAATATATTTTTTTTGTAACCCGGCATATTTCGTATTCTGCCAAGCCAAGTAACAATTGGACAATATTTTACAATCCGAAAAACACTTTTACAACAAATAATAACAAAACAGGCAGAAGTCTGTGATTACGACGGATTATTTTAAATACTAAAATGTTAAAACAAAAACAACTTTGTTTTTCAAACCGACAATTACTGTTGTAAAATAAAATGGGAACATTGTCTATTACGGCGCAACAATAGATCGGGCGTCAATTGTCTCCTATATCGATGATTCCATACTTGACCCTGGGCATTGGATAATAGGCAGAAAAATTTCGGCACTAGGACTTCGTATTTTAACAGTAAACAAAGATCTGGTTGATTTGAGGGCTTATGATTCAGAATCAAATGTGAGAAATGAGTCACATGTACATACACATTTGACCAAGCGACGTTTGTTGGCTAAATTAGTAATTCTACGTAGTATTATCACTACCCCGAGCTTGCCTTGAAAAAGTAATCCTCCAAATCCTTTAAAAAATATCGTGGGTGTATAATTTCATGTTCTTACGCCGAATGGTGAAAATATGTTTTCACGATACGATACTATAAAACCGAAATTATTTACGATCCTCATATATCATACCGGAAAAATAAACAGTACTGTAATTTAAATAAAATACGAGTCTTCCGTTACCTAAAGGAGCATTCAATTTGTCAATTTCACAATACAAAAGATAGTTATTCCGTTACCCGTAACTATCGCAGTATGATTAATTGGCGGCAAAACGTACCTGTTCGCGTATCCTTCAAGTTGAATAGTATTTTTTGAATAGAATTTTGAATAGCTTTGCTTGATTAAATCTGTTATACAGTGATATTATATTATATGTACACATTTAATGTAACTACAGAAATGACTTCGGACGTATACATCTATTCAGATTCTAAGAAATGGAATGTGTTTAGAATTGTTTGGAATTCCTTTAAATACTATCGCATGGCCTCCGAGATGAAACAAACTCCCAGTACTTGAATAACACAACAAACAAAGACTCAACCACTTCCTTATTAAGAAAAACAAATCCACAAGTTCTTATTGTTTTGTTGACGTCGGTTCGCGCTGTCGGTTACGCACCGTTGCAAGGGAGACGCATTCCAACAATCTTTAGTTGAAAATTAAAAGGAAAGCGAGCGCATCGCCGTTACGGGAAAGAGTGAAAATTTAATATGAATTATGTTTGATCTTCGCAAGACAAAACTAGTGATATTATTCACACCAAACGAGTTAGTAATTAAAAAAATATTTCGTTTTAATTTATCGTAAATGGCTCCATTTTGTAAGATTGAAATATCATGATTTTAATGCCAGAAAGCAATTTCCAAAAGTTTCGATTATCGTAGCCGCTAACATTATTAATTTCACATTTCCTTGGTCCCGTACAAACTCCAGAAAATATTTATTACCTAGATATAGTCGAGTACGATATTCCTAAACTATACATTCATTATAGCACCAAGAGAAAGAAATTATATATACTTAGGCAAAATGGAAAAATTATACGATTTATCTGTTCAATGAGTAGTGTATGTTTCATTGTGTGCAAAAAATCCCTGGCATGTGTCCAATAAGTGGATAATATAATGCTACAGAAGGGAAATATCCCCCGTGGGATATACACCAAGGAGTTGTGGGACGTCTTATTGTCGAGTAAATCCGCGATTGGCAGCAGCTGATCGCGCCAAATGTCCTCACTTCCGAGAGACGAGAAAGAGTATCACATAGCAGCTTTTAGAGATTTTATTTTAGTGGAAATCTCTTTGATATCCCATTAAAAGGTCGCAAATGTATCGCAACTCACGTAACTATGCAAGCATGGCGTGACTACAATTAGTACCACGAGCGATACTTAAATAAAATTCGACTTGTCGCGGAAATAACAACTGCATAACCTCTCCATCAATCAGATAATGTTATCAAAGTTTCTCTAAAGTTAACGTAAATCTTCCCCTGGTGGAAAAGATTCAATATTGATCGGATTGATACTGAAAGCTTATTGGCTAATGCTATAGCTTTGCAAGGTGTTAAGTTGATGACAGCACGAAAGGGATCGGCAAACGCCAGGTGCACATAAATAATGCATTATTATGCAAGATCTTAAAAGTTAAACGGGAAATTTCAATATGGTATGGTTTTCACGAAAATGGAGTTTCTAAAACTAATTGATTAATGATCTCGCCAATCGACGGAGAGACAGGTGATAGGGTTAGGGTAACAAAATTTGATAATGAAGTTAAACATTTGTGTAAGGAATGAAATTGATGTCACCGGCTCACCGCTCACTGGTCAGTCGATTCCGCTCATAAAATTTACAAGCCTCCTTAGTTGAAGCTATAACTCAAACATCAATATAAAATGTTTATAAATCAAATCCACAAAGTTCACAAGAGAAACAGATCTTCACCGGTGCAATAAAGTCAAACGATAATTTCCTGAATAATGCAATACATAATTAAAGTATGGCTTCCCAATTGCCAATCGTAGATTTAATAGCTTACCAAACAATTGGACAAATTAGAAGTCAGTTTTACAAACTTTATTTTCTATGTTTAATGATCGTTTTTAAACTACCTGAATTACCAATGTTACAAACAGAATTAGGAGTCCGCTCGAATACAAAAATGTTTGTAAGCGTGAGAAAGTGTAGGTAGTATCGTATCCATTTAAACTTCATTATATACAAAATTCCACAAGCAACGCAAACGAAACTAAAAAATATTTTCTTGACACACATTGACACCAAATAGGCCTTGTTATATGGATAAATAATATTTGATGAACGCTATGTCGAATTTCTTTGGATAGCATATTATCATAGAGATAGAAAGACATTTGATTATTATTACAATAATTATAAAATTTCACACATTTTTGACCGTAACTATGTGGGTAGTATTCCGGATACATTTTAATTGCGTCTAGACCTCGTGCAGACAATTCACAGCAGGGATAGCACGCTGGCTCAGCTCAGTCAACTTGCGTGAAAGCGCAAAGCTTTGTCTGGCAGTGAGAGGAATGTACCCAACCAGCACTTTCAAGCATGCCCAACAGCAAGCAAATTATGCGCAACAAAAATTTCAGCCAAACGATAGATTATCGGATCGGAGATTTTAACAAAATGTACCAGAAAAATCAGTATCATATCGATCTTTTTATATCACTGATGCACCATTAAAAATAACCATTTATCTACAATTATCGACCGGTATTGAAGAACGTGACAGCTCTGAAAGAAAATCTGGGTATCTGGGAAACCACACAATGTTATTAGGGTACTTAAATTATAAGATTAAATACGGTACACTAAAGTTACAAGGGCTGGCTTATGCCAGTATGTTCGAAGAAAAAACAAAACTTGTTCCAGTCAAATGGCCATGAACATCGGTTACACTTCATAGGTTATAGCTCTAAGCTCATTTTCAGATTTAACAATTCAAATTGGCCATTTCGCCTAAAATAAACTTGTTGTTAATCAGACTGGAACAAGGTCGATCACATGTGGTTTATGTATGGCCTGTTTTCTAATGGATTATCTGATATGAATATGAAATAAGTTTCATTTCCACCAACACATATGATCATTCAATAATTAGAAGTAATCATGGATAGCCAATTTTCCAAGCTTGGCAACAGCCAAAGAAGTTTTTATACAATTTACGCTGTAGCGTAAAATACGGAAGTTAATTTTTTCCTTATCTTCCTTCATAAGTTATTCAGAGACAGTTACATTATCAGCTGATCTACTATTCAAACACTAGAGAGCAATTATGCAAGCACTAAACAAATACCCTTATTATGCAATATCCTGCAATCGTATCCAGTCTCAGTGCCTACTACCTGTTTAATAACCCCAAAATCATGAACACATCCTAAAACGAACAGAACTTTTCCATAGGTAATAGAAATAAGAACAATCTAAATCATGAATCAAGGTTTTTAAGGACGTTTATAGTGATTTCAGGAATACCCACCAACACAAAAAGCCCAATAACAAACTCTCAATCCTCCTGCTTGACTTTTCAATGCTCTCAAGATTATTTCTTATCAATATGTATGATGAAGAAAACATACTATTTCATGTTTTATATGGCACAGAAACCGAAGATTGACAAAGCTTAGGGCTTTAATACTACAGCAAAGGCATTAAACTGGTTGTAATTGAACTGCCTAGATAATCTGGTAGTTAACTTTTTCCCAATCAAACCTCAAGAAATATTTAAGCACAGTTAAAGTTACTTAACAGTAAATTAATTAGTATTACACATAAATTATATACCGGTAGTTCTACGCTTTCACTCTGTCGCCAACTATGCCAGTAAGGATAAGAATTGCTAATATGGAAATATTCATCATCAGAAAGTAGAGTGATATACCGTAGTCAATAATTGAAAAGTCAGTAGTGGCATGCTTTGCCTTTGCATATGTTTACATTATAAGACTAAAAAAATGAATCAAATTACCTGTTGCCTCAGGAGGACAGTAGCAACATGCAACTCTCACTGCATAATCGTCACAGAGTAAAGAACATGATAGTCCTAAATTTACATTGCAAACTGTTGAAAATCCAATATTTTCAGATGTTGTTGCATAATTATAACACTGTATATCCACAGGTGATTTACAAAATTGATTTCCCTTTTTCCGTAAAGTTGTGTATGTCTCATCTTCTCCGTTTTCATCTGGGATTGAGCCATCCATCCACTTACTCCATGAGCATGTACATTGTTCACCCATACCTGATAATGGTTTAGTAAACAGGTTAAATAATTTTTACTCGGAAAGTGTGAAGTTACATATAGCATGACAATTCAAATACACCAGACCGCAAATGAATTAAGTTAAACCAAGATAAATTTTGAATATCTAAGCCCATTGTGAGATATAACAAATTTATAATACTAACTTTGGAAATGTAATACAACGGTAGAAATAGAAAATTTAGTATTTACCAATAGAATTGTTAAATCAGGTACTAAAATGAGTTCAATTAATAAGGTCCAAATAAAGTGCTATATTTATATGCCCAGAGTCATTTTAAAGATTGTATCAAATGAAACTTGAAAGAAAATAAAAAATTGGAGAACTGGACGTCTCTGATTATCTGTGGCAACCGAAATTCCACTCAAAAATTTTTATCAATACAGAGATAGCTAATATTATTCGTTATATACAAAAACCTTTAGAACTAATACTGTAAATATAATCTATTTACCCGGTGGCTTATCTATGGTGTCGTCGACTTTTCCAGTAACTTCTTTCGAGGTTATTGGTTGTAAGCATGTATATAAGCTTAATACAAGCAGGAGCAAACTTTTCATATTCTTCTTAAAATAGTTTTGTCTCGAGGATAGCATTTTATTATTATTTGTACAGTGATATTTCCATATAGAAAACATATTCCTGTGAAGTTTTTAACTCTCAGCCTTTATAGTTCCAACAGGTCTTATATTTGTTGAGTTTGGATTTAGACCATTTCTTTTATTTATGTATTCCCAGAAAATATAAAAATCCTAAAAATGTTATGCACTAAAATATTTCTGTTAATAAACAGAAAAATCAAATTTGATACAATATTATTTTATTATTATTAATAGATGTAAGGATGTAATCCTATCAAAATATGCTTTTTGAAGCTCAGTAAACTAACCACTTAAAATTCGCTGATACCTCTGCCCACTGGTAGAGCTCTATAAGTCAGGAAATCTTAAACCTTATCATAAACAAAAAAAATGGTTAAACTATTAATTCAGTATTGCTGTATTGAGTAATTATTGTAGTCCAGTGGTCTCAAAGCAAAACCACCGAATCTAAGCACCTAGTCAATTTTTCCATACTCCAAGCTGTTCTACTGTCTGCAGCCCTAGGGTTTTCAATCTAGACTACTTAATTATTATCAACTCAAGACAACAAGAGCAGAACTCCATAAAACTGTTCCTCATTCAGTCATTCCTGCGTACGGTATATACCCAATCTGCCAACAGACATAAATAAACCCTTTAGCATTGGAAGATACCTTTAAATGTAAGGAACTGGAATGGCTGTCATCAACATGGACTTTTTTAACAATTAGCTCCCATTAATAAATATGTTTGACGCTTGATCTTACGCGGACCTTTTCAGCTTTCTGGCTTTTGCTGATCACTTCTCTCCCCACCCGAATATCTATCCCCTCAAGTTTCTAGCAAAGATCAAAGTCGCGAAAGTGCGATTCTTATATTATACATAAATCATAATATACTTCATATTTCACATTATCCTTTTCTAAATACGGATAAATCGAACAAGAATGAAATCGGACATAAACCTCCTGCCAGCCGTTTATGAGAAATGAACATCGCATAACATCGCATAACAAACGACAATATCGCAAGTCTCTGTCGCCGATAGTGAAGAAGTGCACAGACCGCAGAAGAAAGCGATTTCGACGGCGTGATTCGCAGATTAGATTGTCAGTGTGAATCGTGATCCCTGCTGTAACAATACTTTATCTACGTTCAATAAGGACCCTCATTGTCTGCGTCCAACTTACGCAGAGAGAAAAATTTCATTTCAAAAAGCAACTTTAACAGAAACAAATACCTTATATTCAAATTTTAAATATATAATCCACAGTTCAGATGATGTTTTATAGGCCCGTTACTCGTTATATAATATGGTACAATTTGAAAGCACGGAAAATGATAAGGAAAGAAATTAGTCCGCAAGTAAGAATTATCGCCGATCGGTGATTATTATACGGGAATATGTTTCGGGTTTTGTATACCATTTGAATTTACTAAATCCCAAATTCAGACAATTCATTGCAACTGTATTTTTGAGAAGTAAATATGAAGGTCGACGCATTCTGCTGCGTGCTGAGATCACATTTGCTATATGTCCGGCAGAATCGGGCCTTAACATTGTTTTGGGACATAAAGTTTTTTTTATTGTTTAGATATAATGTATATGACATATATAATGATACCCAGGTGGGTGTGGAGTATATAATGTTGAGCAATTTTTTTTAAGTGGATTCAAAGTATTCGGTCCAAGATGACGCACATCCTGAACCCTAACCTGGTAAACATACAATGTTCAGGTCGTGCGCCATCTTGGTACGAATACTTCAGGAGCGCCTTTTTGTTAAAAACAATTATTTCATAACTACATGGTTTAGTTTCGCATACATAGTAACATTGAATCTCCTTACAATGTCAGAAATTCAATTTCAGTAGAATAAATGGTAGTTTATTTTACTAATACAAGTCAAGATCCATCGACAGCATCTAGCCACTTTCTATTGCGCTCTTCAAAATACATTGGCGTTGCCGCGCGCATTTCGTTTTCCTAGTTTAAGCTTAGGGAGTTGGGAAATATTTTATTAGTTGAATTGGATTGGAATATTTGACCTCGTCTTTAACTCCGAACCAGGGCATGTAAAACCATCCACTGGTATCTAAAGATGTGTAACGTGTTTTCTTTTGGAAGAACCGCAACCTTTCAGTGCTATATATATATATCCTTGTGGAGATAGAAGGTATGCGTATGCGAAACCGAAATGTGCATCTGTTATGCCAACATAGTTGAGTCAAACGTTTTGAATACTAATACATCTTTTGTGTATAATTTTATTCCATAGAATTTGTATGCTGTTCTAAAGAATACTAGTTTCAGCTTTTTCATTCATTCAAACCGCGTGTTGAAAGTAAGTTTTGTAATATTGCGTGTTGGTTTCCAACATCCTTAAATCAGTGATGCCAGTAAATCTTTAATACAAAAAGATCAGTGACATCTGCAATAAAAACAGCAGTACCCACTCAAATGACAGCTGGGGGATGGATACTCTTAGTATCTGCTCCATCGCGTGCCTCTTACAGTCTTACCAGTTTACATGAGTGCCAATTGATATCTAAGCTCAGCCAGAGACAAAAAGTTTCGGACTGCAGTTGGCGTGACGAAAAGTTTTTAAATATATATTCTACAATAAGATTATTTGATTGAATACTACTGAAAGTTCTGCCTTATATGTCTTTCCCCATTGCACTATTCCTTTACTGATGTTTGATAATATGACGCTCATCTGACATAGTTCTTAAAGTGTGTAGATGGGTATAATCTTTTCCACGCTGTTCAGATGGGAATGCGCGAATATATATAAGAATTGCTAATATTGGTTTGCAATGCGATGAAATCCCATCTTGGCATTTCTGTCTCTCGCAATTGCTGCGTAAACTTCTCGGGGAAGTTCTGTGGCGTGGTTATCAAATGAAAAATAAAACATGGGAGTATTTTTCCTACTTCTCTACTACTATTAAACCTTGACATTTTGTGAAAACTTTTTTCCATGCAACCTTTTTTTAAAACATCCTCAACAACCACAATTAATTCTGTTATTAAACTTCCGAAACAAACACATAAAATCATCAACAGATGCATATCACCAAGTAGATATTGCTGAATTGATCTTTATTTTACCATTTTTCATGTAATTCTTTTTGGTAAACCTGTTATCTATCGTAAATACAGCACATTTGACAATGTTGTAGTGTGACTATTTTGGCCTCACATTTTTGATATTTGTAGTTAGAGCTCTTGGGGCTCTGTCAAACAAAGTTACATACAAAATATTGGTTGTAAATTGCAGAACATGATCATGTTGTTGGAAGAACTTGGCATTTTACCACCCGTATATCATTCATTGAGAATATTAATAAAATCATAAAATTTAAAAATCGGTTTTCGTGAAATTTTTGTTGTAGCTGAATTCCAGGGACAGCATGACAACAGACAAGAGTAGCACGGTCGCCTCTTTCAGTTTATGACAGAGTTTCTCAAAAGGGGACCCCGTCCTCCTTGGAGGCCGCTGATCGGTTATCTGGGAGCACGAACCATTAGATGGAAATACGAATATATAATAACAATGTATTTTTATAGAAGAGAAGAAGCAAAAGTGTTGAGAGTCTTTGGTAGTTTGAAAAGCATTGGCATGGAACATAAGAATGAACTACATTCTTTCCCAGGGATATACTATAAAACGTAGCAATTTTCTCATTCTTGTTCTCGTGATATCATTATCTTTCACTGCGTCGTCGTGATCATCCCGCTGCATAACAATTCTCGCTAACAAATAATTAACTGTTCTCCACCGGGTGTATATCCACTTGGACCACTGGCGACTGCATTAGCAGGCTTGTATTGTTAATTGCAACAAAAACGGGTATTTTGAAATAGTAGGCTACTCTTTATTTTACGCGTATGTTTCGACAGTATTTCCATATACTGTATATGGGTCGCGACCCAAAGCTGGGCTCAACAAATACCTAAAAGTTATTGATTTTATTTTCTATAGGAAATTTGGTGCTTGCGTAGTTTGTGCACCAAGATTGCGCACAACCTGAACATAGTATTGTAACAGGTTATGGTTCAGGTTGTGCGTCATTATGATGCACATGTTTGACGGAAAACACTAATACAAATATCTCAATAAATACCTAAAAGTTATTGATTTTATTTTCTAGTAAATTTGGTGCTTGCGTATTTTGTGCACCAAGATTGCGCACAACCTGAACATAGTATTGTAACAGGTTATGGTTCAGGTTGTGCGTCATTATGATGCACATGTTTGACGGAAAACACTAATACAAATATCTCAATAAATACCTAAAAGTTATTGATTTCATTTTCTAGTAAATTTGGTGCTTGCGTATTTTGTGCACCAAGATTGCGCACAACCTGAACATAGGATTGTAACAGGTTATGGTTCAGGTTGTGCGTCATTATAATGCACAGGTTTGACGAAAAACACTAACACAAATATCAAGCCGTAAAAAAAATTGCTCAAGGCTGTAAACTCCACACCCATGTAGAAATGATGGGCAATGACCCCAAGATGAATAATCACAAATAAAAAAAACTTTATGTTTGAAATCAAACTTGGGCCGAAAAGGTCCCCTTATCTGCCGATCTAATAGCGCAACAGATCACACTGTGCGGCTTCGCAGGTTCGAATTACATTACAGGAGAGATGATTACCTGCCAAAGTATTGGTCCACGCGCATCCTGGTCGGCAGTGTTAACATTCACCATCAAAGCACACATGCGTACAGAGTGTCAGCTTTCGCACCAAGACGGAGTGCAAAATAAATTATCTGCATGCCATACTTGAAAATCAATAAAAGGAATCACGTAAAACTAAACTTGATTTTCAAACAGCCACAACGAAGGTTAGCTGGTTAACTTGGATGACTATATTTCAGAAAATCTAAATGTTGTTAGGACGAAAAACGGAATCCAGGTCAAAGGTACAATGATTTCCTCTATCTAACTCAGTGGTTCCCAACCTTTTATGGCCCGTGGCCCCTTTCCGGCGCCTTTTTGCACTCGTGTTCCCCCTGTTTGCCATTCCGAAAAAACTAAACATGTTGGATTGTATTATGTACCAGATACGGTAGGTTGTGGCAAATTCAACTAGGAGTGAAGAAGCTTTCTTGCTAAGTAGTGGGTAAAAATCAGATATGCCACTTCATAGCTGCACTCATTAGCTACGTAGGTTTTTCCTCCGACAGAAACCCGAACTTGGTCAATGTTGCTTTCTTGTCAAATCTAACTCGCTTGGCCAAGAAGCCAAGCCAAGAAACCGTCAACGTCTTTCACTTGGGGATGATTTTTGTCACGGTGGTTTTGGAATTTAGATGGACTTAATGATTCATTTATCATTACGAACGAGCAATGGAGGCATTGAACCGATTGAATTCTATGTCATCTCGATTTACTTTTGTAACACCAAAGCCAATGTAACTGTGGTCCCATTTTGGGCATTGGGAATTCACAAATGGGTTTTTGCGTCTATGATAAGATAGCAAAGGTTATCTCGCAGTCTAGTGAAACCGCCCTTTATGATGAATTGTATCGTGCCCCCCCTCCCCCCTGAACTGCTTCGTGTCCCCCTGGTTGGGAACCGCTGATCTAACTAGTTATATAGACGTCTCCACTTCGGCCAAATCCTTAGGAAATAGTTTGTGCATAGATCGGTCGCTTTCAACATCACCAGGAATCCCAGAAACCAATAGCGTTGGATGAACGACAAAATAGACTCCAGATTTATAACTTTTCCTGACAGAGACTATATGCGATAGTTAGTCAAACCAGCATTGATTACAGACCGCTCATCAGAACTTAACACATCCACACAACCTCCAGAATGATTCAGAAAAGAAACAACATGCATATACAAAAGTTGGGAACATTTATTACAGGCAATGAGAATGACACTTTTTAATACATTTACTCCTGGCAGTACATTTTTCAATTATATTAACCCACGGAAACATATTTAGATATGATTAATTTTCAAAGTAAACAAATATCAATCCTGCTTGCTAGAAATGAGCTTACAATCTGTGACTTCAGTGTATTACAACCAAATTTTTCAAAGAAACAGTGGCATAAGTTTATCAAAGAGTTTTCAACAACTCAGAAGGACCATATATGGTTTTAGTTTCAATTCCATTTTTAGTTGTAACCAAAACAATGGTATTCCATTCTACAAGTTTGAGATGTAATTTACATTCTTGATTGTGTGTGTGTGTACTATAACATACTTAAATAACTCTAGTCTATGATTGATCAACTGCATTCTGGGCAATGAAATCATGAGCCGTTAAACTGGCTTGTACAGGTAGAGCCAGTTAAACGCTCTTTACGTTGCACTTCCAATGCTTTCACTCTCTCCCATCTTTGATGACTTAAATTCTGTTGTCCAACACTTATACTCAGCAATCGAGCAAGAACCAACCAGGCATGTAAATCATCCGCAGTCACCCCATTTGGGTCTTGTCGTCTGGCCGACACAAAGTCATCTTGAATTGTCTGAAAAAAAACAAAAATGATATTTTATTGTCCAGAAGCAAAGCCAAAGTTCAAGTGTTTATTTGTGGAGGTGTATTCACACATTTACACTGAACAAGGCTCTGTAGAACCATCCACTACTATTTTTGGTGAAGACAGGGTCAATCAACATTGTTGCGTTATCCAACAATTTACTACATTACCGGGTGAGGTGGTGGGCTACAAAGATCTTTACCACGCAAGCTGATATAGTTACTTTTAATTTTCTAACTACTGTCCGCATTATGACACCGCCTATTTATTTAATTGGAGTTCACACACTCTGACAATATTATTTACTTCAAGTACTGATAAATGAAGACTATCAAATCTAGTTACTTTGCCCATTTTCTCTACTTCACACAGTTAACAAATTTTTCAAGCATGTTTAAAAGTCTTCAATATATGGTAAATTTCAGAATTTGTTTAACAAGTTACCTTTGTCATTTCTTGAGTCAATTCATAATCCATTAGTTTTATAAATGATATGAAGGATCTGCTTTTATTTAAAAATTCCATAGGACATTGAGAACAGAACGATGCAAAATATTCTTCTATATTTCCTGGGAATCCATCTTTCGGTTTCAACTCAATCTAAATGAAAAGTAAGCTTTAACTCTACGAATTTATTACAATTTCATTGGTAATGAGAAATCAATGATCTAATTTAATTTTTCTCATAGATATCTAATACAAATTGGTATTGTCAGTTGGAAAAGTTTAGCATGGAACTTGTGATGTCTTCATCCAACAGTACCCTGACTTTTTTAAGTCAGGACGCATTAACTTTCTGTAGTACAAATCATGGCCAAATGAAAAGAAAATTGGACTGTATTAACAATAAATTTGAACAAGATCAATATTTATAATATATGCACATTTAGGCAACAGGTTTTCTCCATGTAAATGACCTGAGGGGGCTGAATATTGGATATTACCAGTCGAACTGCTTTCTCAATATTTTTGACAGATATTTGAATTTTGATAGCCTTAGTCGTCAAGTTAGGATTTTAATAAGTTAAATGGTTTCATTTTGCAACAAAACATCATGAAAACCAAATTATACTACTTGAATTTATACACTTTCAACAAGTGGGTATGTATAAATTTTCCGAAAGTAGTACAGCATTAAAGCTTGACAAAATTTCCTAAACTACACAAAAATCTTTCTTTTATACCTGACAATCACATGGTAGCATAGATTTTCCCTCAGATAAGATCAAGACATTGATATCACAATCAAATGATGCTTCATGAAATTGAAAATTGTAATCCACTTTTTGAAAAGTCAATACATTCTTGAGAGCCTACAAGAAAATAGTTTTTGTCACAGTTATTTTATACACTCCCATGTCTTAGACTCCAAACAAGGCTCTACATAAGCAGGTACTCATGTGTAAGAAACTACTATTTTTCATCAGGACCAGAATATCTTGTTCTAAATTGCCTCCCTAAGTTATTACATCCCGAGTGAGGTGGCGCATGGTTTGAACCTGAGATATTTAACCTGTAATGCAAACAGGTAAATTATATTCTAACTCAAAGCCATCACCTAGAAGTTTTATTCAGCACAAGGATCTAAAAATGTGCGCAAACCCTATATACAGGGAGTCCTCGACTTACGACGTCGTTCCGTTCTTGAGAAGCGGTGTAACCCTGAATTTCAGTGTAAGTCGGAACATTATACTGTACAGCACATAAATTACTCTATACATATCGTACTGTATCAGAAACATTTTTACGCTTTGAGTCCATAAGAAGGGGGGAAAAAGTTAAAAAAAAAAACGATCAAACAAGTTACGAAAAAAACGGCTTAAACAACCAAAATGGCGTACACTCGTACAGTATCACTGAGACTGTGTACCATGTGACTGAAGCTTAGTGATTATTCATTCATAATCGTAATAGTTCGCAATTGTCAACGTAATTCACGATGTAAATGACGAAAACCAATGAGCCCAAAGCACTGATTTTCTTGATCACAATGATCCGGTTTATAGACTTATTATTACAGTATAGTATTATCTTTTATATTTTTATGAAGTGCGTTTGTAACCTCGAAACAGCGTAAGTCGCGACCATTGTAACCCGAGGACTTCCTGTACTTTGAATATTTCACAAATGTTTTACTTTATATAATAGCTACCTGCACATTTTTCACTCCATTTGCATCCATGGTACCGGGTTTCAACATGGTTTCATCCAATACAAGATGTGTACCAGTTGATAATTGAAGTATTCCAGAATCTAATCGATTTGTTGAATAATTTTTCGTTGGTATGAACTTCCCTTCATTCAATTTATCAATTGACATAGGTAAGTAATAAAGCTAAAAATACAATGTTATATAATTGGAATAAAATAGACCAAAATTTTTATCGAAATTTTCAATACAGGCGCGCAGCCAGGATTTTTAAAAGGGGGGGGTTTCAAAATCGGAAATTACTAATGCCGTCTGTAACAGTCACCGCGATCACGCGCTCCTTAATAGAGCCGCCTTTTCAGCTTCTGTCGCGTAAAATATTCAATTCATGACAACTACGAGATTCTAAATCTCGTTTTCCCCAACGCAACTCGTGGTCTCGACTTTCTACGTCAAAATAAAAACATTACTGCCGTGGACATAAAACAATGAGATAAGCTGCCTGATATATTTAATTTTGATTTTTGCAATTTTGTGACCTCGTTATCGCCGTTAGTAAAATCTCGATATCTGATATAAAATCACGTTTAGTACAATTTTACTTCATACAATGAAGATAGATATAAACTATACCAGTAAATCAAAAATACAAATTCACCGCCTCGAAATCCACGCCGAACAGTCGCCGCGATGAGCCGCGAATCCACTTGTTAAAAGAGCCAACTTTTCTAAGGAAAAATGATTTTTCTCTTGCGCAAGGTAACCAATCCATGGCGATAAGGGCATATTTAAAATGTCCTGCTTTATTAATTTAATTGTCTTCAATTTAACGTGCGGTTGCGCCGACAAAACAAGAGCCACTCTAAAACACCACGGAAATCCGCGGACATAAAAATGTGTGGTAAACTGCCCGTTTATATATTGTTTTGAACCGTATTTTTTCTATTTTGCGAATTCGACAAATTTGAGATGTGCTTGTAACATTGACTCCGTTCAATCGCAATGCTGCCACTCCGATTATTTTTATAGATAAAATCTTTCGAAAAATGCGTAAATCTGCTGTAAATTCTCATGGAGTAAAATTTATTTCAGTAGAATAAAAATTGATGGATATACTTCAGATTAATTATCTTATATATCATCACTAACGGGGAAAATCACGTTTTCAACCCTGTTAATGATAACACTAAAATTTTCGACGACAATTTTAAAGTAATGGATCCCACCCACAATTAGCCGTGTTTCGATTTTATTGGCCGTATGTTCTTAAACAGCGAGGAAACATAATGTGTGCCGTGGGCACACGAAATTTTGCGATTTTCAAAAGCGTTTTTAGATTAGAAAAGCGTTTTTAGACTGTCGCGGGACTCAACAAATCTTATAGCCTATTGTTTACGGTTTTGTTTCCAGTATTTTATATTGTCGATTTTCAGTCAAATTTAGATCGCGGGTTTACTCCTTCATTTGTCTTTAGAACCTCGCCGGTCGCCGCCGATGAACGTATAATAACTCTCACCGAATTCACAATTCCTTGCAAAGTACAAAAATCAAATAATCATCATGTTTATCGTGGCACAAATTTGTGATTTAGAGAGAATAAATACCGACGTAAAGGCGTTTACGGCCTAAATAACACACTGATGAAAACAATCGGCGATTTTAGCAAAAGGCAATTGCACGCTTTTTCAGTTTTCACAATTCCGTGCCAGTACAAAAATAAAAATAATTATAATTGTTCCCGTGGCACAAATTTGTGATTTAGAGAGAATAAATACCAACGAGAAGGCGTTTACGGCCCACATAACACGCCGCCTTGATGAAAACATACGGCGATTTTAGCAGAATTGCACGCGTTATCGGCGACTTTTTCTGTTTTCAAAAAAATTCAAAGGGGGGGGGGGGGGTTCGACCCCGAAAACCCCCCCCTGGCTGCGCCACTGTTTCAATATGATATGTTTTGATTGGTGTGCCAATGTGAAGCGTGTTCCTTTCAAGCACAATTAACTAATTATGATTATATCAAAATTGCAGTATATTGTTATATAATTTTCCATTAATATTACCAGTTTCCCAATAAATCAAAAAAACATTTTAAGTTATCACTATTAGATAGGCATTCCTTAACATAGAAAGTTTTACACATGCGCACAAGTCAGACAATTCGCTGATAAAAGCAAAGTTCGATAATTAATTTTCATTCCTTATTTCCATTTCAATATTGCCATCACATAAAACCACATATAAAAGAATGTTTAACACAGAAAGCAAGAGAATGTCAACTTTGCATAACTCGAATCAGTCAAACAACGGCCTCATGGTAGATCCATTGTGCAAAGCAGTATGACCACATTTGTCATGGTTCCACTGATCAGCCTGTGTGGGTTTATTGATTCGAATTCATTCTACCACGAACAAATAAAACTTTCTCACTATCAAGTAGGAAGATATGAAACAAAGCTTACCTTTGTCACTAAATCTTGTAAAAACTTGGACAAAATCCTAGGATATGTTGAATTTGGTGGAATACCAGAAATATTAAGTGAAAATTTACCTAAAGCAAGCATGTCTCGCCTGGAATACACCCTGAAATATGAAAAAAAATGTACTCATTCTAGGACGCAGTACAAATCTGAGGCAAAACTGATATTAGATTTAGCTGTCTCAAAATAAGACACCAGAAAGCAATGGCAAAATTTGAGAAAAAAATGAAAAGGTTATCATTCAACCAACCTTGAAATCAAGTGCAACAACAAATATTCAGCAGCAAGTGAATCACCCAACAAAGCTTTTTCAAGTAATCCCAAAAGACAACTACGAACGGTTGAGGCATCTTTCTGCATCTGAGATCCTGATAGAAGAATATATATGATGGTAAACATATTTAAAATTAGAATTTTTTCAAAAGAATCAGCTCATTCGCACTCACTCAAAAGTCAATAAGACTCAAGTAAAATTAGAATTTTTTCAAAAGAATCAGCTCATTCACACTCATCCAAAAGTCAAGAAGACTCATGTCTGAGCAAACTAAAAGTTACCAAGATTAGGACTTGAAACAATTTTACTTTCATCAATTCTATCCACGCTGTCAACTTTACTCAGTCAAGTTTTTTTTTCATATAGATGTAAGAAACGAATAGTATCAAACTCTATCATACTATGTTCTGGTGGAATTTCCATAGAAAGCTCATGCACACTCACTCAGAAGTAACGGAGACTCAGGTCTGAGCAAACCTAAAAAGCTAAGAGTTAACAAGATTAGGACTTAAAGCAATTTTAATTCATCAATTCTATCCACGTTGTCAACTTTACTCAGTCGAGTTTTTTTTCCAAATAGATGTGAGAAACAAATAGTATCATACTCTGTTCTGGGGGAATTTCCATAGGAAGAATAGGATTATCATGATTCAATCTCCTCATTGTTAAAGCATGTAGTCTTGGAACAATCGATGCTGGAGGATGATGGGCTTTCTTTTCTTCTGCATCTCCAACATCCATTTCACACATGCCTGGAATCGAACAAGGTGGTAAATATTAACAAAATTGTCAGAGACTTCAAAAATGAGCATGTACCTAAAGGTATAGAGCCTATTCAGTGTGACAGGCTCAGTAGAACAGAGGGGAATTAGAGCAGAGAAAGATTTTTTTCTCACTCATTTGATGACTTGATGCAGGCTATGACCTTGCATTTAGATACACATTCATTTTGTAAGATTGAGTGACAAAAGCATTTAGAATTAGGTGCTCCCGAAGTATGTGCACCAAAATGGCGCACAACCTGAACATAGTATGTGTACCAGGTTATGGTTATCAGGTTGTGCGCCATTTTGTTACACATACTTCTTGAGCGCCCAGAATTATGTGCAGTTATGAGTCTCTTTGTATAAATAGAGTTACCTAAATAATTCAAGCAATTATACATTAACAATTGTTCAAGGATCATTGCTGCATACTTGTGAATTTTTAAACATAGAAACTGTTCAAAATCAAATTTTCATCATCAGCAAGCTATAAGGTTTTCTAAGATTGAAATTGCTGGCTTGGTCTAACCCTAACTCAAGTTTTTAAATTGCTAACCCACGGGGTTCACATAAGCTTACCCGTGAGCTATGGTAACACTGAAGCTTACACATAATATGTCAATCTCATTCAATGAATGATAGTAAGAGTTATTCAATCACAAAAATCATACCATTTTCTTCATTCGTTTGTGCATCATAGATACTTGATAATTCAGGATCGACCGATAATACACCATAAAACTCTATGATTTCATTCACCTTTAAAAGAACAATACCAACATTCAGACTGTAAATTCAAATTGCTTTGACTGTAAGTGTAAACATTGCCAATGACAGGGGGTATCATTGTTTCTGTCAAAATGCCTGTTGGGAAAAGTTAAGAATAAAGCAAGGCAGTAAAATTCAACCGCTCTTATCAGGAATAATTCTGACTTTTATAAAGGCCTAGTAATACCTTTTACATTAATTTTTAAAATTCAATCTGATTTATTTACCTTAAAATCAGCTGATTCATCATAAACTTTTACGAGACAAACAGGACCGTTTTCATCAGGTAAAGGATGATTCTTGTTCAATGGTTCTGCAGCACTACTGCTTCTTCCTTAAAGTATAAATAAAGAATACATTCCATAAATATGGAATAATGTTTAATAAATTCACCGCCGATTCTTTATTTTTAAACAGAAAACACAAATCATAGTAGTGTTTTTATAGGAAAAAAGTAATTTTAATAATCTGTATTCTCAGTTAAAATGAAATAACGAGTAGCATCAATTAGATATTTCAGTTTTATTTACTTTTTTACTTTAACTGAAAAGTTTGACATCATTGAAAAGAGATCACCAGACTCACCACCATGAATAATTACAAAGCACCAAGCAGAAATGATTCTAATTGAAGCAGGAAAGAATACCTGAATTAGCAGAAGGCTTGACTCTCTTGTTGCTTCCAAAATCTCTATCACCTTGATCTTTATTGCCTTCTGAAATATCATCAAGATATATAATATTATATTTGTACATGACCATTATTTTGTGCTAAAGCTTTTGATTCATAAATGGGAAGACATGAGACTGATGTGGGTTTGATGACCTTTTCTATTGGTTAGAACACTTGGCCTATATTGGTGCCGCAATTCAAAATGCTCTAATTCAAATCTCATGCCCGCCATTTCACCTAGGATGTGGTAAATTGAGCGAGAAGAACCGGAAATATTAGAGATATTATAAAAATAGTACCGTAGTTACTTTTGTGTTAGGTGCTGTTTCTACAAAGCCCCGTTTCAGGTTGAAAATAAACAAAAGGCATTTTCCCCTTTTTATCATTTAGCCACAATCAGTTTATCAATTTCCTGAATAAGACAGCTTTAAGAGTATGCAATACTAAGTGTAGTGATTATAAAACCATTACATAATAAAAACTACATATGTTAAATTGAATCAAATCACAGGACCAAACAATTACATGTCAAAAACAGATTACCTTCAACAGTCATTGTGTCATCATCTTCATCACGGCTCCTTTTAATTGATTGTCCACTCGTACTTGGTTCTTCCTTGTTTGGTTTGGTTGAAGTGAACACTGACTTCCATGACTAGAAACAACAAATTTGTTGGGAATAGATAAAAATAGCATACAGAAAGGACGCTCCAGAAGTATGTGTACCAATATGGAGATAAACAATTTTGTTCGCCTACTTTACATCAAGTGTGCAAAGGGACGGAAGCCTATGGGCAAGGGGGTATACAAAGAGTCCCCGAACTCGTAATAGAACTAAAGGAAATTCGGAATAAAATTATGGCCTAACCCTAACCTGGTACACATACTACGGAGGTGACCCAAAAAAGTTTTGAAAGGTATTGTTGCATCCTGAGCAATATCTAAAATTTTGAACAATTTCCATCATCAGAGTATTTGATCAAATGTGGATATTGCAATTTGTAAATGTCAGTAATATGAAAGCAGATCCAATGTTAAAATTCACCTCTTTAACCCAATCTGTCTCTGCAGGTATAGATACACAATATAAAATTTGTCTCATTCCTGTCTTGTTTTTATCTGAAGACATATCAATGTCATAATCACCCTGCAAAAAATAAAAGGGAAAAACATCGGGTGATTGCAGGTCTAGCAAACATCAGTATCAATTATAAGAATCCACGCACATATCGTCACATAATATATATAATATACTAAATGACAAAAGTTTAGATGACAATATTGTCAATTATTATTAAAAGCTATCATATTAATAAAATCAATTTATGCCTCATCAATCAATTTTAAACACCTAAGAGTGTACAAAATTCATTTAGAAAACAACAGGACCAGACCCAGTCAATGAATTAACATTAGCACTGTACTATAAACTAGCCTACTACCAAAAGAGAGAAAAAAAACTTATTTGGAGAAACTGAACCTTCAATCTAATACCATATTGACATAATTTGATACTCACTGGTCCAATCAAGTCCTGGAAGCAACTGGTCTTCATCACCTAGACAAGCCAAACAAAACAATATCAATGAATCATAGAGTTGATGATTCAATGCAAAAAATTTTATTATCATGCAAACTTATATGTAAAAAATCAAAAAAATAAATTCAAGCTTATACTAGAGGTAAATAGATAACAATAGTTAGCTAATTTGCTACGGTTTCATACAAAAATATCTGGTAATATTCCAAATATCTCAATATTATCAACGATTAAGTAATGTTCAAGCTCTTATTTTTATTCGTCACTGGATTTGTACCTCTGAACCCAGTCTGGGTAATTAGTGGATACCAGTTATTATTACAACTTACTGTTTCACCCTTCACTTTATCTGTGATATTGTAGGTTTCGAGAAAAAACTCATTGTCGAATGTGTCTTGCACCATACATCTGAATCTAACGAGACAGTTAGGCTGAATTTCATGAATTGGTTTGTCATTGAGAGAAGGAACCTAGAACAGTAGAAAGAGAAGCGTGCTAAAATTATTCAGTACTGTGTTAAATTTTTGTATCTAAGTAGTTTAAAATGAAGGCTACTGCAATCACATATGGAATGATGGTATATAATATATCAAAAAAGTACAACAATATACTCTCTGATTCCAAATATATTGACCAAAATATCTGCTTTTCATACAGCGTAAATAAGACCAAGCGATCAAATGCTGAACTCTATTTCCAATTCATTAATCTGGAAGGTGTTGGGTGGGATCCAGGTAAGAACCATGGTTCGAATTTCAGAGATTTAGAAAATACTGATTCGGATTATGCAGTAGGCCTAATGAACAAAACAACCAACAAAAGCTTATATTACAGGTACCGGTATACTATTTGTCACATTTAAATGACTGCACAGACGGATAGATAAGCTATAACAATTACAGAATTATGAGTTAAACATGCTGGAAAATTAAACAAGTTTTCATATAAGACTACAACACTGCCATAACTCACCACTGATATATTTTCTTCATTACTCAAACGTGATTCAAAATATTTTGCAACTTCTGAGATCCAATCATCTTTACTGCGATTTTCTATAGATTTAAAACATCAGTAAACATTTGAGCGGCAGATATAACAGTGTTATGTAGATATTACAGTATTATTACTGTATTAGGGTATGTTATTCTTCAGATCTTGTTTGGTCTGTTGCTACCGTGTTTACCCGAAAATGGTACCTAGCCTGAATTTTCAATATGATATTAATATAAGCCCTCCCCTTAAAATAAGACCTAGTCGATAGCAAGAAATTTGTAATACATGTTTTGAATGAAATTTATTACGGTACCCTGGTACCGGTACGGCGGTACCGGTACGGCGGTAGCCAGTTATTTGTTTTCAGACGCATGCCAGCATGGACTTGATAGTGGAGAAAGCCCTAACCAACCAGCGGTTACAAGGACCAACCCTAAAAATTTCACATCACATTTCTGTTTGGCATTAATGAAGCAGTTTCAGCGGTAAATGCAAGTCACAATTTTGTTTGGTGCCATTTTATATAGTTACCGGTACCGTACGGCGTGTACCTACTTCGCTCAGTCGCTAGACCCAGTTACCAGGTTACGGTATCGTACTCCAGTACTCACCGAAAATATTTTGAACAATGCTTAACGGTTTCTTCTGCCAGTTCTCTATGCAAGGCATGATGTCGCAGGCTTCTTTAAGTTTACGGGTATGTCTTCGGCAAACACAGAATTAAGGGGAAGTCAGTAGGCTATTTCTGTACTCTGAGCGATGAACAATAATAACACGTGCCAAGTGGATACATATCAACAACCAAACGGATTATAAAAAAATATATACAGGGAACCTTTTACCGCGCGAAATATCAATGTTGCCATTTCCTTGAGTAATATTCATGTTCCGTTAGGATTCATTAATGAATTTATTATTATATTTGTTGTATTTTTATGCAGGCTCATTTGTAATTTCATTAGAAAAAAGTTATACCTGATAGTTTTATATAATCTCAAAAAAAAAATTGGAATGTGTGCGATAATTCAATAGTAACTATAGAACCTGGCAACAATAATCACATGCATATGCCATTAAACATTCTACTCGCAGATTCATCTTTCATTTTCCTGGTCGTCTCGCGATGATAAAATCAATGCAACAGCTAACTTGTCCAACAATAATGGTATCCACATCGATTTAATTTGCAAAGACTGATGAATCATCCATGTTAAATTTGAACTCATCCTAGTAGTCGACAACCTCTATTATAATTTCGGGTCCAAAATTAATGTGAAAAGATGGGACCGCTGCACCTGTTGGAATGGTGGTCGTTCGTGGAAATTCGATATTGATGTTGGAAGCATTGGGACGAATACGATGATTTTAAATTGAACTTATCGAGAACGACAAAAGGACCCGATATCCCAATCCATGATTTGTGCATAGACTGCTATGGAACATCAATCTATTTACCGAGCTTGTTTTTTAGTAACAATTTTTGTCACTGTGTTATTTCTGCAATGAAATCGAACTAGGCGCTCAGCATCACCATTTAACGTCAGCGAGTGTTTTTTATTCCATAGTTTTGTAGGAAAAGCACTGTTGTGTTACAAATACACGTCTCACATCCGTTTGTTGTTGTTTTGTTTCTATCAGAGTGACCAAATAAAATTAACTGATTGATGAATATGAAAACCTTGCTTCAACCTTTGATAACCTGTATATTCCCATAACTCATTCTCCTACCTCAGTACCACACTGCCCTATTTTATTTTTTAATTATAATTACATACACTGATTCACGATATGGGAAGAAATAAACTTGACTATGACTATATTTGATATAATATGGACCTGGTGAATTTGGCTTTGGTGAGTAAAGTGTAGCCCATCTCTTCATGCATCCAACTTAGCAATTTGGCTTTAGAAGACTCCAACTATAATCAGCTTGACGATATCTTTTCAGAATTTTTTTTCTACAATTTCACTCCTGTCAACTAAATCGGTATCCAGTTCGGCAATCCTTACAAAATTATTAATATATACGGTATATGGTAAGGCAAAAATTTTTTTTATTAATACATGTTTTTGTATATATATTTCTCTTTTTACCAAGTAATATATCTTGTGTCTTTTTTACTCTCGTCTGATATTATTTTGTCTGCATCATTGTATGTATGCGTGTCAAGAGTCTTGAGCAAACGCGTAGGCTAGCTACCACTTTTTTTGACAATACCTCAATAAAAAAAATGTACGTTTTAAACCTTACTCAAGGTTTTGTTCGCCCTTCTGATTCCGTAATCGATTGTTTTTATCAAATATTTATCTGTTTTCATCAATTATTGTATCGTCTTTCATCTGATTATGAAGTCAAAACAAACCTATACTCATAAACATGGATTCCATCGATCTGGAACCCAAAATAAGGACGACTGGAAAAATTCCTGCATTGTGAGCAGAAATAGCTTGCTTTCCTGGCCTTCAGGCTAATGTCACAATTACAGACGTCACAGTGTGCGAAGCACTCATCCTTCAAGCCTCGATTAACTTTGAATTTTTCCTGTACTCCTGTACTCACCAAAAACATTCTTACATTTGCTCATTTTGAAATTTAGGCTAAAATAACCACCCCCACCACGACAAAACGTAAGGATCGCCACACTAACAATGCTTCATGCCTATCTGTGCCTTGCTTTTTCGTGTTCCAAATAAGAATGTGTTGCTTTTATGATGCCACAATAAAGCTTTGGCGATAAAACACACAACACAAAGCTTCCTTTATGATGTCCAAATAAGACAAAATAAGGACAAGCAAGCCAAATATAAGGGCGCAAGCTAAAAATAAGGACGGTGTGGAATCCCTGCTTATAAATCAAGTCTGTCGGTCACTTCTATCGTAGAACTTATAATGGCATTGCTGGTTATGAATTCTATCACCATTTTACGACGATTACAATTTGTTCATTGTTTTAATATAGAAGAGTTTATATCATTCGCTGACACGTTAAAGCAGGGGTGGACAATTACTTTCCTGAGTGGGCCGGATGCGGATATTAGACTTGGTTACTGGGCCATAGGATTTTTCCTTATCCTCGAAAATGCGCAATTGCCCAATTGTTGGGGCATTCACGAAAAAAATTTGCGGGCCTAAAGTTTTTGAATGGCATAAATAATTCGGATGAATGATTTTGCACATTATATTCACGTGCTTTTAATGGACCTTTTCCAGACCCTAGACACCAAAAAATTCTCCCTATACTTTATTACTGCAAAAGTGTAGATGCTTATTTTTCAAGTGTTTTAAAGAGTTGACGCTTACAAACTGATTTACATGCTCAAACTCTCAAGTTTATCAAAATATACAACCACGTGCCGCTTATACGTACTAATCGTTTTAGCCGAGTCTATCGCAGTTTTCCGGATACTAATTTTTGATTATTGCAACTAAACTGAAGCTAACTGAAACACATGGTGACAATTAAAATACATAATTTACAACTAATTTTTGAAATCGCAACTAAAACCGACAAATACCACGCAAAACCTCAAAAACTAGGCAATGTTTACAACCATGTTTTTATATCTGTCTGAGCAACTGAAGTGTCTAAGCGGCTGCAAATATTTTAATTGTTACGTCATCGTAAATTTTTTGCTGCTTTGTCATTGTTACGGAAATAACCGAGGAAATCGATGGTCGGAGAAACATCCATGCGTAGAGAATTAAGGTATTTACTTTAGCTGACGATCCGATATCGATATTTTCAAAAGAATGTCAATTTATATCATCAATACCTTCAACGTAAATTTATATTCATACAAAACCATAGACCATAGTCATAATTTCAGCAGGCACAAGTGGGCCGGATGAAAACCCAGGTGGGTCGGATCCGGCCCGCGGGCCGTAATTTGCCCACCCATGCGTTAAATTATATACACATGTATAATTATTTGCGTATACTTTCAAACCAGAATAAATTCTAAATATCAGCTACTAGCATTTCAGTGACTCCTTGACCCGGGCCTCGGGTGCATGTTGCGAATTTTCGCGTTGTGTCATTTACGGCAGAATAACCCAAATATTTTCATTGATTTGATACTGATTTATGGATGACATACAATGGATGGACCTGAAAAAACTCAGAATTACTAGACAATGAAAACTGCAACATTGAGTAAGTCTCCCAAATCAAACGATGAAAATGTACGTTTAAAACTACAAAATATTTTACTACTACTTTTGATAAGCAGTGGCGGATTGCAACCCCTAAACGGCGAGTAAATTCAATTCACAGGCTGTCCGAGTTTGAGAAGCAGCACTCCCTAGTTTAAGGAGTCAAGTCCCGACTTGCAAAACGAGTCTCGAGTCATAAAAAATTCATAAACAACAGCGAAATGAATATTTATGAGTCACATTGACACTGTAAGTCTGAACTTTTTATTTCAAGAATCTAACTACTATTTAAGCTAGTAATCGAAAGTATTCACATCGGTATTATCACTGCCTATTTGTTGCTGTAACAATCTAACGAATTTCAATGACATCAATCGATGTAGAAAATCTTGCTTTTCCGGATTGGTATCTCCAATCCGGAAAAGCTAGCTCACTAGCAATTTTTTTCGAGTCTTAAGGAAAATCTCCCAGGTGCTTAGCCGAGTTCGAGACAAGCCATTACGTTCCCTTTACGAGGACATTGAAAACATGGCGCGAGTTTCCCCAAAACCAGTAGATAGTTGCTATCAGAGCTAATGAATACATACAAAAGAATTTTATTTCGCAAAACAACAAACTCCAACAAGCAAATATATGCAATACCGAACATAAAACTCACAGTTCGGATTAAATTATTTATGTTGGTCAGTTTACAAGGCCGGCGAAAGTCATCGAGGCTCCTGGCCCTCCAAGTTCAAATTATTTTGAACATTCAGTCGACACTATTTCGAGACACACGGAAGATTTAATACTGTTGAGATCATTTGATTGAAGTCGATCAGTTAAAGAAAATATGGAAGTCATTTCAGATCAAAATAAGATTGACACAAATTTAACACAAAAATTGCTACCACAAAAACTATTACGTATTGCTTAGAAGGACACGACAATTATGTACTTTGTGATAGACTAATTAAGAGCCAGGGTTCAGTCAATCGATTCAGTAGAATGGAAGTACGCCGACGATTAAAGCGTCTTGTCCAAATTGAAAAAAGCTGATAGAGGATTAAAACAAGATTACAAGAGATAATTCAATCTTAAATATACTTGAAGGAGAACCTTTTTCACCGAATAACAGATTTATATACATGTTACCCAAGTAATTGCATGTTATTATGAATAAAAAATATAGTTTTTCCATATCAAGCTTCCTCTGTCTGTTGATTCCTTTGCCAAGGTCCCCAGCTGTTGTTACTGAAAACCTTCACATTCGCATATTTGAAAAAGTAAGCCGTCAATGCAACAAGAACTGCCAGTGCCACCCATGGTAAACTCGTACTGTAAAATAGTATAGTTATGTTCAATTATAAATCAATCATTATCGCTTGATTTGTATTCAATGTCTTATTTGTAACCGGGGTCATATTTATTACGGTGCACAACTTTAAAGTGCGCCATAATATTTTTGATTAATTACCCCGACTAGAACGTTTAAAAACTGACTGATATGGGTAGAAGTATTTTTCACGCGTGGCTTATGTCATTGTATATAATATTCACAAAATACTTACTGAAAAATTCCACAATCAAGATCATCTTCCGCGCCACGTATTGTTTCATTTGTTGACATTGCTTCTTTGGATTTTTGTTTTTCAATTAGAAAGAATATTCAACGTATGAACGTGAAAGTTTCATGAAAGTTTTAACCAAAGAAAATATTACTGCGTACAAATAGAGGTAATAGTGTTGATCAATTAGTAAAAATATTCACGTTTATGCTCACAAATATGAATATCAATTTACCGCCAACAATAATGGCAATTTATAAACAAAAATTTGGGTTGGGAATGATTTGAAAAGTTGATTTTTTTTTGAACGGTGACGGTTTTTTTTTTGGTATAATTTTTGACAATGTAATCCAGCTTTTTATTACAGTGCATTCTTTATTGCTGTATTTGCTTCAAATACCTTGTGGTCCCGCGTCTACTGTTGTTATTAGCACGACACAGTTAATGCAGTCTCAGCTTGCTAAATGTTGCATATCACGCCTTTTCAACCAACATAGAACGGTTGAAACTATTGACAGTTTGTATATATATTATTTCTCCCGACTGACTTTGGTAACTTCTACAATTCTACATGTTTCGACAACTTCTGAAATTTTGCAACATCCCTGCAGGCTACAGTCGTATAGGCGACTCTGATTATTCTGCGGAGTTAATAAGCCGAATCATGGATTATATGCATATCTATCCAGTTATTGACAATTAACAAAAAGTCGATAAAATGGCATCGTCAGTATGTATTCTTATATTCGCGTTGACAGGCGTTGCCAAAAATTGATAGTAAGTTTTGTAAGTAAGTTATTCTAATTTACTGGTCCAATGAACAATATAAAGGAACGTTATGACAGGTCGGATAAGGGCATTAATGCAAAGTTGAATAATGTTGTTTGGAAACTGATGTACATGATTAGTTCATGATAGGGTTAGTCAGCATCAATTAATCTAGTAACACGCCATAAAATAGTCTATTATTAGACCCGAAAACGATTATTTCTCGCCACTCTGACTGATGAACGAAATAACCCGGTATATCATGTTGCTCATGAATTGTTGGATTACTGCTCTGATCCTTGAGTCTATGGCAATTAGTACTTAGCCCATCATACACTAAAATTCGATACATAGAAGTTTATATTGTCCATGTATTTTTTTTATTAATAAAAACATCACTTTTTATTGTTTATGTATTTTTGCGGCGCGTGAGAACAGCTGGGCCAAATTACATTACCAAATACGGTAATATGTTTTAGGTAGTATTTGATAACATTTATATTGCGCATACGTACTTAATCATCCTTGCTTCGTATTACAGTACTGCATGAGAAATATGCGACCAAAAATTGTAGGCCAACCATCTCCACGGAAATTTAAACAATGGATTTCCCTCCACTTGCATTTTGCACTAGCTTCTGAGATAAAAAGAAGCGCTATGAACAAGATAAATTGCAAACTACTCAGAATGAAAAATTGTGCCGAGCACGTTTGACATCATGTAAAAACAAGGTTTAGTTAATTTCCCATTTACGGTATTTTGATTTGGAGCAGACTTGTACGAATGCATGTAACATATATCGATTTAAACATTAAAAAGGTGTGGTGAAATGCTATATATACATTTAAGGACGGACGCTTTTAACAGTAACGTACTGTTAAAATCCGCCAGTCGTTAAGCCTTTAAATAGCAGTTCACTCTAACTTCAATGCTGTTAAAAAGCTTCATTTGTTAATTGTTTAAATAGAATTTTGACGTAACTTTAATACTTGCATATTCATAATATTTTAATCAAGAACTTTGAACGACGAGAACGTAGAAGTAGCATGAATCTTTTGTTGGTCATCACATATATATCATACAGACTTGATTTGAATGAAAATTAGCTATCGTTTGGATGGTAAAGCTCATTATCAGCGCTTTTTCTTCCAAGCGTAAACATAAAAATGCTACCTTATCTAATTTTTTTTTTTTTTTTTCAGAAAAATTCATTTCCCTTTTTATTCACCACGTAACAAAAACATGAATGTCGGGTTGGAAACAACAGGAACTTATGCTATTCATTTTCGACTTTATATATTTATGCGAAATATATAGGCCTGCATTATTTCAAAGAAAAAAGAAAAACATAGCTGTGTATATTGTCACTATATTATACAAATCATTGTATAGGGTAACCAGGAAGCATTGCTCGAATATGATGATCGGTGTAATGACTGACCGAAGAACCGATAGCACAGCTGCGCGACTGAAAACATGTTCATTCAAAAGTCACTCAATTAACATCGGAACCGACTGGACCAGTAAGGCTAAGCAGTTTATAAGATAAGTTATTATTCTATCCCAGGAAAAGGTTAAGTGACAAAACGGTTCAATCATATGGAAGACTACGAACTTTCGTATCAGTATTTATTCACGATTTAATCGCATGGCGTCGCAAGACCTATGGCCCAGTTACCAGTTCATGTCAGGTATGCTATTAGTTAGCCAGTTACTTTATTTGCTGGTGGAGGAAGACGTAACCGACCAGCGGTCACGCAAACCACCCTATGGCGGAAAGGTTTAGCACAAATCAAGATGCATCCCGTGGATTTTTTTTTTGGTTAAATATCGAGTCTCATGGAACTCAGAGCAATGAGGTCAGGAGGTGTATACTGTATACGTCAATGTTCAGAGCCCTGTTATTTTTGAATGAATGAACGAGGCGCGCCCGACCTTACTTCCGTATGCCACCCTGCGACAGCGAGAAGTAAAAATGTACTATTGTACTTGAAACTATTTTTGCGTGGTTAAATCGTGCTGGCGATTGAAATTGAAGTCGAAATTTCCAAAAGAAAAAATTATGTCTCATGTTTCAAATCTCATTTTAATTTTTGACAACCTTCCTGGATTTCCGTCATGTGTTTGTCTTGGCTAAGTTATTGTTATATTTTTGTACCATAGTGGGGTTCAATAATCTTTAAATTGTCAATAAATCTTATTTTAGTGAATCAGTGTGTTAAACAGATGCCTCGATTCGCACAACGTGGTATGGTTATATAAGTCCTATGTATGACCAAGGCTACTCTAGCCCACAATTTGCCATCCCACAATTTCGCGGTGGTCATAGGCTTATTCGTGCATATATTTACAGCGATTAGGGGATTTTTAGCAGGGCATACCTAATGAATTCAGACATGGGACTAATAACATAATCTTTTACATCAAAACCAATCTCGTTAATCAAATCTGCAGCATTGTGAAGTTGCAACATCGAATTGAATTGTTACGAACAACAGATAGTGAAATACACTTGAATCCATGATGCAGCTATGCGATGAAACCAAATTCCATGGGCCCTTCTCAAAACTTTCATCATTTTTTGAAATGCAATTTCGCGTCATTTGCATTGAGACATAAATTCTTACGACTTTTTCAATGCCGTTTTGCTATATTCTTGAACGATTTACTGAAAACCGGACGTTTCCCGGCTTGCTATCAATAATGCGTTCTTCAAATGAACCAACCGAGATAGATGAAATGCGCGCTACATAGCTTGAATAATTTCGAATGCGCAGTAAGTCTGTAGAGAGATCCTTTAAGATATCAACAGCCGTTTTTATCTAGTCTTTTTCCGAGCAAATAGAACGGGTAAGCGTCTTATTACGCCATAATATAAAAGAAAAATTTGGAAAAATATATTCTTTTGCACAAAATTTATGAAGTAATATTTCATTCTATTAATTGCAAGGCGGAACTGTAGCAAAGTCAGACCAAACAAGAAATACGGAAAGTTTGCAGCGAATGCTAAACTTTGATATACTCGTGAACTTATAATTAACGAGAATATCGGTCAGAGACGGAAGACTTATCGATCGAAAGTTAGGGGATCCCCAAAACAGAAACTGCGGTTTCGATTCGAAAAATTCTGCAAACCCGAACTGGATTGTTTTGATTAGTTTTCAGCCAATATCAGAAATGTAGGAAACAATAGCCAACTCCCCGGTTGCGACGGCTATTCAAACACAGCCTAGCGATATTTTGGTGAGGAATTCTGCAACCCCGAACCTGATTTAGGAATATGGACATTGCTTAAACTTTAAGGAGTATATATAAGTAACGAGATACGATCTCGCGGCGTGTATCCTTCGCTCTGACTCAATAGTGTGGAAAATATTTCGAAGGAAACTTGCGCATCGCGACGACGTCGAAGTTACAAGAGAGATATGGACAAGGCTCAAAGATTAATCACGAGATACGATCTAGCGGTGTGTATCCTTCGCTCTGACTCACTAGCGTGAAAACTTGCGCATCTGATACGCACACTCACATTCAGCGCGTCTCGAAAATCTCTCGATTTGTGAAAATCCAGATCTCTTCATCACTAATTAATTAATAACTCGCTAATTATACGACATAATTCATCCAAAATCAATAGGCTTCTGGTCCGAGATATGACGAATGCACATGCAAAATTTGGAGCAGATTCAACCACGCCTTCGTGAGATATCGCGTGCATCTAACAGACAGACAGACATACATACAGACATACATACAGACAAATACCTATCAATATACTTACCGATCTTAAGATCGATAAGTAATAAACTTCAAATGAGAAATGAATGTGTAATAGTGAATATTATCCAAAGCTATATCTGTGACTGATCAAAACTATCCCCTCCTGCCTTGTTTTAGCAGGCTACATATGGATTGATTTTCTAAGATCTTTCCCTGCTGTTGTGAAAGTAAAAACGATTTCCGCAAACATCTTATGCTGTACATAGATTTCTTGTTCTTCCTGAATCTTGCATTTTATTGCAATGTTCTTTATAAATACACCTAAATGCTGATTTTCCGCGATAATCTTACCCTCCCCGCCTTTTTCCGTTCTTCCCGCATTTTTCAATACTTACGTATTTTGTTGCATTTTTCTATACAAAACACCTGGGTACTTATTTTCCGCATTCCCGGGATATTCTTACTCTTCCCGCATTTTTCGTATTTTTCCCGTCCTTCCCACCATTTTCAATACTTACGTATTTTGTTGCAATTTTCTATATAAAACACCTAAATACTTATTTTGGGCATTCCTGCGATATCCTTACTCTTCTCGCCTTTTCCGCTCTTCCTGTTATTTCTCAATACCGTCGCATTGTATTGCAATTTTCAATATAAAACACCTAAATACCTATTTTTTACCCGATGCTCTTACTTTTCCGACTCTCCCCGCCATTTGTCAATACGGCTTTTTATTACCGTTATCGCCATCAATTACCGTTGTTCCCGTCATCGCCGCGTATTCAGGGAATTTCCCTTGTACCAACCCGCTATTTAGTGAAATTTCCCCTACATACACTCTAAAATTCATATTTTCCTTATCTTAGACTTAGAGCAATATCCCCTCTTTCCCGCATTTCGTAACATTTTCCCGCTTTTTAGTAAAATTTCCCGTCATTCCCATATTTTAGGGGCCTAGGAAACGGGAAGTTGCTTTACGATACGGGAAATATAAATTTTAGAGCATGTGTGGAGTGAATTTGCATTGAAAGGCGAAAGCAACGGAAAGTTTGAACGGGGTAATTGCACTTAAATAAATAATTCCCGTATCTTAGAAAAATTTCCCGTCATTCCCGTTTTTTGTAACATTTTCCCGCTTTGTATTTGCGTTCCCCGCATTTTAGGGCCCTAAAATGCAGGAAACGGAGACGACGGGAAATTGCTAATTTCAACCGGAACTACGGGAAATTTCACAAACGTTAGTTACGTTTTCTAGTGCAATTTCTCCTAAACATACTCTGAAATGAATATTTCCCTACTTAAAGCGATTTGCCGTCAATACCACATTTTAGTGAAATTCTCATGTACATACACCCCAAAGCGTATATTCACCATTGCTTTTACTTTCTAGTACAATTTCCCCCTAAACATACTCTAAAATGAATATTTCCCGTACCTTAAATCGATTTCCCGTCATTCCCGCTTTTTGTGAAATTTCCGATTTTTAGTGAAATTTTCCCGTAGTTCCCGTCACTCCCCTAGTTCCCGCATTTTAGTATTGGCAATTTCCCGTTGTTCCCGCATTTTGAGGCGCAGTTCTTACCACTTAATGGCAGCTCCTGCCACGAACATACCGCGGCGTCTATTGCCATGGTTTTATCGCGCTATTACCGGTATATTTACAAAGTCATGTACAATATTTCAGTTTATCATGCGGAATTATATCTACTTAAATCTAAACCTTACCCCGAATACATCAAAACTGTATTCATAAGAAAAGCGTTTCAACTTACCCAAGATTTATCACCACCAGGGACAGCCGACATGCCGTGGTTACGGCAGCAAAATTTGTGATATTCGATTTGCAGCCGTAACCACGGCTGACCACGGCAGCTCGCTATTGGTTTGTGGCAGCTAAAAAGTCAGTCGCCGTTGGTTTGGTCATGGCGGCCATGGTTTGGAAATCCCGCCATGGTTTTGCGGCAGCTCTAGGCGTCACAAAATACTTGAAGCTGCACTTGCGCATTTTAGTGCAGTTTCCGTTGCTCCCGTTCCCCGCATTTTAGGGTTGCCCATCCCACAATTTCGGTTACCTTGGCCACAATTCTGTTCCCACATTTTAGTTTAGCGTGCTGCAGATTTGATTAATGGGATTGGATTTGATGTAAAAGATCATGTTATTACCGGTAGTCCCATGTCTGAATTCATTAGGTATGCCCCGCTAAAAATCCCGTAATCGCTGTAAATGTATGCACGATTAACCCTCTGACCACCGCGAAATTGGGGGATGGCAAATTGTGGCTAATAGGGTAACGTTGGTCATTCAGACGGTCGGGCAATTCAATCAATGCTTGAAGAAAATTATGAAAACCATCATCTTCTGACAGCAAGGGTTTTTGCCTCGGCAATTGAGTACGGTACCGGTACAGAAATAGACTAGCTGGCAGACTGGTGATGCAATCTCTGAATCTACCGATGGCAACAGTACGGTATTCCAAATGCAGTAATGCCAGAATGCTGTGATGCATGGCACTGTCTGGCTGTGCAGCTGTAGCATGTGACCAAATTGTGTTTTTTTTTTGCTAAAAACTAGAATGCTATAGTAATTTTTTTTTCCTCCAGTAAATCGGATTTTCTTTTTCGAGAAATGTCTTTCAATGCAGGCTTGGGGAAATGCGATGTAATAAGTTCTGTCAAGTTATTCGCTTTTCCAAGTTACTTTGTATTTTATAGTTCTGAATACCGCCAAAAAAGATCAGGACTCAAAAAAAGATATTCTATTCTGATATTCTATTCTCGGAATCAGAGAATTGTGCCATACTGCAAGTTCAGGAAAAATTTGGGAAAAACTGCAGATTACGGTGGTTTCATATGTCAGAATCTGAAAATATATTGTAACACTTCTTGGCGGGCTAGTTCACTAAGCGCCCTTAAGTACTTCTAGTATGGCATAACCATTTTCGCATATGTCATTTCTAACCCCAGCCTGACTACGACACAGTGACGAAATAAGGCTCGTCAAAGTATACGGATTGTCATCCAAACCGCACATTCGATAACCCGAATTTAAGCAAGCTATTTCTCTCGTTTTCTCGTCGTAACAATGTTACGCCAACTAGAAGTACTTACGACGTTTATTGAATATGCGCCCTTCTTTCTGCATTAGCTGATAACTTTTTTTTCTAATTTTCAGAATATTAGAAAAATGTGGGCAACAGAATCTTTAGTTATACCATTTACTTTGGCACTATTGTGTTTCATTGATATTACATTTGCAAATGATGTCATTTATGCAGTAAATGCAGGAGGAACACAGCATGTTGATTCAAATGGAATACAATATATTGCCGATCCATTAAAAGTTGGAGTTGCAAGTGATTATGGTCAACGATTCAATATTAGAAGAGTTTCACATAATGATCAAGTTCTTTATCAAACTGAGAGATGGCATGATGAATCATTTAGTTACGATGTTCCAGTTAAAAGTGATGGTGATTACGTTTTGGTGCTTAAATTTTCTGAAGTTTATTTTACTGGATCAGAGCAAAAGGTATTTAACGTGCAACTCAATAATCAACATATGATTGTACAATCTCTGGATATTTTCGATAAAGTTGGCCACGCAACTGCACATGATGAAATCGTCCCTTTTTCCATTAAAAAAGGAACGTTGAATGTTGGAACTGAATCTTCATCTTTCAATAACATTTTGACTGTGGAGTTTTTAAAAGGTGCTGCTGATAATCCAAAGATATGTGCATTCTATTTGTTGAAGGGAAAACCAGAAGATGTGAATCAGCTACCTCCTTTGGATCTTCTCAACAAGGCAGAGGAAGAGGAGGAAGAAGAAGAGGAAGAATCCCCTGATGTGGGAACCAGACCGGACGACAAGAAGACAAGTTATAGTGATCAAGCAAAGCGGGAGAAATTGAAATCTGGCCCTCCTGCTGTAAATCCTTATGCAGAAGACAATAGCAGCTTGGTTTTACCTATTATAGTTGCATTTTGTGCATTCATACCTACTCTTGTATGTCTATGTAGGCTTTGAATTCACTAAGAACCGTAAAAGTGAAGTTATCGAGCACAGAAATTTTTTTTAGGAAATTTACTGTTGTACGTCTGAACAACTGATATAATTATACTTGAGATATCAAAATGTTCGATTGTTTTTGGTGAAAATGGCATTTTTGATAATTTTTTTTATAATGTTTTCCGACATTGACCAGAGCAGCTGTTGCCATCTAAATTCGATGAAAATATGAAATTCTTATCAAACTCTATGCATGTGCAAAAATTTAAAGTTAGGCACAGCTGCGGTGCATGTATTTGTCCTGTTTTTTTTGCAAATTATTTTGTATTTATGGTTTTATCAGATGTTACAAACATTAGTGTAATTTGTTAATTATCCTGTAAGGTATGTAATTTATATTTGCATATTGGCTGATAAAAATAATTTATGATCTAGTGTTGGTTTTGCCACATTGATTACAACACAGCAGAGAGAGAATCACCTTGAAAATGTGTCTATAACATTTCTTGTGTTATATGTTCTTGTAATTGTTAGGTAATCTCTACGTTATGTATAATTAAAAGTGGGAATTATACTATATTTTTATTGCTAATCAAATTCACTGAAGTTGGGGATTCATTGTGGACAATATTATTTTAACTATCAGTAGAGGTTGCGCGACACTAACTCCCAATCCTTCGTCAATGCCTTTGCGAATGCGTAAAATGCAAGGATGTTGTGGCAGGAATAAAAATACATAGCCCTACTTAATTTGAATTGATTAGTATGGTATTATTGTAGTTCATGTTTCATATTCATTCATCCAAATCTAATTGTTAACAGAAAAAAATGTGCCCAATCATATTTTAGGACTAAATTTATGTTACTTTATGAAATTATTTAGGGTGCATATTTCTTAAATTGGTATCATTCTTCATTTGTTACGTAAGATGGTATTAGTTTAGAAACAATTTTTTCTTAAATTAAGCTCGGATTTGAAAATTTTTAGTTCTGATTATAAAAATGTGTTCAATTACATTTTAGGACCGCTACGTCTAAAATTGTAGTTGCTGTCTAATTGTTCGAGGTGCATATTTCATGTGGTACTGTCCTTCATTTAAATATATAATAGGGTATTAGATTAGAAACCTTTATTTCTCAAATTAAGCTTTAGAGTTGAAAATTATTAGTTCTATAATAAAAATGGGGGCTCCCGAAGTATGCGAACCAAGATGTCGGACATCGGAATGTAATATGTGTACTAGGTTAGGGTTAGGCCATAATTTTAGGTATAAATACTACGGGAGGCTCTTGGCTAGTCTTCGAACCGATAATAGGACTAAAATAAGGAAAACTGGAAAAAAATTATCGCCTAACCCCAACCTATTACCCATGTTACGTTCCGATGTCCGCCATCTTGGTTCGCATACTTCGGGAGCACCTAAAAATGAATACAACTACATAATATTCTGCTTAAAGTTGGTTATTAAAGTCTAAAAAATAAGACAATTTTTGAATTTAAATATTGATCGCTAGATTACATGTACTTTGTCATTATTAAGATTTTTTAAGCCAAGTTCCATGGTTAATTGTTTTTTAGTAGAAATGCAGTCATTGATCGCTGGCAATAGTGTAGCAAGCGTAGGTTTTATTTTGTTGAATGCATTGTGCAATCATTGTTAAATCTTTTCAAGTTGTTCCAATTCAAAGTGACTGAAAAGTTTTACCAAAACTTGTGCTTCCCGATGTCTTTCTTTGGGGGCCTCAATATCATTTTTTAGAAAAATTGTTAGTTTTAGTCAAAAGTTTCTATTTGTTGTTTCTTTGAATGGCATCAATTATTGGGTACATACTACTTCAATGCAAAAATGTTTAGCGAATTCCGGATTCAAAATTGATTGTGCTTTATTAACACTGGTTGTAATTTTTTAACTAAGCATGGTATAATCAGTGCTTACAATCATTAGTAAGTGGCAAACGTTTTTCCATTTTGATTCTGGAATAATAAAAATAAAGCACAAAATCTTGGGTTGAAAATTTTGTTGTTTAATATTAGTTTACAAAAAAACTTGTACTTTTTCATCCTGAAACACATAAATGTCCTCTACAATCACTTTCTGAAATTTGCACACTTTTTACAATATTATATCTGATATAATATTATTCAAAAGTGTCTTGTTTATTAAGTGCATAGGTATACAATGCCATCTTAAATGTTATATTTCAATATTGCTTAAATTATAAAAAGCCTGTTTTTGACAATGACACCAATCTTATTTGAATGTTCACTGATTCCTTTGATTTGGTATTCCATACCGTTGTACATTATTTTACATCAGTGGATAATGCAAAAAATCATATATAACTAATGTTTTTGTGTTTGTGTATACACTATCTATTGTGAGTTTAAATTGATATGTTATTGACGGAGTGCAAATATGAAACACTCTATAATGGTTTCATAGTTATTTGGAGAAAATAAGTTGAATCAAGGTAATTGTATTAAAATAAAATAAGTCCTTAAAAACTTTGTCCTTAGAATTCAATTCACCCACTGAAACTAAACGCCAACAAGCATCAACAAACACAATCAAGGTATTCACTTCTAAACAATGCTAAACACATTTCCAGATTCATTCCTAAAAAAATAGTTTGGCAGTTTTTTCTGAAATTTTGATCCAAATTATTGCTATAAAGATGTGTTAAATTTTGTGACAATAAATTAAACTTTTATCATGATTTTTGCATATGGATCAATATAACCGCCTTCAGCGAATATCAATATGGCATAATATTTCAACCTAAAAAATGTCCAAAATGCTATTTTGACTTATTTCACTGTCGCTTGTAGTTGTGTAATTGAATAATTGTTTCTAAATCCCAGCCATAAAACCTTAGTTGAATTTATATTTAGTATAGATATAGACTAATTATGCCAATGACCTATACTTTAGTAACTGGTTTAGTTTTTGACTGGGATAATCACTGCACGCTTTCTAGGTTATGTGCTTTGCAATACTGTAAACGGATTTTGTTCTTATTTTAGAATGATAATGTAGTAATTTTTTTCCAAACAAAGACTGCTTTTTGGGTATAAAAATAAGAAAAATGTCACACATCAGTAGGATCGCGTCTCCTATGAGCTTATGTGAAGAGGATTTATTCGATGTCGACAAAAAAGTACAAAGCAAAATTCGTCTTCTTGAACAATTACAAAAAGAATCGCCCGCTTCTTTTCTTGTTGGTACGATTGGAAAAATTAACCAAAGAATCACCAATCTTGATGAAGAATTATCAAAATATGAGAGCCAGCTTGAAATTGACAGTAGAACACCAGAGCCGCAAAAGAGAACTGAATCTTATGCTGAAAGCTATTCTCCCTCTATGAGCATTCGTGGAACAACTCCTTCAGAGAAAAAGTATGGTGCTGATGTAGAAAAACAAGCTCCTGGAACTCCAAGAGCAAAATCAAGTGACGCTCCTCGATTGGTTGAACTCCAGCAGTTCCCAGGATGGAATAAGAAGAAATGTGCTCCTCTTCCGCATTCTTTACAAACTAACAAGGTGCTTGATAATGTTGTCGCTGCTCAACCAGATTTGAAACACAAAGTTGCGTTTCGTCGGGAGTTTTGCAGACTACTGTTTTCAAAAATGCAAGAATCGATCCTGCAAGATGGTTTCTGGTGGTTTTTCTTGAGAAAATTTCATCCTGATCCAATCAACCAAGGCAAGCTCTTTAAAAGAATATCAACCAATTTTGTTGGTCTGTTACTCAGTGCTGAAATTCCGAAGTATAGAGATTTGTTTTTCGCTAATTATGGTACAATTCTGGCTCAATCAATTTATGCTGCTTTTTGTCTTGCATTTCCGCAATCATGGAGGCAGTTTGACGAACCAGCGTTCAAGGAAATGTTAGCTCAAGTTTGCGGCGAATGGATTTCAGGTATTCCACCACCACCTCGCTCTTATGAAAAATGGAATATGGCAGCTTTAGAGCCAGACGGGATGCGAAAGGAAGAAGTTATAAAAAAGAAAAAGAGACCTGATCATGCAGCCAAGTCTCTGGGTGGAAGAGCAAGTTCATATAGCTCCGCTGCTTCAACTAAAACATCGTCAATTCGATCACCGACTGGATCTCAAAAAACGCATGGATTAAGAATGCATACTGCTAAATCAGATGCTGCATCTTGTGCGCATTCTCCCAAACTAACACCGCGTGTTGCGGAATTAGCATCTGAGCAAAATGCCCTTTCGACAATCACAGAAGAACCTTTGACATCTACCACTGAAAGCACTGCTGGATTCAGAACGAAGTTTATTGCACCAAAAAGCGATTCATCTTGTGCTGCTGGGCGTGCTATGGAGTTTTCAAGGAATGTCTTCAACGTGTACGGTCGCTCACCATTGCTTGTCCAATTTTCTCGTCAATATGGTTTCGAGAAAAAATCCTTTTTCGATGTATTAGTCCAGCATTCACTTATTCAAACACCACCAGCTAAAGATGCCCAAACCTATCAAGACATCATTTACGAGAGCAGAATTAAAGCATCCGCCGCAGCACAATCTTTCAAACATATTTACGAAGAAGACATGAAAGCTCACAAATCTTTTTGTGCAAAACAGCGAGAGGAATTACAAAATTTCAAAAAGAAAACGGATAAATTATTGTCGAAGCCACGTCAAGTTCACTATCTTAGTAATCTCATCTTAATGGAAATGAAGAACTTAGAAGAAGATACAAATCCGGTTGGTGCCACTGCAACAGTTCAAGCTGCTTTATCTGCAGAATCAGCTGATTAAAATGTTAGATAACATATCACTGTGCCTTATCAGTTATCTTAGTATTAATATATAGATTGTATTATGTTGTCATAGTTTTAACATCTATTGTTCACTGTAATTTTCGTAACTGCTGTACTACTACTTCACCTAAATATATCTTCAAGTGTAGTTTTAATTTTATAGTAATAATATATTTAAGTTTCATTGCCATGATTATACCATACAAATTGATACAATGTATTTTACCAAAGTTGTGTGTGCTCATTGTAGTTTTACAAGCATATAATGGAATGATATGTTTTTTCGAAAATTATCATAAATTCCAAAAAAAGTGCTTTGTGATATTATTTTATCTTCAAACGTTTGTAGTTTTTTGATGAATCTAGATTAAAATTATTCGTTGGTGCCATTGACATGATTATACAAGGATGTAATTTATCAAATTTTTGCGTGCCTATAAGCCCATTGTATTGTTACAAGTATATAATAGAATGATATTTTTTTAGTTATTATTACAAATTCCAAAAAAAGAGTACTTCATGGTATTATTTTACCTAATATATCTTCAAATGTTTGTAGCTTACCTGTTACAGCATAATTCAATGAAATGTCATTGCCATGACTATACAATGCTGTTTTTTATAATATGTTTGTGTGCTTATTGCTTATTATAGTTTTACAAGCATATAATAAAATGAATTGTTCTATTTTTAGATATTACTGTTAATTCAAAAAAGGTGCTTTACTTTATAAATATTGATAAATGGATGGCACAACGGTTGAAGATGAGGATTACGCATTCCTAGCCAAACTTGGTAATGCAAGAAATCTTTCACACATTTTAAAAGCGATACATTTCAAAGATGTAGCAACTGTATTTGTAACAGAAAACGGTTTGAAAGTAACTGTAGAAGATGCAAAATGTTTGCAAGCAAATGCTTTCATTCAAGCAACTGTTTTTGATGAATATGATGTTCATGAAGAAGTAAACTTCTGTATCAATTTGAACGTTCTTCAAGAGTGTTTAACTATATTTGGAAGTAGTTCCATTATGACAACATCGTTGAAAATGGTTTATGGGGGATATGGATCACCTCTTACCCTAACCTTAGAAGAAGAAAACATTACAACTGATTGTAGTATAAAGACGCAAGAGTCAGAAGAGACTCTAGATTTTGAATTCTGCGCTGCTAATGTTGTTAATAAAATTATAATGAAAGCTGATTGTCTGCGAGACGCTTTTAACGAGTTAGACCACACTTCTGATGTGGTTGAGATTACGATGTCTCCACAGAAACCATATTTCCGACTTTCAAGCTCAGGATATTGTGGACGAACAGATAATGATATTCATAAAGATTCTGATATGGTAGAAATCTTTCAATGCTCAGAGCCGCAGTCAAATCAGTATCGTTTATCCTTGCTAAAACCTTCCGTAAAAGCTGTTAATCTTGCAAGTAAAGTCTGTATAAGAATGGATCATCGTGGGTTTTTATCATTCCAATACATGATCAAAAATGAAAGTGGGCAAATTTGTTTTGTTGAATATTATTGTTGTCCAGATGAAAAATTTGATGAAGAAGATGTTTGACTTTAACACAAGCCCATTTTACCCTGTGCAAACTAGAAAAAAATATTCATGTATCTGAATATGAACCCATTCAGACCTTAAATCAACAGTATTAATAGCTGGGAAAGTACAGATGGCATCAGTAATTTTAGATTTTCACTTCATTTGACAGTGGTTATTTACTTTTATCTTGTCTGTTTCAATCATCAATTTCTTTTAAAATGTTGTTTATACACATAGTTCTTATTGTTTTTTTACACTCTTTTCAGAATAGCATAAGCATGCTGTGTCCCATTATTAAATATCGTAATTTATTTTGTCATAAATGGACATCAAAGTTTTTTTCAATGTCCTGCGCAAAAAAAAACAGCGTCAAAAAATCTTCAGTGATAAAGCCACAAAACATTCTTAACTTGCACAAACGAGGACTTTTAGAAGATATTTTTCCAAATGCTTCTGTCTCATTGCCAGAGCAGTTATTAAAACAACAATGCTTTTATTGTGGCTTCGATCCAACATCCGACAGTCTACACATTGGAAATTTAATGTCTTTAATGCTACTGTTGCATTGTCAAAGGGCTGGTAAGTACTGTGAAAAATAGTAATCTCTAACAACATAGTTTTGCTGTATTATACTTTCAAAAATAGGAACATGGAAACAAGAGTATTTTATGCTCAATACACAGAATAAACCAATAGCAAACTCAAGTAGAGAACAATGTATAACAAATACACGACAAAGTCTCTGTGCTCCGGTACCTATCATGTAAAAATGCATTGTACTCAGTCCATAAAGCAATTAGTCAATTAAAAAATGATGAGAATTTTCATGTTTTAGTCTATACAAAATATTCGTAGATCTATTTCATATTTGATTATGTTGGTTTGTTTTAATGAAAAATTACGAGGAAAATTAGGGGACAAATACGATGGCCAGTTTTTCATCTAGAAACTTGAATTTTATTTCTGAAATATATATCTATGCTTTGTATTCAACGTTGTTTCAAAACAAGTGTTCTTATCCCTTCTAATAACGCTAATATTTATAGGACATAATGTGATCGCTGTCATTGGAAATGCAACTGCGAGAATTGGAGATCCGAGCGATCAAACAAAAGACAGAAATTCAGTCTCGACAGATGTATTAGACAAAAACACAAAAGGACTTATCAATTGTATCACAAATATATTTGAAACTCATGAACAGGAGCATTATATTCATCGCGGAGTTAAAGAACTACCAACAATAAAGATTTTAAATAATTATGATTGGTATCGAGATATCAATGTTGTGGATTTTTTTGCCAATGCTGGAAGGAAATTTCGAATGGGTCCTATGCTTGGTAGGTAAATAAATAAGGTATTTTGTTGTTCAGTTTTTTTGGTAAAATTAAACGAAATTCCTGATTGAAAATGAAGTATATTTTATGTGTGAATATCAGGAAAAACGTAGTCAAAATTTATTCTTTGACAACCAAAGATGCAAAAAATAATTTCCTCCTGGGGTCCTATGGACCCTAATATTTTACCCTAATTTATTTTGTTTTTAATTCATAGAAACAATTTTTATAACATATTTGAGTGCTACTCTCTTGTTCTTTTCAGGTTCTAAATTTCATTTAATTTGCATTGCAATTAAATTTGTGTGCCTTGTTAAGGTACATACTGTAGCGAATGTGCATTGTGTAACTATGAATTATAATGTATTTGACCCTTTCATTTTAATAGTGTGTTCCATTTCCCACAATAGGTCATTTTATTGTAGCAACACTGATTACTGATTACATGTACTGCCTTTCTCGTATCGACCAATTTGATGACGTATCGTTCCGGCTTCCCAAGAGGGCTGCATAATATTGTGTTTAGATTTCACTTCTGTTTTACTGCGTTAAGCAGGTTGTGTTTTGTTTCACTCCTGATTTACTGTGTTAAGAGTTAAGTGTGTTGCAATTTTATCTGTTTCCGGAATTTGGATTGTGCATCTTCCTATAATATACAACAACGATTAGCATCAACACTGTGTGCTTATTAATTATCGTCTGAAGGAGTCCAGATTGGAGTCACATTCCATAACGCGTGTCAAAACAATAACGCGGGAATCGAACTTAAATATATAGGTGATAGTCTTTATCCCCCCATCATCACCATCTCTTTATCCCTATAATACCATATGGATCAAAGTATTAAAACACTATTCCGTGCTTTAACGATGAATTTTGAAATATTTACGATTTCACAAGGTAATTGTGTGAAAAGCATTTTTCTTAATTTCCAAATTTTTAACATTTCTTCTAGATAAAAGATTTGTAAAAGAAAGATTGAATAGTTCTGAAGGACTTCTTTTGCCTGAATTCCTGTATCAAGTATATCAAGCATATGACTGGTTACATTTATTACAAAATTATAATTGTCGATTTCAATTTGGAGGTTCCGATCAACTTGGTAACATGAATGCAGGACGTTATCTCATTGATCGGTAAGTTTAAATGTTCGTTTCATTCAAGATATGGTGCTAAAGATATCATATATCACTACAGGAAAAGTTTGTATTCATTCATTAAGCGACCTATTACATACAGCCATGTCCAAAACAAATCAAATCTTCTTATACTTCTAAATGAATTCTAATATTTTAGTGTGACATTTTTTATTTTAAACGAAAATATTTTTGTTTAAAATATTATTCTCAATACGTTGACAATAACTCATGTATGTTGTTTGTTGGATTAAACAAAATTGAAATATATTCAATAGCAGAAATAGTTTTTCAGAATATGTTCTGAATAGTACAATATTTGGTTTTGCTTGTAACTGGATTGGTATTAGTTTAATGTGGTTATACCATGCGAACCTGGATTTCATCACGAGATTAACATGCTTTGTGGTCACAGTTACGCTAGATCCCATTTTACACCACAAAAATCCTATAATGCTGTTCAATCATAATTTGGAGATGCACAAAAATAACACTGTATCAACATGAAAAGGTCTTCCTGAGCTTATTTTGTATGTGAATAGGTTCATTCATATCTAGCTATGAATAGAAAATGAAACATGTCATTGAATTGCAGCAGGATTTTATTATCTTTTTGTTTACTGTAAAACAAAACTATGTACTGGTATACATTTCTTTTTCTTCACTACAATTACTATAAACATTCAATGGGAAGACAAAGACTTTGTGAATATATTGTTTTGCCATTTTGGGTATATTGTTTGAACTTATGAATTTTTATAGTTTAACTAATGAATAAAGTGGTCCGAATATATCAATCTTTTCCATTTTCACAATGACTGATTTACTATGTCACATGTAAAAATACAGAATTCACAGATGTGTTGAATCTATAAGTTTTGATGTGTGCGATTCTCCTTTATCTTATCCATCTGGTTCCGCTTTCATGTTAGTCGCGAAGATTGCTGTATCGGTGGTCGACTGTGACAAATTGCATACCCATACTACTCAGTGGAGCATCACTCTCTTGTTGAATGGTCAAGAGGCAGCTGAGATGCATGGTTCAGGTTATGTCATCTTACTCGGCAACACGCTCAGGTGTTCGAGTAACGCAGAGTTTTTTAATGAATTATTCGAGTATAGAGTCGTTCGACTACAGAGGTATCACTGTATATGTCAAGTGGTTAGTTTTGCAAAAATGGACCTGGGTCACTGTCTCTGAAGAACGCACTTCTGTAAATAATTGTAATTTTATTTTTTAATTATACTGACAAATTTGACTAAGAACCTGAAAAATTTCTGTGTGGATCATGTAACATTTTTTGAGAATTGGAAACTTGTATATATTTTGTTACAAAGTAAAATGAAATTTAGCTGGGTAATATCTAATTTTCAGTGCAGCTCTATGTAAACCAATGCACTGCCATTGTATATTACTTTGCAGTGTAACTCAACAGGAAGTTTATGGATTATTAACTCCTTTGATAACCACACACACCGGTCAAAAAGTAGGAAAAACCGCCGGGAATGCAGTGTGGTTAGATGCTGATAAGACATCACCATTCGAGTTTTATCAATATTTTCTTCGTCAACGTGACGCAGATGTTGAAAAGTATGAAATAGATATTTTTTATTATTGTATGATGTTTAGCTGATCATATCAACAATGGATCAAAATCAATGGTTTTATGTACTATTTCTTTCAACAATTGTTTGAATAGATTGCAATTTGCAACCCTGTATGAGTTGAAAGTTGAAACTAAAAATTCTTGACAGCAGCTATTTGAATATATTTTTTAATATAAAGATATTCAAGTGGCCAATATGATGGTTACAAGAGATCTTTGAACCAAATTTAAGCTCAGATTTGATTGAGGTGTTTTTGGCACACTGTGCTAAACGGCTTCCAAGTCCATAATTAGGGATTAATTAACTGCAGAATTCCCTCCTTGATTTTAAGTCTTGCTTTTTTACTTCCAACCTTATCATGTCTCGATGATTGTATGAGTGTGTGTGTGTGTGCGTGCTTTAATTTGTTTTTATACTTTTGGGTGAGCGAACACATACTACTTCTTTTAACAATACCTTTCCATCTAAAATCTGTGCGCTTCAAACCTTACTTGAGGTTTTGTTTGCTCTCTCGATTCTATAATCAGTTATTTTCTTCTGTTTTCTAAATACAAAGCAAAATTCTTCCCAAGAACGATAAAATTCCCCACTGAGGAGGAATTCCTTCCCGGCTGGGCAACGTTGAGTCAGCGGTTTAAAAGTCCTGCATCATGCTTCTTATTTGAGTTTCCACCTTCACTATTATAATATTTTAGATTTCTAAAGTATTTTACTTTCATTGAACTCACCAACATAAAAGAAATAATGCAAGAACATTCAAGGTATCCAGAACGTAGGAACGCACAGAAGATTCTTGCCAAAAATGTATGCAAGCTTGTTCATGGTGAGGAAGGCTTGAAATCCGCAGAAAGGTAATTTGTTAATTGAAAATTGTACCCTTTTGTATGTTCAATATAGATATAGTAGTGCCAATAACCTATTCTTTTGAACGCTATCGCCTGTGAGTATGCTGTGTCAGAATATATCAACATAATAGCAGGGAAACAATATTCTGTTCCAGTTCTTATTCAGGTACCATTCGCCGGAGTTTGTTTCAAGCTGTAAAGTATTCTCAATGTCTGAATACAACATGCCACAGGCCCACAGCTGGTCGTAATAGGCAAATGTTTGTGCCTTATTTTGACCAGGAAATCACTTGTGACGTTAATAACCTGTACAGACACATTTCAAAGGTTATATCCGCATGAAATGATGTTCATTAATGAAGTAGTTTGTTCCTGAGGAAATGGGAGTTTCCGATTTTATGTTCAAGCTGTGTTTGGCAGTGAAGATTAAATATCAATTTTATGAAACTAAAAGTCTATATATTAACAAAACTATTCATATTTAACGTTGATCATACCCGTAGGCAGTGTTCCCTCTAAGGTGTGCGCGTGTGCGCGCGCACACAGCTTTCAGAGGCTGCGCACACGCATAGATTTACTGCGCACAGACGTATTTCGATGTAATGTAACAATGTTCTTTTTTCACCCTTTATTTGAATTCAAATAAAACCATCTGTTACAATCAATTTCATTTATTATTTTCCATGTATGTTCATTGTTATCTACTGATAACATATAGCCTTCCCTAAAGCATTTACAATCTATAGAAAAACTTATTGAATAACCAAAATTTTCTTAATAAGCCCACTTATTACCCGGTCAGAACGCCAAAATTTCTTCATTGGTTTTTGCACAAATATTAGTCATTTCCAAAAAAGTGCGCACACACCAAAATTTCTGCGCACACATACTACAAAAATTAGAGTAAACATTGCCCGTAGGCCAGGGGTCGGCAACCTTTTGTCGCTCGCGGGCCAAAATAAAGGGTTGCAAGTCATTGGCGAGCTGCAAATATTTTTAGAAAGTTGAAAACCTAATGGATGATACTATTTATAATAAAAATCAAGCAATGATACATCTCTCGAAAAAGAATATAGATTTATATCTTCATTGCATTGTATCTCAAATTGTTCCAATTGAATATTGTCGGCGCCATTAAACTCTTTACACTTCACCTTTCTTCGTAATTGTGAATTTTATACTTGTCAGATTATAATTCAATTTAGTCTACACACCTCCCACAATAAATTATGTTGAATAAAGAATATAATCGCCGAAACAGCTGTTTTGTTACTATGATTCAATCAAACGTCGCGGGCCGGATCATATTACTCCGCGGGACGGATGCCGAAGGCTATAGTCGTAATAAGATTAAAAAACTATTTTGAATATTCTGTGTTAAATTGAATTTTACATATAACCCTTTAAAATTTGTGTACCCCTCTGATGCAAAATCATTTATTTATGCTGGTCCGTTCATGCTGGCAAGCACGGCTGCGGAGTTGGACTATTGTATCTAAATCTTTGAAATTTTTAATAGTGACATTCAAAGTATAATTTTTGACCCAAACTCAAAAAGCACTGAGCTGTCTAAGCATTCTCAACAGACGGTTGAATCAAGAATCCATATGCAAAAGCTTTCGTTCGGAAAATTAAGATGTTTGGAACAGGAGTACAAATTCTTGTCAGCCCTGAATCAGAGACATTATTTCAATGGTTCATAATTTGTAGTTGAGTTTACTGTTTTCCCGACTCCTCAGCATTCCAGGGTACAGCCATGATGTTAATCATTACTTTTCCATGTTTAGATGCACGCAAGTGTTGTTCCATGGCCAGTTAGAACAATTAGAAAATCTTACTGATCAGGAGATAGATGCTACTTTTAAGGGTATGAAGATTCATCATGCTGTGTTGGAACCCACAACTACAATTTATGATATTGCAACAAAAATAAAGGTATGAAATGTCACCAATGTTGAATACTAAAGTCACACATCCAAATGCCTATATTATATATTAGTTTACTCAATCTTCGGAATTTAACTCATCTGAGGGGTTTAATACCCATAATATCCCTACAACATCATTTCGTCAAAAAACATTCAGGATCAGGGGATCAAAACCATTCTTGGTTTGAGCTTAACTTAACTAAGAGTGTCAGTACATTATGAATGTAAATGATCCTTTCGAACATAATAATCCTCCTTGGGATTCGAAAGTTACTCACAAGAATTGTTCTAGTCCTATTTAGGGTTGTGGAATCCGATAAAATTTCGAACGATTCCGACTCTCGGTTAAGAAAAACTTCAGTTTAATGCAAACTGTTTTTTTAACATATATTGATACTCATGTAGTATGTAAACCAAGGTGCAAATACTACGGGAATCCCTTGACTAGTCCCCCAACTCGTAATAGAACTAAAATAAGGAAAATTCGAATAAAATTATGTCCTAACCCGAACCTGGTATACATACTATTACGTTTGGGTGTCCGCCATCTTGGTGGACATACTATGGGGGTGCCCATATTTTATCCCCTATGTAATTTTCAACTTTGAGAAAAAATAAAGACAAGCATCTTTATATTTCAACAGGCGATTCCAGATGGATTAATAGGAATTGAAGCAATCAATAAGGGTGGCGTTTTAGTAAATGGTATCGCAATGCAGAATTCGCAACAAATTCTTCTGTGTGATTTCCACGTCTTAAAAAATGATCTGTCTCTGATAACTGTTGGTAAAAAGAATCATCATATTGTACGTTGGAGAGTCCCAGATGATATGTATCAAGTATCAGCAAAATGAAAAGGTATATAACTTGTATTTATAAAGATATAAAGTAACAAAAAATTAAAATATATCTATCTTATTTTTAAGGATATATAAATTATGGATTTGTGCCTTGTAGATTAACAAATAAAATAAAATGTGAAATTGTCTCATACAAAACTTCTGCATTTGATAGAGATAGGTAGCTTGGCCTTGGCACATAACATTTTTCACCTATAAATGCAAAAATAACTAATAAAAGTTGAACGTGATAAAACTGTCCTTATGTCATCATTCATAGCATTAGTTAAAAATATTATTTCATCAATATTGAAATTTGTTTAAAGTATCCAATTTTTGGTTGGAAGTGTAAGTGTGGTCATGGTTTACAAATCGCTTTGTATGTAATATACTGTTAAATTTTATCTGTTCGTGTTATGCAGAGGATTCACTTTGGAATGGCACTTTCGAATATTCCCTATTTCCACGTTAATGCTTCATTCTGTATCTTCCAGCTCAATCCACTTTGGACCTTCATCTGCTCGAACAGGTTTCTTTTTGCCATGCAACGAAGGAGCAACAGCATAATTGAACCAGCTTGGAACTTCATCGCTGCTGTATTCAAGTTTTTCCAATTTCGACCGGAATTTGTGAGCCATAGCCCTGGCAGAAATAAACAATCATACTGTATTGTCATCATTCCTGCTGGAAGCAACATTTTAAACCTCACCTACCGCAAATAGTTAATTTTAGTTGTTATGACCGCTCTTTCAAAAGTCTAGAATTTTTCTAGTTGCGCTTTGGTTATGATTGAAAACAGTGAAAATATCAACAATTATTCATGCCCGGATTACATGAAATATATTGATTGTTTGTACTTACTTTGTCACACTTTTACAATAAAGCATTATTAAAACTCGAAGTTGTGCACATCCTTTTCTTAAATATTTAAGTGCTCTGTCACTGATGTGGATACAGCCTGATATGTTGAGGATATGAATGTAATGACAAACGCCAGACAAGTATTGAATGCTTAGATCAGTGAACTGAAAATAAATAAGCATCTTTGCGAAATTGAAAAAGTACCACCATCATGAAAAATGTGACTGTGCATCTGCACAGAGTTGAAACAAACTTAGATCATTTTTGTGCATTTTTTTAAAAAACTTTGGGAGATATCTTGCGTCATTTTTCGGTTACTCCCGTAGTATGTGTACCAGGTTAGGCCATAATTTTATTCCGATTTTCCTTATTTTAGTTCTATTATGAGTTCGGGGACTGTCTGTTTAAGCCAAGTGAATATACCCCCTGCTCATAGGTTTCAGTCCCTTTAAACAATTTGATGTAAAGTAGACGACTAAAATTAGTTACTCTCATGTTGCTACATATACTTTGCCCAATTTATTCATTTAGGTTAGAGACGTTTGAAGCTAATAAGAACATTGCACTTGATTGGCTGTACACATGATGTATATCTGTCTTGAAATCAAACCCATGGTCTATATAGCAGCACAATAGGCCTTTACTGAGGCGGCCATTCAAGTGGCGATTCCATCTGTACTCTTACTGATGTTTGAAATTATCTTTGTCTAAGATACATCTTGTTTCACCATATTTCTTTGATAATAAATATTTAATTTTATGACAATTTGTATTATCTATAAAACCTACCAATGGGCATCCAGAAAGATTTAAGCTTGTCAGCATTCTGCAGCAGAAAGCTAGATTTTTTATTGCTGTATCGGTGAGAGTCATGCAATGGGAAACATCAAGTTCTTCCAATTCTTTGACTTGTTGACAAAATTTTTGTAAACCAAGATCAGTGATGGATGAACATTCTGATATTACTATCGACTTCAATCTACTGTTGGTTCCGAGTGCAGTAAGACCCTGGGTAGAAGGGAATTTGTCAATCTGGAAGCCGATGGTTTTCAATCGGGTTATGCAGCATTTTGTTCTGCCAGTACAGGGGTTCCGCAAGTTTCCATTAAAATCCGAGAGTCAATATATGTATATTGTGAGAATATAGTCAAATTAGTTTTACTAATGCTGAAAAATTTGTAGATCACCAGGTTCGCTTTTATACATATGAAACAATACAGGCAAGCTAATACATAACAGTTCCTCCACCAAAATGCCAAATCGGTAATTGCCGAATATGTTCCGCAGTTGGGTTTTATCTTTTCGGTATACTTTTGCATCCATGAATAAAGTGAAATACCTTCCAGTGTGTGCGGATTTATTAGTTCTGTAAGCTGTGGCTAAATTCAATTTCCTAAATTGCACTGATATTTGTGGCAAACTGGCAACTGTAGTACAGTATAAAATGGGTTTGTGAAAAAAGTTCACTAAGAAAGTCTCACCTGGTCTTGAATGTTTGTGCCAGACAGGTCGACATGCGTTAATGAAACCATGTTCCCAAGCAATTCAATTCCAGCATCTGTTACATGCTCACAGAAACATAGTGATAAGTGAGTTAATCCATGGCATCTGAAAATATTTGATACTCAATTGAGCTTTCCTGGGTTAAGTCATAGTCAATTTTATTTTTTCCAACCAGCAAAAAGATAACATACAAAATCAAAAAATAAACAAAATTGAACACACATTTTTAGTGGGGAAGGGAAGCCGCGGGGAACCAAATTTGGTTATCGAGCAGCGACACCCAAGCTAAGTTGTTTGAGTCATCAGATCTTAGAATATTTATAGTGATTTAGTTGAGAATAATATGCTCTGCCGTGTTGGAAACACATAACCAGACTATTGTTATTTCTAGTAAACCTTGTATGTATGTATGGTATGATTCTATCTTTCCAAACTTTTAATATTAGCTCTCATTTGCAAGAGAACTTTTATAGTTATTCGGATTATAATGTCATTAACGAAGTCTCAATCAGATGGAACCATAATCTGAAATTAGCATGTGTTACTTGTTGTTGTTGTCAATTACAAAGACTATTACAATTACAAAGTGCAAGTGAATTGGCAAAATGAAAAGCAATCATAGTTTTAATTATTGTAGTGGATTCTTGTACTGAGCCTTGTTTGAAGTGCTTCGACGTAAAGATAAGCATATGCCAGTACCTTTGTGCTATTCTCAGTAGAGAGACATCACTAACTCTCACACAATTTGTGAGATTCATTTCTCGAATCTTCGGTCCTGAAGGACCTTCCACTAGCTGTCTCACTCCTGAGTCGCTGATTCTCACACAATCCGCAACATTGATGACAATGATGTTTCTTAACGAAGCAAGTGCTTTCAACATCATGTCTGTGATTCTCTGACAATCCACGACATAACTAAATAGAAAAGAGAATAAAATTACAATTACCACAAAACAAAGGCAGCTGTTTTGAACATGGCGGAAAACAAGCAGGCACTCAGATATACAATTCTATTGGATTTTCATTTGTGCTGTATCATATATAATATTCTTGAATGGTGGTTGCCTAGGAATATTGCAAAAAGAAAGTAGATTTAAAGTTTATTTGGATTCCTTGAAACTAATTATTTGAGTTTCTCATGACCTGCATAGCAATGTTGTCAAAATCTGATTTGTTGTTAGTAACAATTGCATCTATTCAAGTTTCAATATTTTTCTATACCTAGATTGGTCACCGTTAAAGTTTTTTTTTTAATTCTTCTTATTGATGAAATGATAATCAAGTTTTATAAACACGAATTAATAACAAAAAACATGTTTTTTTTCCTATTTCGATGATGCTTACATGTGGCCAAGCATTGGGCATAGCTTTCCGAATGTTTTAAATGTATTATCCGAAATCTTTTGGTTTCCTTCGATTCGAACTTTCTGTAGTCTCTTCCCTTGTGCTAGAGCTTTGAACGAAGAATCAGAAAGATTTGGGGATCCAATAAGATATAATCCCTTGATATTCAGGCATTTCTCTGCAATATTCTAAGAAAAAAGGAAATAAAATAGTTGATTACTGTATTTTAAAGTTTGTATGATTTGAAAACATACCTTCTTGCAAGTCATCTCGAAGATATACAGCCTTCAGAAGCTGCAAATCCCAAGTGTGCATTAATATTATTGAACATTAATAAATTGATGACCATTTTGTCATAGTAATTTAGTTGGTGTGGGTATGGCATACATGTAACAAGTCGATTTAGTCATATTTGCATTAGAAATCATGGATATTGATTTCTATTGTGTATTGAATCTACTATAGAGAGAGTAAAGTAGAGACTGAATTCACATCTTAAGACAAATCTTACTGTTAGACAGCTATCAGTAAGAGTATGTAGATCATTCAGAAACAGTGATTGAAGCCCATTGCATCCGTTAGATATATGCTTGAATCCCTGAGGAGTTATTTGTGTGCAGCCAGACAGGTCAAGATAAGTCAGTTTCTTACATCCTTTCCCAGTAGCCAGATAGTACAAACCTCTATAGAAAAGAAATGTTTCACTTCAAATCATTGTCCAACAATTTATGTTGAAAAAGAACTTGACTGTTGAAAAATTGAAAATTTTCTCTCTCTTTGGATAATTATATCTTATATATGTTTCAGCCATGATTATGGACTTTTCTTCAAATTAATTTCTAGCGTACCTCTAGTTAATCCAATATTAACTGTTATACAATATATACTTATTGTCCTTTTTATGAGTTGCTTTTGCTACAAATATAGCAAGTTACTTGATGGGATCAATTTTTTTTATATTTCAACATAGTGTCACAAATGACACCCTGCATGAGGTAAAAGGCCCATGATATATAGACAGCAATACCTATCTGTGAACTTGTTACAATATGCCAGACTCAAGTATTGCATGTTCAGACAACATCTTGCCAATGTACGCAATGTGCCATCGGTTATTTCAGTGTATGAGAGATTGAGATACAGCAGCACTGGACATCCTTCAGCAATTGCTCTTATAATTTCATCCTGTAGAAAAAAATCATTATTCACACAAATGTAGGTTAAAATTAAGGGCTCACACACTACTAAATAATATACAATGCATTACATTGACTCCTTTGCATTCTGAAATGTTTATATCCTGAAGATTTCTGCATTCAGCAATTGCTTTAAAAGCAGGCCAATGCACAGCAAAACATTGTCGAAGATTGAGATGTACAAGGTATGGACGACTCTTCTGTAAGCACTGAATAATGGCTCTATCATTCACTCTGAAATCAAATATAAATATTGTTAAATATGTCATCAATATACTTAGAATATACTCCATATTGAAAAATGTTCCTCACCATATTTAAAAAAAGGATGGTTTAGGTTAGTATAATTGAAAATGTTACATTTTTGAAGGCAGCCAGCATTAATTTCAAATTCAAAAATAGAGAGCAATAAATGTCTCGCAACTGTGTCTTGAGAGTTGAGACCATCAACAATGTCTTGTAAAAGTCTTCGCTTTTTATCTATTTATCAGGCAGACGATGTTACACATTTTGAAACAAATATACATACCTGCATACTAAAACCTTGAAGTAATCACCTGAAGACAGCACCAATAGTCACCTAACTTCATGCTTTAAGGGTGTAGACAAAAAAATCTCACTTACTTATTTTTAATTCTACTGAAGTTAAGATGACTCCATAATGAAGGGGCTCCAGTTATAACTTTCCATGCTCTACAAACTTTTGCACATCTACTAAGTTCAATCAAGTTCAGGTTACTGAATATTTGTATAGCACATCTTCGTGGAAGCAAAGACACTTCATCTCTAGTAGAAAAATTAATCTTTAAAATGTTGGCGTTGGCTTGAGTGTTTTTCTTTTTAAGTTAACACATTCAAACATTACCTAAATGTATCACTAGGCAGATCCTTGTCTCCAGTTTCGACACCGAATTCTTCATCCAATTCTCCACGTTCTAGACGTTCAAAATATTCTCTAGTCTTACGTGCGTCTACAGCAACCGATCTCCAAGCTCGAAAAACAAGCCGACAAACTGATTCATTCCAAACTTTTGAAATCATATCAAAACCACCTAAAATATTTTTTAAAATAATATAGAACTACAAAATAGAAAAGCTTCAATATATAGTTACCGCGAGAAAAAAGCCAGTTTTTAGATTAAATCCTCAAAGTAAAAGTCATTGCTTTTAATTATGAATCCTATGGATAGATTTGCCGAAATTTTTCCCAGTAATTGGGCTATTTTATTTCAGTTGGATAAAAATAGATATATTTTACTATTTTGTCTCTTTTTCACGTAACATTTCCAAGTATGCCATTTAGAAAATGATATTCTCATCATTCTTGTCCTGTGGTATCTGAAATAAAGTTCTAAAATCTTGATGTTGAAAAAAAAAAGTTTAAAGTAAACCAAATACTAATATAAAAAATAATATCTGCTGTTTATTTTTCATGTATAAATGGCAAGTTTAGGCTTCAAATTACACATGACTGTCCTTAAAATAATATAAATACAGCATTTGGCTCGATAATTTAAGTATATCCAAAGTTGTACATACTGTCTGGCTTCTTTGACTTTATTTCGAATCATATTTCGATGATTTTTCTTGTCCAAGTAGTATTTAAGCCATCCTTTGAAACATATTTTTTGTAATCTGCCATAATAATGGCTATAAGCTGCTTTCAGCATATCTGGTGATGGCTAAAATTATGAATTGCACTGTTAGTTAGCGTTTCACTTTGAATAAAAGGAGAAGAAATATTTTAAAAAAATTTACGGTTAACTTGTCATAGAACTTGAAAATCTCATCCAAGTAACTTTCTGCCATTTGTTTTATCTTTGGCTGACATTCAAATGGAACGAACATATCCCTGAAATGAAGAGCAAAAGTCAGTGGTCAAAAACGCAATGTTAAATAAAGATTTAACATCATATGCAAACTTATTTTAATGCAGGTCATACCATTACATACAAATTATAATCCTTCACCTACCATGTCATTGTATCCAGACCTTGATCGCGTATTTTTTTAATGCTTTCAACAACCCATTTGTAAGGATCCTCTGGACATGCTATCATCAAACCAGTAAGGATACACTGCAAAAAATGAAAGGTTTGAAATAAAATTACAATCATTAAATATCTAAACTAGTATTACAGCATTGAAGGATAGGATAGGATTTACATATTCATCCAGGGGGTGAGAAAAACCGATATGACGACTCAATCATATGGCAAACCACGACCTACGAAGATGCGGTGGTGAGCGTATTCCTAACGCTTAGCACGATGAGCCACACCGCCGAGCACAATAGGAATGCTATTGACTGGGTGATTAGCGCAGATTCTGAGTGTTTGGAACTAGGCTACTTTTCATATTATTCATATATTAGCAAAACTGGACTGTATTTTTAGCAGTATTTTTGTTTGTTTTTGCAACCTGAGAAAAAATATGAAAAAAAATCCTAAATCTGAAAATTGTGTAGTATTGTTATCACCTCATATACTTCGGGAAGTTGGTGTACTTTAAGATATTCTTTTAGTGCGGGATCGATCCCTTGAAGAGACGCCATTGCCTTTATTTCGCACCAAGAGAAACTTAGTAGATATAGACTAGCAAAATCATTTACAGAAAAAGAAATCAGAACGTCTCCGGGAATTTTGCTGCTTCACCGTCTCCTTAGAAACATATCAGGTCAGCGTCGCGGGTCACTGATTCTTTCGCGTGACTAAATATGGTCCCAAATATTTTGTTTTTCTCCAAACAATCCCGCTGTATATTTATATTTAATCCTCTAAAACTTAACTCACTCTCTGCTATGACACGTTGCTGTAATGATTGCTACAAGAGTAAAATAACCATTTATAGTCGTTTGCGGCGCAGTGTATTCATTGCGTATTCATAGCCGCAGAGAATGATGGCCCTATATATTATAGCGATTACCCTGTGCAAGATTTTCATTTTACATGTGGTTAGTACAAAGAGCATAATACTATTTTGGACATAATCATAGTTCGTCTGTTTGATTTTTACTCGTTGAAGATGAAATTGAAATAAAATCTAGCCAACTAGGCGAACCATCAACTGTCGTCCGATGGCAGTTTGGATAGGATTTTCATATTTATGGGAATAGTTGAACAATTCAGAGTTCCAGATGCGTGGAAGATCGTAATAAATGTTCATTTTTATATCCCGTTTCTGTACATGTTTAACTGTAATTTATGACATATTTTACACTTTAATTTGTGCATCATTCACTAATTTCTTTATCTTATTTATATTTTATGTACCGGTAATCCATTCGCATTTACCCTGGTACTATATTATGCCATGATGTGCTTATATATAGCATAAACACAAGGGTCGGGAGCCTAGATGAACCCAACCGGTCCTTCACACCGACTCGCACAAAACAATAATCAATCACTGTTATTACTGCTGAAATATTTTCTTTAATATATTATGTTTATATTAGTGTTGATTTTGTTTTTGCGGCAATGATTCTCTCTCTTTATTTCTATTTTATTCGAAAAGTACATTTTTACTTTTATCCAAGTGCATTTTCACTCTTTAAACAACATAACAGGACAAAAATTTGTTTTATTTTTGTTAAGTAGGTTTCGGCACAAGTGCACAAATCAATCATTCCTGCATAAACATTGGCAAATTTGACGCGAGACAAGGAACGCATGACTCAGCCTAAAAGGTTAATGATAAAAATGTGATCGACTCCGAACACCGCTACACTAAGAGGAAGTGCCCGTCTTGACCGTTTTCTTCAGTAGCAGTAGACCGTTTTCTTCCCAGCAGATCAGCTGGTAACTTTTGTGTCAAGCGAGCTGTGCTAAATGGGGCAATTACGCCACGAATAATTCGTTTATAAGGCTTCACTTTAATCTGATTTCGAAGCACCAATTTAATGGCACATGATACAGTAATAGCACGAAGTTATTCAAACGTTAGTATTAATCATAAATCTGAAAGAATTTTATTGCAACAGTAAATTACGATAATATTTTGAGTTTGACATATTTTTTTCTTTTTGTTCAAGTAGTTCCTAAATGAGCATAGCGTTGTCAGGTTTTGTTCAATTAAATTTTGATGTTCCGATATTTGGTAGTGGTTGAAACATTTTACTATGTCTGGTCGTAAAATTCAAAGTGATGCAACTGCAGTGCCAAAAATGTATACTGGGGGAAAATCAACTAAACAATATGTTGAGGACACGGTAAGAGAAGCTATGGCTGAAGTTAATAGGGCAACAGGACATCTTGGAACTGTTAATCCTGGAAAAGTTTCGTATAACACTTCAGGAGGTGGAAGTGCCATCAACCAATTCAATATTGTGGGAGGTACTATTGGTCAAGCGGCAATTGGTAACAGAGGTGACACTGTTTTCAACGAAGAGAAAAAAGTTTTCCAAAAAGGTGCCTCAAACACTAAATACAACATTAGTGGAGGAAATTTCAATCAAGCAAACATTGGTGGAACTTCTCACTACAACAACAAAGAGTGTGAAATTGGATCTGGTGGTGGTGGTGGTAAAGGAGTTTCATTGTCAGCTGAAGATTTGACCCTGAGCATTTTGGACAAAGGAGTCACAGCTGAGCAGTTTGTCTTGCTCCTTGAAAGGAAATATTCCTTGGCGAATATTGCTTTTGCGATGCCCAGTGATCCAGAACTCAAAAATCGTATGGTTGATGCTCTTCTTGTGAAGTGATTACAAAATCAGACTTTTTCTTGTAAATAGTTATCATAGTTTTTTTTTCAAACATAAATCAAGCAATCGTATGTGCTTTATCATCAACAATGTGTTTTTATTTTGAATGAAACTTCATGTTCATTTTGATTTAAATGTTTCAAATATAATTTTACTTTGTTTATGCATGTTTAGTGATACTGAACATCAATCTTTACCACATAAATAGAGTCATACTTCATGAGAGGATGATTTTGGATGTCATGAGAAAGATTATCTCTATAAATATGTATAGCTTGCCAGCTGTCTTAACTCTATCAGTAATGATTAATTCTCTTTGGTCAGGGATATGCAAATACACTTGGGTGTGCGGCAATTACGACTATGGTTTTTATGGATTTCCATTGAAAATAATCTCATAAAGACCCCGATTGCCACATTGTGCTTCTTATTATTATATAAATGTTAGCCTAGCTGTTGAACTAGCTTTTGTAAATAAACTGTTTTTTATTCATAGCTTTTCATATTAAGTTTTTGAGCCTCTGGCCCACTCAGAAAAGTAATTGCCCACCCCTGTCTTTAATGTTATCTAAAGAATGGCATCACCGTAACTGTCTAAGCTTGATTGTATGTAATGCACAGCTGAAGTCAATTGAGTACTATATTTTATTGTATCATGTACAGAAAATTATTATTTAATGAATTTCTTGCATTAAATAAAGAACGAGTTGTAACAGAATGGAGAATTTGTTTTATATGAACTTTCATGAGTTTTTATTATTGCTCTCATCTTTTATAATTGATCAACAATCTTGTATTTTTATGCATAGAATGATGTATTCAAAAGTATATGTTCCTGTCCTAAAAAAAATCTCATCCCATCTATAATTGCTAAATTCAAATAATAAACTATTTCTAATATACAATATTTTCTACATTTATAATAGAGTGGAAAATTTGCATGGAATTGTTACAGCACATAACTTTATAAAGATATTTTTAACTGCTGCGCCTGTGGGCAATTTTACTATTGATTATGATATGTTGTAAAAAAGAATTATTATGGATTATTTTAAAATTCTAGAAATAACCATATCAAACTAAGTAACTAACTAATACTGAATGTGTTTGAATATTCAATTTGTTATGGAATGAACATTTACTGTGGAATATGTAACTTGGTTGTCTATATACAATTTTTATTCATCTTTTTGTATTATAATTAGATTTAGAATACATAACACTATATACAATAGCAATGTCTCACAAAAAACAGCATCAACGGAGGAAAAACTTCAAAAACAAAAATAAATATGAAACGCCGCAACTTGCAATGGATGAAGAGGATTTACATGAACCAAGAGGCACGACGAGCAATTTTACAATAGCATGCCCCCTTGCAATGTGGGACCTGGGACACTGTGACCCGAAAAAATGTACAGGAAGAAAGCTTGCTCGTAAAGGAGCAGTTAGATTACTGAAATTACAACAAAGATTCGCTGGAGTAATTTTAAGCCCGATGGCTACTGAATATATCAGTGCCGGAGATAAAGACAAAGTATTAGCTCATGGCATAGCTGTAATTGACTGTTCATGGGCAAGGTTGCAAGACACTCCATTTTCAAAAATGAAAGGAGGTCACTTGAGACTTTTACCATACTTGGTTGCAACGAATCCAATAAATTATGGCAAGCCCTGTAGGTTGTCATGTGTGGAGGCATATGCAGCTACACTTTATATTGTTGGGCTTGAAGATAGTGCTAAATCTGTTTTAAAACCTTTCAAATGGGGTCCCAACTTTTTTACATTGAATGAGGAACTTTTGGAGTTATATCAGAGTTGTGAAAGTTCAAAAAGTATCGAGACAGCTGAACAAAATTGGCTACAAAATGAAAGAGATGAACTTAATGCTAAAAGTGAAGAACGGGATCCTTTTGATATAGATTTAAGTGTTGAACACTGTAATCCCAACCATACATCCCTGCCACCAGATGAAGATTCTGATTCTTCCTGTAATTCATCTGAAGAAGTTTGATGTCTGAATAGATTCTATAGTAGCAGATTGTTAGGATAGCAAATTTAGAATAAAAGTTCAAAATAATCATACTTTTTTTTATATAAAATGTTGTTCTGTCAATTTCAATACAATAAATCGTGCCAATTGCCAAGTTAGCGTCTTTGTTTTTGCCTCTGTGTACTAGTGTGTAGTAGTTACTCTATACTCACACAATGAATCATACATTAAACTATTGCCTCTTAGTCATATAGCTATCTGCTAGTTTATCTGCAGGCTGACATTGAAACCAGGAAGTGTTATTTGAAATGGATTTAGCTGTGCTTGTAAAAACGGCAAACTTTGCCGCTAAGAAACACAAAGACCAACGTAGGAAAGATGTTTCAAAAACACCTTATATCAATCATCCAATAGGTATGTATGTATATACTGAGATGTCATATCCATTGCGACTTTTTTGCGGAAGCATCAACATAATTGCCTGCTTTGCGAAAGTCCACATAGTGTCATATTTGTAAGGCTTTAATCAGATACTACAACAGTAAATATGCAGTCGTACATGATGTTATATATGTGTGTAGTTCTCTTCTTTCCCCTAGTCAAAAAGCAGGAATTTCTCAAAGTGAGGCAAAACTTTGAAGGCTGGGTAAAGCTTTATAGAACTTTCTTTCTGAATGCATATACCTAAGATAATAATGGCTCAAACTGCTGCATTAAACTCTTTTTCAATCAGAAATCACCAGCTTGTGAATATTCATTTGCTATTCCCAACGAACACTATAGATTTATCAAACTTTAAAATTAAGAATTTAATACAAACAGGGGTTGCAAACATTCTTTCTGAAGAGGGATGCATTACAGAACTTGAAGTTTTACAAGGAGCATTGCTCCATGATACTGTGGAGGATACAGATACAACATTAGATGAAATAGAAGAAATATTCGGCAAAACAGTAAGGTGAGACGTGTTTAGGACCAATCAGCAAAAACATATAAATTACTCTTAAAACTACAGTGATAGGTTATTAAAATTTTACATCCCGCTTGCTAATACAAACGGTACAACAGTAATAAATGTACTTGTGGACTTGAAAGAAGATGGCTGATCTTTTACACATTATTAGCAATTTGTAAACTTTTCTGCTTGACAGAGACATTGTAACAGAGGTGACCGACGACAAATCCTTGGCAAAGCAAGAAAGAAAACGCCTTCAGGTTGTGAATGCACCACATAAATCGAGACAAGCTAAACTTGTAAAATTGGCAGACAAACTCTACAATCTCAGGGATTTATGTCGAGAAACACCAGAAGGTAATATTGCTATTTGTTTTACAGTGATTCTATTTATGGCACCAGTTTGGGATAATAATTATAATTTCAAAATAAATGATTAAAAAGGGTTGCATATTATAAGCTTAACACTAATAATACTCCATTCTAACGGGAAATTTATTTTTAGGTTGGACTGCTGAGAGAGTGCAGGAATATTTTGAGTGGGCATACCAGGTTGTATCTGGACTGCGAGGCACCAATGAAGCTTTGGAAAAACAACTTGATGAAATTTTTATATCAAAGGGTGTTCATAAAGGATAAAGTAGATTGCACACATAGAAAAAATACACACAGTTTTAGAACAAAAATTTGCAACCAGTTGTAGCGTAAAACAGGACTCTGTCCCCCAATGATTGCTAACGTGAACATTCAACAAAATCTACTGCTTACAATGTGTAAAAACTTATCTCGCATGGCTTTTTTAAAATCAACATACCACCTTATTAAGTTAATTCGAGACCTAACTTTGGCACGATGAGTCATTTCTTGAAATTCTTGAACTATATTGGGAAGCTCATTTTCCCAATTCTTGACAAAAATGACAGGAGCACCATACTTTTTTAACAGTCTATATGGAGATGAGTAATTTTTATTCTCATTGTAGTCACAGGTGCCTTCTGACACGACATCCTCTATTACAGGTATGGAGCCAAGCTCCATTGCTTCATAAGTTCTGTAGCACTCTGAATTTCTACCCGCAGGTGATAGTGTTAAATCGCTTGCTAGTAAAACATGCTGATAGTTTGTCATGCTTTCTGAATCCTCTTCCGGTACCCAGCTGTATTAAGCAGTACGAATGTTGATTGATGCATTAGTTAAAATACTTGGAAGCTATGAATATATTTAGACCAGTGGTTCTCAAACGGAAGGGCGTAGACAATTTTTGAGGGGCCGTGAAGCTAATAACATACCTTCTTACTGTTATTTGTAGCTTATTGTTAGCTAGTTTTTCCAAGGTAGGGTGTGGCTTGAAGTTTGAGAACCACTGATTTAGACAAATTAAACCATAAGAATACCATGTAGAATAACTATTGTTTTTTTATGAACCATATAGTAATACCATAGTAGCACCAATCTAATCACTCTCATGTGGAGTCTTGACATGTTTTTATCGCTGTCGAAAACGAATTTTGAATTTTTAGAAAGTTTCAATGTTCATAAGAAAACAAAAAAGCGTTGCATGTGCCAAATATGGCTCAGGATTAGGAGGCTGGTGTAAATTTTTGCCAACTTCAGTAAAGCTTTGCTCATATGCATTTCCAAAATATGCTATCACTTACTTTTCTCTTGTTTTTATGTATTTCTTTGTCTGATTTTTTATATGTTGATACACTGTATTCATCATACTAACTCTGGATGACCCATCATACACTGTACCAATAAAATTGAATACATATGGTCTTTGTGCACTTAAGTCCAGGAATTCTTCATTAAAATTTTGGAAATTCCTATATCTAAAAGTTGATTTGAATTTCAGAAATCAATTAATATGTTATTCCACTTAATAATCTATTAAACTAGACAGGCAGGCAGTTTTATATAGTATTTATTGTAAAATGTACCACTTCACATCACTTGAGACTGATTGTAGTCAATTAGTCATAATTGAAAAATATAGTACTTTTACTCACGATGCAACTCCTAGAGGCCACTGGAAAACTAACTCATCATCGACTAAAGTAGAATCATACACCATGAATACACATTTAATTCTGCTTTGTTGTAGGTACGGTTGAAGCCAATCATTATCACAAGTTTCGCTCCCAAGTAAAATAATTGCAACTTTTTCTATATATGCACTTTTCAATACATGATCCACCCACAGTTTTGCATTTGGAATCAGATTAGTATCTCTCGCATTGACGACCAACACTATGTTGGGATGGGATGGTGTAAGAGCATAATCTGGTGTTAAACCATATCCAAGGTTATACCTAAAGAAATAAAAGAAGTGCTGTATTTAGATATTGTGGGAGATTAGAAGTTATCAAAACAAGATTCAAAATCCAAAGCTTCAGAGAAACTTCTAGGTCTGAATAAACTTCAAAATAATAAACAAAGCTTCAGGGATCTAGCTTTACACAAATACCGTTCAAATTGGTCAGGGACCACAAGAACTTATTTCAGACTTTGTGTAAATGTAACAAATATTAGGTTTGAAATTACGACTAAACTATGATGAAGCTGCTAGCATTGAACCCAGTGGTGGAATTCAAATTTTTTGTCAGCCGTTTCCTTCACAAAAGTCATATTTTTCAGCCGTTTCTGTTGCAAACAGAACATTGACAGTAACCGGTTCGCTGATCTCATAAAATTCCGTGAGACGGTCATATTGGACTGGCTGAATCCCACCACTGATTAAACCTAATGTTAAGAATAATTTGTACCCTATTTATATAGTATACTTTATAGAAAAGTTGTCAGTCTTCAATGAACTCTGTATCCATCCATTATTTAAATTGTATTGGGTTATTTCTCCATGAAGTATGTTTCTCCACAAATATATTCCCAAACCACATGTATCCCAGATAGCAAATTCGCATTGCTCTTGGTGGGAATCAACATTTAAGGTCCTGTCCCTGGGTACTTGAGATCCTTTGTGAATATATTGAAGTCATAAATGTACAACTATTTTCGATAATTACGAACTGCAAACGGCTTACCACGTAAAAGTGGTGTATGCTAGTTCTGTAGTTATCTGCACCCCATAGTATCGTTCCTAATTTCATCCAGAGTATAACACAGTAACAATACTGCAATAGGGTATGGATACATGAAACACATAAATTGGCCCACTATATGATATTCTAAACTTAAGGAATTTGAAAGTTTTTAGGGAAGAAATTCGGGTCTAGTATAGTTTAGTACCACAAATACTTCCAGTGGGTGTAGCATAATGAATTTTGCATATGATATTCCTAACCCCTACCTGACTATGCTATCAAAAAATTACGTCACCATCGCGTCATATGGCTTGCCAAAGTTTAATTAACATCGCCCGAAATGGCATATGCGCCGCCGATAACAAACTCGCTAACGCCAGCGATCTCTCTCCTATCGTGATCGTTGTGGCGAGCTAACGAGAGAAGTAGCTTGCTCGATTTCGGGTGATCGTCTGCGCGTTTTGGACGACCATCCGCATACCTTGGTGGGCCTTATTACGCCACTGTGACATCGAAATGACGTAATTTTTCGGTGACGTAGTTAGGTGGGGGTTAGGATTGACATATGCAAAAATTGTCAACTAGAGCCAGGTCAACTAGAGGTACGTGTGGTACTAAACTATACCAGACCCAGAAATTCTACTTTGTATACTTAAGGTTATGTGTAGTAGGCTAATACTAATAATATTTACTTTTTTAGCATTATTATAATGCATAGAATGCACATATTATAAACTATTGAAAATGAAGTAAAAAATGTATATCAGAGCAAAGCTAAATAGTGTGCAGTGTACAGGTGTACAAAAAAGATAAAAATCAAGATTGTACTCAAGCTGTCAAGTTAAATCTGTAAATCCTACCTGAATTAGACTAATGAACCCACCTGGATATCTTCTCAAACCAGTCTCAGATTTTGACAGTGCTACATAGGCTCCGTACAACGAAACAAGTCCATAAGAAACACAAACAAGCAACAATGTGAACCCCTGTTTCCACCGTTTCATGCCCCACGACGTAGTGAACTGTGCAATTTCAATATATATTCGTATAAAATATACGTACGTATAAAATTGGTAGTCACTACAAACTCTATGACCCCTTTCCTCTCCCCGGGATAAATATGTAAATCCTATCCTTATTCAGTTATAGCCTAAAAGTCCTATAGTGGTGGTAGCAGCGCATTGGAGCAATATCAACAATGGCGTAGGCCGGTGGTTCCCAACCTTTTATGGCTCGTGACCCCCTTTCGACGGTTTTTTGCACTCGTGGCCCCCCTGTTCGCCATTCCAAAAAACTAGACGTTTTGGATTGTAGTCTACTACAGACAAAAGAAACCAAAGCTTTTTAGTGTAGGGAATCTTGCGCTTGGGACTATCTGACGAGGTTTCTTATATTAGGCATCGACTTTGATATAGCCTGACAAATTTCGCTGCCAACATCAAGACGGTTCCTAGATTTTGTTTCCTCCCACAGAAACCTGATCTCTGCCAATGTTGCTTTCTTGTCAAATCAAACTCGCTTGGCAGCCAAGAAACCGATGTCAACGTCTTTTATCTGGGGATGATTTTTGTCGCGGTGGTTTTGGATTGAGATGGACGTAGTCAGTGGTGGGATTCAGCCGGTTCGCACCGGCTCTATAGAACCGTCTCACATAATTTTATGAGATCAGTGAACCGGTGAGTATTACATGTTAGTGTCAATGAGTTTTTGTAACAGAACCGACTGAAAAATATGACTTTTGTGATGGAACCGGCTGACAAAAAATTTGAATCCCACCACTGGACGTAGGAATTTGTTTTTTATCAATTCTAAAAAAAACATCGTGTTTTAAAACAAGGTCTTGTTTTAAATCAATTTTTTTTCTGTAGGCTATTTTTTTTTTGAAATACCCCTTGCATCGCCGCGAAATTACGCCAAAACGTTGCGTTCTGGAGGCTGCATACACTGCCGGACTTCTAATTTCAAAAATGTGAGTAGGCTAAAATATTTTGTTTTCACTTTTATTTCTATTGCGTACATTTATCGCCACGGTGGTATCTACACAAAAGTCATAAGATTTCAACCGGAATGTATGTTTATCCGAGATACCAGAGAGACGTTTTGAGTGAGAATAATCATGAAACTTAGCTCACGAGCCTACCACAAAATTAATTAGATCAAGGGCAGCCTTCGGCAAAACGAGTGCCTTACGATAATGAAGAATAAACTTACATCGGTAGCAATCTACTGATTTAAACGATGAAAAGCGCTAGCCTAAGCTAATTGTAAGAGTCCTATATGATGCAAAGACGCTACAACTAATCTGTTATGAGTTATGACGCCATAATAAGGATTTCGAGGTATTGATATTTTTCTCATAAAATAAAGGCATTATTACGGTTAATACTGTTCGGTTGAGTTATGCTTAGCATACTTTGTTACTAAGGTTGAAGTGAGTTTTTCAAAGTTATACAAACTCATTTATTAGATCACATTTCAATTTTCGCGAGGTGGTTTCGTCGCAGGGTCGTTCACGTAATGGCTTATCGGTTACGTCTTACGTGCTTACACGTTTGGGGTCACGAACTACATATAAGAAGCGCTTGAAAAGTTTCTACATTCATTTTCCATGAACCTATTTAATACAAAAAAATCAAATAGTACGGCCATTTTGAACAATACAGGCAGAAAAACTTAATTTAAAACAATTGTTTTAAAACAATTCTTTTTGAACAAATCCTTAACTGGACGTAATGATTCATTGCTCATTACATATATACGAGCAATGCAATCATTGAGCACATTCTTTCTGATCTCGATTTACTTTTTTAAAGTCAGCGTAACCGTCGTTCCAATTTTGTATTTTGGGCATTAGGACTTTACATATGGGTTTTTGCGCCAATGCTACGATACTGAAGGTTGTCTTGCAGTCTAGCGAAACCGCCCCCCTGCAGTTTGGACGGCCTCCAGCGAACTATTTTGATCGGTAGATTTTAAATTCCATTATGATCAAACAATTCACGCACAGAATACACCCTGTGATTGCATATAACCTATTAAGGTAATGAAACTGCGGTGAACGCCTAAACGGGGAGAGAGAGAGAGAGTTTATTTCATTTTGTCAAACCAAGAAAACAATTTATGCACACATAAACAAATATCAAAAAAATAGTTTTCGGTATATGACTGGGGGGCAACGATACGACCTTTGGGGGTCATCAGAGTCAGTTGCCACCCAATTATATTAAATAAGCATAAAAATAACAGGTTCGTGTCAATATATCAATGTCTCTCACGATTTATACTATGTACAATATTTACATGAATTTCCTATTTTTAATTATGGAAGCATTCTTTTAAATAATAGGATTTTGCACAAATTGAAATTATATTGCAAAATATAAAATGATCAAAACGAAAAAAAGTGGGAAAGCAGGTCAGACAAGCTACCCCTTATTTGGGTAACTTGTTTTATTGAATGAATTTAGGTTAAACATAACAAGTGGGATTTTGAACAAGCAAATATGGGTAGAGTTCTATTCTACACACACTAGTGCAATGTAATCAGATGCATGGGTTGAGTCATCAAAACAAATTAGAATTTGGTTTAAACAACAAAAAAATGCATTTCAAAAATGCAATACATTGTAAACTTTGTATAAACAAACAATCGATATTAAAATATCAAGAAAGTTAATGCAAAAACAAAACAGTTGACTTAATGTAGGAACAAATAAGATTCAATATTTCATAACACTATGTGAAATGATTCAGAACACTTTAAAAATAAACATCAAATATTAGTGTTTGTACATAGAAATAGAACAATTCATAAATCAAGGCCATTTATCCCGATTTTTACACTAATTGGTAGTAAATGGATTAATTTATCATAGATTAGCCAGGGATCTCAATAGGAAAGTATTGAGATATCGTTGGTAGGTCAAAGGTTGATGAAAAAGAGCTAATAACTTAGCATATTAACTTCATAAGATAGAAAAATTGAGTGGAACATTTTATTACACAATTAGGGACTCTTTTACATGAGAGCATTTAATAATAGCAATCAAAAAATAAATCAAATAAATAAAGAGCTCATGTCAACAAGGAAATATCATGAATGCATAAAAGCTTGGCATATTAAATTTATAATATAGAAAAAAAGAATGTAACATTTTGTAATATGATTTGGGACACTTCAAATGTGATATTAATAGTAGTTATCAAATATAGAGATAAAGAGCACATGTTAGCGAGGAAGTAACTTGAAGGTAAATATAAGGTTGGCATAACTCTATAAAATGGAAAATGAGAAATGTAACATTTATAACTTGATTTCGAATACTTTGAATATGAACATTAAATAATAGTAATAGAGTATAAGAAAAAAATCAAATAAAGAGCTCATGTCAACAAGGAAATATCATGAATGCAATACAAGATTGGCTCATTAACTTTATGATATAGAAAATAAAGAATGGAACATGATTTGGGTCACTATAAATGAAATATTACGGTAGTTATCAAATATATAAATGAAGAGCACATGTTGCCGAACAAGTAACATGTATGTAATATAAGCTTGGCTTAACTTTATAAATGGAGAATGTAACCATTTTTTAAACACAAATTTAGACAATTTGGAAATTAACAATTAATAATAGTAATCTAATATAAAAAAAAAATAGCTCATTTTGCCAAGGTATCAATATCCTGAATGAAATTTTGGTTTTAGAGTTTTAAAGTAGAACTCGCAATATGTACAATTTGTAGATATAGTGAAGGATTGCAAACATAAAAAAACAGTAGTCTTCAAAATCACAATGAGATATCAACAACAATTCACTGCGAAGACACAAGTCAGGCATATTGGAATTGCAAGTGTATATGAACAACAACAATTCACTGTGAATACACAAGTCAGGCATATTGGAATTGCAAGTGTATATGGATAAAAGGATACAGTGTATATTTACCCCTTACTAGGCTAGGACCAAATCGACAAACATCAAACTTCAGCAAGGAAACGAAGTCTCTTTATAATCAACTATTAGCTATGGGTCGTGGCCTCCCTTGAACCGCTTCGTGGCCCCCTTGGGGGGCCACCGGGCCCCGGTTGAGAACCAATGGCTTAGGCACTTTGGTGATACGAAGATATCGCATTAGGAATGGCGCATTATCAACTATGATGCCGCATTAGAGCGCATTGGGAGCAAAGTGACTATAAACCACTGGAAGTAATGCGGGGTCGCATTAGGAGCAGTGCATTACGCTCAGTGAGGCCGCATTGTCAACAGCCCAACGGGAACGATGTGTGGTCGCATTAGGCATGGCAAGTTCTCATATTACATCAGGTCAGGTAAGCAATTGATTTTCTGAGTGAGCCAGTCACAGATATTAGACTTCAGGACTTGGTTACGGTACTGGGCCGGAATCAAATATGAAAAACTAAGAAAAAGATTAAACTTGTTTAATGCTTGATTTCAGTGATTATGAATTTTATAATAATATGAGTATAAGTTTATTTGGACTCCATAATCAGCATACGATACCGTTATAGACGATAAAGTAATTGATAAAAACGAAACAAATAATGCTGAAAAGTTCAGTGTATGCGGTAACCCTACTAGTGCTGTAGTGTCAATCACCAGGCATAAAATACGGTAATGCTCGAAAGAAATAGAGGTGCGTTTCAAAACGTGATACCAAATGTGAACAGAGTATCAGAAAAGTGAAAATGTTGATTGTTGGTCCTAAAAATATGGAGACTCAAGGGAATAACTCTCAGTAGGCTACATCAGTACAAAAATGTTATGCAAAAACTTTACCGATAGCCTACGTCTGTACGTATAACATTTTTGGTTAAAAATTTTATTTATTAAAAAAAAACTATAAATAGAAAACAGTTCATTTACAAAAGCTAGTCCAACTGCTAGGCTAATGTTTGTACAATAATAAAAAGAAGTACAATCAGACAATGTAACAAACGGGGTCATTATGATGTTATTTTCACTGCTTGTAGTTTTGTTCCACATAGTCATAATTGAATTGATATTTTTTCAAGGAGTCTGCCACTTTCAAGAGGTCAACATTGCAACATATGCCCTCGAAATTATGATATGCAGAGTGCGGACAAAGATTATACATTCTGACATTATACAGTTATACCGAATGTAACCTGAAAGCATCTTCCATTTTCAAAGCAGTTTCGGCTGAATAGTGTCCATTCTAAATGTAGTTCTGATTTTTGTTTCAGATCTGAATTGTGTTAATGGTTGTTGACGTAATGAAATGCCATCAGATATCATGATGATTGAATAATAATTTGTTGTATGGAGTGAACCTTAATTGTAAAAAAAAAATTAAAACTGTAAATGGATTTCAGTCCAAATGCTGCACTTTCAATACCATGTGTGGTAGTTCACATATTTTCCTATTTGCCAATACGAGACCTTGTTAAGCAGCAGCGTGTTTGTAAACTATGGAAGCAATGCTCTGAACAAATATTGTTTGAAAGAAGTCAATTTGGCAAAATTGAAATTTTAACATTGATAAAAATTCAACAACGTTATAACAGTGAGGATGAATACGAGGACTGGTCAAGTAATACTGGTGATGATTTTTTCAAAGATGATTTTATGAGATGGAGAGAAAAGTGGAGAATTATTCCATCATTATTGATGTGCGCCTCATACTTGCCCGACAGTTCAGCTCTGAAACTTGAGAAGCAGTGGCTTCCCAAAAATTGTATAGCTTTGGTGTTCGAAACTGCTGGCACCATATGTATCGATGGCGAAAAATCTCAAATTGAAGATGACCTTGACATTGTTGATGTTTCCACATCTCACAATTTGATTGCACTCGCAAATGACATCCAGACAAATGTTCTTTATTTGAAAACTGGAGGAGGGAAGGAGTCGAGAGATCTTTTTTTGTCTAAATTTAAAACTATACTCACAAATGAAGCCACTAAATTTGTCCTGGTAATTGCTAGTAGTAGGTTCGAAAACCTGAAAACTCTGGAAAATGACATCAACAGCGCAACTGAAAAGGGTATTGTAATTCTTGGCTGTAGTTCATGTGAATCTCTCCTATTACTCTGCCCAGATGAACATGTTAAAACAGACATTATTGCAGTATCATTAGAGGGTTCGAGTATTAAGGCAGCTTCTACCTATATCAGTGAAAATGACATTGGTGAAGAATTAACAGTGACAAAATTATATGATTGTATTTTGTCACTAAAAAATGTTATTGATAAATTCTTTGAATCATGTCCGGCTCATGTAAATAATTTAGATGAATTAGGGTTTTGCAAATTATGTCATTCTCAAACAATTGGATTTATAATAATGACTCCTCGTTCCAAACAAGAGTGGTATGAAGAATATGATGAAAACCCACGTCCTATTTGCTTCAATCAAGAGCAGGATGCTTTTCGTGCAATATTTCCAAATGTTCCTTTGTTTGGTTCATATGGGGAAGGAATTATTGGGGGTTCAATAAATATACCGAATGCAAAGAACCATTCTATCTTCACAGATCCAGAAGTTTTTGCGATGTGTTTTGGGGTATTGGTGCTCTCATAACAGAATGGGTTCAGGGCTTGAGACATTAGGTTATTTTCAAAATTTGTGGCCCTTTAGTCAGCCAATACTGTTAAACCTACTGCTGCCTTGACAGGAGAGCAATACTCAAATATGTGGTCATGGCACAGCAAAATTTCAGGAGAAATCAGTGTGATGGACATTAGGAAAAACTTGTAAAAGAATAGCCTAAAAAGGTAATAACCTTTTTAGCAGCTTCAAGTACCGAAACAGTTTGTGTCTAACTTCAACAATATGGTCTTTGAGAATAAATCTGGTGTGTGTTCCATTATATGAAATGTTCTATCATTCTGTTTGTCATTTTTCATTTTGTTATATATCTTATATTTATTTCTACACAATATTGTACTTTTATTTGCATCACACTAATGTTACTCATATTTTCCAGATTTTATTCAACTTTGTATCTATATTAGTATATAGCTAATTATATTCAAAATGTCTGGTAGACAAGGTAAGTTCATATATTTTGCAATGTTGCTTATTGCGTTATATTTTCAATTCAATTGTTTAAATCCTATACTGAATGACTTGTTCACCTCACGATCAAGAAAGTATTTCTCAATGTAATGTCCATACCATATGTCAATAGTTACAAGCTTACAACATCGTAAAATTGCTTGTTCAATTCTTATTGTGACCTTTTCTATGGTTAAATAAGCTTTTATATTGGCTTCTAAGTCAAATTAATAGAAGTCAAACTTGATGAATTTTAGGTCGTCAGGCCTTGCAACACTTGTGACTCGCAATTTCATAATTTTATATTTGCACTGACAGAAGATCAATTTGTGTAGAAATTAGTGAAACCAATTATGGCTGTCTTATTTAACGAGTTCGTTTAACTAAGATGCTTTTTCAAACATAGAAATTTATTTTTGTATTAAACGTTAAGGTGGCAAAAAGAAACCATTAAAGCAGCCAAAGAAGGAACAAAAAGATATGGACGATGATGAAAAAGCATTCAAGCAAAAACAGAGAGAAGAAGCAAAAAAGTTACAGGAACTGAAGGCAAAAGCTTCTGGCAAAGGACCTCTTTGTGGGTGTTATTTAAATCATTTGTTGTTTAGTCTGATGATTGATTTATCTTCAATAAATATAGTAGGACAGTTGTGTGTATTGCCTAGAATGTTAAACAACATCTCTGTGTATTTATATTTTACTTGGAAGTATTCAAGGTATTTCTAAACCCTAAATTACCGAAAATAATAGCTTCTTTCATATCGATATATAATCGATGTAGTCTCGCACAGGGGGTTGTCAGGCCTTCGGAGCAAAAAAACTTATAATACTGAAATAAATGATTAAACAAATATTTGGACATTGCAATACCAACATAATTGCATGATAAGCATAATGAAAAATTCAATTCTGGTTTCCCCAGGTATACTATAAGAAAGACAAAATAACAAAGCATTGGGAACATTCAATGAGTGTTCGTCTTTTGGTATATTGAAATTAAAAACTTATTTCATAAATCTTATTTAATATTTTACTGATATGCATTGCAGCACAAGGTGGAATAAAGAAATCTGGAAAAAAATGACCTCAAGTGATGCAAGAAAATTTTTTAGTCACACTGGAACTCCAATAAACACTAGAATTGAGAAACAGGATAGAGATGTACAGAAATGTTGCAGTAGTATTGTCGCTAAACCAAAATCATATTAATAATTTCAGTTAATACATGCGATTCCAAATAAACTTGTTCTATAGCTGGGTATAGTTAATTAACATGCTGATTTGTACATTTGCTGCCAAAATATTTTGAATGCTTTTACTTCATACTATTTTTTAAAACAAGTAGAATCTACTACATTCTGCAATAAATTTTGTTGGTGACATGTTTATCCAGCATTTTGTTTTTCAATTGATAAAACTTCTTCCTTCAGAGTCCAGACAGTGGCTTGAAATAACTTGTAAAAGCCATTTCGTTTATAATAATAACACAAGTACAATTAAAATTCTCAGTCAACTTTTGATTATGTGCGTATTGATAAAGGAAAATCGTCAAGAGTTAATAGTCGATTGAGTATCCAGAGGTATTGTGGGTTTCTTATTCCATCCACAAAATCTTTTTGAATTCTTTGAATTATGAAATGCCAAAAGAGATAAAGATACCATCTTTTTGATTTCATTCGAAACCTGTACTCTGCAAGAAATGAATTCAATTTATCAATACCTCCCATAATCTTTAGATCGGCAAGTATGTTGATAGGTATTTGTCTGTTAGATGCACGCGATATCTCACGAAGGCGTGGTTACATCTGCTCCAAATTTTGCATGTGCATTCATCATATCTCGAACCAGAAGCTCATTGATTTTGGATGAATTATGTCGTATAATTAGCGAGTTAATAATTAATTAGTGATGGGACACGCGGTGTCACTATAGTATAGAGTCATGGATCAAACCCGCAGTTTTGATCGATAAGCATGGCTATGTGTACATGCTGCTTCGTTCGTCTGTCCCACCGTCTGATTTGATCCACTCCTACGTACGAAGATAGTAGTGATACTGCCCTGTTGTCATACCAGCTTACGGCTATTATGTTATTTTTTTACTCAACTCTGAAGTCATATTCCCCCCTGCTTTCCTTTTTAATGTTTTTTCATCGTCTAGGTCATAGGTTCTCAAAGTGCTCCGTACGGAGCCCCAGGGCTCCGCGAGAGAAACCTAGGGGCTCCGCGAGCTATTAGATTACTTTTCAAAATACCGACTTGGATAATTGTGTAACTGTCCAAAGACGCAATAACAGCTTTACTAAAATTTGACAACAGTATAGTCGCGATTTTTTCAGCAGATAACGAGATTTCTGTTGCGTAAAATATTCAATCCATGATCGATGCGAGCATTTAAAATGTCTTGTCATAATAATTTAATGGTACTCATCGTTAATCACGTTTGATTCGAGATTACTAAAATAAAAATTTACTATTCTAAAATAACATAAAATACGTGATAAACTGCCAACTACAAATAAAATCGTATTTTGGGAATTTGTCAAATATGATTTGTTCTTTCGCACTCGAGATTATTTTTAAGCGAGATATTGCCGTTTCAAAAATCCCCAGGTCGCGCGTTAAAACTCAACGAGTACAATTTACAATTGTGCAATCCATGACTAATGCCGGCATTTTTGAACAGACTTGTTTATTGGTTTAATTGTGTTCAATGTAACCTGCAGTTGTGCCGACTCACGACAATAAAAATCATTACTTCTCAAATTATCACGACAATCCGCGGACATGAAATGAGAAACAATGAAACGAAGTTAAGTGAACGAAGTTCTTGTGGACTACCGTTTATCCTGAACGACGCTGTTATCATAAGATATATATTAGAAGCAAAGTCATACTGTCCACAAAAGAACATACCTACTACTGGTGCCAGTAGTTTGATAAGATATTTGTGCCCGTCCCGATTAAATCGTAATCATGACTGATAGAGTGGTAGATTATAGCGTATTCGACAAATTTAGGCCGTTTTTTCAACACTAACTCCGTCCCATCGCAGGTCTACCACTCAGATTCTTTGCAAGATATCGCCGTTGAAAAAATCACAAGGTCTGGGCAAAATACGAACGAGTGAAATTTATTTTATTGTAGGTACATCACATCACGCGCACAATTGACTGTGTTTCGATTTCAGTTACTATGATGGATAACCAAAAAAACCTAACATAACACCAAATTTTGTGATTACAATGACTAAAAAAGCGTTTTCAATCTGTCACGAGTCTGCAAAAACAAAATTATAGTGGTATCTTCCGTTTTAAGTTTTAATATATTTTTCATAATTCCGCTTTTCAATCAAGAAATTTGAGTTGCGGATTTACCTCATTTTTAAATAACATGTTTTTCACATTTAACTCATAATTCCCCACGAGAACAAAAAAGCAATTATTGTCGTCATTGTGGAACAATACATGTATATGCCGAAGGAAATTTAGATTTAGATAGGGAGAATAAACACAGACATAAAGATGTTTAGGGTTTGAAAAACACGTCACTCTGACGAAGACAGTCGGCGATTGTAACAAAATGCAATCGCGAACGTTATTAGCGACCTTTTAAGTCTTCCAAAAAACATCAAAAGGGAAAAGATTCGACCCCTAATTTATAAATATGTTTGTCGAGTGTCAAATTTACAGCCTTAATATGTATAATTTATCTTTGAAATTCAGATTTATTTATGACTTGTATTAGCCCTATTAAAAAAGGTTTAGCATTTAAATAAAGTAAAGTACTTTTAACTTACTCAGTAATATTAATCGGAAAGTAACAATTTTAATATTTATTTTGGGCTCCGTGAATAATAGTCAACCACTTTGAGGGCTCCGCAACACAAAAAGTTTGAGAACCCCTGGTCTAGGTTACAGCTGGGTAGGCGGTTTTTTCTCACTGTGCCAACATATTGCATTCCCCTCTGATAATTTTTGGATGAATGGAAAGCTGATAAAAAGGTTTCCTCTGTCACAAAACGGCGGAAATAACGCAATGGCGTATCTACAATCATGTCAGCTGGAGGATCCAATTGTGGGCCGGAGAATGTAGCATCAGGTCTATCGGAGTGTTTCTTTCTCCACCAAAACTCATTGCGGTCGGTTGCATTTTCTTTTTGGCTATGTTTTTGATTCTGCATTCGTAAAATCGTCAAAGGATCGTCGTCGTCAGCACTTTCGGACTCAACCCGTAAAATGAAATATCACGAAATGAGAACAAAGAACAACATTATATTACTTGTTTCGATCAATGAGTGAGCAAGATATTTGTCAGAAGATATTTTCGGTGTCTGTGAGCGATAATTGATCGTAAGCAGTTGTGTAATGCTTCTTTAGGAAAAGAAATTATGTAATCATCATTTGAAAATATCAGGAACCTGGGAACCGTTGTTTTCGTTTTTTCTGATATCGTATTCACTATCTGACTTGACCCACTACTAGTAAGATCGTGTAATAGGGGTGTTACGTGGGTTCCCTAGGGTGTAGGGATTCCAAATCCAATATTCGAATATCGCGATCTTCAAATATCGTTTTTTTGTGTTCGATAAATATGGCGCACGTATCCTAGCGCCGCCGTCCACGTTTTGATTTAAAAAGCATTTAAGATTTTTTTTATCGCATTCGAAGACCGCTGACATAAATTATAGCCGACATTAAAGGATAACACGTCGAGGGTGTTTTGGATTGGAATTATTTTACAATTATTATCATATATTTCAATTTGGGGTGTACTAGGCCTAGGGTACTGTGTACTGAACCCGGCAACCACAAGGAATCAACGTAAAAGACTGAAACTCAACGAAAACGAACCTTGAACAAACAACAACAAAGAACAAACCATACAAAAAAGTTCAAAAACAAACACTGGAACATCTTCAAATGTCGACTGAATATCATTCTTCTAGACTAGAGTCTACTCTAGACAGCACAATAGAGACAGACTCAACCCATTCATCTCTAATATTCTCGTATTTTTTAGTATAATATTTCTAACCGACTATTGATCTTTATCATTTGCAGCCATATCTTGTTTTATATGAAGAAGTTAAACTGTGATCTAACGCAAGCTCATAAATAAACTTACTATTTCGTGGAAATAGATTTTGTTATTTCATTTCAATTTAGTCGAGATAGTTTGTGCGGCTTCGGCCATAAATCTAAAAGAAAATTGTGTCGTAATCAATTGTTGTTATCTGTAGTTTCGATAGTGACCGAACATAACGGAAATTATTTCATTTCTCGCAATTCAGAGCGTATAAAGTAGCTCTCAAATATTATTTAGTATCTATCGCGGATTTTATCGTGATCCTGACGTCGTTGATAACAATATCGTTCAGTTCAAGTCGGTGGTATTAATTAAAATCGTAACAGCTGACATGAAATTTTTAACTCAGCGCCGCCTCGAAAAATGAAAAAGTAAAACGTTTTCCGGACCTAATTCTCCTTCATTGGCGGATGGGAACTTGGGACGCGGCTCCACTCATTTGGTAATGACAATGGTAAATAAACAAAGGTACACAAACATACCGTTCGTAGTTTTTATTCGTTATTTCACTGTTCTTCTGTGTGTATTAGGGCCTTTACAGTTAAAATGCGTACCCACTTACGGAATTTTCCACTTACGAACGGGCGTCCGGAACAAATCAATTTCGTAGGTAGAGTTTCTACTGTATTTGGTGATATCAGAGTTATATCTGGTTTCGGCAACTGAGTATAATGATATAATTTATGGCGACAAATTTGCCACGAAGGCTACGGTCAGTGAGTGTCCAACTAGGGCTGGCGAAATGTCAATGTGTGTCCGATTAGCGCCATCGAAACACAGTCATTGCGTGTACGACAAGGGCTCTGCCTCTGTTATTCATAACTATGTAGGATATAATTTACATATTTATCCCGGGGAGAGGAAAGCCGATAAGACGGCTTAATCATATGGAGAACCACGGCCTCTCGTCCGGTTACCAGTCCAGGTCGGGCTTGGGATCAGTTAGCCAGTTTTCTGTTTTCAAAAGAATGGACTTGAATTGCGTTACGGGAATTGGTGTCATTGACCCTATAACCCTAGCCGTAATCGGACTGACTGACCCTAATTGGACACGCATGGCCTTATTTCGCTAACACTGATAGAACTTTCATGCTACCACCACTGTAGATGGGAGCATTTATTTATATTCCTCTTTCAACTAATTACTGAATTATGTTATACATCAGAGTTTGGGTCATGAAAGTCGATTTATATTTTTTCGATTGCGGAATCGATATTTACACTAACTGATAAATTTAATGTCAAATGGAAACATTGATGATGAAATCTCTTCTGCTGAGAGATTGCTATCCTGGAGACCAGGGATTCAGTCCAACTCTTTACCATCTAAAGGTGGCCCTAAATTCTTTGGAACCAGTGACACTGTTGTTGAAGAATGTAAGGTGAATACACAATTGGATAAATATGCTTCTGTACTACACTCGGAAAAAGTCAGGAAATTGAGTAATCTGGGAAGTGCGGAATGGATGGAAAGTCTGGGAGTAGCAAAAATCACAAAGCAAGGTAAATTCATGCAAAGCATGTGCCATCATAATGGTGAATTTTTTGCCCTTTTTGGTGAAGAGGCATTGTTCCTACTAGACATTGGTGACTTAGAGTTAACTTTAAATGGTGTCCCACTGGCACTGCAAGAGGCTTACTCGTTTATTTTAAACAATGATAAAAGCTGCTGTAGCTTACAGGATTATCAGGTATATTCATATTTGGTCAAACGAGGATATATTGTCCAGAGGTACTCGTTAGGTGACAATTGTACTGGACTTGTGGAAAAAGAAAAAGCAGCCAAACGAAAGCTTCCTAAGGATGATGAATTCGAAGAAGGAAACTCAAAACAATCCAAACAAGATCCCAAGGTAGTTTTAAAAGAAATTTTGTCTCCAAAATCATCTAGAGGTTGGAATATGCAGTCTCTTCCAGCATTATCTCCATATTCACTTTCCCATTGTACTTCCATATTAGATGCAAAATTTTTTCCCAATCTATCAAATAAGTCATATACATATTTGCCAAAGCCAGATGCAAGTCTAATACCACCAAATATTGACGCACATGAGTATAATATTGAAGAAATCTGGTTTCAACGAATCCAAAAGGATTATGTCAATGAAAAAAGAAACCCACAACATTCAAATATGATTAACCTTAATGATATTGCGCGGGGGGCAAAAACATGGACTGAATATAAGAAAATGGTGAAAATAGCCAAGCATAAAAAGACTGGTAAGCATTTTGAGCTGCTTGATAAGATGCATTCAGGCAATATTAAACCCTTATTACATCCATCACAGGCAACTAGTGTGGATCAAGTTGTCAAAGAAATAAAACTAACCAATGATGCATCTGATAAAAAATTTCAAAACATGCAACCACATAACCAAACTTGTACCATTAAATATAATGTGTTTAAGAGTGATTCATTACCTTTCAAAAAAACAAATCCTGGTACACCATTTTGTAGGATAGTTGTAACAACAATTCAGGACGAATTTCCTGATATACTGACTAATATTACTATTAATAGACAATCAAATAGTGTCCCAGTCAAATATGGAGTTGTTGATTATGGACAAATATCATTTTTTTCCATTGATGAAGGTGGTGTTCCCACTATAATTAATGATTCGTGATAGTGTTTTCATCTCTCATGCTCCAAAATCAGACATGATTTTCAAGATTGGCAATAAATATTATTTTCATAAATAATGAGTCTGATATTTGATAGAAGTTGCACGGTGACGATGAACATTATCTCAGTGTTTCTCTGCGACAACTAACTGCTTGGAAATATTTCTTCAAATTTGTTGAGGATGTACTGAAATTATTCATGTTTCATAAAATTTTCTGCATTGTATATCAACAAAACAAAATATATTTTACAATACAGTGTATGTGCTTTAGTTCCAATGCTGAATAGGATTAGTTAACCTTACATTTTCGCATGTTCTGTTGAGTCAAATGTCATACCAGGCAAATCATTGTTCCAAGTGTCATGGTCGAGCTACAGTTTTCATTGTGTATTATTAGAGACGTTTCAAACTCTGGTTATATCTGACAAATCGGAAAATTTGCCATGGTTCATTTCAAAGGAATATATTTGAGTCAACGTCCACTTGCTAATGAAGTGTTTTTATGATATGTAGTTTATATATTTCAAAACTGTTTTGAGGAGCATCAGTAATCGCAGGCCCTTTTCATCAATAATGTAACTTTTATTGGTATAAGAATGCTAATGAAAAATATCATAATTGATATAGATAAGTCGCCCACCAGCTGAAACATTTCCTACAATATACAGTAAGTCATATTTATTAATATACAATTTTAACAGATATATATTTACTACAACAGTATAAACATTGAAAACATGAAATCCACATTTGCAACCTTGCTCAAAATTATATAAATCCTCCGCTCTTATTATCAATTTATAATGGATAATTTGAAGATTAAACATTATTGCGAAAAGTGCCATCATGAATATATCTATTAGTGGTCAAACCGAACCATTTTCTACTATTCAAAATAGAAATTCAAAAATATTTCAAAATGAATTGGGGGATGTAATATCGCAGAAATATGAATGTTGATTTTCTACATTATTCTCAGATATGTTTAAGAAATCATTCAATAGAATACAACTAATTCAACATCCTCTTTCAATACCATCTTACACTTCTCACAGTATGAGTATTGGTTCAGAAACAATAATATGTCACAAAAATATCTTGAAAACGCTACATATAGCTAACTTTCAATGCCAAATTTGTCAAAATTTCTCAGTATTACATTCAGTTGTGCATGAACCTTTCCCATAGCAGTTGTATGCAATTTATACCTGTCTGCACCACTGTATATTAATTCTGGATTTTTCAATTGTGGGCATCCGCCAACAAAATATTGCATCAATTCTTCTTTAAATGTTCCATTGGGTTTCCATGTCATGCACTCAACTTCATGTGGTCCTGGAGACGACGGAATGTGAACAAATCCATAAGCATATAGCTCGTTTCTCCCAAATGCATCATGGTGCCAAATCTGCACATGTAGACGTGGCCAGCCCTGAAGTCCTTTAGTTGCGTAATGCAAGTCTATTGGATGACAAAATGCAGCGAACTCTTCATTTTGTGGATTGTCTACTTGAGTTTGTCCATCTTTTGAACCTGCTATCAACTTCCAGGCACCTCCTGCGTGAATTCCCCATTTGCAGAAAAGTCTATGATCTGGAAATTCACTCGCCCCAGTTAACTGACCAATAATATGGACTTCAGCCATGGTTTGTTTATAAATGGTTCAACATATTTATGATAAATCTTAAAGGCAAAGTAAAAAACAAATTAATATAATAGTATGGAACAATTGACGGACCTCCCGAAGTATGCGCACCAAGATGGCGCACAACCTGAACTCAGGTTGTGTACCAGGTTCAGGTTATGCGACATCTTGGTGCACATACTTCAGGAGTACCCAATTGACAAACCAAGTATAGCCTAGCTATATCAAAGTCGTTCGATACTGGAACATTAAATATGGGAATTCGATATGGAGTTTTTGCATCAGTATTACCGTAACTTAATGATTGAGGAATTGAGATTAAAACATTGCTTGCTTTCGAGCATGACCAAATGGCTAAACATCTATGAATAACTGGATAGAGAGGTTCTGGTATGACACAACATGACAGATGAAATACATTGCTAGATAAGAAAAAATGGTATTAATTTTTTAAATGGTATTTATTATTCAAAAAATATTTCACTTATTCAGTCTACAGTAAGACTGAAGCCGGTCAATACACTACTAGGGTGCGGTACCTGGACTGAACATACATTCAATTTTCCATTGGCAGCTATGACAATTTATTTTTATTAATGTTATGTGTAAACTGGCGCATGTTTATTTACATGTATTAAACCTTTATAAAAGTTTTGCAAGTTTCCCAAATTTTCGCAACCTTCTGTGTGTTCATTCTTGTGTTTTGTGTATGATTTTTTTTCGGGAAAATCAAAACATACTTATATAGGAACAAAAATAAATAACTACGTAGCGGTACCTACAGCATTAGCATACAAACATTCATTTCAGTACTTCAACCGTTATTCATTGATCACATTTATATCCAGCCATACAGGTAATTCTCAATGTAGTAAAACAAGATTATATATATGAAACACCGGAACTTAGAATAAATATTTTAACTAAAGAAACCGTATCCAGAATCGCAGAACAACAAATAAAGCGCGTATCCTGGAGCATTGATGCATTAATTTTAAATCAAGCGGTACCACTTAAACCCTTTGGTTGCAAAGGTCGAAGTTTCTTTTTTTACATATTTTTTGAAATTTGCTTCATTTGTTTTTGTTTTGTGTCAATTTTGAAATGAAATATGTTTTTTTTTAATATCAAATATTTTAAAACAATTTATAAAATTTAATAAAACCACAGCGTTAAGATATCTGTTGGCGATAATTTATATCTGCCACAGGGTTAATTTGGCGAGTTGAAATATTTCTCTTTCAGCTCGGCTCTGCTCTAGTCGTCGAAATGCGTTAAAGTGCACGAAATCCATATAAAAAAAATTCTTATTGGTAGCATATACTTACCTAGTGTGTTTCGAATAAATGAGCTCACCGTTTAGGAATGTAAATTTACAGCCTCCTGTTTTGTATTCTGTAATTGAGTATTCTGTAATTATTTTGACATTAATTCATTAATTGAAATAGGATTTTTTTCCATGTTGTATATATGAATTCTCATTCTTCAACCAATTGAGCCATAACAGTTTAACCAGTTTGAGTTATTGGATTAGAATATTTCATTAGTAAATATAGTAGAAATATTTATACTATTTTACTTAAAAATGTTTTCTTATTTTTAGACAATTTTATACCATATCACTGTATCACGTATGTTAGTAATTCACTTGAGCAAGTTTTCAGCAACACATTATCATGCGATCTGTTCCTCTCTGGTTGGATAAAGTTCAGGACAAAACAACTGCTGGACAATGGTACAGCATAGTAATTTATTTCTTATAAAAAATTGATATTAAGAATATGAATTTTGGTATAATAATCAAGAATATTATTATTCAAAATCACTTACCGGTGACCATTTTGTTTACTTTCCTCTCGAATGTTTTTACAAAGTTTTAGTTGTACATCTATTCTTTCAGCATATATGACTTGGCATTTAAACCCGATGGATCTCAGTTGATGGTTGCCGCGGGAAATAGAGTTTTAGTCTATGATCCGAGTGATGGGACACTGGAACAATCACTTAAAGGACACAAGGACTCTGTATATTGTGTCGCCTTTTCTAGAGATGGTGAGAGATTTTTTATTGCGTTTTGTGGTTTATTTATAGACAGGTTAACAGTAACTTCTGTACACAGTTGTAACTTCTTTTGTGATTATGCGAAATATCTGTTAGTAAGCTCTTTCGTCAAGTCAAGTTTATTTTTTCCAACCAGTAAAATAGATCTTTATTCAGCTGCAAGATGTGTTATTTAGATTGAAATGAAACAGTAGTGAAGTGGAAAAAAATTGGCATGGTCTCTTTCTGACAACTAACATGAATTTTTCTCTGTACAAAGTAAATTGCATTGCAGATTACAATTCAACGAAATCTGCTAAGAAAAGTTTCAATAAGCATTGTAAATAGCAGCCCACAATTACCATATCCAATTGTGATTCTAATTTACATTTTTCCTAGCAAGGTATAATATGGAATTTTGAATGAATAACTATCTGCTTTAAACTCTTTCTTTTTTATTAAAGGTAAACGTTTTGCTTCTGGCTCAGCTGACAAAAGTGTCATCATATGGACTGATTCATTGAGTGGGATATTGAAATACACGTATGTTTTTATTGGTTCCTAGCAGAGATGTCCCAAACAAATCTAATATTTTAATTAATTTGAAATGATTCGTATACAATTCTTGATTTTAAGAGTAATTTTAAATCGTTTTATTTAAAAAACGATCAATTTGAGCAATTAATAAGTTTCAAAATATGAGCAACAACGCCTTCAACTTCTGCAAACAGTCAAAAAAATGGATAAAAGAATGCTAAAATCATTGTTTATCTCAGCTTTTCGACATTTCCAAACTTTTGAATATTCCCTTACCGATACCTAAATCTTATCATTCCTCATTGACCATGGCCCAATTTACAACATAGCCCAGTGGTCGGCAACCTTTTTTAAGTGACGGATCGGTAAAGCTTGACCAAACTTTTGGCGGACCACCTTTATACAAACAAACTAAGCCTATGCAATAAATTATATGTTTCTTACTTCCAGCCTATTTCGATATTTTGCTTTTGTAGTTATCAATATTGAAAACCAGGCCTCACATTAGGATTTCGGGAAAGTTAACAATGCCTGTATTGTTTTGTTGGAGAGATCTTAGTCGGACTGATGAGAGTCATTTTTATACGGCCATAGAGAAAACAATTGACCCAGCATTATTGCAACATACTGACATGGCAATTGTTTATGAAATCAGACATGTTGCTCAATAGTGTTATGCAGTGGTCGGCAAACTTCATGTACTTGCGGGCAAAATATAAAAATTTCCGGCAGCGCGCGGGCCGCAGTATTTCCGCATTCGAACAATCGCTACCATGATTAAACTTCAAATTATGTCGCATTCGCATTGCTACCCTTCTATTACTGTATTGAAAGCCTGTCCCAATGAGATGTATATGTGGCATTTTTTTTATTATCCAACAATACTTTGTTTTTATGTACCGGTACTTATTATCAATGTGAAAGATGATGTTTTTATGGCGTCGTCCAAATGGTGATCTGACAAGCGAGTACGAAATTTAATCTGAGTGTAATGCATTTTAGATAAAGCTGCCCAGGGCCATATGTTTTTCCGAATGTGCACATTACACGTTTTGCACTGTCGCACAGATGAGCTGTGGCGCAGTCTCGGGGTCGAATTTTTGACGACACGTTGCGTAATGAGTTTAACATTGAAACCCTTAACTGCGATGCTGACTGGGCATATCGAGCAAACCGGTTTGGAATGCGCATTTTCCGTTTAAGCACTTTGGAATGCTCGACACGCGTCGCCCTGTTTTCCAGTCATTTTCAAATTTTCAAAAATCAAAATTAATTCGAACGACATACAACTGACGCTACTTGTTACATAAGAAGCTCCGTACAGCAGCACTTGTCACCACATAAATTTGGGATTAATTTTTAATTTATTTATTAAATGTCGGGTCGTTCAAGGGCCGCAACAAATTAGCTCGCGGGCCGCATTTTTCCCGACCCCTGATGTTGTGTTTGTCTGGTTTACTGTTGGGTGCTGTTTTTTAGTCGTAGGGTTTGAGGTTAGATTGTAGAGGTTTTATTACGGCATTGTCCGTTTTTGTGTCGCCTCTATGCGGACCGGCAGTAACCTTTCCGCGGACCGGCGATGGGCCACGACTCGGTGGTTGCCGACCGCTGATATAGCCTAATCAGTATCTCATATTTGAAAACAACTTTTTCAGAATGTTTTCGGGATAGTAAATCATTTGGTTTTGGTCATTACTGGTTTACAGTTCTGCACTTCGCACAATGGGCATAAGCAGTGTCAAATAAGTGATTTCTGTTTTCTATAACACCTTCATTTTTATTCACAGACACAATGATGCAATACAAGCTCTTGCATACAGTCCTGTAGCCCAACATCTCGTATCATGTGCAGTTTCTGATTTTGGTGAGAGGATTCTTATGAACAGCCGTATTTGTAATCAATAATCAATAAATTCATGTTAACTTATATATATTTTTGCATTTACCTCTTTTTAGGTCTGTGGTCACCAGAACAGAAATCAGTTAATAAGCATAAAGTGAATAGCAGAATCACATGCTGCAGGTTAGTATTCGTTTAATGATATTGTGAAAGAATCTCTTCTCCTCAACTAATGGACCATTCATTTTCAAATTGTCAATACTTAAAGACAGAAAAGTTGCAAGAAAGCTATTACTTTTTTTCAAATTATGTCCAATTGCTATGCCTTATGTTTCTCTGATTTTTTTTAAATTTATGGGAACACTTTTTATGACCTAAGGCAGGGGTGTGCAACCTACGACCCGCGGGCCAAATGTGGCCCACAAGGAAAAATTGTGCGGCCCGCGGAGACGTGCCAATTTTGAATTGTGTGCGCCCTGGGGAACAAGTTTTCAATTTAGTTCAATCTGGTGTGAGTGCGAGTAACCCCAATACCTTTGTATTGCAAAGCCTAAACCTGAGACCAATTTTTATGACGTTACAAATACAATGCCCTAACAGTAGTTAGCTTGTGCAAAGCGCTTATCATACGACCAAGTACCAAAATTTTTATGCCTGCAACTACTTTAAAGCAACTGTTAAATAAAGGTGCGGCCCGCGGTTTCTTCCAGTTATTCAAATGTGGCCCTCCTGTAATAAAGGTTGCACACCCTTGGACTAAGGGAACACGTCTTCCATCACACTTCCCCCTGACCTTCTTTATTTGTGAAATTTCCAGTGTGATATAACGTGTTATTGATATCGTGATGGATTAACTGGTCTTTGTTTATAATGTATTTTATGGTTCTTTTTAGCTGGACAAATGATGGGCAATATTTTGCAGTCGGATTGTTCAATGGCATTATCAGTATCAGAAGTAAATTAGGAGAAGAAAAAGTTAAAATAGAAAGACCTGGTGGTTCTTTAAGTCCTGTCTGGTGCTTACAGTGGAATCCTAACAAGTATGATCTATCATTATATTCAAGTGTAATACTGCATTATCACCATTTCACACGACCAAACCAATCATGACCACAGATTTGTCTTGATAGATAATTTGAAATAAACTACTTACCGGTAGTAAAAATCAGAAAAATATGCATAATATGCTCCCCTAATTTTTGGAATGAATATTAGTGATAAAAGGGCTTTATATATGCTAAGAAATATGATATTTAAAAAAAAATGAATTTATTTGATTCTCTCATTCATTATGTATTATAAATCATGATTAAGTGTTTTTGAACTTTTATCAAATTTTTCCTTTTATATTCTGGATATTTGTAACTTTAGTATAGGTTTACATTTCTTTATAACAGAGAGGAATCATATGATGTTCTTTCTGTTGGTGATTGGGGAAAGAAACTTTCATTCTATCACCTCAATGGAAAGCAGGTAGAACTTTTATAGACCTTTCATTTTATCTCTCGTTCAGCTAATAATTACTCGAATGCTCTTGCTTACCTTCTGGTGTCCTGGAGTAGAATACCATTTTTTCAGTGAAACTCTTTATGAACCAATTTTTCTCTGATATTAATTGGTATTTAAAATTTTTGATATATCAATTGATATATTGCAGATCTTTGCTTTATTAATAAAGGCAAATTTACAATTCATATATGTGATTGGTTGGTTATTTGAACAAGGATTACCAAAGTAGACTTTGCTTCATGAACAATTGCTAATGCAATATGATTCAAGTTTACTCATTTACATATTTGCTTCTTGATTTCGCAAAATTTCTTGAATTCATTTTGCAGGTACCGGTAATCAAATTTTTTTTTTTCAACATGTATTTTGTATATCTACATTCTCAAAATACCTTTTTCCGATACCTTAGATCAGGGGTATCTGAAACTGTGGCCCGCGAGCTAATTTGTTGCGGCCCTCGAATGACCCGACATTTGATACATGAAACAAAAATTGATCCTAAATTTTTTATTGTCTTTACACGGATTTATGTGATAACAAGTACTGCTGTACGGCACTTATTTCGTAACAAGGAGCGACGTTCGAGTTAATTTTGATTCTTAGTTAAAAATGTCTGCGAAACTTCCAAATTGCTTTGACGGAAAAATATTTTTCTTACGCATTCCAAAACTAGTTTGCATGATATGTCCAATCGGCGTCGCAGTTATTAAGGGATTCAATGTTAATCTCGTTACGGTTACATATTTTGTCATCGAAAATTCTCCCCTGCGTCACAGCTCATCTGTGCGACAGTGCGAAACGTGTAATGTGCATGTTCGGAAGAATATATTGGGGTGAGCAGCTTCATCTAAAATGCATTACACTTCAATTAAATTGTACTCGCTCGTCAGATCCTTATTTGGACGACGTACCGCGGCAAGTTGCCATAAAAACTTTATCCTTCACATTAATAATAAGTGAAAAAACAAGGTATTGTGGAATAATATATTAAAAAGAGCCACATGCACATCTGATTGTGGCAGGCTTTTAACGCAGCAATAGAAGGTGCGAATGCGCATAATTTGAAGTTTAATGTAGCGATTGTTCGAAGGCGAAAATATTGCGGCCCGCGCGCTACCGGAAACATGTATATTTGGCCCGCAAGCACATAAAGTTTGCCGACCCCTGCCTTAGATTTTCAGTTTTTTTTATGTGATTATGTAAATTATTTCAATATTTCCAATTGGAAGTATAATTGTATTTCTGATATTATCTTAATACATCGAAGCATGTTTAAAATTACAATTTTGGTGTATTTTCAAAAGATTGGCAAGGATGTGAAGCTTGATTTTGATCCATGTACTCTCTGTCATTTTATGAATGGAAAATATCTCATTGTTGGTGGATCAAATGGAAAATCTTCTCTTTACTCAAGGGATGGTCAATTTCTTGGACTGGTTGCTGATACTGGGGATAAATGGATGTGGGCGTCTGCATGGAAACCTGACAGTACTACTGTTGTATGTAGTAGTTTGTATAATTCTATATATTTGCTTGTTATTTTTGTAAATTCATTTTAACAATTTCCATCTACCCTTACTAAGATAACTACCGGTAGGTGTAGCTAAGAAATTGGTTATTGTAATGAAAATTATTAGAGATTTTTTCCAATATTATTTGAGATTGTGAGTAATAAGATAACTTTATTATAACAAATGAACAATATGCACGTAGTGGTTAAATGTTTGGATTTAACAGTGCTGCAGTAATCAGTTGCTGTTTGTAAAGGGCCTTGTACAGAGCCAAAGCCATGAATGAGCGCAGAATAAAAGAAAGACCATTAAAATAATTGTTTTAAACACCAATTTCCATTATAGCAATTACAGCCATAGGTTCAATTGAATGCTGATCTCAAAAATATTTATCATTTGGAATATGTTATTTTTGGGAAAGAACAGGAGTGTTTAAAATGAATCGAATATTTGAATAAATTCCCAATTGGTGATATTCGATGTAGTACATAAATGATTTAGGAAGAATTTTATTTGACAATTTATCTCTATCTGCATTGTACATTGATGACCAAACCCAAAATAGACTTCATTTAACTTTTGTCAGTTAAACAAGGTTATTCCGAATTGTTCTGCATTACCAAATTTAATCACTATCCATTTATAATATCTGCAAATTTGGCAATATTCCTTATTTGTATCGTAAATATTATTTCAGGATGTATTCAAAATAGTGACTAATTAGATTTTGTCTATTCTTGTTCAAGAGTGCATCATAAATAATGACGAACTACCTGTTTGTTCAGCAACCATTTAAATAGCCAACCTTCCTATAAAATATATTAATTTTACTTTACAATCTGTATTTCTACAGGTCAGTGGATCACAGAATGGTTCTATAAATTGTCATAATCTACTTTTTTCAACTGTTCATGGTTTGTATCGAGATCGTTATGCTTACAGAGAAAATCTAACTGATCTGGTCGTACAATTACTATCAGCAGTAGATGTTGAGGATACATCAAGTGGTTCCAAAATTCATCTGAGATGTCATGATTTAATAAAGAAAATATCAATATATAAAGATAAACTTGCTGTGAGTTAGAATTTTTTGTGTGATCTGTGTAGGAATATTATCGAGAATGTCATTCTTAGCACTGAATGATTCATATGAATGTCGTTCTTTTTTTCTACAAATGGAACAAATAGTTAATTAAATATTTTGAATCTGTTTGAAGTCTTTTTATCAACATGTTCCTATTTTTATCAAAATTTGTGAATTTATTTTATATGGTATATATCAGGGTGGTCCAAGATTGGCAGCTCCGCGGGCCACAAAATTACTCTTGTATTGTTCGCAGGCCACAATAGGGCCACAGATAATGAAGCGGCGGGCCACATGTGGCCCGCGGGCCAGGGTTTGGACCACCCTGGTATATATACTGAATGATTATGAATCATTTCTCACACTTTTCGGGGATGTTTTTGGTTGTCATCCCAAATTATCATATTTGCATTTATAAAGGGGAAAGCAATTCAACAGACGTGTCAATCCTTTACTTGTATATCTTTTTATGGTTAGAATATTTTGTTTACTGTTAGAGGATTTTCCAGTTTCAGACAATTCCTTAATCACACATTATGTTAAAACATGTAACTATGTAACAACATAGTAGGATTTTGTATATTTATCCCCGGGTAGAGGAAAGGGGATGAGATGGCTTAATGGTACTCCTGAAGTATGCGTACCAAGATGCCGCATAACCTGAACCCTAACCTGGTACACAACTTGAGTTCAGGTTGTGCGCCATCTTGGTGCGCATACTTCAGGAGGTCCCACATATGGCGGACCATTCCAGTTACCAGTCCATCTCGGATATAGGATCAGTTAGCCAATATACGGAAGCATGGACTTGATGATGGAGGGGCCGTAAATGACCAGCGATTACGTGAACCACCCCACGGTGGCGAGAAGTCCAGCAATCCTCCCGCACATAACTATCCCCGCATGAGATTCGAACCTGCGAATCCACGCAGGGTAATCAGAGGTGCGGTGGTGAGCGTATTTCTATTGCTTTGCATGATGTGCCAGACTGCCGAGCCTTACATAGTGTGAATAATCTACAGTGGAATTATTGATTCATTTATTATAAACCAGGTTCAACTGCCAGATCGAATCATCATCTATGAACTAACGGAAGATGAATCGTCGAACATGACATACAAACCCAAGCATAAAATAATGAAAAAATTTGATTGTAATCTTCTTGTTGTCTGCACCAATAATATAGTTTTATGCAAGGTAATAGATCTAAGAATTTTCAAAGAAATGGTAGTATGGTACAATCTTTGTCGGAGAAAAAAAGCGATCTGACAATGGATCTTTCATATACATCCTGTGTAGATGGCTTAATCATATAGTAGACCACATCCCTTCATCCCCTGACCAGTCCAATATGAGAGCGAGGTAACTGTTCCAGATTCATGGAAGTTCATGTTGCTGGAAACTGCCGCCGGTCAGTAGTTTAAATCAGAGGTGTGCAACCTTTACTACAGAAGGGCCAGATACAAATAAATGGGTGGAGCCATGGGTCACACCTTAATTTAACATAGGTTTTCTAGTAGTTACGGGCACAAAAACTTGGGTTATTGGTCCTATGACATACATTGTTCACAAGCTCAGAAATAGGCTTTGAAGCACAAAGAAATTGAAATTACTTGCACATACTAGATTAAACGACGGTAATTTAAAACTCGTTTCGCGGGTCACACACCATTCAAAATTGGAACTTCTCCACGGACCGCACAATTTTTTCCTATGGGCCGCATTTGGCCTACGGGCCGCAGGTTGCACACCCCTAGTTTAAATAAATGACCAACCTTCGACGACTAGGAATCCAGCAATGCCCTTGCCCATAGCTATTCTCTGTAGGGTTTCGGCTGTGCAATAACAAGCGTGTTTCAAACTTTTCGTACAAATGCACCTACCATATACCGGTAAGCCACCATCAACCAAAGGTAAAATGATTATTGGTCATTCTGATATTTCATTCTAATTTTTCACTGTGAACCAGGATCTACAAGCAACAGCTTATTCTTAAGAACCTGCTATACTTGAATCTTTAGGACTAGAAACTTTCCACATGACAAATTTTATAGTTTTTGGTTGTGTGATTGGGACTCGTAGCTGTAGTTCTAATCTGACAAAGCTATATTGAGCCAACAGGTGATGGAACATCTGATTTATTGTATTAGCATGTTCAATTCCTAAAATACTTCTTGAAAGTATTTGTCCAAGAAATGAAAAAATATGAGATGGGGACCTTCAAAAGGGCTCGAGTTACCAGTAGTTCCTCTGTTTCTTTACATTTTTTGTCTTGCATCAGCCCTGTGACTTCTTTGGAACAGAAACTCTACCAGTGATTCATTTTCTGATTGCTTTTATCAGGAAGCAAATTTGACTTGTTTGTCACTGACTGGAGTTAAAGAAAGAGAATGGGTTCTTGATGCAAATATTAGATATGTGAAGGTGATTGGTGGACCACCAGGAAGAGAAGGAATGCTACTTGGATTGAAAAATGGCACTGTAAGTTGGTGTACTGGTAATTTGTATGATTTCTTACATAGTATCATCATTTTTGTGTATTAGTTTTTATTGTCTCCCTGGATCGTGCTAATATATACCTTATGTGCGCGATTCAAAATCATATAGATTCTAAAACATGTTTAAGTAGAATACTATTATATATAAAGCACGGACACTATATACATAGATATACTACACATGGATGTCAAAATTTGTAATATATGTTAAAGATTTGTTTATGGGCAAAAAATTAACCTGCGGATCGATTTATGGAGTTTGTTGTAGCTTTTGAATTGGTACTAGTTAAAATGTTTTCAGAAGGCTATGGCTTTTGAATTTTTTCTGCTCCCCTGAGGCCTGTTGTTTTACTCCAATTTAGAATATAATAAAAACTTTCGCAACTACATGAATTTTCCGCTGATTTTTAGATCTAGCTTGTGCACAACAAACCATATATGTTTATTGTTCTAGACAAGTAAAAGTAACTAAAAAACAACTTTTATGCTTTGATTGATAAATTTTTATATCTTTGATATTAATACTACATGTTTTCACAGGTTTTGCAGATTTTTGTTGACAATCCTTTCCCAATCCAGTTGTTGAAAGTTAAGGGATCAGTGTTATGTCTGGATCTTAGTATGAGCAGAAATAAACTTGCAATTGTAAATGAAAATGCAACTCTAATGGTATATGATATCAACACAAAAGAGATTTTATTTGAGGTATGATTGTAGATTATCAATCATATAGTTACAATTCAAGCTTGATCGTTGGTCTCTGAATCTGAAGTATTGCAAAAGTAATGTATTCAAGTATAGGAGATGGATCTTTAATCAAAATTGCTGAAGGTATTGGAACTTTTAGGTTTCTGATACCTGCATAAAATGGGAAAAAATAATAAAGTGACATTGTTTTTACAACTCTGCACCATAAAATCATATGACTGCTATTATACACTAATTTAAATATGTTGTCTGCCCCCGTTGAAATTAAATTAGGTACCAGTACTCAAATGTAACTATCTGCAAGACTATTTTAGATATAATCTAAATCATGGAATGAAATCCCAATTTATCAAGTACAATCAATAGCAAATGCATAATGATTATTCAAAATACCGTTATTTTTAAAATACTTCCCACGAAAAAATATTTCAACGTATATGTAATATCTATTTTAATCTTATACCAATCACAAAATACCATCTGATGGCGATACATATAAGCAAATTTTTTATCATGAACAAAACTTTTTATTTGTAAATATTTCAATAAACCTTAAGTCTTAAGAATTCGAGGAGTTTACAAGAAATGCCCTCATGTTATAACAATTCACATCTCTTTCCGTTGTATAAATTCAACTATATTTAGGCTTGAATGTTTCATACCAGTGGTACCCAACCTTTTTACTCTGGCGGACCGGTTAAATTAAATTAAATGTACCCATGGACCGGCAAACAATTGAAATGACCAAAACAGAAAAGAATAACATATATTTGCGTAATATAATGCAATGTCAGGCACTCAATATTCTCACAAAGAAAAACTATAAAATAATATGCCGGCTAAAAATTGAAATGGGTGAAACATAAAATAATACCATATATTTGCATAATGAAATGCGGTGCTGGGAACCCGTTATGCGTAAGAAAGGCACGCATAAAACATCTCGCATAAAAAAACATGTACATGCCAAATCATGTACAATCACAATTACCTTTTGTGAGAATTTTTTGCTGTTTCGTTTCCAATATAGAATTGAAAACGAGGCCTCAGAGAAGTTTCTACAACACTTAGCTCTGCAGCGGCGTGGAGCTGATTTCTTTGATTCGTTTTAATTAAAGCTAGTGATGAAAAGGTTTTTTCATATAACTACCAGTAAGTAACTGGTTGAAAATACGGACAACAATATGATTGCTCTATTACACAGCAATGGGTATTCGTTATCAAGAGGTATCCAAAATTGTGTCAAGTAATTCTTTTTTAAATTTGGACTGTAAAGTAGAATAAAAATTTCAATCAAGCTTTTTCATCGAGTTCATCATATCAATATTAATCCTCTGCAGTTGATTGACGCTTCAAACAAAATGAATTTACATTACAATGACAAAGTCATCGGTAACTTGGCACCAGGCTCAAAATCCTAATGTGTCTGCTCAAAAGCGATTGAGACGGCATAAAAACAACAAAATTTTCTTGCGGACCGGTAAAAAAGCTTCGCGGACCGGCACCGGGAACCATTGTTTGGGAACCACTGTTTTATACAACACAGTCATGATTGCTTACAAGAAATTATATCTATTTCACCAATTTTATTTATTTTAAATAGGAAAAAGATGCAAACAGTGTTGCATGGAACACACAGAATGAAGACATGCTATGTTATTCTGGAAAAGGAATGTTGAGTATCAAAGCTGGAAATTTTCCTGCACATCAACGTAAAATGCAAGGATATGTTGTGGGATATTGTGGATCTCGTATTTTCTGTCTTCATATTCATGCTATGCGAGCTGTTGATGTTCCACAATCTGCACCAATGTATCAATATTTGGAAAGAAAAATGTTTGAGTGAGTTGAATTTACATTTTAAGAAAATTAGTTACAAAATTTTACCTATGTTGGCAAGTTGTAGCTTTTGGATTCATACTCCATGCTTATCCATGGTGTAAAAGGAATTTTGTTGTTTTGGGAGAAGAAATATTATTTTTTATTTGGTTAAGTTTTATCAATGTTGTTAAGTTGCATAGCAATATTTTATACATATTTATGGGCACATTATAGTCTATTTTAACTGCATTAAAGCTCGAGTGTGACCTGTGTGTAACGCTAGATAAGAATCCAACAACGATTGGGAAAATACCAAAAACAAAGTTTTTAGAATTGCGAGGGAGTGATAAATAAATCCAAAATATCGAAAAAGGTTGAAAAACACTGGTGTAATATATTTTTCAGGCACTGCTGAATTTGTTCTAGCTCTATATCGGTAAATGCTCATACAAAGCATTGTTTGGCATTAAGGTTCGAAACCATATATACAAAAAGTTAGGGATTTCAGGTTCAAAATCAATGTCCACTATTTCCCCCCATGGTGTAGTAGATTGAGTATTCAATATCAAATTAAAAAAATTCTGATTCTTTAAAAATAGTTGCTCATTAGGTATCAGTGACTGTTAATACAGAAATCTGTTTGCATTCAAGATGTGAGAATTCAATCATAAAGGGAAACTTACTATACGATCACTATTGTTAAATTTTTAAGTTTTGTTTTAAAATTTGATATATTGCCAGAAAGAAATTTTGGAATATCAATTATTGAGTATGGCCATTTATAATTGATTTTTAACTGTGCACTGAATACATTATACATACATTATAAACATCATAATATGATCTGATTCTAAAACATAATCCAAGCTTTAATTGATTAATTTATTCTACAGTGAAGCATATAAAATAGCATGTCTCGGCGTAACCTCCGGTGATTGGACAAACCTTGCACTTCATGCATTGGAAGGATTGAATTTTGAAGTATCAAAAAGAGCTTTCACAAGAACTCGAGATCTTAGATATTTGGAGTTGATACACAATATTGAGGTAAGAGTAGGGATAGCTTTTTAAAAATTTATTATCGTTGACTTAATTTGATAACTTATTGTATGGTTTGACTATTGGAGAATAATTTGGATCTTTTTAAACATTGATATGAATATACCTGATGGCAATCATGCGCTATTCAAGATTGTTGCGACTTACGCTGTTTCGAGGTTACGAACGCGCACTCCATAACGCTGTTTCGGGGTTACAAACGCACTCCATAAAAATATAGAAGATAATATCGTACTGTATTATCTAAGCTCCCAAACTGAATCATTGTGATCAAGAAAATCAGTTCTTAGGGCTCATTGGTTTTTGTCATTTACATCGTAAATGACGTGGACAATTGCGAACTATTACGATTATGAACGAATAATCACTAAGCTTCAGTCACATGGTACACAGTTTTAGTGATTCTGTACGCCATTTTGGTTGTTTAAGCCGTTTTTTTCGTAACTTGTTTGATCGTTTTTTTTTTTAACTTCTTGTCCTTTGTTATGGACTCAAAGCGTAATACAGATGTTTCTGATACAGTACGATATGTATAGACTAATTTATGTACTGTACAGTATATGTTCCGACTTACACTGAAATTCGGGTTACACCGCTTCTCAAGAACGGAACAACGTCGTAAGTCTGTTCTATTCATAAAAAATAAATCGGGTGGACCAAATTCTTGTCAAATGTCTGATTTTTGTATAATAATTGAGGATTTCATGGAGGTGAAACATTATATGAGATTCATTTTTAGGAACGTCAACGTCGTGGTGAAGAAGATCTTGAAGCTTTTCTTGCTGATGTTTACGCTTATCGTGGAATGTTTTCTGAGGCAGCTGAACTTTATAAGAAAACCGGAAATCAACAAAAAGCACTTGATATGTACACTGATTTGAGAATGTTCGATCTAGCTAAGGTATTTATTGATGTTAGTTTCATAAATCATCAATAGAATTTTAAGTCTTGATTTTCATCGAAAAAGATTTTAAAGATTTATTGAAATATTGTTTAATTTGGTTTGCACTTCAATATTTTAATTAGGTTCACTATAGGATTCAAATATGTTGACAAATTTTGCTGTTTGTAATGGTACCAGACTAGTCTATTGCAGAATATTTTTATATGGAAAAGTTCAGCATCCTATATTCTGGTTGCAGCACAAGTATCACTTAACTACTGACAAAGTAAATAAAAGAACCAAAGAAATAACATCTTCAAATTTGGGGAATTTTATAATTTAAAATTTAAATCACATCATTTGATGCAGTTTGTTTTAGAGATTATTTATACTCAAATTAGATTCAAATTTCTTTTTTCTACAATTACTTCTTTTTTGCAGGAATTCGTTGGATCTGGTGATCCTATGGAACAAAAGCAGTTAATTGCAAAGCAAGCTGATTGGGCGCAAAATACAAATGAACCAAGAGAAGCTGCTAACATGTACCTTGCTGCAGGCGAGAATCTCAAAGCTATAAATATTATTGGTAGAAATGGATGGATTGATATGTAAGTGTTATATGGACCGATGGGTCAACACTTATCCTTACAGGCAGGACACTGTTAATATTGGAGTTGTTTGCTGCTCAATTCTACATAAAATGCATTTGGCTTGAGTCAAATTTTAGAATTTTTTTTCATAAAGTTATCATCAAGTCACTTTGGTCAATTTTCATATTTTTGAATACATATCATGAAAGGACAATTTTGACCTTGTCTGTATAGCAAATCACTCAAGTTTTCGAATCAAATACCATGTGTTTATCCTAATCTAGTAATTGAATGGTTGACTCAAGTTTATTCAATTTATTTAAAATAAAGTTGAGCCAAAGAACCTTTGAAAAAGGGTTGTCTATTTGAGACTGGAGTCATCCAAATCCTCATCTTGATCAAGAGAAAGCAAGAGACAAAATACCTTTTCTATTTAAAACTTTCCTCGTGGAAAAGATAGAAACACTTGTATTGAGAGACAGTTACGATAGCACACATGCCTGTAAAGTAATGCACTCCTGCCATGAACTTTATTAAGAACCGAACTGTATTAAGCTGAGAGAGAGTTGTATGGAAAACTAAGACAATAAATCACAATGAAGTGTGAATTGTTGAAATCAATAAAACATATGGTATATTCTTTTCCCAGATTTTGTTAGATTTTTATTGCATGTATTTACGGTATTCGTTTCTGGACTTTTGCCAAACCCCGGGACAACTCAGTGAACCCCAGATGTACAATCTAACCCAGTTTAAGAGCCATTTTTTCAAGCAGTACCACCATACTATCAGGAAAGTATGTTGAAGAAAAAATGGATTTGACAATATATATTCTTTTAGCCTGCTTTTATGAGATTATTATATGTTTTTCGTAGGTTGATTGATGTAGCACGTGGATTAGATAAAGCTGACCGTGAACCGCTTTCTCGTTGTGCACATTTTTTGAAAGTTCTACAACAATATGCATATTGTGCTGAAGTTTATAATAAGATGGGAGACAGAAGATCGTTGATTGAACTTCATGTTGATACTAAATCTTGGGAGGAGGTTTGTTTTCTTCTTTATATTTAAATTCCAGCTGCGAAATTTACAAAACGTAAATTCTTGCAACCGACTAACATGAACGCACAGATAAGCCTAGGAGAGCTGTAGAGAAACGATACTCTAACCAAGTACATTTTATATAAAGCTGTTCTATATTTTTTCTTTACTATAGGCATTTGCACTTGCTGAAAAATATCCTGAATACAAAGATGAAGTTTACGTCCCATATGCTCGATGGTTGGCTGAACATGATAGATTTGAAGAATCACAAAAAGGTCATTATCAATTTTTTTTTAATATTGTTGCTGGAAAGTGATAGCTTAATCTCATAGATTGAACATTGTACGCAACTAATTGCAACTGTTTTGTATCACTTGCATTTCATTGTGTGTAGGAGTATTTTATTTTTAAACAACTCCATTGTTGCCATTGAGAATTTTATCAATCTAAATTTGTTGCAACATGGAGTTATAATTTAAGTTTCCAGAAACCTCTTGGTTTCTAATTTGCTGACATCAAACAATGTATGATATGTAGCTCATTATACATGTATATAGATGTATTAGTATATACCTGATATTGGAATATTAGCTAAAGTTTGATTTGATATTTGAGGAAAGTTTCTAGAAGAACTCGAGTTTGAAATACGATTTGATCACTCCTGTACATTTCAGCTTTCCACAAGGCAGGCAAAACCACAGAAGCTTTACATGTTTTGGGTCAACTTACCAGCAATGCTGTAAATGAAAGCAGATACAATGATGCTGGTTATTATTATTGGATGCTATCAATGCAATGCTTGGATATTGCAAGAGGTAATAATGTATTGATTATCCGTAATTATTTTAATGAATTTAGTTACAGTATGCATTCTACGGCTTGAGAAGAAAAAATGTCAGTATCGTTTTATTTTGTTAAAGTCGTTATTGTGGTGAAATTGAAATCCATCATATCTTTATCTAAGAGATTGTTAGTATTGCAAAAAATCTAAAATACAATTTTAGGATCTCACCATGTTGTTATGACTTATAATGATCTATTTTTAATGTTTTTTCATCAGAGGTAGATTTTACCCACCTACCTAATCATGATATGAGCACATTTTGTTCATTAAATTTTGATGTAAATCATAATTACAATGCAAAAAAGATTGAAGGTAAAAACAAAAATGTCTTTGGCTTATTCACGTCTCACCCACTTACTCTATTATTTTGGTTAGTTATTCGATTCTCTTAATTATAATTCCAGAACACCCAGAAAAAACTGAAGAAATGATTGAAAAATTTGAAGAATATAGGAAGTTAGGAGAAATGTATTATGCTTATCACTCGATACATACTTACACAGTAAGTAATATAAGAAATTGAGATTTTTTTTTTTAAATTCACAGGTACGTTCATATTGGTGTAAACTTATAACTGAATTTAGATTTGTAAACATAGCGTATAATAATAAAAAAAAAATAATATAAAATTTATAACATGTTCTATTTGAAGTACCTTATCATAATATTACTTCACACTGATGTGTGTACATTTTTGTTTATCCTTTCCAACTATAGTTATATTGTGAATGTACCACACCCCTGCAAATTGTTTGAAAACCATCACCATATCATTATCATATCTGAAATAAGTCAGGTGGGCATTGCAATTTTTGAAACTTGTCAATCATTGAAATGTGCTGGAAACAACTTGTGGCTTTTGACTAGTTAAACACACGAACCGTATTTGTGTTTTGTCTATTTAATGTTCGTTAGTTTTCATTTTAATATGTATTATATATATCATTCATTTCACAGGATGAACCATTCACATCTCATTTGCCTGAAGCTCTGTTCAATATAGCAAGATATCTGGTTCATCAAATGTCAACACGATCTCCGCCTCCTCGTGTTTCTAAAGTGTAAGATCAAGTTTTTTGGTGGAACATACCCATAATATATTCTATGAATCAAAATAATGAACTTGTGACAAATTTACGCTCCAGGGAATGAAACCTATGGGCAGGGGGTATATTTACTTGGCTAACACAAATAGTCCCCGAACTCAGGAAGGAAAATCAGAATAAAATTATGGCCTAACCCGTTACATATACTATGGAAGTACCCAAATTTCATTATAAAAAAAAGTAACTTCGATTTAATTGGTTTTCAGAAACCGTTTCGGTATAATAGTCCATGCATTTGAACAGCAATTGGTTAACGACTCTCATAACTAGCTTGAACTGGTAACCGGACTAGAGGTTCTGGGACCATTTGACTAACACATCTTAACACATTTCTTTTCCACGGGGCTATATATAAAAATCCCATCCCATCTTAATATTAATTTCAAAATTATTGTCAATCAAGTAATTTGGGAAATAATCTAAAATTTTTAAACTAGCCTTAAACTAATTGCAGCAGCCAGGTGAGGGATTTCAATTTAATTTACTTTTGAAGACTGAGATCCTGAGAAAAAAAGAGCCTACCCAATTTGATCATATTTTTTATTATTCATTCATTATTTTTCTGCCGTTAGGCCATACTTTTTATATTTTATATCTTTATAAAGCCTAGGACTAAAAATATATATTTTTGTTTTATAGTGCTACATGGTATGCGTTAGCAAAGCAAGGACGATACCTACATGCATATAAGTTGGCAAGATATGCCTATGAAAAATTGCAGAAACTGAGATTACCTTTAAGATTTCAAGATGCAATTGATCTGGCTTCTGTGACTATCAGATCTAAACCATTCAATGATAATGAGGTATGGCTATTCATTTCTATTTGATCAATGGCCATTTTTGTTTTTCTTTTATGATATTTATTTTAATCACCAATTCAAAGTAGCTTTGTACATGTTGGAGTTTGTCTGCCTAAAGGACTGCAATAATAAATCAATCTCCAATGAATCAATAGTTATATAATTGCCTCACTTAGCTAGTACTTCTTTCCCATCAATCATCTTAAATCATTCGCAAACTCACATTTCGATTAAAAGAATCCATAACAGTTCATTGAACTGTTTTTTTCTGGTTACTAAAATCAGTCATTTTTTTAACTCGGAATAATAGATTATGGTTGTTCATCTTAGTTTCAAATCTTACTACTTTGCTACCCCATATAATTAAGTGAATCATAAGTTATCTCTATTCCTCACGTTTCACTACTTTCAATTAACAGGATTTGCAACACACATGCTTGAAATGCTCAACAACTAACCCAGTGTTAAACCCCAGAGGTGATTTCTGTGTTAATTGTCAACAACCATTCGTTCATTCATTTTCTTCGTTTGGTAAGTCTTTCATTTTCTGATGACTCCGCAAATGCTCCATGTTTTGGGCCACAAATTTAATGGACGGTCAATACAACTTTGCATACACCTTCCTTATGCTGTTTTGTTATAGCCTAACCTGCTCAATTCATTATCTCTGAAGATAGGGGGGGCTGAATCAGGGGCATATCCAGACTGATGATTTTGCGGGTCAGAATCTACCCCCCTTAAAATGTGTTAAAAATGCGTATCATTCATAGCACGGCTTCATAGCTTAAAGCGCTTTTTAAAATCTCAAGACTCAGCCCACGTTTTCCCGGCCTCTAGCCAGGCCCGCTGGCTGTCATAGTCTAACTTGGCTATTCGAAATTTCAGAGCGCCCTTTGACAATTCCTGGCTATGCCGCTGGTTGATATCACCTGTAATTCTGTGACGTTGTGATTATCCTAGTCCCATTTTCTATATTGTCCAATTTATGAAAATTTACCATTTGGAAAATTAGAGTATGATGTGATTTTAAACAAGTCTTGAGGATTTAGATATTAATATTTTTGTGGGTTTCTTGATTTACTATTCAAACAAATTGCTCTGCTATATTGAAGATATAATATAGAAGTATGTTGATAGATGAATGAAGACTAATTAATTATTCGCATATACCTTTTATTAGTAGAATGATGACAAAATTATTTTTTAGAAATTCTTCCGCTTGTCGAATTTCACCTTGAGGATGGAGTACGAGATGAAGAAGTTGAAATGCTGCTTGGAACTGATTCTAGACTTGATGGAACAAATAATAATGAATGGAGTTCAGCAGATGGAACAGCACAAGTGCTTAGAATGGATTCAGATGAATCTTCTGACCCTTTTACTTCCGATTTTATTAACGAGGTAAATTGCTTGGCATTGTAGGTTTCACATCCCATGCTGAACTGTAACAGCGTCTGACCATTCTAAAAAATTAGTAGTTCCTCACCATCGTTACATAACATTGGTTGCTTGTAAGGAATCTTTTTCAAATCGGAAGGCGTGAATAATACAATATAATTATGCAGTTTTCATTCTTGATTAAATATTAGAATGATAACGAGTATGGTGCTCCCGAAGTATGCGAACCAAGATGGCGGACATCGGAACGTAACATGGGTAACAGGTTAGGGTTAGGCGATATTTTTTTCCAATTTTCCTTATTTTAGTCCTATTATCAGTTCGAAGACTAGCCAAGAGCCTCCCGTAGTATTTATACCTAAAATTATGGCCTAACCCTAACCTAGTACACAAATTACATTCCGATGTTCGCCATCTTGGTTCGCATACTTCGGGAGCCCCACGAGTATAATATTGAAGCGTCATGTATGTTGATAATGGCCCGTGCTTACTCTACCACACTTCAATTTGAGCTCGAAGTGATTTTTTTGTATGATGAAGAGAATTTTACACATGTTTTTTTATTTGTTTTATGAATAAACAAAATTGGGGCGGTATATTAGCATTGAAAACGAACACTGGACTATACACTTACCTATACAAAAATTATTTCTCAGGGCGATAAATATGTTCCTGTCATTGTGTCACATTCCACATTAAGATCTTTGTCTCGTCGTGAAGTCATCATTAGGAAATGGCCTAAACCATTACGCTGGCAATTCTTCAAAAACTGTCTGCCTGATGTTCCTATTTCTATTTGCGATTCATGCTTGCAGGTTGGATGTTTTTTATTTGTGATATTATCAGGTGTATATGTCAGATTTAACCAATGATTGATTGAGATTCATATTTATACAAATGGGGAAAGATGGTAAGGCAACTTAGTCATATTGCAGACAAGATCTCTTGTCCAGCATGTATGGTAACAGTCAACCAGTAAATTGTACTTTGTGCATAAATTTGAATAGTGAAGGAAACTAACCAACAAGGGGGTACTATTAAATACCTTCGACAATAATCCCCTCTAACATAATTATTCCTCATGGAACTTTAAACATGCGATTTCATATTTGAATGATGTGTCTGTCTCTTAAACAGATTTTTATTTTATTTTAGATGTTTCACACTGATGATTATGAATTAATGGTTCTTCAAAAGCAGCAATGTCCGTTCTGCAGAAAACCTACAGAAGATCGAATAGAGGAGGAAAAAATTGATTTATAAATTAGTTTTGTATATCACAATCACTTCACTGAAGCCGAATTTGTATGTTAGTTGTCTGTTCATAGTTCATACCCAGGAAATAAATTGCCAATCAGTGCTCAAAAGATTAGCAATCATTAAAGGGTTAATTTAAGCATTGTGAAATTCTGGTTTGTGGTATTATAGTGGTTTCGGCCCCAAGTTATATTTTTGCACATTTTGTCTATTCTATTGAAGTTAAATTAATTAACTTTAATATTCATTGATTTGTTGATATCACATGACTTTCTCATTGCATAGTTATAATTACTATTGATCCAGCATTCGCTTGCTTTCAGTTTTGTTTGCCCTAGCAGCATAACACGTTTTCCTTTGCGGTACTTACCGGTATATTAGGGCAGAATCAAATGCAAATCAGACTGTATTTTCTATAGATTTGCATGTTCAAAAGTTATGTAATTTGTTATAGGCGCACATAAATACAGCTGAGTTCTGTAAACTACCTGAAGGCAATAATGTATATATTAAAATACCAGGCCATTGATAATTTGAGAGAAGTGTTCATATTATGTTTAGTTTATTTTTATATTCTTTTATATTTATTTTGTTGAAGAATTTGACAGCACATATTGCAACATCCATGTAAAACGTTGCAAATGTAACCCAGCTTTAAGCGGTAGAGTAGAAAAATAACGCTGTTGCACCATTCAAGAATTTGTTGGCACTCTAGAATTGAAAATATTATTTTGTTACATTTATTTGTGTAGAAATTTGATTTATTTTAGAAATAAAACTTGATGTTTGTAATATTGATTGTAATATTTCTTGTCTTCTATAATCTACAATATCATTGTCTTAATGCTCACTCTCAATTCGTTGGTTTTCTATCAATTATGGTATTGAAATCCAAAATATATGTGAGACTTCTTTTGCCGCTCATGTTCTTCACGTTAATATTAGTGAACTACACCATCTGCTGAGATGAATATTACACATATTTGTAGCATACGTGCAGTACTGCGATCAATCAGCTGCGTTTCATCTTACTTTTTTTTATTGGTGATACAGACGGTGACCGTACATTTGAACCCACGTACATTTGAACCCATGTGTATATTCGCGGGTTCAATCTATATGCGGGTGCTAAACCCATGGGTTAGGGTTAGGGTTCAAATATCCGTAAAACAACAAAATTTTTCATAGGTGCAATAGTGTGCAGGTGCAATCGTCGTGGGTTCAAATGTAATGGAACCGATACAGACGTAACGAGTGGCGTATCTAGGGTAGTGGTTCCCAACCTTTTCTACCCAGGCGGACTAGTGGTTCCCAACCTTTTCTACCCAGGCGGACTAGTGGTTCCCAACCTTTTCTACCCAGGCGGACTGGTAAAATTAAAATGGGTGGAACATAAAATAATAACATATATTTGCGTAATAAGATGCAGTGCTGGACACCTATTACGTGTAAAAAAAGCACACAGAAAACATCTCGCATAAAAAAACATGTAGGCCTACGTGCCAAATCATGTACAAACGCAATTAACTCTAGTGAGAATTTGCTGCTGATGCGTTTCCAAATACAGGATTGCAAACGAGGCATCAAAAAAGATTTTGCAACACGCCGCTTGCAATCGATTTCTTCCTTTCGTTTTAATTAAAGCTAGTGATGAAAACGTATTTTTCGTACAAGTAACTGGTTAAATATTCGGTCAACAGTTTGATTGCTCGATTACTTAGCGATTGGTATTCGTTATCAAGAGAGCTCGAAAATTGTGACAGCGATTCTTTTATGACCCGCTGCAGTAGATCGACGCCCCGTACAAAAAGTAACTTACATTGCAATGATAAAGTCGTTGCTAACTTGGCACCAGGGGGTCAAAATCCTGCTGTGCATCACCTGGAAAAGATCTCAACAGCCCATGCTTTTGTTGCGCGTCTCGTGACCACCCGTAAGGTCCAGCAACACCTGGCTGGATGCCAAGGGATCGATTATTACCGCACTTATCAAACAGTAATACGACGACGGAAGAGATATTGCGTAATAAACCAACGCAATAATGCATAATAACCTTCGATAAAGCGTTCGAGACGGCAGGAAATCAACAAAACGTTCTAGGTTATGGCAGCCATGGTTCATGCCATGCGCGCTGTTTGTCGAGGGCGCAAAACTCGTACTTTTAGAAGAATGTCAAAATAACAACATCCGTTGATTGTCAACTAACGGCAAGGAGGCGCGTGTTTGAACTTTGCCATGGGCGCCATTTCACATAGATACGCCGCGGTACTCCACGTTTCTTTTCCATTCGCGCGCAATAGTATTTAGCCGTTTGAAACCCGACATTGTTTCAAAGTGTATCGATGGGACTTGATTTTGCCATCGCAAATTCTGATACTGTATATAATAAAATACCAGGCCATTGATAATTTGAGAGAAGTATTCATATGTTTAGTTTATTTTTATATTCTTTTAATTATATTTATTTTGTTGAAGAATTTGGCAACATCCATGTAAAACGTTGCAAATGTAACCCAGCTTTAAGCGGTAGAAAAATAACGCCGTTGCACCATTCAAGAATTTGTTTGCACTCTAGAATTGAAAATATTATTTTGTTACATTTATTTGTGTAGAAATTTGATTTATTTTAGAAATAAAACTTGATGTTTGTGATATTGATTGTAATATTTCTTGTCTTCTATAATCTACAATATCAATGCCTTAATGCTCACTCTCAATTCGTTGGTATTCTATCAATTTTGGTATGTAAATCCAAAATCATGTTCTTCACATTAATATTAGTGAACAACACCATCTGCTGAGATGAATATTACACATATTTGTAGCATACGTGCAGTACTGCGATCAATCAGCTGCGTTTCATCTTACTTTTTTTTATTGGTGATACAGACGTAACGAGTGGCGTATCTAGGGTAGTGGTTCCCAACCTTTCTACCCAGGCGGACTGGTAAAATTAAAATAAAAAATGAAATGGGTGGAACATAAAATAATAACATATATTTGCGTAATAAAATGGAGTGCTGGACACCTATTACGTGTAAAAAAAGCACACAGAAAACATCTCGCATAAAAAAACATGTAGGCCTACGTGCCAAATCATGTACAAACACAATTAACTCTAGTGAGAATTTGCTGCTGATCCGTTTCCAAATACAGGATTGCAAACGAGGCATCAAAAAAGATTTTGCAACACGCCGCTTGCAATCGATTTCTTCCTTTCGTTTTAATTAAAGCTAGTGATGAAAACGTATTTTTCGTACAAGTAACTGGTTAAATATTCGGTCAACAGTTTGATTGCTCGATTACTCAGCGATGGGTATTCGTTATCAAGAGAGCTCGAAAATTGTGACAGCGATTCTTTTATAACCCGCTGCAGTTGATCGACGCCCCGTACAAAATGAATTTACATTGCAATGATAAAGTCGTTGCTAACTTGGCACCAGGGGGTCAAAATCCTGCTGTGCATCACCTGGAAAAGATCTCAACGGCCCATGCTTTTGTTGCGCGTCTCGTGACCACCCGTAGGGTCCAGCAACACCTGGCTGAATGCCAAGGGATCGATTATTACCGCACTTATCAAACAGTAATACGACGACGGAAGAGATATTGCGTAATAAACCAACGCAATAATGCATAATAACCTTCGATAAAGCGATCGAGACGGCGGGAAATCAACAAAACATTCTAGGTTATGGCAGCCATTGTTCAAGCCATGCGCGCTGTTTGTCGAGAGCGCAAAACTCGTAATTTTACAAGAATGTCAAAATAACAACATCCGTTGATTGTCAACTAACGGCAAGGAGGCGCGTGTTTGAACTTTGCCATGGGCGCCATTTCACATAGATACGCCGCGGTACTCCACGTTTCTTTTCCATTCGCGCGCAATAGTATTTAGCCGTTTGAAACCCGACATTGTTTCAAAGTGTATCGATGGGACTTGATTTTGCCATCGCAAATTCTGATGCAATATATGCTATAAAAAATTTATTTAAAACTTCTGCGTGTTCTATCACTGGGTATACAGTACTGCTCGTCCTTAATGGCATGGTGTTTTGATTTGAGACTCTTTCTGCGCTATTCAACTTCTGTTATAGGATTGGTATGTCTAACATCGGCAAAGGAAAGTAGGCTGTTGAGCTGCTTGCTAAATGTTCATACATTATAAAGTGAAAATTTGATTAGATATATAGTACCAACTACCAAGTATTAGAATAGATCAAAGCAATGTGTGAATAATAGCCCTGATAGATACAGCTGTTTAGGAGTTCACTACTTCATTTGTTTCCTTGTCTGATCGTATAGTTGTTGTTCACCACTATAGTTCTAGTAGCTCTTTGTATCGGATCTCCGCTATAGGAGACCCTTATTATCGGTCGTTCTGTTTGTCTGTGTGTCCAGCTCTAGCGTCTTAACGGCTGGACCGATCTAGATGAAATTTCACACGTGGTTTATCATGTCACCCTAGTAATGTGCGTTTTAAAGAAAATTCGGATTGAAGTTTCGTTTCTATGACAACAACGAAAAAACGCGCCGATCGTTATGAAATTTCCAATTTTATCACAATTTATCGTAGTTTTCTCGATAATTGAAATTCCAAGAACGCTACCTTCCGCAGAAGAAAATACTCTTTCGAACAAGTCGTCTTTCGTCTCGATACTCCATGAACTGGGGAAGCCTTAGGGATTTTAGTGAACATTTATTTTGATGATTAGCTGCAGTATATCGGCGGTAACTCGCTCACTTAATTACGCTGCCGTTATAGATCTGCATGTTTCTGTGAATGGTAACCGGTTGCTTGAGTGCGGGCCTCAACTATCAGCGGAGAGCGCGGACGACACGGCTGGGGTTCAGGGCGCGCTCAAGCTTAGGACTTAGCTTAGCTTAGGGCAATTTTAAATCGTCACGCGGGCCCGCAGACTGAGGTTTAGAACCCTTCAGTGTGGAATCGCACCTCAAAATTAGGGGGGGTGTTTGAAATTTCAGGGGGGGGTGTTCACCCCCTATAGGGGGGGTTGTGTAGGGAAATTACTGACTGTCCTAATCTAAACTTGTCCAGCCATTAGTCGAATTTCAAATCCGGGTCTGTCAAGCTGGGCGGAACTGAAAGTTCGATAAACACCGCTCCCGTTTGTGCGCGTGAAGCGGGCTTATTTTTCCGGAGTAAATTTATTGTGTGGTTACCCGCTGCCAGGAATCCACCGCCAAACACGACCTCAAAATCTAAACCTCGAGTTGCAACTTTTTACTGAGCGACACACTGTTTACCTTTTTTCTCTATTACGTCACAACGACGTCAAATTTGCTGAGTAATATATAATGCTCTGATTTCTCAGCACTCAAGGTGTTGTAAAGATATAGCGCGGTCGGCGTAGCATAGATAGGCTGCTGTTGGAATGTTGGAGGTAACTTATATGCGCCGACTTAGAATTTTAAGATCAGCTGTTCAAATCGCAGGGCATGGATATTAATTTATTCAAAATACATTTTTACCTCGGCCTCGCGTAAACACTATTACTAAGTGACTACGTGTGCTGTTAAAATATGATTTCATATCCTGCAACATCAATTTGTCAATCCACGTTTTTGTTTTGCTAATAAGAGAGGATTTTAATTTGCAATGGAACGTCTTTTTTATTAGGCAGGCCAGTCTAAGTAGGGGACTGACACTATCGCGAAGCTCAGATAATGGACTTAAACGGGAACGCTGTCTACGAATTGAACAAAAAGGATGTTCTGGCTTTACGGATCAAACATGTTGGGTAAGCAGTTCTTTGTTCTGAGTGAGTTACGCGACGGTGCGATTGAATTGTTCCGCAGAGCTGAAATGTATTGAAATATCGACTGCTTCAGTTTTGCATTATTTATCGAATCGCTTTCGATTTCGTTGAAATACTGCAGTTTCAATGACCCTTGACATTTCAGTGGTCGTCCGTAGTTTTGCCCATCGATGAGTCTTTATTGCTTTTGAGTGAGTGTGGGACAACTTGCTTTGGCCAAATTATCTTAAGAATCAATATATACTAGTCACTAGAAAGACTAAAGAAATGCCGGTGTATATGTACTATAATATCGTGAGCTTATTCTAATCAATCAATCAAATCGTTTCTATTAGACATTCCGACAAAGCTTAACAAATGGAAACAAGAATGATCACAAAATATTTGTACCGAATGGCAGGATGACCGCGAAATGATCATTCGGTCTACTTGTCAGCGGCAACCTTGAAATAGCTTAAAACTTATGGCTACAAAATTTGCACAGCGCGAAACGTTTTTATGCGAGAAAAGAATGGAGCCCTTTATCAATGCTTGATTCCGTACCAACTTATTTTTAACAGGTCTCCTACTGCCTTATATTTTCGCCATGATCCGCTAATGATAGTAAAGGGCGAAGGGCAGTACTTGATTGACGAAAAGGGAAATCGATATTTGGACTGCATCAATAATGTTGCACACGGTGAGAAGTATTTCAAATGTGTTGTAAGGATCGGTTTTTATTGGCTGGAGACGGCGAAAGCTTCCACACCAACACAACTAATAAATATTAGTATTATTTTTTTTTTTTCAGTTGGTCATTCACATCCTAAAGTGACGGAAGCATGCAATGAACAGATGTCGAAACTTTGTACCAATTCCCGCTATTTGCATAACACTCATGTATCACTTGCAGAACGTCTCGCTAATACTTTCCCGAATCCCCTCGATGTCTGCTTTTTTACGAATTCAGGGTAATGAACGTAAAATATTGTTGAAATAATTTTAGTTTGTAGTTTTAGCATACATTTTTACCAAATTTTGGTAATTTTGTATTTATGAAAACACAATATCAAACCTCCTCAATATCAAAACTATTGTCAATTTAACCTCAATGCTCTGAAATTTGAATTTTAAAACATGCAGACATGTTACACCGGAAAACTATCATTTGCAATTTCTTGTAATATTATATATATATCGTTTATGCATTGGGAATGACGCCACAGGACAATTTTAATCAAGTTTCATATACCGCAATATTAACATAATGTACGTGCGCGGTAATCATATTGCTCGCTTCTAGAAACAATTTATTTTAGTTTTCGTAATATAACGGGGTTTATCAGGCAATATGATTTACGACGCTATTTGATTATTCATGTGAACTGATTTCATCGGAAACAATAGTATATTTTTATACTAACCTCCTTTTCATATTTCAAGGTCAGAGGCCAATGACCTAGCTCTCACACTCGCCGCCGCGTATTCCGGTGGAACAGATGTTATAACAATGGACAGCGCATATCACGGTCATGTGAGGTCATGTCTTGAAATTAGCCCATATAAATGGAGAAAACCTGAAGACCAGAAAGATTACGTTCACGTGGTAGGTCATCTAATAATATAAACTATTTATGAAATGTAATAATTGAATTATTTTCATATTAAACTATCGTAAACAGTTTCTCTTGGTGTCAAAGTCAATAACAAGATTATATTACTTGGTGAAAATCGATTTTAACGATTATCTTCATTGATATCTTACAACACAATGAATTAACAAGAAGACATTATTTGGCAGCGTAAAAAGATTCCGGCATAAATTTATTAATATTGATGACTCCTTTGAAATTACTCACTGGGTTTGCGATATATACAAAGTAGTATTCATTTTAATCTAATTCGATCTTAATGTCACAAAGCATAATTACTTATCACTCACATTGTATTTGTCAACCTACTTTTGACTATTTCACAATAATAGGTGTCAGCGCCTGATGTTTACCGCGGTAAATATGCCGGAAGCGAAAATCCTGGTTTGGATTACGCCAATGAACTTAACCAGAAAATAGAGATTATGAAAGACAAAAATAGAAAGGTACGTTTTTTTTCGTAGCTGCATCAAATTTATAATTTGCAAAAAATGCGACTACAGCGGTGACGCCGATAAATATTACATTCTAGGCTTAGCTATTTATTATTCTACTGATGATGCGTCATATATTGGATATTTCCCACCACTCCCATGTCACATAACATTATAGAATTAAGAATTTGGATGTTTAGGCCATGGCTTGAATACCGGTAAGTGTACCCTTCATGGATTCCTATTCTTCTTGCTCTAACATACGAGAATAGTTCATGTCCCGATGGTAAATTTTAATGGCAGTATTCTGCCTAGTTAAGTTTGGTTAGGTTTTATAAATTTCGGGATGGACGAAAATATATTCTTCCAGCTCTCCGCATTTATAATGGAATCACTGCAGAGTTGCGGAGGACAAATCATTCCCCCTGAGGGATACATGCGCGAAGCTTTTCGGTACGTATTTTCAGTCGTAACTAATATTGTAGTTTAGCTCTGATCGTTCGCAATTTAATTTTATTAGTAGTTTGTCTATTCTAAAATCACTTTTTCATTTTACTGACGATTTTTGACTTTGTGGAGTATACAAGACAAAAAATAATGCACTGGATTTATTGAAGCCATACTGAATGAACATCATAGTTTTACAATATTGACATCATGAGTTGAACGAACCCTACGTTCATAGCCAACGTAACATAAATCGACTGGCGTAAAATTGACTCAATTTTATTAACTTGAGAATTTGATCCCAAACTCAAATCGTGAAAAATAGCTTGTCTTTGTATAGCAAGTCATGCGAGCAGTTGTTGATATTGATAAATATTAGATTAAACAACCTACCGTACTTGATAGAATAAACATATCGATTCCCAGAACTTAAAAGATGTCAAATTCTAATGTTATCTCGATATAGTAAGAGGTCAAATATCGTTCAGTTCTGTTTCAATTTTAACGATTTCCTGTCTCGTGCCATTACCCGCTCCTATTACAAATTTTATTATCTTCATGCCTATTTCAGACGACATATTTTTAGACACACTATTAAATGAAATTTTGTTACAAATCATGCGGATATATGATTTATAAATCAAATCGTAAATTGTTAGTAATATCTAGCATAAAACATTTTCGTGTGTGACAAATGTTTGAAATTTTGTTTGGCATGGCTGTTCTCACTTTGAACGAATTTGAAAACTATCAGATATCTAAACAGATTGTCGTTTTAGGCCACTCTTAGAACATGTACCACAGAATATTAGTCGACTGTTTTTTTGTTTATATTATTGATTTTCCATATTTAATTTAGGTATGTGCGTGCTGCAGGAGGCCTATGTATCGCAGATGAAGTGCAAGTAGGATTTGGCCGAGTGGGATCACATTACTGGGCATTTCAATTGCAGGTAAAATGGAGTTTGCCCTTTTCCGATTGGCTCTGCATTAATTCAAACGATACGCCACGCCCATTTTCGAATAAAAATAAATCACTTTGCTGCGAAATTTGAGTAATTACTTGAAAGTCTTAATGATGTTGTTTTCAATTCCATGCTAAATATTATCAGTAGATTAGTAATTCCTAGTAGTAATAAATAAATATTTTATTGTAATATTTTAATATTGGCACGTGAAATAGCGAATTGGCATTAGAAAACTCCGAAGCCTCTCTGTGATAAATCAACTTTTTGGCAAAGAAAACACACCTCAGATGGGTTGAATGACCTTATATTATCTACGATTATAAATAATGTAATTTATTAATTGAACAAGTACTAGACAGGTTGCGTGTGTTAAAGATTATAGAGTGTTAATCACGTGGTAAAGGGGTGTGTACTATCTGTTCTCAATGCCCAATCAATATCAAGAGTTAGAGTACTTCGCGGTTCAAATTGGTTTCATGCCTGTTTGACCTCTCTAAATGCCAGGACCGTTATCCATGCGACGCTTTTTTATTCAAGTTTCGTAGTATCATCTTTGCCAAATATTAGATAAAACTGTAAGGTAAATATTAATGAAGATAATGCGTTAGAATTCTGAGAGATATGAGTTTGCACCCCAAACATTGCGCTACTCAGGCGAGCAAGTATGTGTTTACCAAGTATTTCAGTTAACATAAAACTGGTTGTCGTCGCCTGTTTATGTTTGAATAGTACACCACTTTTATATTCGATTCATTTTGAAGTTTGTATGTATATCCATAGAAGTTCATTCGAGTTTCAACAGTCTAGGTCTCTAGGACGTAGGTGACGCTTGTCAATTGCGTCAGTAGCATGCAGGCGAAACAGGATGACAACTGTTTTTCCGGGCTCAAAATTTGTTGTAAATCGTGTGTGTTTTTGCATAACAATGCTGCAAACTGCTTTGTATTTTCTAAAGTCTGATTAGAAAGCGGTTTGATTATTCTTGATGTTCATTTCTTGTGAAACACAACAACTAACAAGTAATATATTGTATCAAAATATAGTGTGATGAACAAAGAAATACAATTTCACATCCACAATTTTTGTCATTTATGTAACAGCACTTGACTAAAAACCCTCGTCGACTGCTTTGACGATATTCGAATTTGATTATTTAATCTTCGTCAACACGATTGCAAGAAAGTGCATCATAAACTCAATCAACATTGGGTTCTTTCAGCAATTTACAGCCGAAGTAATTTGCACAACATGTTTACGACCCTCTTTACCCCAGAATAATCAGTCGAAACATAATCAAATAAGATGGCGCGCAAATTATACGCAGGGCATATCTTTTCATAGCTACTTTTAAAATGCTACCACGTTCCTTATGTTAGTCATCTTTTATACAATTGAATACCAATATGGTGATTATTTAATTCAGTCCTCGACCCACATTTTCAAAGGTGTTAGCTAATTCTTGTTTTTATTTTGGTTTAAGGGCCCAGATGTCATTCCAGACATCGTTACAGTTGGGAAACCGATGGGAAATGGTCATCCTGTGTCAGCCGTTATTACAACGAAAGAGATTGCAGACAGTCTTACTAACAAATTGCCTTCTTATTTCAACACGGTATGTATGTCAGCAACCCTGTGTTTTCACGCGGTTAGCAATCGCGATGGAAATTACACACTGTGTATACGTGTTATGAGAGCTGACACTAAACACCAAAATTTGACGTCATGAGATTGATTCATACTATAAACATACATTGACTGGGCTTGTACTGGTTTTAATCAAGAAAATTACCGCAAAAGGATATACGACAATGACTTGTTTTGAAATGACTCAAACACTCGACCTCTTAGGATGGTATTTATGATTTTAACGCATTTTCTAATCAATATCGAAAAATAGGTTTTGCTATACATCTCGAAAGTCGAAAGCACATGGATTTTACTAACCTGGTATTTTTCAGCCCTGGTGACCGCTTCCTTTTACCATATACTACACTTTATCGATGTGACTCAAAAATATTGTTGTATTGTGGCAGTGAACTGGTTGCACCCTTTCAATGTATTTTTGTAATATGATCATAAATTAATCGGTAGATTCATCAGTTACAATAGCACTTTGAAAAGTAGAATTTAAACATAGATCTCAATTCTTCCAAGGTTAAAGCCCGTTTCTCATCGTGTTTTTTACACTGGTATTCTATGTCACAATGTGAGATTGCCCATGTAGTACTTTTACGGGCAATGATTTCGTATTTCCGAACTCAAAAAATGTTGATGTTTTTTTGCTCATTTTATGAACTGCGATACAGAACATGGATGACCTCCTATCATTATGGATATCATTATATGACATATTGTTCTGTACTTTTTAGTTCGGCGGAAACCCGGTGTCATGTACAATCGCCAACACGGTGATGGATATCATTGAAAATGGAAATTTAATGGAAAACGCATCTTCTGTTGGAAAATATCTTCTTGAGAAGTTCGAATTGCTCAAAAAAAAACACAAAATTATCGGAGACGTGAGGTCGGGATTTTTAGATTTTATTCGACAAAATTACTTCAGACTTATGCTTTTGATTTATTCAGCTATCGTACCAGACAAAATAGATTCAATTTCCGCCATGATTTTAAATGTTTCATATTGTAATTCCCTTGTGACGATATATTTTTATTTGTTGTCACATGAAATTTTTCAATCAAATATATTTTTATTGCATTGAGTTGTCATTTTACAAGAATAGCTAGCTTGGTCGATGAGTTGATTTAAATTTTCATTGTAGAAAATTACAATATGTTTTTCATGGCAGGGGTGTTGGACTTTTCATTGGAGTTGAATTGGTGCGTAATGAAAAAACGAAAGAACCTGCAACAGAAGAAGCTGAAATCATGTATAATAGGTAAAGCACTTTGCATTCTGCTTGATATAATATAAAGAAATGCAGTACTGACTGGCTCAGTTTTTTTTGGGAAGCACCAGTTGTGAATAAAAACGGTTATGGGTTAAATATTATTTTAATTGTAACATATGTAGACTGCCGCCGGCCTGTATGCGCTTCTCGATTTCACCACCATTCATTTTATTCTCGCTTGTTTGGCGTAACAGTTGCTAAACAGAATTCTACTATTTTAATCACTACAAAAAGCCAAGGTTGTGGATGAGGAGAGTTACAATTCGATCAACAAATCTTTAGGCCGCTGATTCCCAGACCTTCACCATGATTTGTAGCCCTCTACAAAGACACCCAACACTATGTGGCACCCTGCTCTTCAAAACAAATGTTTTTAATGGGTTTCTTTCCATCAGTTTTTTTTTTTATTCGCCACGTTATATGGAATGAGGAGAAAAGCCATAAATTGCTATGGCTAGTTAGTATCTTCAAAACCTAAATTAGAAGACTGATATCTCTATCTGAGTGTTCAGCAATCATTCGTATATTTTTCTGATTTTGCAGGATGCGTGATCGGTACATATTGGTGAGCCTGGACGGTCCATTCAACAACGTCATGAAGTTCAAGCCACCCATGTGCTTCACTTACGATAACGCAGATCAACTTGCTGAGGTATGGATAATGTATAACGCAGAACTTTATAAAAGAAAAGCCTAGAAACTCGCCTTAATGCAAAAATTTACATTGAATTTGAACAAAACACAGTCACAGAAAACGCTGTAAGGCAGGGATAGACAAACTGCGGCGTGCGAACTAATTTCCCGCGTAACTTAATTTAATTTGTTACCAACGACGGAACGTTCATCAAGTAATTGACATAGAATTGATTCCAGTTATTACAAAACAAGCGCCGTACAGCAGCACTTGTTACCACATAAATCCGGGCGGAAGCAACAATAAATTTAGGATCAATTTTTGTTTTATGCATTAAAAGTCGGTTCGTTCGAGGGAATGTCTGGGAAACGGAGGGAAGTTTTCGGCGGTCGAACATTCCAAAGTGATTGTACGGAAAAATATTTTTCTTTTTTTGCGCATTCCAAATCCAGTTTGCTTGATATGCACAGTCAGCATCGCAGTTATTATGATACTTAATGTTAATCGTCATTATAAAACATTATAAAAACACATATTGCTGTGAGTAGATTTATTTAAAATGTATTACACTAAGAATAAATTTCGTGCTCGCTGGTCAGATCGTCATTTGTTTGGACGACGTACCGCGGAGCAAAATAGTTGCCATTTAATTTTAACGCTTTGACCATGACACAGGAAAAACACCATCCTTCACATAATAATAAGTAAATAAAAACGATGCATTGTTTGATTATATTTCAAAAAAGACCACATATACGTCTCATTGTGGCAGGTTTTGGCACAGCAATAGAAAGTGAAAGTGCGCCAGACTTTGAAGTTTAATGTGGCGAGTGTTCGTAGACGATAATAATGCGACCCGCACGCTACCGGAAATGTGTATATTTGGCCCGCAAGTACATAAAGTTTGCTGACCACTGCTGTAATACAATATTCTATTACCGCCTTGTAGTGTTGATCTACAAATTATAATTTCCCGATCCAATTAAACCTATGTACTTAAACTAATAATTTTCTGTATTGTAGATATTTGATTATAATATAAAATTTAATCCTATTTCTTTCGTAGGTTTTGGACGATACTCTGTCTCAAATTTCCTGCTGATCCGTGATACACAGCTGAACACCAACGTGTTTTTCTCGTTATAGAGATTTATACATATTATGAGTCGATCAAAAATGATCATTATAATTCATGCATCGAGAGCTATTCATATATGTACTATTAATATTTGAACGATGCAATGCAGTTTTCAAATGAGCAAAATTATGTCGCACCTAATACAGCATGTTGATGTATATCACTTTTTTAAGTAAAATAACTCGCCCTTTGTGTACAATTTGTAAACATGCACTTTTTAAATCAAAATATGAAATAATATAATTATTACAGCCATAATAGCGTAATAATCTTACTTGTAATACCATTATCCGTGTTATTAATTGTTGTTATAATAATTGATTTTTGTGTTATAATTTTATGTTAATTAGTTTCATAATTAACAGAAAACATTTTGAGATATTTTTTGTGTTATTTCATTATTTTTGGGGTTATCCGTAACATAAGAAAAATTTGTCTTTTTTACCTGCCTGACAGATGCAAATGAAATAATTGGGATTGATAAAACGGTATGTTTTGTAGAATTAGAGAGCATCGACCAACTGCGTCTTTGAGCGCCAGAAAATTAGGAATACATACGTAGTTTAAATAGCTTCTCATGAAATAAATCAGAAAAATCGTTGACATATTGTTGGTATATCACTACTGTGACTGAATTGAATAGTATGATGGCTAGCTGAAGCAACTAGCGAAGTTGAAGATATGATGGGCAGTCTAAATTGTTACCTGGATTTCTATCGTTTTGGTCGGGAATATATGCTTACAACATAGGCATGATAGAATACTAAACATCGGATGCGGATTCCATTAGTCTAGGTTGACAATACCAGATAACCAAGTGTTTACACAATAGAAGTGCTTGTTTTGTATTGCACTGTTTTCCTATTCTTGGTACTATTGTGGCCCGCGACCAATGCCAAAATGATTTTGTGGCCCGCGGAGCCCACAACTTTGGACCACCCCGCTCTATTGTATTGGTTCTTTACCAGGAGTTCGGCGGAAGTCCTCTGAAATGTTTGACATATTGTTCTGCGACAGGTACCAATTCCACTAATGAATTGTCGGTTTGACGATTTAATTTATTATTCTGCTTCTTGCCTACATCTTGAGGCTGAATTTGTCAGACGGCGCATCACACTGAGCTGAACGGGTTGGTAATACTTGAACCGGGTGATGGCCATATTTCGTAAAATAAGACTCCCGAAGATAAATGTAAAAATCCACCGACTGCGAGTGATTGTTCATTCAATGACAATCGATTTTTGAATAGCTGGATTATTAGCGCGGCTTTCGCGCGCAGTATTATTTCATTTCTCGTGCTCACAACACTAAATTAGCCCAATTAAACCACTTTGATTGACTCCTTTATTAGCAAGCCATTCACAACTGTGCATGTGACATATGTGCTATTTTAATTTGCTGTCACCTCGTGTTGAATAGGTGTCAATAGAGGACTTGCACGGGTCACGTGACTTTGTTTACTGGACGGCAAAAAAACAAAAACGTCCATTTGGCTCCTGTCAGTTGCAAGTCGGATTATACGTTTCCGTTTTGTTTGGCTGTTGAAAATGGTCATTTTGTATTGTTCCGTTGGCTGTACGTATAGACAACGAAATGGATCTTCAGTTATATTCCACTGTTTTTAAAAGACCCGGAACGTCGCGCAATGTGGATATCATCTATTGGCAGGACTGCTTGGTGTCAAGTCCCAGAAGTCATCTCGCTTGAGTTTCACTGTTTGCGGACGGCACTTCGTTGATGGTGAGTGATAATGTGCCGTTATCAATTTATTTAAATATTCATATGCTTCCTCATTTCAATGGAAAGCTGATGACAAACTACTGTTATTGGTAGGCATAGGCCTACTTGCAGACTTGACTTGTGTAAGAATTAATCATCAATTGCTATAAGGTATTGCTTCCCTAGTTAGCAGGTAATCTATTAGTAAGTGTGAAAAGTTGAATAGATAACTGAAGTTTAACGCCAGTGCTCATGTAAAAAATAACCAGAATTCTATTGAATTCGCCATCTAGAAATACGCTCGCCACCGCATCTCTGATCACCCTGGTAGTTTCACAGGTTCCAATCCCATGCGGGGATAGTTATGTAATTGTACGATGTTGCACCTTGCAATCCCCCCCCCCCAAAAAAAAAAAATCTTATCCTAAAAACTACCTACATTGGTGGGCATATCTTCATTAATGATCAGAATGTGTTGTTTGATTGTTTCGTTAGTTAGCAAGTAATCTAATATTGATCTGATACACAAACTTGGCACTGTCAAACGATGATTAGTTTTTACCTTCTTTTTAGAAAAAAAGGAGAGGTAACCCATTATCAGCTGCTTATAAAAGCTATCAATATTTGAATTTTCGCCATCTCCAAAGAGGAAAAGAATAGTTAGAAAAAAAGGGATTCTAAAGAAAGGCAAAAAGCAGGACCATTTCAACAAATTCTGTTAACTTGTATGCGTTGCAATATCACTTTGCAGTTGTTAGCATAATCATTTAATGTGTCTTTTGACTAGACCTACCACACTTTAAAAGAAGCCGCCTATACCCGTTTTCACTAGACCATAACACTGTAAAATATTTGATAGAAATTACCCCTAAGGCATATCTTCCAGTTGAAAGGGCTGTGCAGGCAGATACATTTTTTACTTTAAATTATGGAATGTTACTTCCAGGTTATCTTATCCTTGCTTATAGATATCTTGATGTTAGTGACTCCAACTGACCCATGCATGCCACACTGAAAATTCTCTTGTGTACCGATAAAATTAAGCATTGGGAGCCTTTAGCAATCTGAGCACGATGGATTCATGTGAAACACGTAATATGCATTTATAAGCAAAAATATCCCATCCTGAGCAGCACTGATCCACAACCTCCTGCCTATGGAATCGAAACATTAGACAAATTGGTGTACTGTGCACATTCACAAATCTTTGCGAATCAAGTATGCCTTTTAACCAATGACATTAAACAACATGATAGGCAACTCTGACGTCACTCCATAAGACTACAGGCAAAACATTGTATTTCATGATACGCTCCAATGCACATATTTCTCGTCGCCTTTCGCGTCCGTTTTCCGCTCGCTTTTGCTACTCGGCGTCTTTTTTACGTGTAGTAACTGCCTATTTGCGTCTGTAACGAAACAAAATAATCTCTATATCTAAGAAGTTTTGCTTACTTGGAAAGCTGGAATAACAGGCAAGCTGTAAAGAGCAATTCTGGACATCATAGACTTTTTTTTTTATCAGAGAAGATTACAAACGCGATAGCGGAAAGATTTGTGTGGAACATTTTGCAGATAATGACAAAGTTCAAAGTTAGTAATTTTAATGTTTGCGCTTAATCATTGAAATTTCATTTAAAGAGGGTGTCATACAAAACTGTGCTACGATACAATTCCATAACACAAAGTTTGCACCTATCGAACTTGCTTTTGTAGGTGAATTTATTAGACATATTACATATTCAGTTAATCGTAGGTAACATTGCTGGTACATAATGCATCGTAGATAGGTTTGTTTAAATTTAGGAATTTAGCTCATAGCCCACTAATTAATATTATCTTCTATGCAGGAGGTTGCAGGGCTGAATTCAACTTGCAGCCTTACCGATCATCTGACGATGCTCATTTAGTTTGGCTCGAGCAATTCTTCTTGAAATGCTTGTGTGAATGGAAACTACCTATATTTTTTGCCTTCCTTCGATTTTAGACAAATTTATTCTGAGGGATTTCGCATATAATTCTCACTGATTGTTGGCTGTTTATAATTTCTATTGATTGTGAATTCTGATTATAACAATGAGTTGAAAATTTTTTTACCTAATTTACTGGCACCCTTTTCTTGTCAATACTCCAAGCTGAGGTAATAAACATGACAATACATTTATGTCATCTGGAAGCAAAATATGCACACTAATTAATAGTTTGGCACATTGAGATAATACATCATGACAGAAAATACAAGTTAAAGATATGTATGACCATCACATGGTAATTAAAATTAATAAAAATTAATAGGGGCTGTGGAGTATGGAAAGTTCAAGACAAAGAAAAGAACAAATGTTCATAGCTCATGAACTCTCAATTTTGCCTCCATTGCTTTGTGAAGGCCAATATATTTCGAGTGGCTGAATTGGTTTACCTTTATGATAGCAACGATTTTGTATTTAATATAGCGAGATTATTTCAATTTAATTGAAGTGATATAATTTCCCAAAGCAATGCTTGAATCGTCTAGAATAGATCAGTGGTGTCAAACTCATGGGTTTTCGAGAGCCGCATTGCATTTTGAAAATTGTAAAAAGAGCCGCAAACAGTTTTTGATAATGTATACTCAAAAGATATTTTTAAGATAGTTTTAGTTTGGGACATATATTGTGATGCAACTAAACAGTTGGATTAAGTTTTATTATTTTCTTCAATTTCAAATGCAATTACATATTAATATTTGCATTCCACTATTATTGCAACATTTGCAAGTTACAGTATTTATTATAAAAAATTGTAAAATTTTATGTACAACCATCAAAATCATTTTTGAACAAGCTTTGAATAAGGAAAGAATAATACATACACTAAAAATAACTTAATCTAAATATATGAACCTAAAATTAACAAAAATACTACAGTATAAACTCAATGTTTTAATAATTACATTTGTCCTGGCGTTTGGCATCTTTTTTGTGTCACCAGCATACTAAGGCCAGTCTGAAATGATTTTATAGTACCAACTCTAACTAACGAGGCCACATGATCATGGGTTTATCTGGATCTTTACGAATGTTTAATTAATTCCAGTAATGCAAAAAAGTTACTTTTATCATTTCATGTATAGATCAGTAAAAAAACAAATGACAGATTTTTTCGACAAGACATTTCGCACTACATTGCGTGGCATAGGATTGCTTGAATTATTATTGATATTGATTTTTAGTAACTAAGTCGTTGTTTAATTATATTAGTATACAAACACATGGAAATTTTCTGTTCGAAGTTGGTCTTCGAATTTGTCATATTGACTGCTGAGCTTATTGTGTTTTTTGATTGTATTGATGGAAATATGACAAATTAAACAATGTGCTTCAGAATTTTGTGAAGAGCAGAAATGTTACAACTCCCATTTTCTTCGAAAATGCCACCTTCTTCATGTACTTTGCGTTTAATTTAATTACTCAAGTGTTTTATTCAAGTATTCTTTTGCTAGCTTGATGTGTATTCTTAATTGGGTCAAAATGTGGACAAAAAAAATTAATATTCCAAAACTACTTTCAGTAAATTGTTTTCTGTGTGAATAATCAATTTCACTTTAGAAGGTTTGAAAAATCTATTACATTTAGATAAAAAAAAAACTTCCAAAATACTATTACAATTATTGTTAAGCGTTCGAGGGCCGCACTGGAAGTTCTCTGGGGCCGCGAGTTTGAGATTCCTGGTCTAGATTGAAGTTGTTCAAAAATATATGATAGTATTTTATCATGAATGATGATTATACCCCTTCCGGAATTTCTTCTATAGTACTACCAAAAGTTGATGAACCAAATATAACACAGGTGCAGTGAGGTACCCGTAATCCTCATTTCCAAAGCTGTTTTAAGTATGTCTGGCGTGTTTTGTGCCCTTTTACAAATAAGACCGCTTATGCAATCTTACGCTTTGGAATTTTTAGTTATTTTCCTCAAGCCCTGCAGGATGTGGGGGCCATACACAACTCTACCGGAGGGTCAAATGCCTTTGCATGCCTCCATAGGTTGTTTTTCTATTGCAAATTTCTATTTTCAATTGCATTATATTTCTTGGAATCACACTGTCACTGATATGTCGCCAGACTTCTGATATCTCCCCGTCTGCTATAGTTGTCCTGTGAACAAATAATAGGAAATTGAGATTAGACGAATAGTTGAAAGTTTTGCTTTATGTCGGCTTAATTTCTTGATTGATATACTTACTATTTCTGCTATTGCCTCTTGTGCTGCAAGAGTCTCACAATGCTTAGACAGGTTTGTCCACAACTTTCACATCTGAAGAAAGAGAGGAGATTTATTAATTTTCGTTAAGAATAAATAAAGCAGTCTATATGATTCAGAATGGAAAAGCTAATAAATCCAATATATCATGTTTTATTTAAAAAATATTTTACTGAATTTGGTATATAAACCAACTAATAAAAGGGTTTAGTCAGAAAATTACAAGCATTCGTGGCTCCAAATACTTGAGAAATCAGACTATACAATATAGACCGGTATGAGTGAAATGTTAGGTGAACTTGTTAACACTTTGATTCAATACGCAAATAAAAGTGAATGCGTAATAGTATGTTACAATGAGCAGCAATCAACAATGAGTATATATCCTCACTGATTAAAAAAATCTAACTGGAGGTGCATGAACTATTTGAAACCATAAGGGGTAAGTAAATATGTAATTTCGGCAAATGGGCAACTACGTACCGTACTGAATTAATAACTTCGTAGTATTTGACAAAGGCTGGCTTTCCCACATGTACTTAACAGTGCGATGCCCGGGTGTGATATACAACAATAGTATTCACCTTACCTTTTACCGATTTCTTTTTACCCCAACTTTCAAAAATATCATTAAAATCGACAACAACTGTCAAAGCAGGCACGAACACCATTCGTGCTACGCCTTGAAAGCAGCACACATCCGCTCGTTTTCGTCTCGTCAAGTATGTGCATTGGAGCGTGCTACCGAATACGATCTTCGGACAAAAATGCCGGAGTTGCGCATCATGTTGTTTAATGTCATTGCTTTTAACTAAGGAAAATTTAGCATTGAAATGGTCAATCTCAATATAAACCAGGTATCTGCAGATAAAACCAATTGATTTTTTAAAAATTTATTTTTTATGTGCTTTATTTTTCGAATATAATTTATAATTACTGTAAAGTGTGTGATACATTTGGTACCATGAAAACCATTTGCAAATTAGATTGGGTTACACCCCTTTCGAATAAAAGTTTAGACTCTTAAGTCATATCTCATAATATTCTTTAAACAAAAGGTTGCGGCTAGCCGGCTACCCATCAGAATTTTCTTTCAGATCACAAAGTCGCAATAATATGCCTCGCTAAGTTTTATTGGCAACTGTATTTGGTTGTAGTATCGCTGTCCAACTTTAGACTGAAACCTTCACTACCAGACCCACCGAAACAAAAAAAAATTCTCGATAGGGTCTTATTGAAGTTGCTTTCATTCAAGCACAATGGACACTTTATCTCCACCAATCCACAGTAATCACAAGTTACTTTGTCATTACGTTAAGAATCAATAAATGGATACTCATGAGGATGTATTATCGAGTCACGAAAGCTGAGGTCTTGTGCCGCTGTGGTCTTGTTGCAACTTATACTTTGCCATCCATCTATTCCATGGTCACACCCACCCATATCTGTAAGATAAAGGATACAGATTCACAGGATTGCAGGTACAACAACTAAATCATATGGCAAACCACAGTCTCTCGTACGATTGGATTAGTTAGCCAGTTATTTGTTTTTAGAAGCATGGACTTGAATGGTGGGGGATGGTCGTAACCGATCAGCGGTCGTGTGAACCACCCTCAGTGGGAGGAGAGCTGCAATCCTCTCGCACATAACTATCCCCGCATGGGATTGGAACCTGTGAAACTACCAAGGTGATCAGAGATGCGGTGGCGAGCGTATTACTAGATGGCGAATTCAATTGAATTCTGGTTATTTTTTGCATGACCACCGGTGTTAAACTTTAGTTATCTATTCAACCTTTCACACTTAGTAATAGATTACCTGCTAACTAGGGAAACAATACCTTATGGCAATTGATGATTAATTCCTTACACAAGTCAAGTATGCAAGTAGGCCTACGCCTAGGCCTACCAATTACAGTAGTCTGTCATCTGCTTTCCATTGAAATGAGGGAGCTTATGAATATTTAAAAAAAATTGATAACGGCACATCATCACTCACCACCAACGAAGTGCTGTCCGCAAACAGTGAAACACAAGCGAGATGACTTCTGGACTTGACACCAAGCAGTCCTGCCAATAGATGATATCCACATTGCGCGACGTTCCGGATCTTTTAAAAACAGTGGAATATAACTGATGATCCATTTCGTTGTCTATACTATACGTACAGCCAACGGAACAATACGAAATAACCATTTTCAACAGCCAAACAAAACGGAAACGTATAACCCGACTTGCAACTGACAGGAGCCAAATGGACGTTTTTGTTTTTATTGCCGTCCAGTAAACGAAGTCACGTGACCCGTGCAAGTCCTCTATATGCTATTAGGAATATACTTACTCCATTGCACTGATGGGCATAAAATCCTCATTTAAACCAATGACTAACATACCGTCTAAGTTATTTAGACTTACGAAACAAAAAACCGGAGCTATGCGGATTGTACAAATCTTGGTTCGATTCTGAGGCTTAGTAATATCCAGCTCATTACTTATCGATCTTACGATCGGTAAGTATGTTGATAGGTATTTGTCTGTTTGTCTGTTAGATACACGCGATATCTCACGAAAGCGAGGTTGAATCTGCTCCAAATTTTGCATGTGCATTCATCATAGTTCGGAACAGAAGTCTATTGATTTTCGATGAATTATGTCGTATAATTAGCGAGGTATTAATTAATTAGTGATGGGACACACGGTGTCACTATGGAGTAAGAGCGCTGTTTTGGGGGATCCCCTAACCTACGATCGATAACTCTTCGGTCTCCGACCGATATTCTCGTATAAATATTATTACTATTCAAGCCACCGGAGAAAGTGCACTTTCTTTTTACTTCTGTAACATTGGCTAAAATCAGCAAGATATAACGGTGACGTTAATAATTTATAAGCCCTCAGACAACTTTTCCCCAAATTTATATTCAGAGAAGATTCCCACGAAGATATTTACAGGCATGGTGGTGAAGTCCATGCTTCGGAAAAACAAATATCTAACTAATCCCATACCCGACATAGAATGGTAACCGGACGAGAGGACGTGGTTCGCCATATGGTTGAGCCGTCAAATCGGCTTTCCTCTCCCCCGGGATAAATATGTAAATCTTATCCTTATCCTTACTTTAGCTTATTGTTATGGTTTTGTATGCTATTTGTCAGTTTTCAGCTGTACTTAGCCGTTAATGTCTAGTTGATTAGCAAATGTTACAATTTGCCAGTATGTAAATCCTATCCTTATCAACGTTTCTTCTTCAGCAGTCTCGTGATAAATATGGAAATCGCATCTTTCATCACGGGAATCCAATGGAGTGCGACTCACTTCACAGTGGTGGTATCATAGTAGTCTTGTTTTAATGAGGAAGTTCCGGCCATGCTACCGGGAGTTTGTCTTGCGATAACTAGGTACAGAGGTAAGGTCGGAAGTCGGAACCTAAGTATAGTTTTAAGTTTATCACTTCACAAACAATTTCATGAGTATCGCAGATACTAGGGTTTAATTCGCTACCGTACATTAGCAGCACCTTGAAAGCAGTGGGCAACTGCACAATGAAATGGCAGTGACTGATTAGTGAGTACGACAAAACATGGCTCAGATAAAAGTATGACTCAGCAGAAACATTACTGTTGTCAGTGAACACATAAAGTTGAGAATACAAAAATTATCACAGAAATACCGTACCACGTACAGACATATCTACCTCAGTGACTTGTTGTAATTCATTTAAAAGAGTGAATGAACAATCTCATGATGATTATGCGATTGCTGGACTGTGTTCATCCAGTCATTTGTGCCAATAGATTATCGTACATCATTAGCATAGCTACAGTACTGAATTCTGGAATTACCGTACTGATATACCGGTAGCTGTAGGTGGCATGTACCGGTACGGTATTTCCAACTCCATTAATCACCTGGCATAGCATATCTGCATATTGTACCGGAGCACAGGATCATTCGGAAATTATCATTAATACAGGAATAATAGCGAAGTGCATTTGATAATTGTTTGAGGCGATTCTTGCCTCAGAGATCTAACACCAATTTTATGATTCTTTTCTACAATTTTAAATCATCAAATAGCTAGCTATTTTTAGGCTAATTCTGTAATATGACTCTTTGAAGTTACAAATATTGATTTGGATTAAAGTACTGTACGCTACTCACTACAGGAATATTGGTAATGGCTAATTTCAAGCAAAAACGGATTAGTAAAGAAATACAAAATCTAGCAGTGAGACCACCACCAGGTGTGAAACTTCTAAACCCTGATGACACTTCATTGGCACGCGTAACCATGGAACTCACTGGTGCAGACAACACTTTGTATGCGAAGGAAGTATTTAATCTTGTATTCATATTTGGGGATAAATATCCATTTGAGTCGCCTCAAGTCATGTTTACTGGCAACAAAATTCCAGTTCATCCTCATATTTATAGCAACGGACATATATGTTTATCCATATTGACAACAGATTGGAGTCCAGCACTTTCTATTGAGTCTGTTTGTCTGAGTATCATATCTATGTTAAGCAGTTGTAAAGAAAAGAAAAGGCCTCCCGATAATTCAATATATGTTATGAGGGCCAGCAAGAATCCTAAAGATACAAGTTGGTGGTATCATGATGATAACGTGTAATTGTTTCAAGATATATCTTACAACAAAGTGTGCTTTGTTTCTGCTTATCACCAGTGTTCTTTTGGGTCTGTCAAAACTTTAAATGAACTTTAAACTATGTGTATGGGAGTTTTAAAAACAGACAGGTTGTGCAATTTATAATATTTGATGTGGCCTTTGTTTTAATTATATCATAGATTCCCTAAACTCTGATACAAATTCTTATTTTTGTTTATCGCTTATAAATTGATAAGCTATCAAGAAAACAACCAAGATTAACACAATGGATTCGTTTTTTGGCGAGTTATATATGTAGATGTCATGATTCAAACTTGTAGTCACAAAAACTTGGCATCACGAAGCGCAGCCTATTCAACTTATTATAGGTTTCAAGCTTCATTTTGGAGCAGAGTTTACTGCGCTCTTATTGCAGGCCAAGTTTAATTTTATTTTTTCAAAGTGCATCAATAAATGCTATGTGAATTGTATGCAATACTGTGCTATAGCTTAATTTATGTAATATTTTAAAATCACTATGTTCTGAGTATTTTAGCAGCTTCTAGATAATATTCTACTTCATTGCCTTGTCAAATTTTAAACACACTCTTTGATATATTTTCTTCTCTTAACAATAGCATATTTGATAAATTTTCTTTGCGAAATTATGTTTTTCTAAACTTAAGCCATTCTTGTCTTATATATCCATTGAAATCTTTTTTGAATCAGAGTCCTAGTTAAACCACTGCAACCGTGTTTGTGCAAAATTGATCGATTACCGGTATCGGTATGTTAAACTGGTTCAATATAATCTCTAAAGTAATTCAATAATTGCTCATATGCAATTTCTTTACTGTCCAGAGCTTTGCTAAAATTGAAGTATACTGGTTTCGTATGCTAGCTTAAGGTTTCATGCATATTATTTTATTGTTAGACTAAGTATGATCAATGTTTTCATTATTCACATGATCAGATTTATTCTGTATTTGGTATGGCGACAAATTTATTCAGAGTATAATTGAAAATAGCTACAATAATTAAGAAAAATCCTATCTATCTATCCTTTTCGCAATTTGATATCAATCTTTGTTTTGTCTTGCACTATTTTTCATAATGCGCATAATTTGTTTTATTTTTTGTTTCTTTATTTTTTAAGTATTTTGACTGGGAGCAATCTGGCATCCACCTTGTTTCGATCTGTGCGAAGGATACATTCAATTAATTTATCTGCACCGAAATTACAGCAAAAGGTTTTCATACGTCAAATTTCAGTAAAGAAGATGGATGTTTCACAGCATATTCTAGAAAATGAAACTGAGGTTTGCCACCTTGATTGTGTCACAGCATTTAAAGCTTTGAGCAAGAGTGAAAAATTGTATTCACATTATTTGGGAAAAGCATCATTCTATGGTGGACTGATTGTCCTGCACCAAACTTCTCCCGAGTCACCAAAAATATTCTGTCTTTTGATGAAAATATTTTCAAAGCAGAGTGCAGAAGCAATTGCAGAAATTGCTGTTGAACGATGTGGATTTTCAGCAGAAGATGTAACAGCATTCAATGTTTACATTGCTGGGTTTCTGGCAAACATGGGAAACTATAAAGGATTTGGTGACACAAAGTTCATCCCTGGAGTTCCTCGGGAGAAGTTCATGAAGTTGGTCATGTGTACAGATGCATATCGTCAAGAACCGGAGCTCATTGAGTCCTTGATGCAAGCATGTGCTGAAAGAACTTATTCTCTGGATGAGAACAACAAACAACTGGGTTTAAAGGGGAATGGAATCACAGCGTATTTCTCACTCAATTGCGACAAAGCTGATGCTGAAATGATACAAAAATTTCTGGATGCAAAATCTATAAGTGCCTATAACACTAGACTATTTAAGAAAGAGTTGAATGATGGAAAGTACAAGTATGAAGTCAGGCTCGCATCAGTTTCTAAAACTGATGATAGTGGTGATAAACTTCCTTATTTAGGTGACCATGAATTTGAAGGTCACTCAATCACAGTTCAGCGTGGGGATTATAGTGTTTTGATGAAAAAAGTGGTAGAAAATTTGGAAAAGGCGAAAGCTAATGCTCTTAATGAAAATGAAGCCTCTATGATTAAGGAATACATTCGTTCTTTCACAAGTGGTGATCTCGAAGCACATAAAGAAGGTTCCCGATTTTGGATCCGAGACCAAGGACCTATTGTAGAATCTTATATAGGGTTCATTGAGTCATACAGGGATCCTTTTGGAACAAGAGGTGAATTTGAAGGATTTGTTGCTGTTGTCAACAAAGAAATGAGCAAAAAATTTGCAAATCTTGTTGCATCATCTGATACACTCCTGAAACATTTGCCATGGCCTAAGGATTATGAGAAAGATACATTTTTGCGTCCAGATTTTACATCTCTTGATGTTCTTGCTTTTGCTGGCAGTGGTATTCCTGCTGGTATCAATATACCAAACTATGATGACATTCGTCAGTCGGAAGGATTCAAGAATGTATCACTTGGTAATGTGTTATCTGCAGCGTATTCTGTAGGAAAAAAAGTATGGTTTCTTTCCGATGAAGACCAGGCTATGTTCAAGGATTACAAAAGTAAATCTTTTGAGGTTCAAGTTGGATTGCATGAGTTGTTAGGACACGGCAGTGGGAAATTGTTCAGCACAAAAGAAGATGGAACCATGAATTTTGATAAAGAAAAAGTCATCAATCCATTGACAAATAAATTAGTCGAAAAATGGTACAAATCTGGTGAAACGTGGGATAGCAAATTTGTTGAACTTTCCTCACCATATGAGGAATGTAGGGCAGAATGTGTGGGATTATACCTGTGCCTCAACAGGGATGCACTCAAGATTTTTGGACATGAAGGACAATCTGCCGATGATATCATTTATGTCAATTGGCTAAATATGGTTTGGGCAGGAGTTCAAGGCCTTCTGTACTACACTCCAGAAAATAAAACATGGAGGCAAGCTCATATGCAAGCAAGATATGTCATTCTCAGAGTTTTGATGGAGGCTGGTATTGTGACTGTTATGCACACTTCATGCAAAGATGACGGAAAGCCAGATGCTCTTATCACTCTTGATCGTTCACTCATAGAGACCAAAGGTCAAAAAGCAATTGGTGATTTCTTGTGCAAACTGCAAGTCTACAAATCGCATGGCGATTGTGAGACTGCCAGAGTTATGTGGCAGAAATATGCAACTGTGGAATCTGAGATACAACCAGACATGTTAAAACTGAGACAGACCGTCATCTTACGACGTCAACCAAGAAAGTTATTTGTTCAAGATAACACCATTAATAAAAGTGAAGAAATTAATTTGGTTTCTTATCCTGCCACCCATTCAGGCCTGATAGATTCGTTTGCAGATAGATTCAGAGATGATGATATTTGTGAATTGTTGAAAAACTGTTAACATTTAGCAAGCAACTTATCATCCTGACAGTTCAAGCTGACAATAATGCAGTTTCCATCTTTTTTTGGTGCATTCTTTAACCTATTTTTCAAATTCTCCATTCCTCCCCACTATATATAAAAACTCTTGTTTGAATTTGTTATTCAATCTTGAATAGAACATTTGCTTGTGATATGTGCAACTAGCCTTCTGTACAGTTTAAACATATGCATATCTATGTTTCACAATAATACTACATGCAAATATAAAGTAATATTTAAATTCCTGCTTGGAGAGGAATAGGGAAACATTGGCCCTAAAGAATCTAAATTTTTCGCTACATGATTCAATGGCAGTATCATGTCAATTACTTGCCATCAAAATAACATTTCAATACTACAAGAACCATTATAACTATCAATTGGGAACCCAATTTATGTGTCAAATATTTCAAGCTAGCATTCCTAATGAATGACAAAATCTGTTTTTTGCTTGATCAAATAAGCCAAATGATTGAATGAATGAATATTTCGTATCTGTTGTTGATCATGAAGGTTTGAGGGTATACCTGTTTAGGTTCCTAGCCATGCTTTGGATAAAACATTCTTTAAAAATATTGTGGGTCTTGTACTCTTGTCACAGCAGTTCAGTGAATTATTTTATTAGCTCATATTCTGATTGAACTGCCTAGATAGGACGAAGAGCATGTTCTCTCATCTGATCAACTGTCCAGATTTTGTATTGTTGACCAGCCGAAAATTCATGAATTGTGCAGCAAGAAATTGTGAGATTATTTTAACATTTGATGATAATATCCCATCGGGTGGGTGGGTACACTTTCGTATAGTGTCATCCTAGTGAGCAGATATAAATCTGATTGCTCGAAACTTTAGAACACAATCATGAGCGAAACTTATTCAACTGAAAGTTGGTGAACCATTTTGGATTGCATGCAGGTCAACCCCCCATAGTTCCGTCAGTTATTCAGTTCCGTCAGTTATTCATCCAAACTAGAAAAAACATGGAACTCTCTCACCCAGTTAACCATAATTTCCAGGAAAATGCTGCAAGCTATATGGCTACGCCTCATCAGGAATAAAGGCCAATGCAACTCTTGAACACCGCAGCTACCAAAGAGCTACATGCACTGTCTATCTGCTCAAGAGGAAGTAGTCCCAGTGATTATAACCAGATTTACACTGCAAAAATTTAATTATGAATACTGAAAATGGCTATCAAAAAAAGCACCAGCTTTATAAGCAGTGAAAAGTTGATCAACTTCATGTAAATTGTTTACAGATTATGATTGGAAAAAATTGTGAGAGATAGCAGTGCAGGTGGCATAAGCAATTTGCTGGTCATAGCTCATCATGATTTTGTTCCTTGCCTTCTGGACGTTTGTATGCTCCAAGCTGATACATGACACCACTTTTCATGTTTTTGATCAGGAAGATGAAAGGATGATCCGCATAAAACATAATTCTTTTGTCAGCAGGTGTACGGTTGGCTTCTTCGCGCTCTGCCTGAACCAATCCCCCTAGAGGATTCACCTGAATTACCATAAGTAAAATATTACTATTTTAATATCACCAGCATACCTGTATCCTACAGTTCTTGATGACTCATTTCTGTGCCTTCAGGTCGTACAAACCGGCCCAGAAAGAGTATCTGGCGAATTTTGTTGTGATGTATCATCCATATGAATGGATGATCAGCAAAATATCTGATGGCAAGATCAAGTGAGCGTGCCATAATCCGGACAGTGGTGGCCGCAGCCGCCGTGCTGCCCTCTTCAGTAACCTGATGGAAATTGTATAAGATTCACTAGTATTCAATAATATTCTCCTAAACTGAAAAAATGTCAAACTTGCCTCTAGTACACCTTTGTGAAAAACGGCATCAACGAAGAGTGATTTGTCACCACTTATTCCAGATAGGTCTGCTTGGCCGGATGAAAATATATCTTTGATTCCCAGGTTTTGCAATGATTTTTGAAGTTCAATGCCAGCCTCCACTTTAAATTTTGGTAATGTGATCTAAAATCAACACAATCATGAACTGATTTAATCGAGATTTCAGTAAAGATGTAATTCCTGCATAGCGATGAAGGTTGTAACCCACATAATCGTGTTTTTCTATACTTCAACGAATATAATTGAATTACTCAGTATTGTCATAACCAACCCAACTGATGACCATAAGACAGACTTGATTAAAAATTCATATTTAAATAGATTTGATCATGTACATTATTTGAAGAAATTGAGACTTACGTCAACAGTTTCGTATTCCATGTTGGAAATCCAATTGGTAAGGTTCTCATAGTTTAAGTTCTTCTCAACAGATGCAAGATCAAAAATTGTCCGGCAGGAAAAGATACATGCTGATATCTTGGCCAACGTAAGGCAATTCCAAAACCTGAAGATTCAATGATTCAATATACCGAAAACGAAACTTTCCTGTAAAAATTAGAAATAAGAATTACTTAAAATTTACATTATGTATACAATACTTATTTCCTAAATTGGTTTAAATAAATGAAACGCTTCTCTCGCTCACCTCGTTGATACATGAAGTGAGTATTGATAACTCTGTAATGAGACACATAAAATGCTCTTTCATCAGTGTGCATTGGTGAAAAGCCAGAGTGCCATTCACCAGTAAAATAAAGGGTGTTGACAAGGACCAAAGCAGTTGTCGCATCTAGATCGTCATCGTTGAGCATATTTGGAATGAGGTCGCCAGTTTCTTGAGAGATCCATTTATTAATGTGAGATACAGATGTCTTGTCCCCAAAATCCAACTGTAAAAAGAATTAAGTCTAATTATTATATGAACACTCTCATATTAGCATGCAATGTAAGTTTATATACACACATCTTCAATTTTCGCTCCAAACACTGAGAGAGCATTTCTATAGTCATTCAACACACTGGCAGTCTTTGAAATGAATGCTCCATTCGCACCTTTCAGGGTGATGTTGTCTTTAGGCTACAAAAAAAGTTTGGCATAAAAAACACACATAAGTAAAAACCCATAAAATGAAATGTGTATATTTTTTGATTCTGAGAATTGTATGAAAATATTAATATAGTCTAAGATTACCTTGTCAAAAAGAAGTCCATTCAGTTCACCAAATGCTGAATTGATTAGTGATGCTTCAACATCTTTTAAATGAAGGGCTTCTGCAATTTGTTTAGTGGAATTTTCTTTCGTTCCTAACTTCACCATTGCCAAAGCTGTTAAATAGTGCAATTTCATTACAAGTCATAATATTACCATTTTCAATAATTTCGTAAGGGATTGCAACATCTTTAAAAAATGAAAGCGATATTATTGCTTATAATATCATTATACTCTTATACAAGATAGACAAACCTGCTGAGATGCTGACTGGAGAGAATACCACATTTACTGTTTTGGGTTGTGCAATAATTTCCCTGTAGAGATCCACAGCGAACTTCGAATTTGCTGCTGTTAACTTTTCCACGGCATCACTGTATATGTTAGCTGTTCCGTAGACATTCGAAACTAGCAATCCCGACAACAACACCAGACAAATTGACGAAAACGTGAACATTTCCAGACCGCCGTCAGACTAACCTATCAATGTGTCAACTAACCAAACTAAAAAGACATCGATTAAAGTTTGATTGAATATGATAGTCAATCCCAATTGCATTCGATTTTACTCTGATCAAAAGAAACGAGATCATAACATATCAATTCCAGGATTTAGCGCTTTCTAAAGACTCTTCTTCACAACCGCCGCGTCGCGGAATAGGTTTAACTGCAAAAGTTGTGGGAGGCCTTTGCATATGATTTCGACGTAACCCCTGTGTGTTACATCTCGCGATCATTCACAAAGCGTTTTTGTGAGATAACGAGAACTCAGTCGGTTATATATGCGTTCAAAAGACTATGCAAACAATTCTGACCTAATTATATTGCGTGAAATTACTTTCGGCGCAATTGTTTGAGTTTATCCGTCGACTATGTGCGAAAACAACAAAAACCCTGCGGGTTTCCTACTTCGCGCCTAAGAATAGAAAGATCCAGAATTTTTAGGCGTCGTCTTTTTTTTTTTTTTTTTTTTTAACTTTTATGGCGTCCGTCTGCTGATCAATTACTTTGCGAGTGAGAAAGATCCAGAAAGTCTGGAGCGGCAGTCATTTCACGCTTCACACATGGCTGCACCATGGGCAACACGTGTCCTAACGAAATTGAAGAAGTTGTTTTTCGGTTGAGTGAACGTATATGTGAATAACTGAAGTGAAACAGGTTGGAAAAAGAATTCAGAACTGTTTAAATTGTTATATATTTGTACAAAAACAGTGACGCATTCACAAAGCGATATAACACATGAAAACTGTATACTAGACTATATTCAATTTGGCATAATTTAGTCCGTGTTGCTGCATCGAGATGATTTTCATTACAAAACTAATGGTGTAGCGAGGCCTTATGGTATTTGATACTTAATCCCTGCTAAAGTAGCCTACAGCATGCATACAATGTAACGAGGCTACCGGTATCACACAATTTTGATCTGAAATTTAGACAATGACAGAATGAGTTGACATACAGACATAGGTGATACTATAATACACTCACAGACTTAATCTATTTTGAAAACAATAATAAACACAATCTGACAATGCAACTCCTGAATAATGGTACTAATGCAATACCATTTTGAATTAGTCATTTTTTTGAATTAGTCATTGTATTGAATGAAATTAAATATCACTTTAAAAGCACACAACCTATTTCAGCATTCACAGATTTCAGGATTTCAAAACATTTTAATGTTAAATTGAACATAACTTGAAATCTGATTTCAGCGTTTGTACAAAAACAATAATATGCACAATGCAGCACCTGAATAATGTAACTAATGTAATACCATTTTCAATTTGTCATCTTTCTGAATTCTAGTCATTGTCTTGAATGAAATTAAATATCGCTACAGCACTAGCGAGTAGCAAATCATAATTTGATATTTAAATCTTGCTACTACAGTACTAAAGTATATTTAGTACAGCGTATTTTTAGTACTTGGTAGACAAGGCTGTCGCAGGTTAAAACCTTGAGTTCAAATCCCATGCCCATCATCTTACCCTGTGTGTAGCCTATTAAATTAGGTGTGCAATGCCGAATCGGACAGATTCCTAAAACTCAAATTGAGTTGACAATTGACATGATATATTTTGGGAACACGCAACCCATTTGAAGACATTTTAATGTGAAAATACTCTCCTCTTTATAACTTGAAATAAAGGCTTTCATAATATTGAATCGAAATACTGAAAAAGGTAACTCGAAACTAAGTAAGTAAATATTTCATTCATTCGGGTATTGCTGTATTGAGAGAAAGTTTGTATGCGCTCTGTTATTAAGGCTCAGAACAAGTTTATTTTATTGCTGTATGAGGTATTGTTTTTCACCAAAGCACTTTATTAAGAGTAGTGTTCTCCTTTAGTAATATCTGAATATTGAAAGATTTTATCAACAGATTTTACAACCACCATCTTACCCAGGGGGTATTCTATAAAATAGTTATGCAATGTTGAACCACATAGATTCTGGTCTTTCCAAAATAGAATAGCTACTTCCATATCAGTGGCTTGTTCAGAGCCTTGTTTGTGGCAAGAGGCGTATAGAAACATTGTATAAAAAAATTATAGTTTTTACAGCTTGCTCTGCCTACTTTATTACTGAGCAACCTTCTACATAATCAGGTGAATTCAGGGGTCTAGTGTTGTTTCATACGAATTTTTGCTTATGTCAATCCTTACCCCCACCTGACGTCATCCAAAAATTACGTCACTATGACATCACAGTGTCGGGATAAGGCCTTACGAACTATCATCCGAGGCGATCACCCGAAATCGAACAAGCTATATTCTCGTTGCAACGATCCCAATATGATAAAGGGTAGACGCCGTTAGTGAGTTCTTTATCATCGGCACAGATGCCATTTCTGGCGATTGTAGGTATACTTTGGCAAGCTCTATGACATAAATTTTGAAATGTGTAGTCAGGTTAGGATTGACATGTGCAAAAGTCGTTATGCTATGCCCACTAGAAGGACGGTACTTGAGGTACAAAACTACACGAGACTTCAGATGGTACTCATTACAACAACATTATAAATGTCCTTATTTGTAGATATTAAAAACTGTTCACTAATCGCTCAACACAGTTCCCTTATGTAATTTTAGAATTCTAGTTTAATCCAATTTATGTAAGTTTAACTCAAAATGTCCTCAAGGCAACGTACTGGTGGGAGCAACATGTCACCAGGTAACCATGTGCAGTTGCAGTATGAATATAATACTGATGATGATACAGTAACTTATGAAGACAAGAAACCACCTTATAACAGTAGAGGATGGTGGTATGAAGACAGATCCAGCGTTTTACTCCTCCTTTTCCTATATGTACTTCAAGGTCTTCCACTTGGACTTGCTGGCAGCATTCCAATGATATTAGCGGTAGGAAGAAATAATTTACATTTTATTTTTATTTTGTTCAACTCTGTATGGAAATAGTCAACAATCATTTAGTTGCACTTGTATTATCACCAATATTTGTATCAGAATCTGCCATATATTTGAGGCTATAGATCTAACATGGGCAAGCTATGGCCTGCGGGCCAAATCTGGCCCTGTGGCTAATTCAATCGGGCCCGCCTGGTGCTGCCACACAACCAAACTTTGATGTTTTAACTGAAAAATAACTCAAGGAATTTGTTGAGATTGTGATTAAATTTTGTTTTGGCATGTAGCTCATTGTTTTGTACATTTGCTTTTGTAACACTGTAAATATTGTTCATAAACGTAACTGATTACGTCACAATTTTATGGCCCCTGGTCCAAAAACGTTGCCCTTGTTGATTAAACCGGACACTGTTCAAGTCTTCTAAAAACATATTTTTATTTTCAGGGTAAAAACGTTGACTATCATCAGCAAGCATTATTCAGTTTTGTGTTTTGGCCATTTAGTATCAAGTTGTTGTGGGCGCCAATCGTCGATGGAGCCTATGTTAGAAGATTTGGAAGAAGAAAAACTTGGCTTGTTCCAACACAATATGCAATTGGGATTGTTATGTATATTCTATCTTTAAACATGGACAAAGTTTTAGAAACTAAAAATCCAAATATTTGGGCCTTGACAATTTCATTCTTCATTTTAAATTTTTGTGCTGCAACACAAGATATTGCGGTTGATGGATGGGCTCTAACAATGCTGTCTAAAAAGAATGTTGGACTTGCGTCAACTTGTAACTCCGTGGGCCAGGTAATGCAAAATTGCTCACTTGTACATACATATTTTATAACAAGTTTTCAATTTATGTATGGCGGTATGTTCCCCAGTTTTTCATTTTGTTTCCAAATTTAGGGGGCGGTTAATATTTTACTACTCATAATGATGTGTTATGTGTTTTACTGACGATTGTTACTCAAGTGTGGTGTCACACCTCAGAATTGGGTGACCAGGGGGAAGGGTTGGGTGCTGAGGTGTAGGAAACCACTTGTATTGTTTGTCTTTGCTAGAGATGATAATCAACAAAAACTTCAAATTGACCCATTTTTGTTTTGCTGCAACTTGGCCATTTTTTAATAAATTTATTGTGACTTTGGGTTATAATTTCCTTATTCTTCTATTCATTTTATTATGTGACTTCGGCATGTAAATACCGAGCAGTGTTAACAAAGGACATTCTATCCATGAATGAACATGCACATGATTTAGCAACAGAATCCTACAGACAAATCTGTGTGGTGTCATTTTTTTTTTAAAGCGACAGGCCCAGGGACATTATTAAGTACAACAATAACAATTTGCTGAAACGATCCTCAGGTGCTTTGTGTCCAATAATTTGGTTACTCTTGAATTGACTGAGTGATAATGACTTATTTCATTGTTATTGTTACATTTATCAAAATGATGTAAAATTTTAGCGAATGCTTCTACTATTTATTATATCTGTATTTCAATTATATCTTTTTTTGCTCGTTTAGACTGCTGGATATTTTTTGGGATATGTTGTATACATGGCTTTGGAATCAAAAGATTTTTGCAACAAGTTTTTAAGAAGTGTACCAGAAGAAACTGGAATTATAACTTTATCAGGTGATGAATCTTGTCCGTTCTATAAATTTTTCAGGATATATTTGTCCCAAATTTTATCAGAAAGATAAAATCAATATTGTCTACTGGTCATATTATGCCAAAGTATGGTTCATTTGAAAAAAATGGGACAATGAGATGCTGAGTTAATATTCAGTTGGTTTCTAGCCTGGATTATATATGTGCAAAGAAAGCAAAGTGTATTTATTCATCTATCCTTGTGTTGGAAAAATGAAACCCCATTTTTCAAATCTATTATGCTTTCTTCCTTATAGGTTTTATGTGTTTCTGGTCGATAGTTTTCATCTTTTCTACAACATTTGTGATGATTTTTAAAAATGAAAAATCAGAAGAAGAAAAATCTTTACATCATGATGAAGATCATACAGAACATACTGGTGTTATAGATACATACAAACTACTTTGGAAAATTGCTTGGCTTCCTGCTGTCTTCCAATATGTCATCATTCTTTTAACATGCAAGGTTAGTATTTATCAGTTTAGTTGTATTTTTATGCCTAAAATTGAGCCTAACAAAGTTAGACACATTGCAGAGTTTCCTTCTTTTTAAAGGGTATTCGTAGTGTGTATGCTAGCTTTTTTCCTGTGATGTTGCTTTGAATTATTTCCCCCATATGTCAACCTGTATCCATCAAAGTTATCAATAAACTGTTGACTTCAGAAGACTTTCAACTTTGCTTAATGCTAAGTCTAATTGATGACAGTCTGCCGGTATCTTTTTTACTTGAAAAAGTATTTTGTCAGTCAAAGTTCGACTAAATTTCATGTACATCTTATATTTTATTTGTTTCAACTCTCATATTTAAAGTAAATAAATATTTTTGGAAAAGAATGCGGACATCACAAAGTTTTCATAAATTATTGTTTATAGATATATGTTAATTTAATATGGATAAATTATGAATTATTATTACAAATTATTCTTCCATACATTGTGGATGAAATACAACAGGAAAAAATTGTCCTCCCATTTGTTTTCCTTTCGCTATTTTATACGTTCCCAATAGTGCTAATTCATTAGTATTTGACTTCACCCCATCTGCAAAGTAGTTCAATACTGCTGCTCTTCTCGGCAAATCAGATCTGCATGAATGAAGAAATTGTAATGCAGTATGTAAAATATCTATCAATAATGAAGAAAGTAACCACACAGAAGTTTTTATCTCATATTTCACATACATGCCAACTTTTGTTCTCTTCTCCCTTTCACAAGAAACTCAATTTCTCTATTTACAAAAATGGGGCGCAATTACCTCATGGATACTGGTGTTGCCTTTCTCAAATGAAGGACATAGCCATAATTAAGGAATTTGAATTCTTGACATATTTTAAGCGAGTATATTAATGTTTTCCAATTTAATTTTTTGAAAAAGGGCATTCCTATTCACTAACATCCTTTGATTGAAATTGTATCTATTGTTTCATCTTAACCTGATATTTCAAATCTACCTAACTATAAATTCAAAAAATACATCTCACTTGTATCGATTCTAATGTACTGATTTGGATTTCAGTTCACATGCTGTGTTTGATTTTCGAATGAATTTTGTTACCAGTATAAAGCCTTAAATATTCGATTAAAAGTCATAATAGTTCCAACTTCCAATACCTGTTTTGATATGATCCATGGACTGCCAATGGATGATGAAAACTAGCTTCACCTTTCTTCAGAATACATGGCTGTGGTTGGAATGCTCCTTTTTCCTCATCTGTTAGTATTGTCTTAATTGTAAATGATTGAGGTGTTATTTGCAGACCATGGACTAGAATTCAGTTTGTGGACCATTGCACTTGATAACAATAAAAATATCAGAGTTGACAATTTCTGCGGTGCCAGATACATGTTAAACTCACAAACTCTATGTCAATCTGATTCAAGTTTAATATAAGATATAATATATCTTTCGAATTCACAACAACCACAATTTATCTTTATGTTGGCAACAACATTTCATGCATCCAGTTTGCTGTAAGATTCGTTTGGTTGAGCTGTAATACCTGTATGGATTCCATATCACCGAAGTTGAAATCTGTCACTGGGAGTGGTTTTCCATCTCTTGTCCAATTGTGTGAACCTGGAACATACTGAATGCAACCATTCTCCAATGTTTGGTCTTCCAAGGCAATGTGAACCTATAACAGTTTCAAAATTTTACTCATGCTCGTAATTTGTTGGAAGACAAGCTGTTTGTTGTAATAAGAAGAATCAAGATTGTTCCCATTTACACGTATTACCTAACTTTGGTGGTCATATTGACCTACGTCCTACCGTCATATGCCGCATTGGCTGTGTTTTTGTCCAGTAACTGTAATCCTGATGCCATGCCACGACTCCTCCATACTTTGCAGGCTTTGCAAACAGTTGATCGTGCCAAAATCTAACTTTGCAAAACTCTTCATCAATGTTTGAAAGCAATTGTGCTGTGGGTACCTGGTTGAATATGCATTTATTAAGAAGTGGTGGTATCATTATTACGGTAACTATAATTGCGACATAATTTACTGTTGAAGAGGCTGGGCCATTTTTTGGAACTCTATTAGAAGATTAGGTAACGAATGTTTGCAGAGAATGTGGGATGATGATAACAAAGATGGTATTAGTGGGTTTGGCACTGTGATTTAAAGACAATTCTTGATATTCGTTTGGAGCCCAAAGACAATTTTATAACATCTGACAAATTAACAACTAATCAGCTAGTTTAGATTTGAACACAATTGGCAGAATAGTGATAGCATCAAGTGAACGAGCTAGATTAAAATGATAATGTGTTCAGCACTCGTTGCTTCATAGATACCACTGCATAAATTCTACAGTTTTTCAACATTCCTAGTTCCTACTTTAGATGACAGTCAGTACTTTTCATTTCATTCATGTTGGAACCAATGTAGGTATGACGTAATATGAGGAAAAAAAGGTTCACAAATTCATTGCTATGAATAGTAACCTAATCCAACATCTAGGAGCTGCTTAGTTTGAGAAAGTTTAGAAAAAAACTAGTGCAACTTCAGTAGAAAAGGAATAAAATTTTGTTCAATTGAATATGAGGAAGCATTTGGTATATGCATCTGTTGTTCTTTTCACAGCTTGAATTGATCCCCTTAAAAGTTTCTATACTGAAAAAGAAGTGTTTAGCCAACCAAGACCAAGACAATATTTATGCTAGTTATACTTACTGTCATTGCTGGACAAAACACAAGATCATGGAAATATTGAGACACTCTCCAATGACCTAATGCGTGCATCAGTACATTGTTTGGATCTTTAGACTGATTGCTGTGATATTCATAAAATAATGCTCTCTCCGCACTATCTTCTTCAAGTTTCTGTATCAAAATAGTGGTAAATCATGATAGCATTGAATTCAGTGTCAGTAGTCAGCTGAAGCTTTTTTAAAGTGAAAACTTCACGGAATCCTAAATGGTGATGTAAAGTGTAAACTATGATTTTTCAGACTGTTATGAAATTCCCTCTAATGACTCACCATAACTTTCTGGTATTCTTCCAGGAGTTTATCACATTGTGTTTCATTGAGAACTTTTATATTTGCTATATACCCATTCCTATAATGAAAGGAATAGATAAGAGCTTACTTAAGGCAGCATATGGACTTGAGGTTGAAGAAACTAAATTGTCAAGATTTACCATCCATCCATCATTTTCAATTAATTAAGATATCTTGTTGTCGTTCCTGGTGTTTTTAAATACAGCATTCAATCAAAAATCTGTTGTGGTTGAGAATTATTTATTGACAGGTAGCATCTTAACCCTTACTGTGCGGTAGGTACGTAAACGTACCAACGACAAAAGTCGCTAGATTGCGGCGGGTACGTTAATGTACTCCACCGTTTCATTTGGCATTCGGTTGCAAACTGTTGGTCTAGTTTTTCCGGGTTTTAGTGTATTGGTAAGAAGTCTTTTGCCTTTCTGTTCCATTTTATTAAAGTTTGCAGCGTTTTCTCAAAGTTTGTGTTGAACATATAGGTGGGTCAAAGCATGGGAGTGCACAGTAAGGCTGTATGATTTCTGGTCATAGTTAGCTTCATGGTTGAGTAGGTGACTCTCTGACATCTTCATGTGGCAATAAAAACGTATTATAAGCGTCTAAGAAGCAATTGGAAACGTTACAAAAGTTTCGAAATTTATGCAAATTTTGGCGTTTTTTGGGTGGTAATACAATCCATCTACCAGAGTATTTTGAGTTTTTATAGGAACATCATGCTATTGATTGCCAATAACGAAGCGGTAACAATAAAGGTTTTGGCGGATATTTCTATTTTTCATAACAGTTTGAAGTTTCAACTCCCAAGAAAAAAAATTGTCTTTTTTTTCTATCCGATTTGTGACTCAGACCACCACTTTTGAAAATTTTTCGATCGCTAATTGCAAGCTCTTTAAATAAGCTTTCCAACAAGCCGTCAGTGGGCAGCAGAGAATCATTAGGTTTCGTTAATCGATCGATTTGTTGTGGGTGTACAAATGCATAAAATTGGCGTAGCAAATACGATTATTTAATAAAAAATAGAAACCGCATGGAAAGGGTTAATTGAAAAGGTATTAATTGTAATTATCCTTCATACACAACTTTAGATTCCAGATCCCTACACACCAAATGGATTGCAAATGGTAGTTCTAAGGTTTGAGGCGAATATGGATGTAGTACAATTTTATCATTTGTTATGGTAATCGGAACAAAAAACAAATAGAGATTTCGAAATAGAATGAGTTTCCGTTTTGAAGAATGATCTTACCTATGGAATTCTGCAATCTGTTCCTTATTGAACATGAATCTTTTCCATTCTTCAATATTTGATGGCTTTTTACCCAATCCACCTGAATCACTGTGAACTGTGCTCCAATCTGGGATACCAAACTTCCCAGTTAATGGTGCTTTGTTTTGAATCAAACTCTGCAAGGCAAAAATACCTTGTTAACTTTTCCTGTTCTGTACGCTTTAACACAAATAAAATAATATACCACTGGTAACATATTCCTTATATTAGTAGCTAAATTCTCAGACTTGAATTTCCTAATAAACCTATTTTTAAACAAAATTACCTCTTCACTGTACTGTTCCATTATCTCCTAGCAAGATTTGCTGGTATAAGTTTTAATTAATGATACTCTGCTTGTTTGTCATGATTGCTTTAAGCAAATACACCCATAGGCAGTGAATTCATGGTAGGACCTGTGTGCGCCAGTATATATTTGTTCATGATAATATAGCTTTGTTGATGCATTATATTGTTTGCTTGAACCTTATTTTGTCTTACTAAGTTTAAAAATTACCATTCTTGAGTTTGTTTATGTTAAAATTTAGTAATCAGAAAACCCAATGATTTAATATTGCCCTCTTGTCCCATTCTTAATAATTGATTCATTCTGGTAGCTTCCCGTTTTGGTTTTGCTTGCTTCTATTTTTCTCCTTTCATAATGTTTTAAAGTTTAAACATGTAATATAACAGTTTTTGTATTGAATGTAGCAACTAATTATGCTTATTTTCACCCGTTGACACAAATTCGAATTCCGCCTATTGGGAAGAAGTTAGTATAATTGTTACATATTTACAGATTGGATATGCATCAGAAGCTGCAGTAGGATTGAAGTTGATTGCTGCAGGTGTACATAAAGAAAGTTTGGCACTTCTCGCAATACCAATGACACCCTTACAAATATTGCTACCTCTGCTCATCGCAAAATACACAGCTGGACCAAAACCTTTAGATTTATTCATAAAAGCTATTCCATTTAGGTATGTTATTATCAATTTTGTTAGCTAGACATACATCTTAGACCTTGAAACTACCATAACCAGCTTTGGTTCCCCGGGACTTACCTTCCCAGTAAAACTGTGTAACTATCATTTTCTTACAATTTGTCTTCAATTGATTTATTTTTACTGTTTGGAAAAATAAGCATGATAGACACAAAAATGATATAATTGATTGAAGATTTACCAATTTACTTACATTTATATTTCAGATTATTGTTTACTGTGTTTTTCGCTGTTATTGTATATTGGACTCCGTATTTAAAACAAGAAGATGGAACATATTCATACACATATTTCACTTTTATTTTACTTATATATGCAGCTCATCAGGTACGCCTATTTGATTCTTTATTGTCCGATGTTTGCTAAATCATTATTAGAGGCATATAACAATTAATGTACTCTGTTACATGTTCTTTTGTTCAATTTTGATTGATTAGTTTGCAAAAGTGCTTGGATAACTTGGTGCCCCAAATTAGCCAGCTCATGCTAAAGCAAAAGTGTGATAGAATTTGTGCTGTGTCTCTGGCAGTAGAAGTTGGATGCAATGAATTACTATTTTAAGTTGAAGATCACTTCAAGTTTTATTTGATAGATGATGTTTATGTATAGGTATTAGTGTATAACTTTTTTTCCATGTTTGTATATTACAGCTATTTGTTCTCGGATCGTTATTCAATAACTATGTAGTAATTTCCAAGTACTGGTAATTTAAATTTATTTTTTTTCTTGCAGATCGCATTGTATAGTATGTTTGTTTCTACTATGTCCTTCAATGCAAAAATCAGTGATCCAAAAATTGGAGGAACATACATGACATTATTGAATACTGTCTCAAATCTAGGAGGTAAGAATACATTGTCATGTCTTTAACATAGCAAATAGATGGTTTATCGAATGATTGTAAAATTAATGTGATGTGACTGAATATTGATATTTTTCACAATTGAGTCTATCAGAGTCTATCACATGCGCATTCTTACCTGTGAAATCAAATCAAAGATATTTGAGCATGATAATTGACAGCCATCTTACTAATTGACAGCCAGCCAGGGTAAAGTGAACAACTATATGTTTTATGTTTTCAAAAGTTTGCGCTTTTTTTTATCACACAAGTAATATTAAGGAACTTAATGTAATCAGAATAGCAAGTATCTTTTGAATATTATCAGGTAACTGGCCTTCTACCACTGCACTCTGGTTTGTTGATAATCTTACATGGAATTACTGTGAAGGTGGAACATCAAATATAGAATTTTGTACTACAGCCACTAAAGAGGTTCGTACATGGCACTAAGTGATTGCCTCAATTAAAGTTAACTATTGGTGGTATACTTATTTATGTTGTGGTTATACTTCTGCTTGTTTGGTATTATTATACCTATCTTTGCGAATCAATATTAAAATTAACTGTTGCCAGATAATTTTATATATTGTTTAGGGGACGGACTGACAAATGGGAAATACTTTCCATTTTCATACTAGATAAACCAATGGTTGTGCTTAGTAAATAATATATAAAATATTTGGACTGTAGTTCTTTGAAATGTAACACGATCCTATTTCACTTCGGAGTAGTGTCTATTGCTTTGCTTTCCATAGATAATCAGTATTTCTTATTTTTTTAAGCAATGTGAGTCACTTGGTGGAAGCTGCATCACTCACATCGATGGTTATTATATTGAAGCTTTTATATGTTTGATTCTTGGATTGATATGGTTGTGGTGGAAGCGTAATTCAGTTGAAAAACTACAGCATTTGTCTTCTGTTCATTGGAAATGTCCACCTTAAGTCTTCACAGAAAACTATTATTGACTCAGGTATTGAAGATAGAATAAGGAAATGAATGTAGTTTCATTGTCAACCTTGCACACATTTTGTTGTATCTCAAATACTGGTCTAACATTCAAGGGATAGTGCGCCTGCCAATGACAATGAATGTGATCACTCTTGACCAATTGTATTTCTCAGAATATATATGCTCCACCTCACTGCCACTATATGTTTGGAATCTTTGGTTACTAAATATGCTTCCACTTTCATTTAGGTATTTTAAACTTTTGTCATACAAATTGCAGTCTATAAAAATTTCAGTGGAAAGTTATGAAACTAGTGTTTATTTATCTTAAAATGTTGAGTAGTGGAAACAAATGTTATCCATATGAAACTATTTTATAGTGATCTATAAGCAACTATGCTGCTGATAGTTCACCATTTTGTTTTATATGGAACATTGGTCGAATAAATTTCTATACTACCGAATAATTCACACACATCCGGCAAATGTTATACTTTTTATGTTGAATCATCTGTAAAGCTGATTATGTTATTTCATGCATCTTCCCCGGGCTATGTATGCACAGCCATTTTAGTTGATACAACAGTGCTTTTTTTGCGATTTATGCTATTTTCTCATGTGAGAATTATATATTTTAATAGTTGTCTATCTTAAATTCAGGTTGAAGATATTTCTTCTTATGACTACACTTTGTCATGGATTGATGTAGTATTTTTTCAGCTGGCCTGTGAACCGTCCTTATGCTTGGTGTCTTATATGCAGTTAAAGAGCCTTTTATTGTTTTATTTTTGTAGTTTGTTTTGTGCTGTTATTCATGTTGGTGTGTGTTTCTGCGTTCATTGGTTGTCACAGTGTCCACTGCCTTCTGCAGCTTGGAGTGGAAGTTGTATGAATATGAACATGTTAATATTAATCACTAGAATTTAGCAGAGGAAAACAGACCGCTTTTTATCCTTTTTTGCTACATTCATCCAATTTCCTATTTTAAAACTATTCATTCTCCTTCGGTATGAGTATAATTAAACACATTTTCCTATATGTTCTCAATATTTAGTGGATCATTAGTAGTGTACAGTGGCTGTTGTACTGTCTGTATAGTTTATAATGTGTGCATGAAAAGGTTTCTTAATAGGACAATCCTTTTATGTTGTGTTTGCACCAGACATGCAACTGTGATACAAATATCTATTGGTAAGCAATATAGGGTTATCTGTTTGGTAGTGTTATTATTACAGCCTGTGAATTGTTGTAAATTGTCTGAGCAGGCTATCGAATGGATTGAATAATATTACTTCAGGGAAATGTTGGCACTGATGTTTTATTTTCATGGTGTGTAATTTGAATATTATATTTAGAATATTTGATGTTGCTGAAGTAATTTGTATTGAAAGACTATAAAATACAAAGAAATTTATTTCATTAATTCATTTATGTTCTGTTACTTTCATTTGATTCCTAATACCAGTTGTTGCAGATATCATTGCTTGGCAGGTTCAACATGAGGCCAATATTAAATTATGTGAGCGACAATAGCATTCAACGAAGGAATTGTTCCTGTGAATATTGGAGTGGACAAGTTCAAGGGAATATTCTAAAAAGCGGGCAGGCATAGATGATCTGAAGAACTGAAAAAGTTCAGTAGTGAATTTTCATGATAGAACGAGAGCTGAGGCCTTCATTTGCAAATTAGATTAACACGCCATCGTAAAAGTGAAAATATTATACCGGTGATCAGTTGAACAATATTTTGTGTGGGTGACTGTGCAAGACTGGCCGAGGCTTCTTATTCGTTTGTATATCCTGCAGAAAACAGTAATGTGACCAAAAAAGCCAGTAATAAAGTGGAAACGAAAGAAATAAAGCTGCTTTTTAATTAAGCTATTACTTAAAAGTTTGACACCGAGGTTGTGTTAGTCCAGAACCCTGAAAGAGTTATGTCAATGATCACAAGTGAATATAATATATCATTAGGAGTTTTCAACTACTGAACAAAATTAACGCTCTATAAAAGTACTATCATCTTAGCCGTTTTTTTAAACGGGTCAGAATACGAATTATTCGGATCAGTATCCTGCTGACACGCCGATTCATAACAGTATGGCGCTTCATAACCATGTTGCTTCAAATGCAATCATACAGGAATATTGGGGGTTATTAGACATTAGTACTACGTATATCAGGCCTGGGCAAGTTGCGGGCCACATCCGGCCCGCGAGCAGGCTTCCAGATTTAGACACTTTCTTTTTTATTTACATACAAAATATGCTTGAACTGTGAACAAACGGAATTTTTACGATTATGAAAAAGTCGGTAATAACGTTTGACTGATTTTTTTTTAATTGCCGTTTGTTTTTCGTCCGATCGAGGTGACTCCTAAAGTCACAAATTTCCCTCAACATATATATGTCTTGTTAACGGAACTGTGGAACCATTAAGAAAAACGAGTTATTATATATTCAAGGGACGGACTAAAAGTAGGCACTTGCAAATTAGGCCCTTTTTTAGGCACTTATTTAGGCTCTTTGAAAAAAAAGTAAAAAGGGAGTAATACCTTTTAAAACATATTTAATTAGTTAAAAATGGTCAATTAAATGTTGAAAACGAAAATTGCAACGGCAAACTCAATAGCAATATTTAAAACGCAGTTTTAAAGCAGTCGCAGCGCCTGGTCACACATATCTAGGCACATATTAGGCACTTCGAAAATAAATAAAATGGCATATTCACTAATAAAAGACATATTAAAATAAATATATTACCCACACTGATTAGCCTGAGTAAATATCTAAGAGATGCACTTGAGTCTAGTACTGGAATTTAGAAATAATAAATTGTTAGCGATAGGCACTTTTTTAGGCACTTATTTAGGCACATCGAAAAAAAGGTGAAATGGACGTTGTAATTCCTAGAAAGATAATGAATTAGTTCAAAATATTTAAATTAAATGTTGAACGCGAAAATTGCAACAGTTAAACCCAATACTGTAATGATTTTTAAAACATAGTATAAAGGGAGACGCACGCGCTCTGTCACCACATATGCTAGGCACATATTTAGCACTTCGAAAAATAAAGAAAATGGCAATTATCACTAATAAAACACAGGGAAATAAAAATATTAACTACACTGATTAGCCTGGGTAAATATCCAATAGATGCACTTGAGTCTAGTACTGGAATTTAGAAATAATAAATTGTTACCGGTAGGCACTTTTTAGGCACTTATTTAGGCACATCGAAAAAAAAGGTAAAATGGGCGTAATAACTTTTAAAAGGATAATGAATTAGTTTAAAATATTTAAATTAAAAAATTAATATGCAAATTGTAACAAGTAAACCCAATGATATCGGATTTTATATTTTGCATATTTGAAAATATCTTAATTCTTTACTTTGTAATTTTGTTTTTGATAAATTAAAATATAAGACATCCCCCGAAAATAAGCCCTAGTGGTAATTTTAGGAAGAAATTTGAAATAAGACACTGTCTTAATTTCGGGGAAACACGGAAAAGGTGTCTACCGGTAACAATTTATTATTCTCAAATACCACTACTAGACTCAAGTGCATCTATTGGATATTCACCCAGTCCCAGGCTAATCATTTTGACTAATATTTTTATTTTATTTTTTTATTGGTGATTATTCCCATTTTCTTTTTTTTTTCGATGTGCCTAGCATATGTGGTGACAGAGCGCGTGCGTCTCCCTTTAGTACTAAGTTTTGAAAATTGTTATTGGGTTTAAATGTGGCAATTTTCGCGTTCAACATTTAATTTAAATATTTTGAACTAATTCATTATCTTTCTAGGAGTTACTACGTCCATTTCACCTTTTTTTCGAAGTGCCTAAAAAAGTGCCTACCGGTAACAATTTATTATTTCTAAATTCCAGTACTAGACTCAAGTGCATCTATTGGATATTTGCCCAGGCTAATCAGTGTGGGTAATATTTTTATTTCTCTGTCTTCTATTGGTGATAATTCCGATTTTCTTTTTTCGAAGTGCCTAAATATGTGCCTAGCATATGTGGTGACCGAGCGCGTGTGACTCCTTTTAATACTACGTTTTAAATATTGTTATTCGGTTCACCCATTGCAATTTGCGTGTTCAATATTTAATTTGACAATTTTCAACTAATTAATTATCATTTTAAAAGTTATTACGCCCATTTCACCTTTTTTTCGATGTGCCTAAATAAGTGCCTAAAAAAGTGCCTACCGGTAACAATTTATTATTTCTAAATTCCAGTACTAGACTCAAGTGCATCTATTGGATATTTACCCAGGCTAATCAGTGTGGGTAATATTTTTATTTCTCTGTCTTTTATTAGTGATAATTGCCATTTTCTTTATTTTTCGAAGTGCCCAAATATGTGCCTAGCATATGGTGACAGAGCGCGTGCGTCTCCCTTTAATACTACGTTTTAAAAATCGTTATTGGATTTAACTGTTGCAATTTTCGCGTTCAACATTTAATTTAAATATTTTGAACTAATTCATTACCTTTTTAGGAGTTACTACGTCCATTTCACCTTTTTTCCGAAGTGCCTAAATAAGTGCCTACCGGTAACAATTTATTATTTCTAAATTCCAGTACTAGACTCAAGTGCATCTATTGGATATTTACCCAGGCTAATCAGTGTGGGTAATATGTTTATGTCTCTGTCTTTTATTAGTGATAATTGCCATTTTCTTTATTTTTCGAAGTGCCTAAATATGTGCCTAGCATATGTGGTGACCAAGCGCGTGCGACTGCCTTTAATACTACGTTTTAAATATTGTTATTGAGTTTGCCCGTTGCAATTTGCGTTTTCAACATTTAATTTGACCATTTTTAACTAATCAATGATGGTTTTAAAAGGTATTACGCCCTTTTTACTAAGTGCCTAAATAAGTGCCTAAAAAGTGCCTAATTTGCAAGTGCCTACTTTTAGTCCGTCCCTATATTCAATCATCGGCGGCGAGTTGCTAAAGATAAATAAAGGAGTGAATCGGCAAGCAATTTAAATCTAGATTTTGGAGCGCCAATATAAAATACTAAGATTTGAACAGAAACAAGTTTTGATTTAGAAGGCCCCTCACAGGTTAGAAACGCTGTTGTAGAAATTGAAAACTGAAAAATTTCTTGTGCCCACGACACACATTTTAATTGAGTTGCTTTCGTGCGCGAGATGTATCTTTTGGACAATTCCAGAACTACCGACGGCGCCTGATATATAAGTAAATTCAATCGATTTTAATGGGACTAAAATGAATTTTACTCTGTGTGGTTTCATCGCAGACGTGGGGATTTTCAAAATGATAAAAACTTTAAAACAGAGCTAAGTCAGTGTTGCAGGAACAGATCAGATTCGTCGAATTCACGAAATCGAATAAAAATAATCTGGCACTTTACCTCACATTTTTATATCCGCGGAATGCGGTGGTATTTCAGAGGGGTAATGCCTATATTTTGTCAAGTCAACTCCGGGTTAAGTTGAAAACAATAATGCAAGATATTTTAAATGCACCCGTATCGATACATTTTAAATATACCCGTATCGAAAATAGGTGTCAAGACTAAGGATATATATTCCGGCAGTTTATCTTGCATTTGTATATCCGTGGTATTTTAGAGCAGTGCATCCCGAACTTTTAAGCTCTCAACGCCTTCCAATGCCATAAAATTTTCCGAAATGGTGACAGCAAAGTTGTATGAATCGCCATGTTTTGCCACCGAAGGCATGGTCCTAATTCTGCATTGTTACTCACTCTTCAGCATTATTAATGATAAAATTCGGCATTGTTATGCAAGCGTGGCTTTATTTGATCCTACGTATTGTCTCGAAATTTGTGTTTTAAACTAGTTTCAATAATTGTGCTTTAAATAAAAAGTCTAACAAAAGTACAATAGATGTAATACTTGTATTATTTGAATGTGTAAAATATATAATAAAATAGCACAATTGACTTTACTTAGTCCGGCCCGCCACTGCCTTTCGAATTTTCAATGTGGCCCGATACCAAAAATAATTGCCCAATCCTGACGTATATTATAGCTGGCACCCTGAGGCTTCCATATCGTCGTTTCCGCTGGGTAGTTTGATCGCATTGCTTCCATTTATGGGTAGCGTGGTGAGGTAATATAAAACTCGGTAATGTCAGTTTGGGCATAGTAGTTTTTTGCACCCGTGCTCACGTCCTGTTATTGTTTATTTCGAGCCACTTTTCAATACTTTCAATCTTCCTAATGTCACTTTGCGCCCCTTTCATATTTTTAATTCTCCATATAACCTTATTGATTACCTTTCTGGTCAAATCTTCTATAGTATGCCTTTCATTTAATTGCAGTTGTTCTTGAGTTTTGTATAGTTTAATCATGAGATTAGGGATGGGCAATGTAGAATAATTTACTATTCTAGAATAGTTAAATCGAATCCAAAATACCAAATCCTATTCTATTT